TCTGAACTGTTTTTTATTCATATTAAAATTACCATGGCACTGGAGTCTGCTGTACCACTGCAGCAGAAATAAAATACAGATCTCAGCCACACTTCTCATTCTAGTACAATAGTGTCTTCAGCTGATTTCAAAAGTGGGTATGGTGGTTTTCAAAAAATAAATAAATTATTAAATTTATATCCAAACCTTCTTCCCAGAGGGGATCAGGCCTGCATGGGGTGATCATAGGAGAAGACAAAACCTCCATTCTCAGCACACCACTACAGGACCACAAGAACGGCCTTTTCTGCAGACTGTAAGACCTGGGGTAGCAAATACAGGGAGAGGCACTCCTTCATGTAACTGCGTCCCAATTCATTCAGGGCTTTGTCAGCTAAACATAACACCTTACATTGGGCCCAGCAGCAAACAGGAAGAAAGTGCAATTGCTCTCTTAAACCATCCATGAATGAATACCATGCAAATCTATCCTTTGAAACTATTGCTTGGGAATCTAAAATATAGTATCATCATGATCAACTCACAAAGAACAGTAAAAAGTAAAATCCTAGCCTTTGTGTTTCCAGAGAGAATCTTGAAAGAAGCTGTTTGATAAAACCCCCAATCCCAAGTCATATTTACTAGGAGAAGAGAATGATAAAACAGCCTTACCATACATGGCTTCTCCCAAGGAATCCTGGGAATTGCAGCTCCCAGAGCTGCAATCCCCAGCACCCTTAACAAACTACAGTTCCCATAGTTCTTTGGTGGAAGTCATGTGCTTTAAATGTATGATGTGATAATAAAAAAGTTGGAAGAGGGAGTGGTACACAGGAAGGAAAGGAAGAGGACATGGGCATGGACGAAGAGAAAAGACATGGGGAAGAAAAGCAGAGCAAATGAGCAGGGAGGAGAGATGGGTATGGTCGGGAGCTGCAGAGGTAAGGAGGGCTGATATTCATGAAATAACCAGGCGAATGTTGGACTGTACCTTTCTTGGATAATTCTGTTTTCCCCAACCAGGACTTTAAACGTAGACAGCTCTTTCTCTGAGAATTTGTCCAGATTAAATTAGTCTAGTGACAAAAATATTTGAAGAATCATGATGAGAATAGCAGGAGATATAGAAGGTTATAAATTAGTTACTTTGACAGCTGTTTGAGGGAAGCTTGCATAACACCTGCCCACACAAGGCCTAATTCAAGGTAATATTAACAGTTCCTCGCTTCTATGAATGCTCCAAAAAGTATTCACAGACTACAAAAAGCGACAACTGCAAACGTATCAAATATGCCTGTTTTTTAATTCCGTTTGGTGCAATTTATCCATTTTCACTGTCTGAAGAGTTGCAGAAGTTAAAATTACATACTTGAAAAGCTTGCTTTAACTAGAAAAAGCATTGTTTAACCTCTTGATTCCAAGCTGAAAACAGTGCCTGTTGCATTTTTCTGCCCTATAAGATTTTATGATAATGGCAAACCTGTTAGTAAAACTGCCTGAAGGCACACTCCTGAGGTGTGCTGTGTTCAAAATTACAAATATATTTAGTAGACATAACATTATGTTAGCTGGATGTTAAGAATACTGAAAGGTATTTTATTATCATTTCAGACTAGTAGCAGGCAGCCTACAGTCTCAATTTAAAAACTTAATGTTAAAAAATTAGTGAAATGTTATATTACCTGGTAATTATACGCACTTGGGAACTGACTTTGGGCCAGAAAATAAATTCAGTATAGTTATGCTTTTTTGGGATTGCACTAGTTCAGCCTGCAGGTGGGAGAATGCATATTTAAATGTTCCCTTTTCAAAAAAATGTACAAAATTTGCATATTAGGGAGAAAGATTCAGTTTAGCTTCCTGTTCCACCACATGTGCAGGGAGGTTTTGTTTTGTTTTTAGAGGATTCAGGCATGGTGCAGTGTAGAAACAGCTTTTTAGGTTTTAAGACTGCTGAATGTATAAACTCAGCCATTTCTTGGAACTCTGATTTTTGATTATTATTTTTGGTAACTGAGGGCTCTTGAGGAAACATGTGTTTCCCCCTCCCCTTTCATTTTTCTTCTTGTTCAGTATGATGATTCAGAAATGATTTAAATCTTCTTTGGGCTTTTGTCTGAACATGTGAGAGTTATAAGTGCTTAGGGGGCAGGGTGTGCATGCAAGCTTATGCATTTAGCATGAAGAACTGAAGGGGGTTTCAGAGTGATCTTGAGATGAAGAATGAAAGGTGGCATCTAAACAAGAAAATGTTGAGGTAATTCAAACTATTGAGGTCTTCAGTTACCTCACACAGACTAAGTAAGTGTGTGTTCCAGTCATGGCAAAGAGGTAAGATTTCTAGATTTCCTAGAAATTACAGTGCACTATAGAACAGTTGGTAATGGAACTGACCAGAGGGAAGTCAAACTTTAATCTTAAATTGTGACCAGGATCTGGTGTGAGATGTAAGCCTTGTTGAATGGATTGCAAACAGTGATCACAGTGCTATCAAACATAACATCTGTAAGTGCAAATAAAATTCAATACAGACCCTTTTAATTTCAGAAGAGGAAACTTAACAAACTTACCAGTGAATAGGTCTTAGCAGCAGTGAACATCACCACGTCTTGTGGCAATGAATTCAGTAAATTAATTCCATAAGTTAATTTTGGACTCGGTTGAAAAGGTCATACCATCTTTTTGTAGCAGTTTATGCTAGTGAAATGTAACAGGAGTTTTGAACCTTTTTAAATTCTTCTACAAAGTATCATTTTACACTCCGTAAGAAATGCCATTACGAATTGTCAGCATACAGTTCTATATAGACTCTAGTGTTCAGTACTGAGATTCATTCACATGGGCAGAAAAGAGGAAAATCATATGTGACTTCCACACTGGTGCAGCTTTCTACATACTCGGTATAAATAAATGTAGAGTATTTGATTGTTTCCAGGGCACTATGCCACTGCTAATAAATGTGGTACAAAGAAAGTATCCTTTCATATAGATTAATTGATAAAACAAATGAGGAGAGCATCTCCATAAACCAAGGAAGATAATGAAACTAGGGTCCTGAGATGAAACAGAAACTCTTTCTGGTGATGAAGCTGATCACAAAATGTAACTTGATTTAAGGAAATTGCTTCACAACTGAACACGAAAACTTGGTTCTGTATTGTGAACAACTGGAAAGTAAATTATGTTTCCTACTTTGAATAATGCCAGTGCTGTTTCTTTGTTGGGTAGAGTCCAAGCAGGAAAATTGTTGCCTTGCTAGAATATGAAAATAACATTACTTGAGTGGCATGGAGAAGAGACATGCATTGAGGATCTTGCAGCTGGTTGGTATGGCTAAAGTATGTGTAAGGAGTACCATCCATTGTGGAGAAGATGTAAAGCCAGGCAGGATGAATAAAGCCAAGGATGGCATTATTCCAAAGAGCTACCGGTACACAATGATGTGTGGGGAGGTGGTAGAGATGGAGCCTAGTCTGCCCTGAAGTAGCTGTCTTACACATGGATCTGGTTGAAGGGAGTGTTCTGATGGTGACACATGGTGTAGTTTTGCTGTTGAGTATAAATAAGGCTGACACTATAAAATTGGCTGGGTGGGTCATGGGCAGGATTTGAAATATAAGCAGTGGATTACTGAAAGAACTAATAAAAGTGAAGTTCAGATAATAAAACACATGTATTGTAAAACAGCTAATAAAAAGTAGCAAAAAGCAAACACCAGGAAAGGGGGGGTGGGAAGAAGAAATTTATGTTGAAAAATGTATATGAACATAAGGGACCTCTGAACAGGAGGTGTCCAATTTTGATTGTCAAATCTGTCCCCTGTGCAGTTCACTTACTGGCTCTGTTCCGTTCCACAAGAGCTCCAGCAAATATCATGTACAGCCACATGTTACTGTTAGTGCTTGTGATTTCACAACTAAAAAATCCTGTAAAATGTTTGGTGATGAGATTATCATAGGACTGATGTGCAGGGTTTTTGAACCAATGTTACTGTAGTAGCTGAGATTTTTATTGTATTTTTATTGTATCATATTTTTAGGAAGGAAACAGCTGGTTCCAATTAACTGCTGATACACGCCCCCAGAAAGTGTGCCCCTAATAAAACATGACTATCAAGAAATCATATTTTTTTACATTAGACCCAGTTCCTCCAGAAATACTTAAAGGCATGTTACAATATAAAAAATATAAAAGCAGAAAACATTTTAAAATGCAGACCCAAATATGACACTTAAAAGCAAACAATAAAAACCAGGAACTGCACAGCAGTTGCAGAAGAGCAATTTAACAGCAATATTTGCACAACCATTATATTTTAATGATTTGATTTTACTCCTAAACAATGCTGCTATGTTTTGTTTTGTTTTTCAGTTTTCTATTCTTAGGAATGTTAAACTCTAAGGGTGGTATTCTCCACAATTCTACACACTATGTGTACTCTTATACAAGTAGATAATGTATTTTTTAATATAAGCCCCACAGGAAAAGGGTTTGTAGCAGCTATGTACAAAGCCTTTGTCAATATTATTTTAAAATCAGTTTAAAATCTACATAGAAGATGGTTGGAGGTGAGGAGTATTGATAAAGAAAAATGGGAATGGCTATGGAGAGTGAGTCTTTTTAAGACCATCTCTACTAGCGAATTGGCTTTAAAAATGCACCATAGATGATATTATTCTTCTATAATGCTTTGCCACTTTACTTCCAGATCATTTCCTTTGTGCTGGAGGGGATGCAGGAACAAGGGTTAGGGTACCTTTTTCCATTTGTGGTGGGAGTGCCCGCTGGTGGTGCAATTTTGGTTAACAAGTTTTGCAGAACAAAGTAAGATCATCAGGGACCAGATTCAGTTATCATAAGAACATGGTTTTTCTTTATTTACTCAAGGGAGTAAATGAAGAATTTAAAGCAAAAGATCTGTTAATAGTTTTATTAATAGCTGTTCATCATACAGAGTTGAAAAATGGAATACTTTATCTGATATCAACATTATGAACAGATGGAACAATGTATGGAATTTAGCCCTTCAAGAAAAACCTATACGATAATCTTTATTGTCATTGTCCCATACAGAACGACGAAATTGAAAAAATCTACATCAGACATTAAAAAACCCACAAGCCTGCTATCCCAGCTATCCCAACCTGGTTAGCCCCTAAAAACTCTGATACCCCATAATTGAATACAATATACTCACATAAAGACTACCTTTATGTAGTTACATTACCAGCTCATAACAATGATCAAGGCACTGAACAATATAAACATTTAAACCTCATGAAACCATAAAAGCTGACTAGGTCATTCTTAGCAAACTAACTGAAATCAATGGAGTTATGTTAGTCATGGCTAATTTAAGCCTAGTGATTTCAGTAGGTATAATCTGAGTATGACTTAGTTGGATACCATCCACAGAAAGCCAGTGTTGTGTAGCAAAAGTCAAAATAAGCTAAAACACATTAGATATTCCCTATATTGGGTGACATAAGCAAGTTTAATGTAAGTTTTAGAGATGCTTCCAGAAGCAGCAGCTGCATACTCAGTAGTTTATTATCTTGGTGTCTTTGTGGCTTCAGTTCAGCCAGTGTTTCTGGCATTCCCTGGCTTCAGGTGTAATGCATATGAGAACACTGAAGAGGATGTTTAGCAGATACTGACGACCCCTTCTGTTGTAATGTTTCACTCTTCCATATTCCTTTGTTTTCATTCTGCATTCTTAATTCCCATGATGAGAGATAAGAGGTGGCTGTCCTACATGTAAGCTGAGTTCCTTGTTTCTTTTTCTTTTGACCGTTCCCGGCTGCATGTTCTCTGTTGATGTCTTGTTCCTGGTACTTGACCATCTTGTCTGTGAAAGAAAACGCTCCAGCTGGCTTGCCTGATAAGAAGAAAGGAAAGTTTGCTTGGTTTAGTCACTCCACAGAAACTCATGGTAACGTTCCAATGTACTCTGTGTCCATCCTTTATGTGTATGTGTATGTTTCTGTGTAGTAACTGTGTAGTCCGTTGGTGCATGTCTGTGTCTTTCTATAGCTTCTGCAGCATTGTGCACTTGTGTATAAGGTGGTAACTTTTTGGATCAACCTTTTCTTCCTGATGTCATCAAAACTGTATCCCATGCTGCCTCCAAGAGCTCCATCTAATGTCTTACATCCCCAAATAATTTCATTTTGTGTCCCAGGGGCAACCATGTGATAAAATGCTAACCTGAGAATATTTTTCTTTGAATGCTTCTCCCACAGCAAGTGAATATTTCATTATTCCTTAGGTGACTTATTTGAGCAGACAGGTAAAATAAACTTATTGGAAGGTATTGGCATAGGGAGTTAATAGCAAGCTATGATGTTCTAGATGTTTAATTTTTTCTAAAAAGAAGATTGTACAAAATATTAAGTATAAAAAGAGAAGGCACTATTATCAGTTTTGTTGGAGGAGTAATGGCTGCTGATAAGCTTTGCTGCTATATAATCTACATTCAGTTTTATAGGATTCACCCTCCTCCCACATAGTTCCATGGTTGTTGCACAGCCTACACTCTTTAGGCTCAACCACACTTTGTTTGTGCTGTGATTTCTAGTCATAGTTCCAATAAGTTCCCTTTTTTCTTTTTCTTTTCTTTTCTTTGGGGGGGGGGGTCCTACCGCTTTCCCTGGGAAAACCTGTGGTTTACTGCTGAACTGGGGTAAATGTTGATTGGCTTTTCTGCAGATTCAGCAGTAAACATTGGCTTTTCCCAGGGAAAGTGGCAGGACAAAAAAAAGAACCTCTTGGACTCATGACTAGTAATCACAAACAGAAGTATGGATGAGCCCTGTTTACATTTACACAGGTAGACATACTGTTTTTAAAAGCTGAATATCTTACCATGTGTTGCTGGCGGGGTGGGGTGGGACTTATATCATTTTAACCACAAAGAAGATTATTGCATTCAGCTAATTAAAGTCATTAATATATTTTTATACAGTCTCTTATTAAATAATTTCTGACTACCATCAAAAGAAAACAATAGAACCTGATGAATGGATGCAAAACATTTTGATTATGTTTTTGTTTTTGATAGTCTTCTTCGAAAGTGGTAGATAAAAATGTTTCAAAATATTTTCAGTGTACTGACATTTTTTAAAAAAAGTTTTGAAGGAAATATCAGACTTTCTAAAGCCCAACTTTTCAGTTGGACCAGAAACAAAAGGTGACAGCTCTACTTTTCTCCCTGTTGTGCAAGAAGGTGATTGTGTGGATGAATTATTAGAATAAAATAATGTTTGGTGACATCTTGGATATCTTTCAACAATACAGGGCATGCCATAAAACCTCATAAAGTTGTATAAAGTTCTGTGGTCTGAGGGGCTGCCAAATCATCTGTCCAAACACATTGTGTCACCCCTGAGTAGTATAGATAGTATAGTAGTATAGTTCATTTTGGGTACTTTATTTGGAGAGCAGAAAAATATTAGGTGAGAAAATTGCAGCACTATGGATATAGATTGAATATGGTTACGGTAATTGAAATGGTGGAAGATTCAGGACAGACAGGAGTAAGTAAGCACTTCCTCACACAGCACACAGTTAAAACTATGAGATTTGCTATCACAAGATGACCATCAACCTGGACAGCTCTTGAAAGGAATTAGACAAATCCATGGAGGATAAGGTTATCAATGATTACAAAGCAATGATAGCTATATTACCTCCAGTATCAGAGGAAGTGTTCTCTGAATACCAGTTGCTGTGAATCAGGAATGGGAGTGCTTTTGCACTAGGCATCAGGTTGGCCACAGTGAGAAAGAATGCGGAATAATATAGGCCTTTGGGCTTATCCATAAGGGCTCCTCTTATTATCTTATAAGGTGGGGGAGGGGTTATTGGGTTGCTGCTTTTGTTTTGAGTATGTATTTTGAGGTTTTATATTTTGATTTTATTCTGTGAACCACCCTGAGACCTGCAGATATAGGGTGGTATATAAATTCAATAAATAAATAAATTCTTATCCTGTTCTATGACCAGTGCTGGATGACACATTGTATGCATCCTTCCAGCAACTCCTACAGCCAAGCTGGTGCCAAATGTATTTCTCTGCTTTCCTTTGGAATATTGGGATAAGAATAAGAGGGAATATTGTTGTTTGGACAGGCCAGGACCTGTGACAATCCAGGGAGGTCACTTCAGTGCTGCTAATGCAGCTGTTTGGACCCTGGAGGCACACTTCATTGTCTGTCAAGACAGATGCCAAAATTTGCTTAGGGTGTTTACGATTATTTATTAGATTTCTATACTGCCCTTCATCCAAGGATCACAGGGTGGTTTGCAATATAAAAACACAAAATACATACTATAGTAAACAAAAACAGTAAACCCCCTTCCCCTGCAGCTTAAAAGGCCATAGATTGCTTTATTATCCAAAGACCCAGGAGATAATATGCATAATAACAGTTAAATTTATGCTATGCTGGCTATCTAAGTGCTCTACTAAAGTCTGTAATTTTCATTAGGACCCATGTTTTTAATTTAGCAAGGGCTTAAGGGCAACCACATTTTTTGGCACTCACACACTCACTTCACAAGTCAAAATATTATGGGCTAAGGGCTCGTTACTGCTTTCTTCCCTGGTTTGGTTTAAAGAGCCCATTGCCTGTACCTTATGACTAGTGTGGGAGAGGTGCATCATGGAATAAGTAGATTTTTGTGTCTATGGGGAAGATGCTAGGCTCTAGTGGCTGAATCACCCCTCAGAAAAAGTAGTCATTCCTTACTGTAGAAAGACAGTATTAAAGATTTGGTGCTTCTAAGTCATTTAAAAGAGCAACATAAAAAGACCTGCCATGGGCAAACAATTGGTTGTAAAGGTCACAGATCCCTGACAAGCTCACTATTCTGAAAGATAAAATAATATGGAGTAATGCCTTGATATCATAATTCTGCTTTAACATTATTTCTGTACTTCATAATCTTTCACATATATAATTTATCTTTCAAAATATATTCAAGTGACCTACAGAAGTTCACTTCCCTGCAAGTATCTTGAGGATTCTGTGAATACCCTCTGCATCCTCCACATCAGGATGTTGTGTTTCATTAAGTCTTCTATTCAAGTTATACAGGGCCTGGAAATGCACCAAATAGCCTATTGTGAAACATTTACAATTGTCTTCTAGAAAAGTATTTGTGGGACTCATATCATTCAACTTTATTATGTTAACTCATCTGAATTGTTCATAGTGTCAAGAAGCCTTAAGATTCAGAATGATGACACACTGATGTGGAGTGTAGGAGAAAACATTACTTCTGCTTAGCTTCTTAACTGCCCTCTTTTGATTTTATTAGAAATAGTCAGTGGCTGTAAGCCTGTTAAATTTCATGTATGTTCTACACTCCCAAACTTATGTAACTGTAATGTATAGAGAACAAATCTTGCGTTATAGCACTTGCTAATGGGTTACTCCCTGACCTGAGGTGGGTTGCAAAATGAGCAAGAAACAGCTTGTGTAAGTGAACTAATTCATACAATCCTTCCAGAATATAGTTTCATTTCAACCTGTGTTAAAATGGGTGTATGGTGAAATGGTCAACTTTTTCTTCTCTATGCATATAAATTACACGCAAACTTTGTGACAAACTCAAAAGGGAAAGAAACCTCACTGGCTTATCACTGGCTGACTAGTGACTATCCAGGTAGTGGGTTGATTCATAATGTGTGTACAACCATGTTTACCTGCATCCTAGCTTCTCAAGACTATTGTATGAATCAACTCTAAATCTCCTTTTTCACATTTGTGCTCTGCACCTAGATGACATGCTTTGGATGTTACCTGCCCTGTCCAAATCATCAAGTGTTAAATAGAAGCAAAAGCTTTATACTGTATTTACTTTCTGTCTATATTTAGGGTGAATTGCTTGAGCCATAAGTGTGATTGTTTTACAAAATGCCCAGCGTGTAAGGCAACCACAAAGCTTCCATAGAGGGTAGAGTGATAGTATGGTACATGTTGACTAAATTACCCAATGAAACAATAATATAACTTGCTATTCCACATGCAAAGCAATGTGTGCATTTATTTAACTAACATCTCAGTATGCCAGGATGGTTGTGTGGATTGTTCCTAATTTTGCATCCTAGAATGTTAGGACAACATTGCCCTAGTGCTCTAGCATTGTAGTTATTCACAATCACTTTTTAATTACCTTGTCTCTGGCTTTTCCTCAACACAGCTCTTTTGTTTTTTGCTCATTTCCTGCCCATAAAGCATATTCCTGTTTGGACTGTGCACTGTTCTTTAAATCAGGATTTTAAAAAATAAAAATAAAAAACTTATATATGGAAAGACAGTTGTGCACAAAAACAGACCAAGGAAAGCAGAAAGTCTCTGTGACTTTATTTTGTGGAAGTTTAAAGTTTAGGGGGCTGTGCCAGATGGAAATGTCAATAAGAGGTATCTTTGTGGGATGTAAAAATAGTTCAGGAAATTTGTATCACATTGTTTGAAACAAACAGGTTAAACTTCAGGAAAATGTTATCTTAGGGCTTTTCCTCTGGTCACAATTCATTTTCCTTATTAATTTATGCTTTTTTGCTAAGCAAGCACCTTCACTGCCAGGAACTGCACATTTGTGTATTGCAGACCAATTACTGACCTTCTATTTTCATTCCTCTGATCCATGTAGTGAGCATGCCCACCAGTGAGACAGAATCTGTGAACACTGACAATGTGGCTGGAGGAGATATTGAAGGAGAAAACTGTGGAGCACGGCTGGCGTGAGTTTAACCATATTTATGCTTGTGTCTTCCTTATTCCACCATGGAGTCTGACGGATAGTTAAAGAGTAAACCTTAAAGACTTTCTTCAGAATTTGCATTGCCAGAGACTCATTCTTCTTAAATCAGAATGAGAGAACATTTTGAATTAGATATTCCCTTCCAGGTTCTAGTCCAGCACTCTAATCACTATGTCACACTGGTGTTCTGGAATTAGATATTCCCTTGTTCTAGAACTTCAGAGCTTCCCATAGAACATTATTTGTATCACAAAATAGCTGCTACTTTGCATAGAACAGAGTCCAACTTTCATTGTCATCCATTTATACTTGTTTTTTATTTGAAATACATAAATATGGACTTGAGAAGAGCTGTGTGAGATGATGGCTTCTGAGAGTGCTTTTCCTGTGATAAATTTCCCACACAGCTCACTCTGCAGGGTGCTTTCAATACGCCTTTCAGATTGCTTTTGACACTGTAGGAAAAATTAAAAGGACACTGAATGCCAAGCCTCACTTTTCTGTCCCACGTCCCATAGTGTCTTTTATTGAGCAATGTAAAATTCAAACAATGGTGGCACCAGAACAGTACATTGGGGTCAATGAAGGGGCAAGGTGTGGTTTGGGTTGAGGGGACAGGCTATTATAATATAATAATAATAATTTATTATTTATACCCCGCCCATCTGGCTGGGCCTCCCCAGCCACTCTGGGCGGCTTCCAACAAAATATTAAAATACAGTAGTGCATCAAACATTAAAAGCTTCCCTAAACAGGGCTGCCTTCTGATGTCTTCTAAAAGTCTATGTCTCATGTCTAATATTTCTGGAAGAAAAATAATGGTATATTTCATAAATATGTAAGTGTGAGTTGTTTGTCTGAAGGGTGCTTGCACCCGTTCCAATTTCCTTTCTGGTACTGCCCATGGGCATGAAAGGAAGTGTGTTATTTTGAAGTCTGCACCATGTTTTCTGTTAGCTCCAGAATACCAAAATGTAGAGCAGTTCAAAACCAGGTTATTGACTCTCCACGGGTATCCTCCAGATAAGGCTATTTTGTTTGATAACTCTTCTATGCAAGTTACACAGGAGACTTGGGTAAGGTGTAAAAGGAGGAAGGTTTGGTTAGGTATAAAGGAAGCAGGTTTGGCAATGTGGTGTTGGCAGGGCGGTGGTCGGTTGGTGAGCAAAGCAAACAGGGACACCAGCCCCTAGTATTGATATTTGTGGTGGCTAGGGGAGGTCCTGAAAACTCAATATTTTCCATGAGTTTGCCCTAAATATATCACCAGAAGGGACTTCTGCCATCAAGAACATGGCCCAGAATCCTCTCTCCTAGATTCATTTCCAAACAAGATTTGGTGACTCAATTCTGCTGTTGTGTTAAATCCCATGACAGCAGCAAAACTGAACAAAGAACATATTTTTTTGGGTCATTTTAGAATTGCTTTTTGTTGCCTTAAAATCCATGACGTTGATGGGAAGAGTTGAGTAGTGGAGGAAATATGTCTTCATCATATCTTTGTAAGAATCGCTTGGGGGAAATTAGGCTATCCTCTGAAAAGTATGGACACTCTCTATGGAAATATTCAACGTATGAGCTCAGGATTACTTTTTGCAGTAACAAGTAGCTTCCTATAGGTAAATAAATATATAATTGAATATTTGCTTCTGTGGTGCCCCCGCCGTCTGTACAGGCCTGCCCTCTAGCATATAGTATTCAAGGACATACTGCTTCTGAACCTGTAGTTTCTACAGAACCATCATGACTAAAATACATTGAAGAACTATATCTTCCATGAATTTGTCTAATCTCCCTTTAATGTAATCTACATAGTAGTAAATTCAGTAAATTAACCATCTGTTGTGTGAATAAATACCTTCAAAGAGAATCAATAGGATTGTTGGTTTGAGGTAGAATGTAGGTCTATAAAAATGCTGAATAACAAAAAATGGTGTGAATTACCGTCACTGTTGTTTTGAGAGATCTTAGCTGTCTCCAATAGTTTTTAAAGTCATTTCAGCTAGAAAAGCACACACACTTTCTGTCACACACATACACAAAATTGTCAGGGAGAGCAACAGATGCAAACTAGTAAAGGGTGGGTGGATATTATTAGGTAACCTGTTGGCATGGTAGAGATGCTTAACTGCAGCGTCTAATGCACCAGAGATACAATTATCACATGCATGATGTGTGGAAGAACTGCCACATCTGTTAGCTTAATTAAATAAAATGTTATTCAAAATGCCACTCAGCCCCTTTGGTGAAAAGTAAAGAGATAACATTGAATTTACCCAGTGGGATTATGAGCAATTTTAAATTCATTTTCCCAGTGAGGGCTAGTTTAACATTTTAAGGTGTCCCTAAACACTAATAATTTGCAGACCCATTAATGTTCGTTGTTGATCTGCCCTCTGTTGCAGGGCAAGGATACCAAGTGGAACCCTTGCTCCAGTTAAACAAACCTACTTTTTAACTTTTATTTCTCTTCTGCACAGTAAGTGCAACAGTTAAAACAACTTTCCATTTCCTCCAGAGACATTAACATATCAGGTGTAATATTCAGAATACAGTCTGGTTAACTAAAACACATTAACCTCCCTACCCCCCCACCCCCCAAAGTATAGTATGGTTATTTCTTGAGCTGGTAGAAGTATGGTTTTTCTTAACTGGGATCCCTAAAATTAAAGGGATCCCTAAAATTAAATTCAAGGATGAATTTAACATTGATTCTGCTTCTCAGTGTTTTGCTCCTAACCGCATTTCTCCCTAGACAATTGTTCCATTTTCTTCCTTTGTTAACTTTTCTCTTTGACCTCTTTTCTTCCTACTCCCCAGTTTTCGCTGTGTAAAGGCTGTAATATGTTGCTTTTTCACAATCCTGAGATGCTTTTCTTTTGACTTCTTATCCCCCCAAATCAGAAACATTTTGACCTTTGTGATGTCTGACAAACATTTTAAAACAAATGGGAGTTTCTACTAAAGTTACTGTTCCATCTCCACACCTTTTCTGTTTCCCATCCATATACTTACAGATCTAACAATACACCAACACACTGCCCTGTTCCCCCACCATCACCCTGTTCCCTTCCCAAAATTATTAAGTATTAAACAACAACAAATTGAGTAAATCAATTATCTTCTTTATGGTAATTATCTCTACTCCATCATTTTATTTATTCATTACATTTACATCTCATATTTCCTTCAAGAAGCATACATATACAGTGGTACCTCGGGTTACATACGCTTCAGGTTACAGACTCCGCTAACCCAAAAATAGTATCTTGGGTTAAGAACTTTGCTTCAGGATGAGAACAGAAATCGTGCTCCGGCGGTGTGGCGACGGTGGGAGGCCCCATTAGCTAAAGTGGTTCCTCAGATTAAGAATGGACCTCCAGAACGAATTAAGTTCTTAACCAGAGGTACCACTGTACCTCCCTCCCACTACCACCCTTGTTTTATCATCACAGCACCTCAGTGGATAGATTAGTTTGGGCCAAGAGTTAGTGCTTGGCCCAAGGTCACCTATTAAGCATCATGACTATAGTGGAAATGTATCTACTCATGTATTTACTCTGAACTTAACCCAAACCTAAACCCAAATATAAACTTAAGTAACTAAAATAACCTAGCAGCTCAAAAGCACGTCAAAGTGCAAATAGATAAATAGGTACTACTCCGGTGGGAAGGTAAACGGCATTTCCGTGTGCTGCTCTGGTTCGCCAGAAGCAGCTTAGTCATGCTGGCCACATGACCCGGAAGCTGTACGCCGGTTCCCTCGGCCAGTAAAGCGAGATGAGCACCACAACCCCAGAGTCATCTGTGACTAGACCTAACGGTCAGGGGTACCTTTACCTTTTAAACTAAAATAACTCTTAAGTTCAAAGTTAATTCCAAGTCTGCAAGTCAGAAAAAAGCTTAGCCAAGTGTTTACTTGGATCCCTTAGTTTCAGCAAATAATGAGAAATGAATAAGCAAAGGTGAATATTTAGCAAAAATGAATAATTTTGTACTTTGGTTCTAGTCAGAGATGGGACCACCATAGTGGGATGATAACACCATTAACCAATCAGTGGTGAGATATGCACCTCTCCCAATTTGCTTCACATTTTGTTTTGGAAACATCTAACTTCTATCCTTATACACTCCCTTTGTTCCTCAAATGTTGTGCATGTTATCTGGCTGGTAGGTTTTTTCTTGGTACATCTTTGAGCTTCTGTGCTATTGTCAAGATTATTCGCATCATGTTCATAGCATTGTTATAGGTTCACCAGCCATGGCACTGTCAAGCAAGAACATTTTTGTACTCATTTGCAATGCAAGTGCCATCATTGCACAAGAGTCCATCAAGGCAACAGGTCGCACTCCTGTTCTAATCCCACTGTCATCATCATCATTTTTTATTTGTATGCCGCCTTTCCATAGTTAAAAAACAATCCTCAAGGCGGCTTACAGCATAACAAGATTTACATAATTACAAAAGTCATAAACAAATAAACCACATCAAAAATATACACAACCAAATGGGAAACAATTTCCACATAAATCAAAATCTAAAACTAAGAATACAACATTAATATCACAGTTTAAAATGACATAGGTAAAAAATAACAGCAATTTAAACAAATAAAAACAAAACTGAGCCCGCTCTGCCCAGCAGCAGCAGCAGCCCTTTATAGAGCCCATCAGGCCTCGCCCTAGGCCAGGTGGTGAGTGGCAGGACTGGGGCCCTCAGGTGCTGAGCAGGGGAGTCCAGCTATAAGTAATACATGGGTGGCAGCTATCTGCCCATGTATTACTTATAACACTAAAAAAGAGAGGTGCACTCTATTTGCATCATCTTTTGCTGGTATCTTCCTATCTCTTAAATATTTTCTTCATGTGGAATCAGATAAGAATGGTTGTCTATATGGGGACAAGAACATTTTGCAGCACGATTTGGGACAGCATTATTATTATTATTATTATTATTATTATTATTATTACCCCACCCATCTGGCTGTATTCCCCCAGCCACTCTGGGGAACTAGGTTGTATAGTTGCTGTTTGCTGTTTGCCACATCTATACCAATGATATAAATTGGTGTCTTTTTCAAGCTAGTTTAAGACGGTTATTAACTGTTATAAGATATATGTTACCTTCTACATGACTTTTGGTCACAAGATGCCTATTTGAAAATCCTGCCCATGCTGTCGCTGATGCCAGCTGGATGCATGTAGCTGCCACTGTCTGGAAGTCTGGCAAAGAGTTTAATGCCATGTATACTAGCAGTTCCACTTATCTTGCTGGCCACAGGAAAAAACCCTGCTTTAAGAAGATTTATAAGCAGTTTTCACAGTGATCATGTGAATCAGTTTCTAGACTGAGCCTTAAAGGAACTAAATCTATGCAATTCAGGAAGAACCTATTATGTAATTACTCAATGGACAGGCTCCTTGAAAAGAGGGGTGGTGGCAGTGGGACATGGTGCTTTTGGAATCTTAGCACTTAAATAAGCCATCAGTCATATCTATCTGATTCCTACCACCATCACATTTATACCCCTTCCCCCATGTTTGGCTATAATGGACAGAGGATAAGCCTTCAACAGTTCCTTCCCACTAGATTGTGGATATAATCCTCAAAACATTTAGAATGACGCAGTTTAGGTGGTTTGCTGCTATATATTATCATCCTGTATTGATTTTTGGCCTCAATGACAAAAATAAAATAAAATCTGTATAGAATCTGCAACTCTTTCTTATTTTGTTCTTTCTCTTTATATGCGAATTAAGAAAACAGATCATATGCTTAAGATACAATTAATTTTTTTTCTCTCTTTCAGGCACCGGATATCTAAATCTAAGTTTAGGTAAGCACTGCAATAGCTTTTTAAAAAAACAAAAAACAAAAAAACCCATCTTTACTGAATGAACATTCCATCTATCTTCTTGTTGTTCCTGTTGTAACTAGTAATGGCAATGATAGAGTGCCAGCTAAAGATTTTGATTAGTAGGCTGCTGAGTTACTTCCTTTACCACTCTGATGAAGAGGAAATCTAATTAAGATTGGAGTGGTTAACAAGACTAGCTTCCACATTGGCACCCCTATGGCCGTTGAAGCCGTGATGAAGCGAAAACCCATTAAGAAAGAAAAGGAAGGAAGTAATTAGAGGAGACTAAGAGTCAGGCCAATAGGTGCAAGAGGCCTGTATGGGGCTGGTCTCCCAGGGCTTCTCCAGGCTTTTCCTTGAATATGCAGCTTTCACTGAAAAGGTAGTTCTTCAGTGATTTGCTGCTCCCTCATGAGAACTTCTGAGTGTGTTGTGGGTAGGTGTCAAATGTGTTCATATATTTAGTAATGTCATAAGGCAACCATCCCCAATCTTATTGTTGTACTACAAACCCCCATTGTCCCTCATAATTGGTCATGTTGGCTAGGAATTGGGTGGGTAGGGGCAAGATTGGAGAAGTCTGCCATAAGATGTTGTTCTTTAATAAGAATTGTAAAGGAGCACCTGTTTGTCTCATAAAGTGTTGCTGTAAGATTCACATGTGTTTATAGCATGTTATTTTACTGGTTGCTGATTTATAATGTATTTTGTGCTTATCCATAGCAAGAGATTGAGAGAGATAGGCATGGCCAAGGAAGATGCACATGCCACTTTATATGTGCTTTAAACACACAAACCCAAACTCATTGCCTTTATTATCCAGGAGCCAAGTGTTGCTTGGAAACTGGTTGCTAGGCAAGCTAAATTGTGAAGAGTAGGGGCTGTATAATTAGCTTTAAATACTTGGTGTGGTTAGTAATTACTCCCAGAAATCACTGTGACACTCGTGAGGGGCTGCGTGTTCCAGGAAACATAACATAGCATTGTACTAACGCTCTGTCTCAGCAAATAGTAGCCCTAGCTTTGGGTTCAAAGGACAAAATGCTAGACCTTGCTAACACAGTTTCTGAAAATAATTCTGGGCAAGGCAGTTTCTGTTGTTGGGATCTTGATGGCTGTTAACCTCTGCTATGAAATTCTGAATAGTTGCAATTTATATTAGAGAGACAGGAAAGGGACAACTTTTCCATTGACTTCTATAGGCAAACATTATGCCTGTAGTTATTTGGTAATTGAGAGATTAATGTTTTATGTAAAAGAGCCAGGGGAACATCTGTAGCTGCTGGTAGATGGAGATATAGCATTCTAGCCACCAACACTGACTACCCACTTTGGGGTGTTTAGAGCTCATCTTCATAAATTGGTTTCAAACTGAACAGCAGATGTTGAACTTGGTGTTTGGGTCAGTGGCCTTGTGTGGTCTTGACTTCCATATGAAGAGAAAGCAAAATAGGAAGCAATAAACAGCTCCTTTTACCCATATCCAAGAGAATATTCTTTTTTTAGAGTTGGGCCCAAGCTACTGCTGATTAAAAGGGGTATGTGTGTGTGCAACTGCAGTAAAGAATTTGCATCCCTTTGCATCCCCATGTAAGTGTCCATTTTGTATAAAATCTCACTATTCACAACTAGTAAAATGAAATTTAAAGATTATAAGGGAGAATGAAAACAGAGCTAGCACTATGATTTGTAGCTTGCTACAAATGTGTGCACATTGTGCAACACAGGCTGGGCTATTCAAGAGACATAGTCTGCCTGCTTTCATAAGCAGTCCATGCCCAAGAGGGCCTCTTGTAGGAATACTATCAAGGCTCTGTAGGCTTCACTGGACCACTGGACAACTATACTGAACAATGTGTAAATATGTTGTCTTTTGCTTCTTTCATTCCATGTCCAGGCAAACATAGAAAACACTCCTCTAGGAAGCTAGGCCAGTAAATACAAATTAATAATTGGAGGTCAAAGGTGACCTCCTAGGGTGTTGTAAACAACTTGTTTGGTGCACAAAGCAAACATAATTACACGTTCTTTCCATTTTTCAAGCCGCTACTGGCGTAGATGGAATCGGTTCTGCAGACGGAAATGTCGAGCTGCTGTCAAATCCAATGTGTTCTACTGGCTCGTGATCTTCCTTGTGTTTCTTAACACCCTCACAATTGCCTCTGAACATTATAACCAGTCAGATTGGCTCACTGAAGTCCAAGGTATGGAGGATTCTGTTTTGTTAAAATAATGCTGTGTTTTATTTATGAGAGTGTACATAATATTATAGTTAATTGAAATTTTATTTATGTGTGCAGATAAACTGAATTTAGTGTTCAAAAAGTAAAACCATTTAATTGCATAAGCAGCACCGCAACCCCAGAGTCGGCCATAACTGGACCTAATGGTCAGGGGTCCCTTTACCTTTTTTGCCAGGGAAAAATACAAAATATTAAAAACTACCTTCTCAAAATATTCTCCATTCTGCTCCATGGTTCTTATGATTATTTTCTGGCCAGCTAGCATAGGGAAGGGAGAAGATGAACAGGCACTAAGGTGCCACTATATGCAGCCCCATCTTCCAAGAGCATAATAGTATAATTAATCCATTAAACTAATCAAATAATCGGGTCCCCAGTGCTCCGTGCAACAATACAAACAAAAGAGGCAGACTATGTTGAAACTTCACAACTATGTAATATGGGGATGGGGAACCTCTGACCTTTGGGCTTCATGTCACCTCAGAGGCTTCCCATAAGGCCCCCAGGGCTCTTGCTCCTTGAACCATCTCCCTGATTCTGGACTTCTCTCCTGATTGTGGCAGGAGAGGGGAAAGCAGCAAATTGCAGATGCTGGGTGCCTGATCTGGATGGGTGTCTGGTATGAGAGTAAAGAGACTTTAACCCTTTCCCCCTAACTGTGGTCTCTGATCCAGGTCAGGCCCTTGTGCCTGTAATTTTCATTGCCCAAAATGATCTGTTAAAAGTCATGTTAAAAGCTATTTGCATTTGGGAGGGAAACAACTACTGTTTCCAGTAGTGGTTTTTCACCAGTGGAAATTTCAATGGGGTGTGGGTGGGTGGGTTGGTGTGTAAGAGAATGTAGGGTATTGGAATGCAGCATCAGATGTGTGGTAGAATTCAGCTGCTGAATTTTTCTGAGTTATCAGAAAAGGGAAACAAGAATAGAGATTAAACACAATTATTCTAAAATTCAAATATTGAGTTTGGACATCAAGGGTTACATCTTGTTCTGTTCTTTTCAGATTTAGACCCACTGAAATTAATGGGCCTAAGCTAGTCATATCCATTAATGTCTATGGGTGTGCCCTCTGTCTAACGAACATTGGCTACAACCCTATGATTTGTTATCAGCATTTGAAAAGTTGTCCAAAATGTCTGTAAAAACAAAACACAGGTTAAAAGTTCACAGTAATGAATTGCTGAAGACAGCAGTTGCAAGGGATAAAACCTAATTTGAAGATTTCTGATCTTCTTACAGTCTTTCTGTTATATTTGTCTTTTAGTGCCACTATAATGATCATTATTTGTCTATTTATTTTTATGAGACACTGCCAATAAGGTACTGCTGGCTCTTTTCACGGCTGAGATGCTCCTGAAGATGTACAGCCTGGGTCTTCAAGCCTACTTTGTCTCTCTCTTCAACCGCTTTGACTGTTTTATTGTGTGTGGTGGAATCCTAGAGACCATCTTGGTGGAAACAAAGATCATGTCACCACTGGGTATCTCAGTGCTGAGATGTGTGCGACTGCTAAGAATTTTTAAAATCACAAGGTATTTCTCTCCCCACCCCACCCCCTTAATTTTTATATTTAATGGAGTTCATGCAGCCAAAGGGAAATTGCTCATTTCTGTGTGGAAAACTTGTGTGCAGTAATGTCTTAGGCAAATATTACTTTCTGGAATCATTTTTTACCAGTTATTCCATCCCTGACTCTCCCTTCTTGCCATGTGTATGTGGCAGTTTAGATAATATATATCATTATTGGTTTTGTTTACAGACTGTCTTATAACAAAGTTCCCAAATAAAAAAAAAATAGTTAGTAACAAGAAAGCTAATAAAGTATAAAGTACAGCATAAAAACAGGTGCAGAGAGTCAGAACAAAGTCTTCTCCTGGTGCAAAAATGACATTATGGTAGGCACTAAGTGAGCATTTCTGGGGAAGACAATCCATAGTTGAGGCACCATCACTCAAAAAGGCCCCCTCTCCCATAGCTACACTTCACTTGGTGTGGGGCATTTGGAGAAGGGCCTCTGAAGATCTCAGGTTTCAGGTAGGTTCTTGTGAAGAGAGGTATCCATCTAACTACAGTCGTACCTTGGTTCTCAAATGGAATCCGTTCCGGAAGTCTGACTTCCGAAAACATTCGAAAACTAAGATGCGGCTTCCGATTGAGTGCAGAAGCTTCCTGCACTCAATCGAAAGCCACAGAAGCCACATCGGACATTTGGCTTCCCAAAAAAGTTCACAAACCAGAACATTCACTTCCGGGTTTGTGGCGTTTAGGAGGCAAAATATTTGAGTCACAAGGTGTTTGAGAACCAAGGTACGACTGTACTCTGATTCCTAGTCATAAAGTGCCTTTAAGATCAAAACCAGCACCTTGACTTGAATCAGGCTCAGAAATGGACTGAGAGTCAGTGAAGCACTGTTGTGATATACCGTACTTGTATTGCCTGGTCCCAGTTAGCCATCTTGCAGACGTATTCTGAACTGACTGATATTTCCAGACCATTTTCTATAATGATCCCGCATACAGTGCATTGCAATAGTCCTCTTTCCCTCCAGCATTTCATAATCATAAGATATTTTGATGAAGATTCTCATGACAATGATGAAGATTCTCATAACCATTTGCGCGGCTCAACTCTATCTTCATTATATGACCCTTTCCTTAGGAACCTGTCTATTTTAAGTTCACCACTAGAGGGCTGTCTCCGGGTGCTCTCATTATTATTGCTGCATTTTAGGCACCAGGTTAAAGATTTATTTTAAACCAGACTTTTAATGAAAATTATTGATGAGTTTTCACCTGCCTTCTCTTTTAGATTCTGTTGAATTTTATTGTGATGTTTTATCTTGTAGTTCTAGTGGTGTTTTATTAGCTGTCATTAGGGTTCTTATATATTTTGCACTCTTCTTTTATTGTTAGCTGCCTTGCAAATTTTAATTGAAAAGTGTGGTGTAAGTGTTTAAAACATATAAATAAATTGCACAAGGGCTGAAAGTTATCAAGATAAATTTGAATTCTGCTTTGTGGGATTGGCCTAGTATAAACATTATCTTGACCCCTCCGCAATTCCCCAGAAACCAAGAAGCCTGGTCCCCTTCATCCAAGAATGAGCACACACAAACCAGATTTTCAACCAATCTGGCTTTGATTCCAAACTGTTTTCCCATCTGTTCTTGTTGGTTTTCACTGCGCTGATCTCTTGAGTGAGGTATTCTGGCTTGCTTTGAACAGCTGTGAGTGTTGTAATGAGGTTGGCTAGAATGTAACTTACTGAAGCAGCACCTACTAATTGCTGTATATTTATATCACTTTTTGAAAAGTAATCTTCCTGGCATGCTAGGTGCAGAAGTGGTGGAGGACTTGTGTGATTTTCACATGTGGCCATAAAAATGCTCATTAACTGCCATAGGTCACATTATCTTAGGGAAGCTCATGAATGGTTCATTTCTTCACAGGCTGTTTGGAAAAGGCATGTTTATAGACGCCATACAGCCTGCCTGAAGGTGATACCTGATGCAGATGAGCAGTATCTGCTTTGGACAGAAGAAATGTAACCACCTTTCTTTTGGCTCTTCAGGTATTGGAACTCTTTGAGTAATTTGGTGGCTTCCCTGCTCAACTCTGTGCGCTCCATCGCCTCCCTGCTGCTACTTCTCTTCCTCTTCATCATCATCTTCTCCCTCCTAGGGATGCAGCTCTTTGGGGGCAAGTTTAACTTTGATGAGATGCAAACCAGGAGAAGCACATTTGACAACTTTCCCCAGTCGCTGCTCACTGTGTTTCAGGTATGGCTTTATTTGATTTATTTACGTAATTGGTGGTGTAACATGGTGAAGAAAGCTCTTGTGCCGATAAAAATTATAATAAACATTCATTAAAAGCCAGTTGGAGTTAAAAATAATAATTTTGCAGCATTTTCTAAAAGCCAAAGGTTTGCCTTCTTGGGGACATGCTTTTCATAACAAAGAGGCCACCTCTGAGAGGTTCTATAGCCTCACATCTCATGGAGATCTTAATACAGGAATGGGCTTGTTATAGGGAGAAGCACTCTTGGGAGATGCTGAGGTCAAGTTATTTAGTTACCGTATTTTTCGCCCTATAGGACGCACTTTTTCCCCTCCAAAAATGAAGGGGAAATCTGTGTGCGTCCTATGGGGCGAGCGCAGGCTTTCGCTGAAGCTTGGAGAGCGAGAGGGGTTGGTGTGCACCGACCCCTCTCGCTCTCCAGGCTTCAGGAAACTATCAGCAAGCCTGAGGAGCCCGCGGGAGTTCCCGCAGGGCTCCCTAGGCAGATAGCAGCCTGCTTCCCGGAGTGCGGAGCGCGCTGAAAGCAGAGCGCCCGGCGCTTCAGGAAGACATCCGCAGCCTGCTGCACGGAGCGCGGGGCGCGCTGGAAGAAGAGTGCCCGGCGCTTCGGGCAGACATCGGGCAGCCCCACAAGCTCGGGGGACAGCGGGGAGGTGGAGCGCCGCCATCCCGCTGTTCCCTGACCTGGTTTGGATTCCCCGACCTGGTTTTGGGAGGGAAATAAAGGAAAAAATTGTTTCCTTTATTTCCCCCCCGAAAAAACTAGGTGCATCCTATGGGCCGGTGTGTCCTATGGGACGAAAAATACGGTAACTACGTTGTTGGGGCTACTTCAAACCTATAGAAGCAGCATGTGATACAATCTTGGAGGACTGTACCATTTTAGACTAATGCTGTGAGATCTCATAAAAGACTCCCTGTTGTTAATAATCTGCACAAGAGATGCATTCAAGCATAGATTTCTGGTGTAGAAAGGAGATAACATGTAGAAGTATTCAAATCTGCAGTTCCCAACCTGAAGTAGTACAGTTCTTACTAGGGATATGCAGCAGCTTCAGATGAACCCTAAGTGGAATCAGGGGACTGGGGCCGGGGTGAACTTGCCCTATGCAACCAGGATCTCTGTGAAGCCTCCTGTGTAAAAAAAAAAAGTGATTTCAATGTTACTATACTATACTGGTTGCATCCTTCCTGTTCAGCTAGCTAGCAAATGTAAAACAGGCACACCAGAACTTAGTTTGCAAATCACTGTGAGTTCTGTGCTTTTGTTGTGGGGCATACTAAGGCTTTTTGATTTTCAGATAGTTACAGCTATCCACCAGTACAGGGACAGTTTCAGAGATGACTCAGAAATTGCTATTAGAACATCACACTCTCACTGGGGATGCCACAAACACCTGCAATATGATTATTCACACTGCAGTATTTTCCTACTTCTCCTCCCCATCATATTTTATATTGCCCCAGGAAAGAGATTCTTGGTACTTCATTTGCAGGTATGGTGCTGCTAATGTGCCTGTTCTAGACTGTGCTCATTATGCCTATAAGAGTACATCAGATGTTAACATTAAATCTACTTTTCAGCTGTGTTCCCAGTCAAATTTTAAACGAGTCCTTAGTGTGTGATATCTATGTCACAGGTGTCACCACAGAGCCTACAAGACATTTGTAATGTCAATTAATGTGCAAAGACAAGCTACTGTACAGATGATGGATAAAGATGCCCGTTCCTGCATGGCAAATGCCAAGGCACTTCCCCTCCATAACCCGCATTAAGAATGGAAGTTGCAGCACATGTTAGGGAGGGCTTCTTTAAGATAGAATTTTGTGTTCTCTCTAACAGATTTTTTTGCAGGTTTTCTGCAGGCTGTCTAACATTGTGTGTCCCCCTATTGGTGGGAATGTGTCATTTAGATCCTGACTGGGGAGGACTGGAATTCGGTGATGTATGATGGGATCATGGCTTATGGCGGCCCCTCTTTTCCAGGAATGTTGGTCTGTATTTACTTCATAATCCTCTTCATCTGTGGAAACTGTATCCTTTGCTACTACCTTTGTGTTCTTTGACAACTGGACAGCATTAGAGGTTGATATGGTTGGGCACATGCTGAGGTCCATGACTGAGCCAAAGGGCTACTGCTAACAAGCTTCTTGGCCCCTAGTGCTCTTCTCCCTCACTACCTGCACCTGCTTCCTCACCTAACTTTTCATTTTGACTGAGTATGTCATTCTCTCACCTGCTTCTTCAGGGGGGATAGACGGATGAGTGAGTAGAGACAATAGGGAGGACAGCAAAGAGATATTTGGTACCTTAAAGAGAAATGCATTTTTGTTACCTAAATTTTCATGGATCAGTACTCACTTTTCCGGATGCAAGTAATGTTGAGGAGCAGACCTGAGGATATGCAGTTAAAAGAATTAAAAGCAGGTGCAGCCCACAGTTATGATAGCAATGAGCAGGTGACCTCACTGAGGGCATATTGCAGGATCTTAGTAATTCAAATCCTGAAGCTGGCACTTAAGTAGTAAGACCCTGCCACTTACTACAATTTAAAAAATAGCAAAAGGAAAGGAAAGGAAGATTTTTGAAGTACAAAAAAAGAACCATGTTATAATTGTTTTACTGAGTATGCTTACATTAATATACTGAAAAAGTGAAGTTTTTGTTACAAAAGTGGGTATTTAAAAAAATGGAAATTTCTTTTAAAAGAAATCCATCTTAAACTATAAGAAATAATATGAAGAATTGCAGCATTCTATGTATTTCTAACTAGTATGGCAGCATAGCGTTCAGCTTTCTTACACTGATCACACACGTCTTCAGAAAAGCACCAAATTAGCACCATATGTGGACTAACACATGATGATTTTCAGATATGGTGTGTAATATTGTGCATGTGTTCCATATGCGGCTGATTTAATATTTGAATATTAATAACACATGATGAGTTGTTAAACAATTGTGCACATTTCCATTGATGTGCCAAATTTACAAGAATCATTTGCAGATCTGGAGCATGTGATATTGTACAGGGGTGGGTGGGCCATATTTCTGTGGACAATTTTCTAATAGATCAAAATTTGGTTATGGACCCACTAAGATGGCATGGACTGGCTGGATGCAGAGGTGGGAGGCACCTGCCAGGGAACCCCCAAGGAAAGAAGGCTCTGATCCAGGGGATTGGTAGTGGCATGACAATGAGTGGTCAGAGGGAAAAGAGGGAGCAGACGGGGTGGGGGATATCAGAAGCTGAGGAGGTGACAGGGTTTAGTGAGCAGGAAGAGTCTGTGGCAGAGAGCAGTCCAGAACAGAGGCAGAAGAGGAGGCTAGAGAGGGGAGCCAAGAGGCAGAGATGAGTCAGGCTACTGAAGAAGCCGGGGGGGGGCTCCCCCTCCTCCTGTGACCAGTTTTTCTCCCCACTGGTCTCCTAGAACCAGAAAAGGTATGAAAAGGATGGAGCAAAAACAGAAAGGGCATCAAGGGTCTCAGATTGCTTGGAAAGGGCCAGGGGAAGAGGAAACTTAGGAAGTTGTGAGAAGGTGGGGACCTTCAGCCCTTGCAACTGCCTCATTGGGGCAAGAACTACTGGGAAGGGTTGCTATACTCACTGGCCCTGGCCTCCTGTGCTGTTTTGTTTCTTTGAATAAAGAGAGTTAGCTTTACTGACATGATATTAGTTATTGTTGACCTGTTCCTGATACCTGCCCTGACACTATCTAGCCAACTCTCAGAACAATATGGCCAGAACAAAAACAGGAAAGTGAATGCAATGGCATGTTGTAGGTCAGGGGTAAGGAACCTCTGGGCTATGGGCCTGATTAGGCCCATCAGGCCTCCTCATTAGACTCACAAGGTCATTTCATCCAAGCCACGGCCACCAGTCTTACACCTGACATCATATAAGGATCAGGTGTGGGACAGATAAAGGTGGGGCTTGAACAAAAGGGGCTTTGAAGCCACTGCAGGTCAGCTGATCAATGGTGCCTGTAAAGCCATTTGTGCAGAGCTTCCCCCCTGCCAACACTCAGTTGATTATCAATGCTTAGGAAGTGCTGCACACTTTTCTGGCCTGCAGTTTGATTTCAACCTCTGCAGGCAAAAATGGACCCCCTGACATCAGGTGATGGACAGGTAGGCGGTCCCACTCACCTGTCAAACTTGGCATGCTGGTCTGTGTGGAGCTAAACATCATTCCCACTGGTCAGATCTGGTTTCCAACCTCTGAAGTTGTGGCTGCATCTAAACATGTTTTCTTTAATAAAACATGCAAACAGACATCTTGCTGAATGTCTTTTTGGCCATTGCTGTGGACAACCTTGCTGATGCTGAGAGCCTGACATCTGCTCAAAAAGAGGAAGAAGAGGAAAAAGAAAGGAAAAAACTAGCTAGGTAAACCCTTTGTTTCTAGTTTGGTATAAAACAATGTCCCTAGATGGTTCTTGAGAGTAAAGGCATGTCCAATCAGCCACATTTTATATCCCTGGTTTGGTATTGTAACTTACAGGTAGAATAAAAGTAGATTATCTTTCCCTTCTGTGTTCATTCTGATAAGCCAAATATTCAAATGGCAGAGTTGACACTGGTACTGGTCAACCATGTTGGCTCACTAGAGACTAGTGCTTCCTGTGGCTTGGTTTTAAACATCAGAGAGGCAGAAACCACTCAGTGCCCAAAATTAATGCTTCTGTGCATGCGTGTCTCAAAATTTGGTGGTTTTGGTTGTTATATGTTATTCAGTCAGCATCTATTAATCTTTCAAATTCTGTGGAAGCTTCCATCAGATGAAAAAGCATCCATAAAGGGGGTGGAGAGAGCGAAAAAGAATGAAAATAAGTTTCTTTCCCCCTCTACTCCCTGAAAAGCCCCTCTGGAAAATGGGGGCCATTCTGAACTGCGTGGGATGGGGCATGGGAGCTGCAGAGGGGAGGGGAGCATGAGAAACTTTTCTTCCATGAACTTCCTTAAATTACCTTAGGCTGCAAACCACTGTATTTTAGAAAATCTCTTATTATATAGTTAATGGCATCTCACCAGCTCATCTTAATGAGAGGTGAGGTCTGTGTTATAATAGAAATGAAATGGTTGAGCAGATAGCCTAGGAGGGTCCTCAAAGCCATCCCTTTTCATACTTTAATGACCTCCTATGAGAAGGCATTATTTTCTTCTTACAATACCAAATTCTTCTTCATGAACATGAAACAGACATTGTTCATTGGAGTTTCAAGATTTGGGGGGGGGCAGCGATAATAAAGCAGATAGGGGAACACCTCTGCCTCATGTTCTTGTCAGAATTGTACCAAGTGCTTGTTGACACGATAAGCTATGCACTACTCATGGGAGTCTGTAACAGAAAACACCATTCCATATTTTGCAAACATTTGCATTTCCCTTTTTTGCTGAATTATTAGGACTGCTAGTCCTGAAAAGAAACAGGAGCCTGAGAAGCCAGCTGTGGAGGGGGAGACAAAGGAGGAGAAAATTGAACTGAAATCAATCACTGCCGATGGAGAATCTCCACCTTCTAATAAGGTCTGCTGCTTGTTACCTTCCTACTTGCTTTGCCAAATCATATTTATGAATGACTGAATCAATAAAATGGGATGAATGAATAAAGCAAGCTCTATTGTGGTTTTCCCTTCTTTTTGTCAGAGCAATGTAGATGAATATCAGCCTAATGAAAATGAAGAAAAGAATCCTTATCCTACTACAGAGACACCAGGTAATTCACTGCTGTGCTCACTTTTTTCCCTCCCACTAGCACAAGAAGCTGAAACTTAAAACACCGAAGGCAGTTCCAGCTGCATCACAAATAGATCCATATCACCCAATAAAAGATAACCAGCTGATAATTGTACTTGGCAAGATGGAATCATCTCTTTAGTTCTATGGAAATAACAGGTATTTGCCAGATCCAGATGGGAGACATTCCTAGATTGAGATGATGCCTCCTACTGGAGGATCAGGCAGGGTCATTTCAAGCCTGTTGCCTCCTCTCCAAAGGGAGGGGTCATCTTTCTAGCCAGACCAACCCTGCCTGTGGTTGGTGAAGGCTAGGTTCTTGTGTACTTTTGCTGTCAGCCAGTTTTTTCTGTCCCTAACGTCTCTCCTTTTCTTGTGGTGCTATTACTTGGATCTATGAGTGTTTTGGTTTTGGTGTTTTCTCCTCTCTGTGTTTATTTTTCTCTTGACTTTTTTGTTTCTGTTTCTGTCTTTTCCTTCCCTGGTTGTTGTGCTTTCCCTCCTCTCCTCATTGTTGTCCTTTCTGAGTGGTGTGGAGGAAGAGGAGAATTTCTTTGGATCTGGTGGGTCTTACTAGATCCTGGAAGGCGTTGTACCTCTGATGGGGCAGTCTTTGGGCACTGGAGTGCGGTGGCATGTCCACTAACAAGCCTGAATGCCGTTTTGTTTTCTCTTGTTGCTTGAAGCAGCTGTTTTCCTCTGTGCCTTTTTTTCCGGATGGTCCACAATAATCAACCAGCATGGCCATCAGTGTTAGACTACTCCCACTGTCAGGCTGGTGATTGCCCAGTCATTTGGTGGTTCCTGGCATTGTTGTGATCCCAGCTATATAACTAGCAGGTACACTAGTGCCTGGAAGTAGGGTTGTTACTGCACACTGTTGACAAGTGGTTTAGCATGCTGAAATTGTTTCCCATCTTTTTTCCCCTGAGGTTATGGGAAACTGTATTTTTGATGGCTTTATCTCTACTTTATGTGGGCTCCTGCTATTATGGTTTCCCAACAGTGGACTTGTCTGACTGTAGAACCTCCTTGGCTAAGAGGTCTCTGTGTTTGAATCCATCTTTGTAGCTTTAGACCAGCAATGCATACATCATTACTACAGAAGCTCCTGGTGTCTTTTCTTGGGAAGGGAGAATTCCCTTGTTTTTTTCTCCTGGGTCAGGAAGTTTACTTTCCAGGAGATTCAGAGAGGTTGAGTATTCCTTGCAGTTTAGTTCTGAGGGAGGGGAGAGGAAGGACCCCTTCTACAAAGTCTTACAAGCACCATAAGAAGAACAGGGGGCAGCAAATTCTAGTTCTGTGGGATCCCCTCCTCCTCCCCTTTCTTCTAGGGCTGTTTCTTGAAGTCAGTCCAGGTCTCATGCTAGGAAATGTGTAGTGGAGACTGGGGCTGTAGTTGCTGGGACAGCTGGCATAAGAGAGTCAGGAGCTGCTGGTCCTGAGGCTAGAAGGAAGTATCAGCAGGCAACTCTGGTGGTGAGTTCTGAAGCCCCTTTTTCTTATATGGATCCCCCCCCCATTCCCCCTGCCCCCCTGAGAGGAAGGGTAGGTGAGAAAGGGCTGGAAGAAGTTCAGTCTGAAAGTATTTGCTTCTGATGTTTTTCTGGCCCTTTTGGCCAAGGCTCACAGGGTCCTAGAACTGACTTAGGAAGATCTTCATGTGCAGCCTTTCTCCTCTCAGTCCTTGGATGTGGGTACAAAGAGGGTCTTCCCTACTTCTTTGAACAAACTCCTGCATGTATCCAAGAAAAATAGACACCAGAGCCATCTTAGACCTCAGCAGGCTCAGCAAATGTGTGGAGAAGAAATGCTTCAAAATGAAGACTTTGAGGTCCATCATGGCAGCACCAAGAAGGGGAGACTGGATGACCTTAACTGATGTCTCCATGTCTCAATCCAACCTTCCACTGGTGGTTTCTCCAGTTCACCTACAGTCAGAATCTCTACCATTACTGGGCATTGCCTTTTAGTCTCATTTGGCAATGAGAATCTTCACCAAGGTATTGATAGCACTGGGCCCATTTCCACACCAGAGGCATTTGCAGTCATCCATATCTGGTCAACATTCTGATCTATGCTCCATCTAGGGGACAGGTTCTTCAAGTGACCATGGCAACAGTCTCCTGCCTGCATGACCTAGGGTTTGTGATTAATGTGAAGAAGAGTGTCCTCTCTCCCACTTAGTATTGGGCACACCTTGGGGTTTGTCTGGACACAAACTAGTTCTCCATGTGTCTGACATTAGAGTGAGTGGCAGCACTTCATCTTGCCCTGGGCACTGCTTTAGTGGATCTGATAGCTTGGTGTCATGTTTTGACTTTGTGTCATGGACTCAGTTGCACACTCGGTTACTGCAAAGACCGTTAACAGAACCTCACTGCAGTGAGGCATCATTTGCAGGTGGAAATCCTATTGACAGTGAAGAAAGAACTGGTCTAGTGACTGACTCCATGGTACCTAACTGTGGATGTGTCTCTGGAGGAGCCTTTCCAATTGGCGCTCATGACTTGTATATCTGCAGTTGAGGAACTTCTCTAGTTATTAAGGCTACTCAAGAGGTGTGGACCACTGAATAAACACAGTTCAGTATCAGTGGAGTTGGACCCAAGCAACTGGAGATGGACATCTGGGGCCATCGCCTTATGGTCAGGATGGATAAGCCATCTGCCAAAGTTCACATCAGTTATCAGTGAGATGTGAGATTGATGGTGGAGACGGATACACTTCTGAGATGAGTAGAGCAGCATTTACTCAGCTTGAAGGTAGAACATTTAGCCAGAGTGGACAACCAGACAGCAGACTGGTTGAGCCAGGTATCAACAAGGGAGGCCAAGTGGCAGTTAAAACCCCTGGTGTTTTGTCTAGTAGTGCACTGTTTGGATCAGTCAATAACAGATCAGTTTGCTTCATAGAGCAATGCCCAGCTCGATACCTTTCTCTTGTTTTCAATCTCTGGGACCATGGGGTGTGGATGCTTTAGAGATTGAGTGGCCTCTGGGGTTGCTATATGCCTTTGCACTGTTTAATGCAGAAAATGCTTAAGAAGGATCATCAGTGTAGGCTAAGGTGATCCTGACGGCCACTTACTGGCCAAGAAGGCCTTGGTTTCTGCACCTGGTGAATTTGGCAGTGCAGGATCCTTTAATATTGCCAGTTTGGGAGGACTGAGCAGTGTACTGGCTAATCTTGAAGGCCCACCTTTGTCTGCTCACCCTCTTTGTAAAAGATTTATTAAAGGTGTGGCACTTGTTGCTCCTCCACTTGTCCATAGATTTTTTTCTTGAAAATTGAATTGGGTGCTCTCAGTTCTTATCGGACCTCTTTGAGATGATGGCCACTTGCACTCTGAAATGGTTGACCCTTAAAGTCATATTTTGGGTGGCTATCACCTCAGCCAGATGTATTGGAGCTGGAAGCTGACCCCTCCATTTTATTTTACGTCCTGATAAAGTGGTTCTTTGCACAGACCTAGCTCTCACGCCTAAGGTGAACTCCATTTTTCTTAAGTCACAGGAAGTGAACTTATCTTTGTTTGGTAAGAATCCTTCCTACTCCCAATAATGTGAATAGCATACTTTTCCCATTTTTAACTCAAGAGGTCATTCAATTTCAGGAAGTATGAGTAGCTGTTTCTGTCTTATTTGGGCTTCTCTGTTGGGGGAAAAAAGTCTCATCGTCCTCCGTTTCCCTTTGGCTTCAGGAGGCAGTTAGTGAAGTGTATTGTTCACTGGGTCAATTGCATCCCAAGTCATCACAGCTTATTCTTTGAGAAGTGCTGCAGTCTTGGTTGCCTTGAAGAGAACTTTTCTGGTGGGGGTATCTGTAGGACAGCTATGTGGGCCTCCCTGGCCCTTTCTCTAGACATCACAAAATTATTTGTTTTGTGGTGGCTGACACAAATTTTCATAGGACTGTGTTGCTGAGGCCTATGATTGAGTAAAGTGATTGGCAGAGGAAGTCCACTCTGGGTTTCTGCTTGCACCTATGTTATATGCCAGTCTAGAAATGCCTTCCATATAGATTTGGCAAAAACAGAAAATTGTTTTAAAATAAATTTCTGTTTGAAGATCCAGATGGAAGACATTATGCACACCTCTCCTTCCCCTGCTTGCATTTGGCAGGGAGGGAACTAGGTTATGGATTTGCCTGCTTTGTCACATACTGTTAGGGCTTCCTTTTCCATCTTAGGGCATTATCTTCTGGGGGTGGTGGAGTAAGGGGTTCCTGTGTTGTTTCTGGCAGTTCAGTTTCTGTTTTTTGTCTATGTCTGGGTTTTTCTGTTTTTTCCTGTGAGTCTTTTTCAGTTAGGCTCAGGGTTTGTGGTTTGCCAGTCGAACAATCGATTTGGGGTTGAGGAGTTGTCTATGCTTTCTAGAGAGGTGACTCCTCCCCCTGGAGAGGAGGCAAAAGGCTTGAAAGGACCCTTCCTGATACTCCTGTAGGAGACGTCATCTGAGTCTAAGAATGTCTTCCATCAGGATCTTAAGAAATTCATGGTAAGACAAATTTCCATTTTTATTATACAGTATTGTATGTTATAGTCGCGGCTATATGCAATCTGTGTTACAGCTGTGAGCAGCCACTGGTATGTCAGGTTTTACAGCCTCACCAGCTGAAAATTAAGCAGGTCTGTATATATCTGCTTAATTTACATTAAGCAGCCATATACCTAGCCAAGCCATATCCTAGCCAAGGGGATGGAGCAAAAACCTTGCTGCCTACCCACTGGAAAGGCAACTGGGGGTCTACTCACATGAGCATTGGGTTTGTGGGAAGATAATGTGAATTGCGTTATATACCATGACTCCCTTTCTGCGATGAGCTCGTTGTACATGCCTGATATTGCTCAGTTGCAGGATTTAATGGCTTTCAGCGTTTTTTCAAAGGTGCCATTTTAGTGCTACCTAAACACTGGTGTGCCAGCCAGTGGATTAATTCAGCCACTGTGTACAGAAGTTGTATGAATCATTCCTGAATCAGTATGGTTTAGTGGGCAGGACGTTTGACTCGGAAACATACGCAACTATGAACTTGTTTGGTGCCCTTGGATAAACCACTGTCTGCAGTAGCAGTTGGTAGGATAGGGTGGGCTGTGCTATTTATCTGGCTTCTCATTACCAGTGTTACTGCTGGTTATCAAGAAGGAGAGAAGCAAGGCAACAGGGAGGCTGGTGTGGTGTAGGCACAGCAGTGGAAGCACTGTGTCTACACCTCACCGACTTCCTCACTCCCTTCCCCACTCGATAGCAGGCTGCAACCATAGCACTGGGAAGCAAAAAACAAACAAACACATTTTGACCCATTACCTCTGACCGCTACTCACTATATGTCTCAGTACTTCTGACTCCATCTCTGAAATGAGAATGAGAATGGCTTGCTTTGTAGGGGAGTTTTAAGTATGAATCTTGTCTTTGTACATTATGTATTTTCACCTCTTAAAAGCTCTAAAGAAAACCTCAATAGTTACCAAAACATATTCTAAGTCTGCCATGTATGAAATATTTGTCTCAAGACCAAACTAGGTGTTACATGCAATTCTGAGTTATTTCCTTCCGCATGTTTCTTGCTTATTTTTGCTGTTACCAAAACTATGGTGGAAGTCCATACTCTAACCTTTTCTCCTCTAACTTCAATTTTCCAGCTTAAAATAATCTCCCTAGGCCACAGCTTCCCCTGCAAGGAAAAACATAATGGGTGGTTTGGAGCTGGAAAATATAGAACCAAAGAATTGTAGAGTTAGAAGGGTCCCCAAGAGTCATCTAGTCCAAACCCTTGCAATACAGGAATCTCAGCTAAAGCATCCGTGACTGATGGCTTTTCAACCTCTGCTTAAAAACCTCCAAGGAAGGAGAGTCTACAACCTCCTGAGGGAGACTGTTCCACTGTCAAACAGCTCTTACCATCAGAAAGTTTTTCCTGGTGTTTAGTCAGGATCTCCTTTCTTGTAAATGATTTAGGGGGTGGGCGTGGCGTTAAACACCAAGGCTGCTTTGTAGTGTGTCCCTAAGATATTTGCTTCTGAGGCACAGCATCTGGGGGGTTGCCCTATATATTTGCATGTAATTTCCCCAATCATGTATATTTATTCCTGTTTGCGTATCAGATGCTCTGTGATCATTGAACATGTTGGACTCCTTATTAGCAAACCAAACCTGTGGCACTGCAGATGTGAATAATGTTTTCTCATATCACCCATCTGGAACAGCATCTGACTTTAGACCTCTTCTTGTACTCTGTCTGCATGCAGGTGCTCTTGTTAAGCCAGGCTTTTGCTACATCCAGACAACTCTGGATATCATTATTTTTATCCTGCAGCTATTTCAAAGCATTTTTTAAAATCTCAAGTCTTATTACCAAAGATTCTTTTCCAGATACCACCAGCCAATCTTCTAGAAATCTCTCATAGTCACCAAATCCCTCAAAACTGTTATTTTATCTGCTGCTTCAATGAGATCAATTCCTTTCTTCAACAATGTTTTTCAGCCTGCCCAACCAGATGGAAAGAGTACTCAAAGCACTCTTGGGCTTGCCTATCGGAAGGTTGGCAGTTCGAGTCCACCCAAGAGGGTGAACTCCTGTTGCTCTGTCCCAGCTCCTGCCAATCTAGCAGTTTGAAAACATTCCAGTGTGAGTAGATAAATAGGTACTACTGTGGCAGGAAGGTAAACGGTGTTTCTGTGCACTCTGGCTTCCATCACGGTGTCCCGTTGTGCCAGAAGCTGTTTAGTCATGCTGACCACATAACCTGGAAAGCTGTCTGCTGACAAACACCAGCTCCTTTGGCCTGAAGTGAGATGAGTGCCGCACCCCATAGTCAAGTCTGCCTGGACTTAACCATCCAGGGGTCCTTTGCCTTTTACCTGCCCTGCTGAAGTTGTGGATAGACAAGTTTGGTTCACTGGGGTCCTTTTGGGGGGTTTTGTGGTAATGGGAATCCTTACAAATAGGTAACCAGACATTCTTTGACTATAACTACCTTGCCCATCTGCAAGCTTTTGAGCAGGTTTCCCCATCTAAATTATGTCCAGGAAGGTGTTTCTCAGTTTCCACTAAATGGCAGCTGATATTCATAGTTCAGCAACGGGACAGATGCTGCATGACATGCTTGCTTGCCATGGTCAATTATGGGTGCTTTGTTGTTGCAATATCTTCTTCTTTCACAATCACTCGTGGCTGAATAAGATTGTCTTCCATGAACACTGTGTCACCAGTGGAGGCCAATTCTGGATCCACATGTCCTTCCACAGTGGGGACATAGGTTTTTGGACGAGAGTTGATCACGGTGAGGGTTTGTCAAACATGCCTTCCTCTTAGCTCGTTTCTCCTTTTCGCCCTGAGTTTGTGCTTCTTCAAAGTCCATGACACCTTTGGTAAAGGCTGTTGGTAAAACCTCCCTGAGTGTTAAGATCTGCTTCAAAGGTGCTGGTCATTGACTTGTCGATTTTGGAGTATATACTAGGAGAATGTAGTAGCTCCACAGTTGTTGAATTCACTTCCCATTGAGCTTTGCCAGCCTCACCCCCACCCTCCACCCCCATCAGCTTTTAGAGGTGGTTGAAAAGCATTTTGGGATTGATTTTAATTTAGATCTATATTTTAATTATTTGCTGCATGTTAACTGATATTTATTTTATTGTAATTTGATTGTTGTTTTCTTCTTTTATTTGTAAAACTTCCTTGGGAGAACTTATTCTTAAAGGCAGGATACTTAACTAAGGACCTTTGCAGTAGAACCTCTGGCATGCTGCTCTCTCAACCAGCGCTACAGCTTGCTTAGATAATGTAACTGCTGGCTTGACTGTCAGCTTCTCCCATTGTAACATTTCACTGCAGGTGGCTTGAAGGTGGTATATCAACTCACCAGCACAGCAGAGGGCTGATGACACAAGGCACTATTTGATTTCCACTAATTCTTACCAATCTTCTGACTCTGGCTCCTCCATCCGAGTAACTCATTGCTCAGGTATAGGCTGAACAGTTCTCACACTACTTGTGTTGGATTTTTCACCCACCTTCAAGACTGCCTACCAGTTTCCAGGCTCAACTATCTATCAGATCAATACTTGCTTTTCTCAAGACTGCCAGCTCTGACGTAAAGCTTACCCACTGAGAATCTAAGAGGAGTGCAGTGGGCATTTGTATCATTGGCCAATTTATGACATGTCTTCAGGGCTTAGGTATGTAAATGCAGCCACAGTTGAGCTCTCCATGGTAGCTGCTGCTTGCCTGGAAGTTTCTCCACTTGCATCTTATCAGCACCCACCTCTCATACCTCCAGGATTGGGATGAGGTTGAGCAGGTCCAGACCCATCATGCACTTCATTCAGTTTTTTATAAGCTCACGTTGCCCCAGTTTTCACATTAATCTTCTTTGCTCTACCTTTGATGTCTCAGCTTCAGACTGCAATGCTGCTCCAGGCATCCCCCAGCGGCAGGCCCTCCAGGCACTCATTATGCAACTCTTCAACCTGCCTCTTGGCTCTTGCAACCGCCACTAAAGAGATCTGCTATGCTGACAAGCTTCTTTTCAGCAAGAGAATCATGATGATGATGATGTATTCAATGAGAGTAGACAGAGTACTAATTTTACAATCTAGTTTACAGGCAAATTAAAGAGTTTAAGCTCTATAAGTACATACAATGAGGATGAAAGCCAGAATGATGCCAAAACCTGGAAGATAAACTCAGAGCAAAAGTAAACATTGAAAAGGCTCCATCAATATCATTATCATCATTATTAGTCAAATGTACTGCACTTCTAAGTTCCAAAGGGCTTTCCAGGCTTTCCCTTGTTCTCCTTTATTTAAGGAAGGCAATTGTGTTTTTAATATATAGGAATCATCAGAGAGAGTAGATTCTGGGTTGAATAAAGATTAACCGTAGGTATCCAAGGCTCATTTATTTGTGAAGGAAATTTTTATATTGCCATCTACCACATGTTCTCAAGGCAGGTTCCAATAACACCTTACTGTGCACTTACTTTTAAAAAATCATTTAAAAATCCCTTTATTTGATAAAGACCATTTAATTACTGTTGTTCAGGGGCTCAACAAAAGAAAAATGTCTGCCCCTGATATTGGAACCCATTTGGCATTGGTGTCTATCTGATCTCAAGGACAAGAGAGTTTCAAAGCTGGATCACTACCATGGGAAGAGACTGTTCTTGGCTCTAGTCAGTAAAGGTAAAGGGACCCCTGATCTTTAGGTCCAGTTGTGGCCGACTCTGGGGCTGCAGTGCTCATCTCGCTTTATTGGCCGAGGGAGACGGCGTACAGCTTCTGGGTCATGTGGCCAGTATGACTAAGCCGCTTCTGGCGAACCAGAGCAGCACATGGAAACGCCATGGGTTAAACCACAGAGCCTAGGACTTGCTGATCAGAAGGTCGGCGGTTCGAATCCCCGCGACGGAGTGAGCTCCCGTTGCTCGGTCCCTACTCCTACCAACCTAGCAGTTTGAAAGCACGTCAAAATGCAAGTAGATAAATAGGCACCGCTCTGGCGGGAAGGTAAACGGCGTTTCTGTGTGCTTCCCCCCCCCCCCTTTCTAGTCAGTAGGTACCTGTTAATGGTGGTTCTGTCAACAGGGCCTCCCTTGCAGATATCAACAAATGGGTAGGCCAATTTTGAGAGAGGCACTCTTTCAGGTAGTTGTGTTCCAAGTCATTTGGGGCATTATATATCAAAGCCAACTTCTGGGATTAGCCTCTGTGACATATAGGCACCCAGTGCATGTGCTTCAAAATTGATTTATATGTGCTTGGGCTGCCATCCTTGTCAGCACCTTTGCATCTGTCTTCCAGTCTCCAAACCAAATTCAAGGGTAGCTCTCTGTAGAGCACATAGCAGTAATCAAGCTAGGAAGTTACTAGGCCATGGATTATGGTGGCTAGGCTATTCCTGTCCAGCCAGAGCAGGCAACAGGCACTCTGCACCCCACCAGCTATCTAAGGTTCTGGTAACAATGTGAAATCAATGAGTGCTCCCAACTATGCACTTGATCCTTTAGGGCAGGGTTATCCAAACTTTTGTCTCCAGCTGTTTTTGGACACTTGGCTTTTAAAGAAGAGGCAATTTATGAACACAGAATAATCATAAAAATGAGATAGTAAAGGAAAGCTTGCTTAAGGATTGCTGTTAGGATGCCAGTGCAGACAATTAAACACGGCTATTGTTTTGTACCATCTTTTAGTTTTTCTGTTTATCTAGATAATTACCTTAATGGCACCTGTGGAGTGTGTGCGTGTGCAAGTTTTCAAGCATCTTACTGTTGTTCTGTTCACAAACACATTAGACTTCTGGAGGTGCTTGAAATCCTCAAAGTATTTTTCCGAACCCTCCCTGTATTCCCACAGGCCATCCAGGGCCCCTTCTTGCAATTTCTTCCTTGAAGGATAGTCTCAGATCTCCACAGTGCCTGGAGCTCTCATTTTTAAGAATTTGTTTCAAGAGTTTTAGTTTTTAATTCTTCTGCCTTGCCTGAATTCTAAACAAGCAACAAAATGAAGAATTTATTTCCATCTCTTTTTAGGGAAAAATGGCCATTCCACCTGGTGTTGTGTGCCCTATTCACATCTAAGGGCAGGTCAGGTGTTAACTCCATGCTCCATTCCCCACAGAGGTGGGGAAATGCCCAATTTGCCCCAAAGCATTCTTCACAGCATTATTATTATATTTTCTTCTCATTATTATTATCAAATGATTACCTATGCTTCACCCTAAGGTTCCAGAGTAAGTTACAACAATTTAAAGTAGAACATTAAAAACAGTGTAAAAATTACAGTTGAAGATCCTAAGAACTCTCTTCTGAAAGTATTAGAAAAAATACAGGAATTTGGGCAAGTAGCAGGTTTTAAATTAAATAAAAATAAGACAAAGCTGCTAGTCAAAAACCTATCACAATCGGATAAAAAAGTATTATATCAAATCATAGAAATCGAGATTCATAAAAAATTAAATATTTAGGAATCTGCCTTACAAACCAAGAACATTAATATCTTTAAAGATAACTATGAAAAGATTTGAAATGAAATAAAAAGGAATCTAGAAATATGGGTTAGAATGAATTTATCATTATTAGGAAGAATTTCAGGGATTAAGATGAACATATTGCCAAAAATTTTGTTTTTGTTTCAATCAGTGCCGGTAATAAGTAACACAGCATGCTTCAAGAAATGGCAAAAGGATATCTCAAAATTTATATGGCAAGGGAAGAAACCAAGGATAAAATATAAACTACTTACTGACATTAAAGATAGAGGAGGATTTTCCCTTCCAGACTTTAAATTATCCTATGAGGCTGCTTGTGTTACTTAGATCTAGGATTGGATTAAATTAGAAAATATGGATATGTTAGATCTTGAAGGACATGACAACAGATTTGGATGGCATGCGTACTTGTGGTATGATAAAGGGAAAGTACGCAAAAGATTCTATAACCACATAATTAGGAGATCACTTTTAAAAGTATGGGAAAGATATAAAGATTTACTAGAACAAAAGACCCCGTGGTGGCTGTCTCCAACAGAAGCAACCTCAATTAAAAAAATAAATAGTAAATAAAAATGGTTCACATATAGAGATCTCTTAATAGAAATAGAAGGGAAATTAAAATTGAAAGAATTTGAAGAGTTTTGAGAACATGTAAATGATTGGCTGCAGTATCATCAATTAAATTAAGTATTTAAAGAGGATAAAAAGAAAGGATTTAGTTGCACTTTATCCAGATTTCAAAGAGAAATCATAGGTGATAATACTAAATTACTGAAGAAGGTGTACAATATATTATTAGAGTGGGAAACTAAAGACGAGGAGGTAAAAATTTAGGACATAATATACAAATGGAAGATGGAAAGAAATTATGGAAAGTCAATTTAAAATTTATGGATTGTATAACTTTGAAACAGAATTATATGAAAATGATGTACCGATGGTATATTGTCCCTGTAAAAATGACAAAAATGTATAGAACAAGCTCCAATAAGTGTTGGGAATAATGATTGTATTGAATATAAAATTGTAAAACTTAATAAAAAAATTTTTTTAAAAAAAGAAGATCCTCGGGGTCCCTTTCAACTCTACGATTCTACAGCTCTATGTCATGATGATGGAAGGATTTAATAGCATCCTGATCAATGCAGAAGAAAATTCCTGTTCCCTGATTATTTATTCTCTTCTATAGAGTCTACAGCATAATTAACAACAGACTTAGCCTAGATTTTATGAGGGAAATCGGAAACCTTTTTCTGATTAATAGTATTTAAAAAGTATAAACTTTGCCTTTCAGGAGAAGAGGAGGAGGAAGAGCCTGAGATGCCTGTTGGGCCTCGTCCACGCCCAATGTCCGAATTGCACCTCAAGGAGAAAGCTGTGCCAATGCCAGAAGCCAGTGCTTTTTTCATCTTCAGCCCCAGCAACAGGTATTTTGAGGTGGCTGTTTTGTTGTTACATTTGCTAACCATGAATAGCAGATCCAAAGTCATACTTCCGTAGTAGTCTGGGAAAGCATGTGTTTTGTGGTGTCCTTATTCTTTAGGATAAATATTTTCCATGCAAACCCACTGGAAATCTTCATGCTGTAGAGAAATGTCTTTCACTTGCATGAGCCTGGAAGACTTTTTATAAGAAGCAAATCATGAGGAAGATTTTGGAAATATGTAAAAGAAAAAACAAACTTACTAGTTAATAGGAACTGGACATGCTAGTTTTCTACATGGTGGGAATATTTTGCACGGAAAAGCATTTATTATTGTTGTTGTTGTTGTTACCTGCCCTGTACTGAAAACCCAACTAAGAGTATTTTAGAAACATCATCAAAAATGAATGATTTTGGGAAAGTCTTAGGCTTTAAATTAAATAAAGAAAAATCCAAATTAATAGTGAAAAACATGGGTGAAAAGAAAAGAGAGAATTAGAAATTAAAACCGAATTAAAAATAACAAATAAAGTTAATTACCTGGGCATTTGGATTACGAATAAAAATATAAACTTATACAACGATAACTTTGTAAAAAAATTGAGAGAAATAAAAAAAGATTTGGAGATTTGGGGGGGGTTGAATCTGTCAGTGTGGGGCAGGATGTCAATACAGTGGTACCTCGGGTTAAGTACTTAATTCGTTCTGGAGGTCTGTACTTAACCTGAAACTGTTCTTAACCTGAAGCACCACTTTAGCTAATGGGGCCTCCTGCTGCTGCCGCGCCACTGGAGCACAATTTCTGTTCTCATCCTGAAGCAAAGTTCTTAACCTGAAGCACTATTTCTGGGTTAGTGGAGTCTGTAACCTGAAGTGTATGTAACCCGAGGTACCACTGTAATTAAAATGACCGTGCTACCAAAGATGTTATTCTTATTCCAAACCTTACCAATAATTAGTGGAATCAAATGTTTCAAAGACTGGCAAAAAGATCTGGCTAAATTCATCTGGCAAGGTAAAAAACTGAGAATAAAATTCAAAATATTAACAGAAATCAGAGACAAAGGAGGTTTTGCGGTCCCACATCTTAAATTATATTATGAAGCAACATGCTTTGTTTGGCTCAAAGAATGGATAATATTAAAAAATACCAAAATACTTGACATAGAAGGGTGGGATAACGTCTTTGGATGGCACGGTTATTTGGGACAGAATAAAGTGAAAAACCACAGAGGGTTCCTTAATCATATAGTAAGGAAGGCCTTATACAAAGTTTGGGAAAGATACAAAATAATTTTAGAACCCCCAAACTCCATGGTGGCTTTCACCAGTGGAGGCAATTGCCATCCACAAGAAGAATATGGGTGATAATTGGCCAGTGTATAAAGACTTATTAGAAGAACAAAATAATCAATTAAAAATGAAAAAATATGAATAACTTAAAAAGATTGGAATAACCTGGCTACAATACCATCAGTTAAACACAACTTTTGAAAAAGATAAAAAAAATGAATGGCTTTGAAGGTAAAATATCAGCACAAGAGAAGGGCATACTACAAGATAATATGAAGACACTATAAAAAATGTGTAGGTTACTTTTAGATTGGAATTTTAAAGATGAAGAAATAAAAGAAGTAATGATAAAGTGGGCACAAGATCTGGGCCACCACATAGAATTACAAAAATGGGATGAGTTGTGGAAAAGAAATCTAAAATTTACGGGATTTTATTTAATCAAAGAAAATTTCATGAAAATGCAATTTAGATGGTATTTAACCCCCTCGAAAATGGCCAAAATAAATATGTTACAACAATAAATGTTGGAGATGCAAAGGTCATGAAGGATTTTTTTCCACATGTGGTGGACGTGTCCAGAAATCAAAAAAATCTGGGACACGGTCTACAAGGAGAAGAAAAAAATATTAAAGTTTACATTCAATAAAAACCCAGAAGCATTCCTACTAGGGATTCTAACAAATAACATTCCAAGTGAAAAAAAGAAGAATATTTCTCTATGCAGTAACAGCAGCTTAGGTGTTAGTGGCAAAATATTGGAAGAGTGAGCATATTCCACCAAGAAAGGAATGGCAACTACGGTAAAATTCTGTGAGTACTTGGAACTCGCAAAAATGACAGAATCAGTAAGAAATAAGTCAGTAGATAATGTGAAAAAAGAGTGGGAATGCTTCAGAATTATTTGATGAAACCAGGTTCTACCTCTAAGATTTGATTGTGTTTGGAATAATTCCGTACATAGAGATACATTGCTCTCTCATACCAAGATGAGGAGAAAATATTAAATACAGGGGGGGAATTCAATCAAAATCAACTGTTATGAGGTAGATGGAAGTCCACAACAATTAAAATACGCAAAGAGATTCAGTCCATATGGAAAGGTATCATATATGAGAAATGCTACTACATATAGGACTGAATCTCATTGAATAGTATCGAATGGAAGAAAACTATATTGTTTTTGTCATTGTCTTTGTTTTGTCTTTGTCTGTTTCTTATTTCTTTTTTTATATGTAGAGATGTAAGGTTATTAAGTGATATTATTTGATTTATGTAGTAGTTATTAATGCATGTGTCTGTTATCTATGCATTTATTTCTATATTTGAAATAAAAAATAATACAAAAAAGATTCTTTCTCTCTCTCTCTCTTTGCAGGTTTCGGGTCCACTGCCACCGCATTGTTAATGATAACGTTTTCACCAACTTGATCCTCTTTTTCATCTTACTCAGCAGCATCTCTCTGGCAGCTGAGGACCCTGTCCGACATACCTCCGTTCGGAATCAAGTATGCCTCCCACCTTTCCTTGAGCCTTCACAGCTTGTTGAGAATGATGTTCAGCAGCCAGTTGAGGAAAACCTATCCAATCCCCACCCCTGCCTGCCCACTAGCTTCATGTTGGTACAGATAAATATAGCTATATCAGTCCATGCTATTGCAGACTGCACCCCAAATTCATTGATAAATCTCTACATTTAGATTGAATTACACAGTTGAAGCTATCACATTTTGACTTGCCATGATTTTATGTGGCTTCTGGCATTTGGAGTTTGTTTGGGCAAGATTTATGTGGTGGAAGGGAAGCAAGGAAATGAATGAATGAACAAATGGCACAGAGATGGCAAGCAGTGCAGGAATTTTGTAGAGCACTATAGCAAATTGTGAAGTCACTAAATACCATACTTTTCTGTGTATAATACGATCCCGTGTACAACATGCCCCCTATTTTGGGGGACTCAAAATTAAGAAAATGGGGGGGGGGATTCCCAAAAGTTGTTGAGCTTTTTTGGGGAGGATTGCACAGAAATATACACAGCAACCTTTCCTCTGTCCCATCACCGAAAGCAGCAGCAAATGGACCGTCCAATCGCCGCAGAGACAACAAATCAACAACAGCGCTTGCAGCAGACACCGATGACAATCTCCAACTCGCGGCAGCAACCTATCCCACGGCCCCACAATGCACTACCCATGTATAAGATGACCCCTAATTTTGAACATGATTTTGGAATAATAAAAAAAAAAGTTTTATACATGGAAAAGTACGGTACCCATATTCTGATTACTAGAAGCTGTGCTACTTAGTTCAGATACTTCAGTATATACTTACTACTAGGCACGCGGAGTTGGGCCCAACGCTGGGGGGGGCTGAAGCCCCTTCCTCCCCCTATAGCTGGCGCCCCTGCTTACTACATATTTCTTTAAGGGTGCGTCCAAACTGACGCTCATAACCTGCTGTGATGAGTATGAGTTACTCGTGCGTAAACTGGTGCCTCTCTAGGCTAATTTGCCTTGTTAAACCTTTCTGACTGCACAGCCCTTTCTAATCATGACTGCCTCAGTCACTGGCAGAATCCGTCAGTGGGCGTTTCTTGAATCTCTTCCAACATAAGAGTTGTTTGACACCCAGTCTCCTCCTCCTCTCACTGCGCGGGAGCCTTCTGCGCAGGGAGGGCGTAGGTAGCGGAGGACCTGTTCCCTCCTCACTGAGTTCCAGTGAAGAGTCCGGGAGCCCTCTCTCCGATTTCCCCATCTGCCCACCTTTGTTCCTGGTGTTGCGCTTAAATGCTTCCCCCTCCACTGAGCTGCTTCTCCCCCTGCTGCTGGGTCCTTCTCCAGCATCATCTAGGAGCCTCCCCTTCGCCTCCCGCTCCGATGTCAGTTCCCTGACACCTGCTTATAGCAGTTCCTGGTTAATCTGCCATTTAAGAGTTTTCAGGTTGAAAAACTTTTCTGTGACTGGTCTGTATATATTTTTTCCCTGCCCCTTCTTCATTTTTGTTTTTGTTTTTAAATAAATGGTGAATTTGTGTCATCTCCAGGTAACCTATTGATCCAGTCACCTTGTTCATATCTATTTTTTTGTAAACAGATTAAGTGCAGGAGGAAAAAGTACAAATGAATGGAATAATCTTAAACAATTTTGTTAATGTCCTCATAAATACGTAACTACATTACAGATTTCTTTTGGTTTTATACTGCCATGTCCCCGTCCCCCCCAAAAAAATAATAATTCTGGAAACTGTTGTTTACTGATGGTTCTGGGGATCTTAGTAGAGACTATTACATCATTTTGAGTTTGTGATGTAGATATCCCCAGATCATTTCTAGGTCATGAGACCTAGTAATTTGTTTGTAGGGTGCGGGGAAGGACAAAGAAACCTCAAGGAGGTTAGACTGGCCTCAACCAGGGCCAGAGCCTTTTCATCCCTGGCCCCAGTCTGGTGGAACGCTCTGTCGTAAGAGACCAGGGCCCTGCGGGATTTGATATTTTTCTGCAGGGCCTGCAAGACGGAGCTGTTCTGTTAGGCCTTTGGTCTGGGCCCAGTCTGACCCTCTTCTTTCTATGGGACCCTGTATGTAAGTGGCCTCCTTGGCTCTTTCAATCAGCCCATATGGGACCAGCACAGGTGCCCGGGCCTGGTGAACATTTAATTCCTTACTCCTATGGTTACAATGTGTGGGTTCCCACTTAATTTTATTTTGATCTTAAATGTGATTTTGAATTGTATTTTAAATATAATCATTTGATTTTGTGTTTTTAATGCATTATATATTTGGTGTTAGCCACCCTGAGCCCAGTCTCGGCTGGGGAATAAATAAACTAATAATAATAATAATAATAATAATAATAATAATAATAATAATAATAATAATGCTCAAGTTACAAAGTTAAATGCTGGACACAAAATTTTATAATGGGCTTGCTGGTAGGCAGAATACCCACTGCTCTGACTATATTTTCTTTTTGCTGTTTAACTTGGGGGGGTATGTATATCAAACCTTGATTAGGATAAGGAAGTACCTTCAAAAGCATATTCCAAGATATTGCTTTTATCTTCATTGGAGTGTTCTTCTTTCTGAGTTATGCAGGACCTTACTTAAGGTCCAAAAAATAAAAATAAAAATATTGAGTTTACACTATTTACAGTGGGGAGTCAGACATGAGATTCAAAAAAGCCCGCTTTGAGTTCACTCTGCAAAAATGTAATCAATATGATTCAGGAAGTATACGTATGTTAATGTTTCTCTAACTGAGCTTTGGGGGGCATAACATGAAGATAGTTTTTTTTGCATTTGATATATCATATGCTACATTATTAGGGAATTTTGAATAAAATGGTAAAAGCCTAAGAAATGTTATTTAGTGGCCTAATATTAGTGCTCAGAAACTGCAGATACAATCATGCACATAGCTTAATAAATGTAAGCATTTAAAACATCAATTCTATTCCCACTTGCTTGGGAGTAAACCTAACTCAGTGGGACATCTGAATAAATATGCATAAGAACAGGCTGCAAGATTTTCCTCACCATTAAGCATAGTGCTCTCCACTGAAGCAAACTTAAAAACTATCTTTTAAAAGTAGAATAGCACAATATGATGTTTGGGTAACTGTATTGCTAAATAAGCCAGGTTGTAAACTAAAAAGCTCCCGGTGTTTTTGTATTACATAGAAGCTGCATTCAAAATAATAAACTTTAGGTTAAAAGAAACATATCTCTTAACAGGACTATCAGAGCTGGAGATGAGGGAACAAAACATGTTTTCACAAAATATTTGGATCCTCCCAAAATTTGCATGAAATACCCTTACCCTTTCCTTTTCATAAAGGAATCCCTTTATGAAAGTACAAAATGCAGAACTGAAGAACAAAAGAAAAAAGTGAAAGAAGAAAAAGAGATGCATTAATTGTCATACCAGTCTAGGGGATAGAAAACAGCTGTGAACCAAATATGACCAGAGTGTTAAACTGGACGCATTGGGATTGCTGGATCTGGGTACAGTTGTTAGAGGTCATCAGTGAATGTGCCCCATAGGAATCCAATTGTACAATCAGCATTACCTAACATCCACACAAAAAACCTTCCAATATAATTACTGGAAGTAAATCGAAGTTACATTAGAAAACATCTTGTCCTTTGAAAGATTATTCACATTTTTTAAATTACAAACAAGCAAGGAGTTCCACTTGGGCTCCATTCCCCAAGTTCTTAATATGGTGTTGTTTTGAAGCAGTACTGCATCACATGCCATAGGAGTAATACAGATTGAAATGCTGGTGAATTAGACTGACTAGAGATTTTCATCCTATATACTTAAACTTTTTTAAATGTTGTAAGTTATTTGCATTGTCAGGCATTTAACTTTTTACCTTTTGCACATTCAGTGAAGGAACAAAACAGGCTAGCTTTTTATCTTATTTAGAGACAGTAATTAATATAGGGCTGCCATACATTTGTTTAGGCACGTCAACCGAAAAATCACGGTCTTTTGGGGTCTTCCTAAAAAACGCTCAACAACTGGTTTTTACTTTTTGAAATATGGCAGCCCTAAATTAATAACTATTATATTAGTTTAACAAAGTAGCTTCAGACTTACATGGCACTACACTAAACTGAACCTCAATTCGCTCATCTTTAATTGCATTGGCACAGAAATGGGAACATAAAGCTTAAATTTGGGGTGAAAGATCAATTGAGTGACCCAGCCTTTCTTTTTGCCTTGGTTAACAATGACTCCCTAAAGTACGGTACCTTTACACATGTTTTGTCCAATGGGCTTTTCATTTGATGAAGTTTCTGTACTTCTCTAGAGACAATAACTCTGTAAGGCTTAATCAAACTTAACAGTGGAGTCAAGCCATGAGGAACACAATCACAAATTGTACTTCTAACAATGTAGTTAACAGTATTCAGGGAACAGAAGATTTTCCTCTGACAAAGAGCTCTTTTGGCATTTTCATTTGCATAATGTTGAGTAGCAGCCCCACTATAACTCCTGGTCAGTTCAGATGGAGTGAGGATGAATCTTGCAGCCCAATCTTACCCATGTTTACTCAGAAGTGAGTCTCACTGGTTTGAATGGCAAGTATGCTTGAGATTGTAAACCTGATAAAATGAAAGAAAATATTTCAAGAGATGGTTCTCAGAACATTGTCTTACAGCAACATAGGCTCAATCAATAACTGTTGGGCTTTTTTGTTCTACAGAGGTGAAACATAAATTACTTACTATACTCTTATTGACCCTGAGAACATGATACAATTGAATAAATGAACTAGCAGACGCTGCAAAGCAGTTTGAAAGCACATTTCCTATTTATCTGCAATAGGTACTCCTACTGTAATAGGTACTTGATCAAAACTTGAGCAAAAAGTGTTACTAGGGAAAGGAGTTGCACATGTTCTGCCAGAAATCAAGTGTATTTATATTTTCTGATTGGAGTTTAATTTGGGAAATGTTATAAATTTCTGTTGACAGGCAAAATAGTGAAAAAAGAAACATGCCATTTAAATGTGCTGCTTGTAGCCTGATCATTGCCTTCACCAAGAAGTGTTTGTAAGCCAGCTCCTCCCTGTGCCCCCTTCCTCCTCCCCTCCAACTGAAACAGTTGTGCTTTCTGATTTTGAATTGTGTTTTGCTTTTGCAGTGGTCACTCACAGATCTCCACTCCCCCTGCCCCTTATTCCCTTTTGTTTTACAGATTCTCTTTTATTTTGATATATTTTTTACTGTCATTTTCACCATTGAAATTGCTCTGAAGGTAAAGTCCCCATCTTCTCTTCCATTATCTTCTCACTCATGAGCCCACTAGTTCTCTGCTGCTATTTGTCGCTAACACACACGCCTGTTTTTGTCTTGGCCACGCTCAGTAACCACTAACCCAACTGTGCTTATTTTTCAGATCCTAGGCAATGCAGATTATGTCTTCACTAGTATCTTTACATTAGAAATTATTCTTAAGGTAACCAATCTGAGCAATACACTTCTCTCTCTCGCTTTTGCTTTGTCTTTTGTACCGCTTTAAATCCCTAGTGTGATCTCCACAGACAGGTCATATTTCCTAGCTCAGCAGTAACTGTATGTGCTTTCAAAAATGGTTCCATTTTAATATTAAAGTCCCATTGGTTCATATAATTGTTTAGTCCCTTGCCATGTATAATTAACCCCAAAAAGGTCTTATGGCATGGAACACAATATGTATTCACCACTCTTGGCAGTAATACCTGCTTATCCCAGTGGAAAAAGATGCATTTTTCTGGCGAGTCTTCCTTGTGCAGAACTTACACAAAACAATATGTCTTACAAGAAATATACAGTGGTGCCTCACAAGACGAAATTAATTCGTTCCGCGAGTTTTTTCATCTTGCAGTTTTTTTCGTCTTGCGAAGCACGGTGTCGGAAAAGTTTTGGGAAAGCTTCAAAAATCACCAAAGTCTTCAAAAACCTCAAAAAAGGCTACCACACCGCGTGCTATGAGTTGCTCCTCGAAGTCAAGTCACAACTGTATTAACGGTTTTAAGAAAAAGGAAACAAACTTGCAAGACGTTTCCGTCTTGCGAAGCAAGCCCATAGGGAAAATCGTCTTGCGAAGCAACTAAAAAAACCAAAAACCCTTTCGTTTTGCGAGTTTTCCGTCTTGCGAGGCATTCGTCTTGCGAGGTACCACTGTACTGTATAGGCCATAAATAGTCCCTTCTCTCACTGCAGACTATTTGGCATCTGTACTATTTTGTGCTCTTCTGTTTTAAGTGGGAATGGGTAGCAGAATATCTACACAACACTATAGGCCTACCAACGTATCACATTCCTAGGCAAAATTTGTGCACCTCAAATGAATGGTGATCCCCAAATGTTTGCCTGGAACTGCAAAAATGGGAGGGAGGAATTACCAAGTTCCTGGCAAGCCAGTTAATGGCTAGTGAGCTGCATTCAGTTCTAGATTGGTCAGACCCTTAATGGAGGAACAGAGGAAAGCTGGTCACTAGAAAGCTGATCATTAAGAGTCAAATTACACATTACATCCCCAATTGCTTCTTTTCCTAGGGAAAACACCTTCAGGAATGGGGAATTTCCCACAGAAAAGCAGGAAGGGGGCATTTAATCCTTACCCTGCCTGCTACTTTTCTACTGCAATGTACGATATATATATCCTTGCAAAAACTCCTTTGGGTCCTTGCATGAGGGTGAAGTGGTTTGGAGTGTTGCACTGGTTAACTACTCCTTCCCCACCCACCACCACAGTTTCTCTGCAGTAATTCACCTAAGACTCCTCTCTGATGTTAGATGTGCTCCTGTCCTATGTATGGAACCTTTAAACTTAGAGAAAATAGCATTGAATTGCTTCTGTTGCCACTCACTGTATGTGACAATTCCCTAATCCACTCAGACATTTTAGTACCTACTGGTTAAATTGTGAAGTTGTAACTTAACTTTAGAGTCCGCTTCTCAAAAAGACCTGTTCCTTAAATGCATAATTTACTTTTCAAGTCTATTCTGCCTCATTTCAGTTAATAATTGCACCTGTGTGATTTCCCGCAGGGTGACACCTAACCCAAGAGGCTACTTGACAATACACCAAAACATTCAGATACAAAGTAGACTGCAGAGAAAATAAATATAAGCTCTCTTACACTTTGCATTCATTTAATATTTTAAAGAATAACTAAGGGACACTTTGTCTTTCTTAATGTATAGGTTTACCCATCAAATTTGGACATAGATCTACAAACAGCAAAGAAGAATATCATACTCCTCATTCCTTCCACTAATTTACATAGGCACTGTTCAAACACTTATTAGTCTGGGCATAACTACACATTAATTGTTAATATTAAACGCAAATCATGACTGGGAAGGAAAAGGTTAAACCTTCCCACCCCATGTGCTGAAAATTCCCTTGCCACTTTGTATTGATTAAAAAACTTGAGATGACACAGTACCCGATACAATTAATGAACTGAATTGTGTCGTTAGGCCTTCTCCTATCACATATGTACATTCACTGTGTCAGTACTGACTATACAAACACAATTAACTATGGAAAGGTCATAAGTGTATAAAATACATTCTCCAATTGCAAGTTGCCTGTTTATCCCACAGGGATTAGATTATCAACTTCCATGCTTTACTCTAAAGATACCAGTTAATTGTAAAGAAAAATTCCAATGGCAATACTACCTTAAACAAAAGCTGCAACCAAGTTATGCAGCAATTTGCTATGCCAATGAATTTCTTGGCAGGGATAGATAAACACACCTTGTATGGTACTGAAACTCAGCAGAGCTTCCCATTCTGATTTCAATGGTGTCTCCTCCTTTCCTTTAAGATTGCCATGCAAAACCAAGCCCTAAGAAGCATCTTTACTACCTTTGTTATGGCAAGAACCCCCCTTCCCCCAACCAACTATATATTTTTGTATAAATTCTACTCAAAGAGCAGATTTTATACTTCCTTTCTAATTTCTGTCTGATAGATCAGTAGTCAGTTCTTCCTGATGTGATTTGGTTTTTGATGACTTTATATTTAATTTATTTCCTACCCCATCAGCACAACTTTGATAAGAACTGGCTGGAAATTGCTAGGCAATACCCTGGGTTTGTTGCAGGAATTCAGGAATGCAGCAAAAGTGGTTGGTTCTTCACATTCCAATGAGTGTTCTTGTATGACCATTCTTATTTCTGATGTGTATATTCAAACATAAGGGGGTCACACTGAAGTCTGTTTTGCAGGTAATGTTTTCCTTATTGCAATCAGTCATGGCTTTCTATATATTTCTAGCTATATCTTTATATATGAACAATAAACTTACCCAACAAATTAACTGTTGGGTCTTTTGGGTTTGCCATGGTCCAATAGATAAATGCAAAATAATCAGACAAAAAAGCCAGGGATACAGCTACTTCCAATTACCAAATGGATCTAAAAATGAAGAGGGGACTCAGTGAATATAATTGCTACAGTTATAGATTCTGTGCATGTCTTTACCTGCTGAAGCATACACAAGGAAGAGTATGTATTGGCATTTGACTTTTTGCTCTCTAGAGGAAAATGTTACTTGAAAAAGCTATCATTGGAGAGCTCAGTTCTGATATGATCTAGATAACACTTCTCAACCACTATTTTAAGTGTTTCAAAACTGGGACAGGTTGCAAATTTTGCTTCAGACCCACCTCAGTTTGTAAATTCCAGTGTGGAGATCCTTTTTTTTGCAGGCAGGTGGTAGCCTTTGTGATACTAGTATTAAGAGAAGTAATCTAATTTGTATTGAACTATATTGACAAAACTATAATAGTAAGACAGGAGCAGGGATTTAATACTCAATTCAGCCTGAATGAGTAATGCTTAAAAAAAAATGACAGCCTTGCTAAAAACTGCTAGGTCTTAGATCTAGTAGGCCTCTCTTGGGAAAGAGTTTCACAGTGATGGGGCCACTATGAAAAAAACCCCTTCATCTTGCTATCATTAGTCTAACTTCCACCAAAGAAAGTACATAGAGGAAGATAAAAGTAAATGATAATATGTGGAGCTGCTTACATGGGAGAATGTAATTTCCAGTCTATGTAATTTCCAATATGCAATGTAACAACCAAGGGCTGGACACTATTTGCAACCTTTCCTTACCTATGTCCCCCCCCCAAAAAAAACCCCCTATCTCTTCTTTTCACCTCTTTTTTAATGAAACTTTGCACTTAAAACCTTGCACTGTTCTGCAGTGTTACATTACTCCTTCCTCTGCCTGCTCTAAGCAAGAACTTGTGGCAAGCGCTAACAGCAAAGTTTGTTTGTGTCTCCATGTGATTGCCTGCAGATGACTGCTTATGGAGCTTTCCTTCACAAAGGCTCCTTCTGCAGGAACTACTTCAACATCCTGGACCTGCTGGTGGTTAGCGTTTCTCTCATCTCCTTTGGGATCCAGTGAGTGAGCTATTTTCAGCTGGGAAAATCTAGTGTTTATAAAGAGTGGGGAAGAGGATATGGAACAAAGGGGAAAGTCAATAAAAAAAGGAAACAGACACACCTCACTAGGGAGGATGTTCTACAACTGCATCACTGAAAAGGGCCTGTCTCGGGGCAACACCAACCAGGCAGCCCCCAGGCAGTACTCTTTTAGGTACTTGAGTCCCAAGCTGTCTAGTTCCTTGAATATGACCCAGTAGCTCAGTAGCAGAGCTTTTAGGACAGGTGACACATGGTCCCATCATGTTGCCCCAATTACCAACCTAGCACCAAATGCTGCACTAGCTGCAGCCTCTAATCTTCAAGGGCAACCCTAAGTAGAGTGCATCACAGTAGTCCAGGCAGGAGGTCACCAGAGCATGGATAACCGAGGTCAAGCTATCATCATCCAGGAACAGACTTAGTTGGCAAATCTGCCTAAGCTGGGCAAAAGCATACCTAGCCACAGAAGCTGTTTGAGACTCCATTGGCAATCTGGAATACAGGAGTATTCCCAGAGTGCAAACCTGTTTCTTAAAGGGAAGTTCAACCCTTCCCAGAACAGTTTTACATCAGACATGAGAACCACTTACACAAAGCACTTCTGCCTTACCAGGATTCAGCCTCATTTTTTTTGCCACTATCCAGTCCATCACTGCTTCCAGACACCTGCCCGACACCTTCATAGCCTCTCCTGATTCTGATGAAATGGGCAGATAAGAGTTCCTTGTCATCAGTTTACTTATGGCACCATGCTCCAAATCACTGTATGACACCTAGATGTTGAATTGCTCTGTGTGTGTGTGTGTGTGTGTGTGTGTGTGTGTGTGTGTGTTTGTGTGTGTGTGTGTGTGTAGCAGTGTAGCCAGCACCAGGCATCAAAAGAAAGCAGGTGCACAGCAATTTTATCTCTTCCTATTTTTTTAAGCATAGGTTATTTGTACTGTGACACCAGGACTCCACAATACTTTCATATTTTTGCAGTTTTAAGTTTCAGGCTGTGATTGCTGTGCTAAACCTTTGCTCAGTTCCACAAAAACAGCATAAGCAGAAAGTATGTGGGAATGGCTACCTCACAAATAAGTGACATCAGTGTAGCACATTGCCATAGTGCCATAGTGTATTGAAGGTGATAGTGGGGCAGGGGAGGAACATTCCTTATATGAACAGTTTTGGGATAGCTGCTGGAAGCTTCAGACAACACACAGATTGCTTCTTTTGCCATGTGGTCATGGCAAAATATTTTGAGAGTGCAAATAATTATATATGCACAATAAAAAGGATGTCTGGCAAAGGTCCCAAATCAGCTAAATAACACACTTATAAAAACATAATACTGAGGTCTTGCATATGTGTTGGAAGCCACCCAGAGTGGCTTGGGAAACCCAGACAGATGAGCAATGTCTTCTTCTTCTTCTTCTTCTTCTTCTTCTTCTTCTTCTTCTTCATTAATTTATTTTAAAATGGAAATAGATATTACCCCCTTCTCCATTTTTTTCATTGTGCAAAATGGCAACCGAGGCTTACATTTCCTTTTTGCGTTTTTGTGATTTTTTAAAAAAGCTGTACACCCTCATGCATGTACACCTGCATGCATGCTGAGAACAGAAGAAGCCACTGGAGAGCATGGGAGGAGTGACTGAGGGGAGTGGGGGAACCCACAATCCAGATACATTCTGTCAAGCTCCTTCCACTGGTGTGGACAGCAAGTGGCAAAATACCAAAGCATATCTATGACTGAAAAAAATGGGAATGTGTGGAAGCTAATATACCAAATGTGCACACAGAAAAACCAGACCTTCACGACCCATTTGCAATATAAAAACCCCATCTGAAAGCACACTTAGCTGCAATAAGACTTGCAAACTAGGAGTTTGGACCAAAAGCTTCATGGAAAATGTGGATGTTGAGGAGGGTTTCACTCAGACCTTATCAGTTTGTGTTTCAAACCTGAAGGAAATGACAGAAATAGGATTCACGCAGATACTCTGGGAGGCAGTTCAAGCATACAGGACACCAGGTGATAAAGGGGAAAGTCTTTTGAGGGAACAAGAGACTTGCAGACATCTGAAGGTAATGGAAGTGGAGGAGCAAAGGTCATGGGCAGAAACATATCAGGAAAACAAATCAGAATGAGAAGAGGGAACAAGACTATAAAGGGCTTTTAAGGTAAGGACCAGTAGCTTGTGCTGGATCTGGTAGCAGACAGGAAAACTGTAAAGATTTAAGAAGGGCTGTCTAGTGATTAGAGTAGTGAGAGAGATGAATGTTTTTTCAGCATAATGCTGGATAGATATTAGGGGACCAAGATGAGATGATGAGAAACACCAGAAAGGAGAAGATTGGAATATTCTTGGTAAGAGATTGCTATGTAACTGTGCCCCTGAAGGACCAGGTATGCAGCCTGGGAGTCATTTTGGACTCACAGCTGTCCATGGAGGCACAGGTCAATTTTGTATCCAGGGCAGCTGTCTACCAGCTCCACCTGGTACGCAGGCTGAGACCCTACCTGCCCGCAGACTGTCTTGCCAGAGTGGTGCATGCTCTAGTTATCTCCTGCTTGGACTACTGCAATGCACTCTACATGGGGCTACCTTTGAAGGTGACCCGGAAACTACAACTAATCCAGAATGCGGCAGCTAGACTGGTGACTGGGGGCGGCAGCCGAGACCACATAACACCGGTCTTGAAAGACCTACATTGGCTCCCAGTACGTTTCCGAGCACAATTCAAAGTGTTGGTGTTGACCTTTAAAGCCCTAAACAGCCTCGGCCCAGTATACCTGAAGGAGCATCTCCACCCCCATCGTTCTGCCCAGATGCTGAGATCCAGCGCCGAGGGCCTTCTGGAGGTTCCCTCATTGCGAGAAGCAAAGCTACAGGGAACCAGGCAGAGGGCCTTCTCGGTAGTGGCGCCCACCCTGTGGAACGCCCTCCCATCAGATGTCAAAGAGATAAACAACTACCTGACATTCAGAAGACATCAGGGAAGTTTTTAATGTGTGACATCTTAGTGTATTTTTGGTCTTTCTTGGAAGCCACCCAGAGTGGCTGGGGAAACCCAGCCAAATGGGCAGGGTACAAATAAATTATTATTATTATTATTATTATTATTATTAGTCATTATTAGGATGAGGGAGGTAACAAGGACACAAGCAGTTTGTGAAATGAATAATCCTAATTAAGAGAAAGGGGATTAAAGAACAGAAAGAAAATTGCCTCTTCAACATACTGACCTAGCTCTATCAGCCTACTGAAGTCAGCAGGGACTAAGCTGTGTCTATACTGGATTTGTAGTACTTTGTTCTAGGTGGAAGCAAGCTGTAGGTTGAGTGAAGTGCCTTTAAAAGCACAAGTCACTGGAGAGTTACCTGACATGCTGCTTTCTCTGAATTGGCATTTTGGTGAAGTGCTTCATAGCACCCTTATCTTACACGGCCTGTGATGACTGCAGCTTGGCACCATTTTTGTAATATGTCTGCATTACATTTGGCAGCCTGTTCTGTCCAAAGGAGTCCCTATTTCCCCTTTTTTGCCAACACAATATTCTGTATTCAGTTCAACAACAGAGTAGCCAACAGTTACTTCCCCTACCCCCCAGTGACTTACTCATAAATTCAATATCTAAACTAGTAGACTACTAAATTGCAGAAAAAGAAAAAGAAAGTGCACAATGCCGTTAAAAATTAAGGCTTGAGACAATATAAATATCAAAAGAATAAGTTAATGCTACTGTGAAATATTCCCACCTTCATTAGCCACCATGGTACATCTGCCTTGCAATATACAGCAATCAAATGAACAAAATCTCTGTTGCCAGGGCCCATAAACTATTAAATAATAAGATGTCACATTCAAGGTTTATGAATGATTAAAAAACATAAGTATACCAAAGCATGTAATTCTTCTATCACAAATTGAATTGCTTGTATTTTCGATTATTTAAATAGGTATACCATGTTGCCACATTTTTTTTTGTGTCTCTATAGTACAGTATCTAGCTAGTCAATGAATATGCTATGGGGAAAGTTTTGTGTCTTTTGTTAATGCTAGTCATATACCTAGAAGAAAGGTAGTATGATGTAGCAGATAGTGGGGTAGTATTGATCAGTGAGATCTGGGTTCGCGTTCTACGCAGACATAAATTACAAGTTGTAATGCACATTGAACTTCAACTAAAGGCCACTGTTAGTCCATAGATTATTCCCACAAGAATTGTAAAGCTTGATCTCCTACTGCTGTTCTTTTCCAGGTCTAGTGCCATCAACGTAGTGAAGATACTACGAGTCTTGCGAGTGCTCAGACCACTGAGGGCTATCAACAGAGCCAAAGGATTAAAGGTTAGAAGACATATAAAGATTAGATGTTAACTTGCTTTATGTGGCTTTACATCACTACTCTAGAGCAAGCAGATAAATAAATTGGTTTTCCATTCTCCTGATTTTAGTGGGATATAATGCATATCTTTGCTGTGCATAGACAATGACCAAGGGTTCGTTGTGGGTGAAAGCTATTTTGCCCTCAAGGCAACATTGTATTTTTCATTTCTTCATAAGCATTAATGACAGCCTGCCATTTTTATTGCAGAAAGCAGAGGACACATTTAAGGGCATCACTAGAGTGGGTTTAACACTAGCTGCTGGGGTAAAAGTTTGGTTTTGCTCCATCTTAACATCTTTCCAAGATTTCAATCTTGGATACTTACTTTGTCTCAAAGAATTCAAAGAGCTCTTCTACTCTGGTTCCAATTCTTTATGATCCTGGAATATGGCAGAACCTTGGAAACTGGCTTTTGAGTAGCAGCATGTCCAGCAGTGTGACAGAAGAGGGGAGAATCTGTGTATTGCAAGGATTTGTGTATTCCTGTGCACTGCTCAGGATCCCAGCCAGTGTGGACTTGGCCATCCTGTGATGCGGCAAAAACTGTTCCTCCCTCCTTCACACACACACACACACACACACACACACACACAGAGAGAGAGAGAGAGACAGACACTCTCTCTCTCTCTCTCTCTCTCTCTCTCTCTCTTTGGGGTCTTATGCAGCTCATGGGTTCAATTTGCCACAACTACCACTGCTTTGGAGACATAATGTCATCCAGTTGTAGGAAAGACAGACAATTCTACCTATTGTGGCATAGCGAGGATAATGACACTTGCTTTTTGTTTACAAGTGCACAGTCTACAGACCATGGATTTCCTTTTCTATTTCATAGAGATACCATGTGGACTTACAGGAAGATGGCAGTACAAGATTACATTCATTCATTCATTTATTTACATCAAACCCTAAAACCATTTAAAAAGCAACCATTTAACTCACTCGTTTCTGTCTTTCTTTGCAGCATGTGGTTCAGTGCGTGTTTGTAGCCATACGTACCATAGGGAACATTGTGATTGTCACCACGCTGTTGCAGTTCATGTTTGCCTGCATTGGAGTCCAGTTGTTCAAGGTATATGCCCTGGAACCTATTTCTCACTTTTTCCTCATTAGTTATTGGAAAACAATTTGCAGATGTCAGGGGGTGGTGGTGGTAAAGCATAGCCTGATACTCTGCATATATTCAGTATTGCCTCACAGTAATATTAAAGTGACTTACCTGGTTACCTTAAACTTGGTAGAGTGGAGTGTCTGGATGTTCATCTTTGGATCAAGATTTAGAATTAGGGCCAAGCCCAAATTGTTCCCTTTCCTGTTATCTTAGACCAGGGATTGTCAATCCGGGGTTCATGGGTGCCAGACTAGTGGCCCCTTTGTATTTTAATTTTTTTTAATGGTGGGCACTTCCATCACCTGTGGAGGGATTTTTCTGAATGCCAGGAGGGAGTGCCCAAGTATGCGCTCTCTGTGTGTGTGATTAAAAGAGATGCACTTGGGCAGAGAATAAGGCAGAGGTGGGTGTGGCCTGTGTGTGTGGGACAGGGAGAGAGATGTAGGCTTATGTGGTCTGCGAGAGATGTATACAGTGTGTGGGTGTGGGTGAGGGAGAGAGGTGTGTGTGGTGTGTGATCCGTTAGAGAGGAAGGGAAAGATACACTTGGGCAGAAAGGGAGAGGTGGATGTGTATATGTGAAGCGTCTGGGAGAGATGCATGTGTCTGTGACCTGTGTGTAGTCAGAATACGCAAGAGAGACATTATGTGTTGTTTACTTTTCCTGGTACTGAGGAATGCTTCCTATTGTTACTGGAGAACAACAGCATTAGTCTGTGTGTGGAGCGGGGTGGAATTAACATGAGATCTCCATTGACACGACCAGAAGGACATAGGTGACTTCCCATGGCAAGCATGAGGTTGTCTGACTGTGTGTGTGTGTGTGTGTGTGTGTGTGTGTGTGTGTAGAAGCAGTTGCTGTACACTCTCTAATTTTTAGTTATGCCATGCCCCCCACAGTAGCCATTTTGTGACTGGCACTCACAGGACTTTCTCAGAATTCAAAATGTGCCCACTGTTCCAAAAAGGTTGGTGAACCCTAGCTTTGATTCCTTCCCTTTTGCAGCCATTTTCCAGGAAACATTTTTATCATGTTTCAAATGCCCCTATTGTTTTCAGAAACATCTATGTACATTATTTGAACATATTGGGGGCGGGGTTGGGGAATAGAGATGTGCATGTTTTCTCCACCATCACTGTGCCCCCTGCAACAGTTCCACTTCATAGGATATTCCTTCAGACAAATAGAGGCAGGGGGGAGAGCATTTAATATGGTATCCTCAACAAAGGATGTGTAAAAGTTATGAATTCAGGGAAGGGTCTCTGAAACAGGAGGTGCACCACATAATTTAGAATGATTTGCCTTTGGAATAAAAGATATTGAGTCTTATGCCATCTTCAAGTTTGGGAATAAAACAAACCTAAAGAATATATTCCTTGACCAATTAGTAAATGCAAAAAATTAAGTCAATGTAAACACAATGTATTTCTATAGGATATGTTGATCCGTGATGGGAGCATGAGCTCAACCATTTTAAAAAGTTGATTTCTTAAAGATGCAAAGGAAAGGTCAAGTTTGTTTTCAGTATAGGCACATTTTTGTTTTAAAGAACAATATAAAAAAACCTTCTCAAACTTGCAGTAACTACTGCTGAACAAGTGTATTAGCAAGGCAGCTACAGCAAAGGCTTACCTCTCCATAATGGTATGGGAGAAGGCATCTCCTCCTCCTAGAGGGGAGGAGTTGTGAGCGGGAGCAGCTTCCCGCAGCGGCAGGGAGGCGTATTCGGCTCCCTACCTCTGATTGCCTCTGCTGCCGTGGCCAAACCTTTCAGCCGACCAATAGGGCCAGCTGGTGAGCGGGGTTTAGCTGCATTTAAGCAGCCATGGCAGCGCTCTGACCCCAGTCGGTTCCTGCTTGCATCGGATCTCCCTCCCTCCCTCCCTTTTAGGTCAGCTTTCTCTTCGTATTGACCTTGCTATGGACTTCAGTTGGTTGACTTTTTTTATCCATTTGGCAAATTGGTACCAGCCTCTTGGTTTTGTCGCCTACCTTGTAGCAACTCGTCACAACTTTTTTGGTATTGGCGGTTAGGCATTGGAATATGTGTACTGTGTTGGAGGATTGGGTATGGCCATCATCTACCCCTCCTCTTTTGGGTATTGCGTTAAAGAAATCCGGCGGTCATGGATCCTGTCCGATGCCCTGCTGGTGGTGACATGACCCCCGGTGATGTCATGGGGAAGCTTCCAGTTGTATTTGCATCAACAAGCTCCTCCCATTGGTTGTTAATCCCTGAAATGGCTCCCCGATGAGCGGGGTGGAGTCATTTATTGCTGTTTTATCCAAAGCCAATACCACTCACATGCTGTAACTAATAAAGTTGTGGCCTAATTTAGCCCATTAACCTAAAATAATGTGTCTTTGTGACTTATTATAATCCTATGTGGGTGACGGGTCCTCGACTCACAATGTGATGCTAATGACCAAGACCTAAGATGAAGGTCTACCAGGCTTACATGTTGAGCCTGCTGCTTTATGGAATTGCACAACATGACAGGTCAAAATCTCAAACAAAAAAGTGCTCTATCAAATCCACATTCCAGCATATTCACACTTAACGTCTCAGTGACAGCTACACTGGTTTGGTCATGTACACAGAATGGAAGATTGCAGCATCCCCAAGCACATGCTCTATGGGGAGCTGGCTTCCGGTACTAGGCCTGTTGGCAGACTAACTCTGTGTTACGAAGGTGTCTGCAAACGTAACAGGAATCCTGGCAACAATAACCTTGCCATATGGGAAACACTTGTAGATGATCACAGTGCCTGGAGACAGACAGTCAGGTTGTGTATCCACAGCAGTGACCAGATGAGGAATGGCCACTGGGAGGAGTGCAGTGGCCCTGTAGCAGAAAAACTGGATACCTCCTTCTGTCCCACCTGTAATAAAACCTGTCTCTCCCATATTGGTCTCTATAGCCACAGCAGGCACTTGTAATTCTCAAACAGTTTGACTTTACCCCTAAAGGCACACCCTTTCATTGTCTTCTGAGACAGACTGGTGCCAACTTAACTAGACTCTACTCTAACCCATCTGTGTTGTGATGTCCCACATACAGGCTCTGTGACTTAGTTCAAAAATCAAATGCAAGGAAATCAATATAAGGAAAGAGATATGGCCTTGGTCCAAACAATGTGGTGGGCAGGGCAATAGCTACATATATTTAACATTTAAAATGCTAATAGATAAAGAAAACACAAAGCAATTATTTTTTCATGTGACACTAAAAATCAGTGATCAGTAATTAATGGTGATTTTTCTGTTTTTATCCTCGTCCAGGGCAAACTATATAGTTGCACTGATAGCTCCAAGCAAACAGAAGCAGAGTGCAGGTGAGCGCATCATCTCTGATCAGCATTCCATACTAACTGGACCCAACGCAAAAAACTCATTGCTGTATATTTGTTTCTCCCTTTTCCTTCCTTCTCCTAACAGGGGCAATTTTATCACCTACAAGGATGGAGAAGTGTCTCAACCAATTATCCAGGCTCGAAGTTGGGAGAACAGCAAATTTGATTTTGACAATGTCCTCACTGCCATGATGGCCCTCTTCACTGTTTCAACATTTGAAGGCTGGCCAGAGTGAGTACATAAGGCTAATTCATAAAACCATTTTTATTTGGTGGACTCAAAAGGAGCCTTGAGAATGCATCAGCATGAACAAATTATATCGTCTTAGTTCAACCCCCTTTTTCAAAAGTTCTACAAGAGATTATGACTTTCATTTTTGACACTTAATGAAGCATTCACAAGACAGGTTCAATATGCCAAAACCTGGAAACTTTCTAATGCCATGTTCAGATATTGCCTTCTTATGCATGCTTCTAGCAGCTCAGGAAGTATCCTGGATGACAGCAGGGATCATTCTTTTATCTTGGGATGCTTCCGTACTTGTTGTCTGAAACTGGTGACACAGACTGTACAGTTCAAGGTACTCCTATACTCGTTGCTGTCAGCCTTGTGATTTGCAGAGTCTAGTGTGGACAGAAGCACTCCTCAGATCAGTGTACCCAATCCCTGCAGCTAGGGGCTCCTGGAAGTGCCCTTAGTGTCTGTCTTGGGTTCTCTCCTTTTTTTAGACTGCTGTACCGATCCATTGATTCCCATATGGAAGATGTGGGGCCCATTTATAACCACAGGGTGGAGATCTCTATTTTCTTCATTATCTACATCATCATCATCGCTTTCTTCATGATGAACATCTTCGTTGGTTTCGTCATCGTCACTTTTCAGGAGCAAGGAGAGCAGGAGTACAAGAACTGTGAGCTGGACAAGAACCAGGTAATATAAGTGCTCCATGGTGTGGCCAAAGAAATAAAATACATTCCTTTAGTAGGTAAAATTCTTCTAATAGGTAAAGTAATGTTTTTGATAGAAGCTAATGTACAAGCCTAATTCTGATGCCACATATCTTTAAACAAGTTGATGGTTCTGTTCACTGAGGAGAGAAAGTTCCTTGTGGGAAATTTTGGTTGGAAGGTGAAGAGATATATTTGATTTTATACCCTGCCCTTCCTCCCAAAGGAGCCCAGGGCAGTTAACACATGTTTTGGAAATTTTCCTGAAAGTCAGTAATGACAGAACAGACTCATCTCACTAGGGAGGGCATTCCACAAATGGGAAATGGCCAGTAAAAAGGTCCTGCTATGGGTCAATATCTATGATGAATCAACACCAACCAGGCAGCCCTCACCTTCAGTGGCAGCATTTTCAACAAGGCCTCAGTTCTTAGGGCTGCCCTACATCCAGAATTTTCTGGACATAGCCAGGATTTGACCCTTGGAAACAGCACTCAGACGGAAATTGCTTAAATGTCTGGGAAAATCCAGACATATGGCAACTCATGTCAGAAGTATAGATATCCTTTAAAATAGCTCAAAACTCTCTCAACAACTTTTGTGTCTGGATTTTCACTTTTTGAAACATGGAAACCCTATCAGTTGCCATTTATAGGGTCTGATATGGTACTTGGGTCCTAAGTCATTTAGGGCTTTATATGCTAATACCTTGAGTTGGGCATAGTAGCTAAGTGGCAGCCAGTGTAGCTTTGAGGACTGGTGACACGTGGTACCAGCCTACCAGCTGCATTCTACACCACCTGCATTCTGCAACTTAGAGATCCAAGAGATTCCATGTTGTACTTCAGCCTTCTTTCATTGGCTGTCTTCTTGGGAGAAAATAGCATTTTTGTAGCTCACTAGTGTGTTTATGAAAATATATTCTTATAACAAACTCAGCTGATGAGTGCCAACAGGATTTGAGTCAAAACAGAGCCAGTGAGAAACAAGAGCATGTTGGAGAAACCCTGAGGATTTCAGGTGTATAATAAAGCTAATAAAGAGTGGAATGGAGTATCCTGGAGTATCCTGGAGAAAGGGCATGGCTGACTGGCTGGAATGCTGTATAGAAATATTCCTGTTAGAATGTGAATATACAATGCATCATCTTGTTGCAGGTCCCAAATGCAAACATATTTGAGCCACCACCAACTTATTGTAGACACACACTGGGTTGTAGTCAACTACCTGTTAGTTAGAGGAGACCCACTGAAATTAATTGTCATCTTCCTGGTTTGTCACCGACTACGACGGAGCGCAGATCTAGCCCTCCGGGGAAGATATGAGCTTTGTGGGGGGATAGAGATCACACAAAGGCGCTGTGGACCTCAAAACCCCCGAAAGGATTTGTTTTGGGTGCATGGGATCCGGCTGCGCTCTGCGCTCCTGTCTCCTGGATCGCTCTGTAAAGAGTGAAGAAGAAAGACAGGATTGAGGTGCAAGTGCTGGGATCCATCACTATCTCCACAAAGTGAAGCCTCTGGCTCCGAGTGGATTTAGCGGCAGGCTTTTCAGAACATAAAAAGCCGAAATTTAAACAGAAGATTTAAATTTTGAACGATGTGGATTGATTTGGAAAATATTCGGTGTGAGACAGGATGAAAAAAGGAAGTCCTCCCCAGCTGTGGTGAGACATAATTTGCTTGGAGCTTTTCTATAAATCTTAAAGTTACTTTTAAACTTTCCCTGCTAAGTGGACCTTTTTGTATGTTAATTCCACCCGTCCCGATATAATGGGGGGATGGAGTTTGCTTTATTTTAAGTTTTCTCTTTTTATTTTTTGTATTGAAGTGGACTGCTATTTTGATAAAACTTTGATAAATACTGTTTTAGTGCACAATTGATATACTTTCTTACTGACAAGACCAAGAGTTAAAAACTGGCGAACTGTCCCTTATTGCTTCTCCCCTGCCCCATCCTTGGGGAGGCTACAGCGAGATTGGAGAGGGGGTGCCACACAGAGTATTTTCCAATTTGCATTTTAAAGCCTTTTGATCAATCAGATCTATCGGCAGACTGCGATTTTATTTGAGCTATCTTGGAAATATTTTGTTTTTCTTTCTTTTTTTACCACCTCCTCCCCTTTTGTCCCATTTTGAGTTAAATACAACCCACTGGTTTTTCATATTTGTTTTTCAAAATTTATATGATGTAACCTATGGATAGTGGCAGCTGGTGTTTAAAAGTGTGGATAGAGCACCCCCAAATTCCTCCTACTCCTAAAGAGGTATCTCCTGGATTCTTACATATGATGCACACAAGTTCTTGTCACAGCTTGATTTTTTAGTGTGAGAAACTGATTACCACCAGTGATAATTTCCAGAAGAATAGCATTAGTCAGCTGTAGCAAAAATAACAGTACATCTTATGACTCCTTAAAGATTGACAATTTATCTAGGGTTGCCATATTTTGAAGAGCAAAAAAGAGGACGCTATGACAGCCATTCAAAGCAAATACATGCAATCTGTCTCAAATTTTACCCCTGAAAGAAGGGACGTGTCCTGGAAAAAGAGGACACATGGCAAACCCCCCCCCAAAAAATTATAGCATAACTTCTTGTGGAATGCTGAGTAGCAGTCTCATTGGTTACATCTGGCACAATGAACCGTACAAAAGCTTAGTCACGGTAAGTCGTGTTATTATCTACGACACCACAAGGCTCTGTTATTATTAAGTTGTGCTATATTTACAAAAACACCAACTTGCAATGGTCTTTTGCTATCACCTACCCTGAGAGGACAGGAGCCTCTGTTTTGAAAATTTATGATCTAAAAGATTGAGTTGAATTGTCCAGAAACTTTTTTGTCACACAAGTATCATCTAACCCACTGTTGTTTCTTAACAGCGCCAGTGTGTCGAATATGCCCTGAAGGCCCGCCCCCTTCGGAGATATATCCCAAAAAACCAGTACCAGTACAAAGTGTGGTATGTGGTGAATTCCACCTATTTTGAATATTTGATGTTCATCCTCATCCTGCTGAACACCATCTGCTTGGCCATGCAGGTAGGTCTGAAGTCAAAAGGAATTGCATTGTGGTTGGAATATTCATCGTGCAGGAAAACATTCTCCCTGACTTGAATAGCTTGCTGGAAATGGCGAATATTTAGAATCTCCTGTAAAAGCTGTTTTAACCTGTTGCTTGCTATGGATTAGAGCTGTGATTAGAAATGACACTTATTGGCTATGACATTAGCAGTTGTCACATATTCTGATAACTGAGGTATGTGTTTTTTAAAACATAACTATAGTGTTGTCTACTAGATATATAATTGTGGACAACAAGGTGGTATAGGTATTTGAGGGTGGAGAGTTGAGTATAGTGCTGGAGAACAATAATCAAGAACGAATTTCCCCATGAGTGATGTAGTATATAGGCTGGAAAAACCTCAGGTCAAATTTTACCCAGTTTAAACTCAGGAAGTAACTTTCAGCAAACTATTATTCTTTCAACCACAGCCCTCTCACTATAATATGAGGATAATAATACTACTACCCTACTGCATGGAGTCAGTGGGTTGTTCTAAAGTTAACTGAGATGAAAAGTGTTTTATACATTTGAAATGAGTTGTATTGTAATTATTGGTATGGTTTTAATAGATTTTAAATGTATAGACATATAGTTCAAATTCTATCAATGTTTAATTATTTATTAATTATATTTTTCTGTGTTTTTAGCTGTTCTTAATTTTCTCTTTAAGCCACCTAGAGTCCCTGTCAGGAGAAAAGGCTGAGGATAAATTATTATTATTATTATTATTATTATTATTAATACTCTGCCCATGGTTGCTGGAAGTACCACTCAGACAGTGCATTGGCTTTCTTACCATGAAGGCAAGAAAGAAGGAAAAAAACCTTCAGGCTTCTAAAGAGGTCATCCTATTGCAGTAGATAGAAAGCCATACTCTGTGCTGTGAATTAATTAAAAGATAAAGGAATCACAAACTATTGGCAATGAGAACCTCTTTAGAAAACAGATAGAAAGGCAAAGGTGAATATATGTACTATCCAAACAATATGCTTTTCAAAAATGAAAAATGAGGTGACTTGTTTTTCAGCACTATGGTCAGAGTTGCATCTTCAAAGAAGCAATGAACATCCTCAACATGCTCTTCACTGGTCTCTTCACCGTCGAGATGGTTCTGAAATTAATTGCCTTCAAACCCAAGGTAGCTATTGCCTCTCAGGTTTTCTCTCTGTTCATTGTCCTATGGGGTCAAAGGGAGGACAGGAGGATTTGGAATGAGGTAATAAACCTGGAATTATCTCCCACTTTTCCATCATCTGTTCAGGAGATGGACTTGTGCAGTTGTTGTCTGGACTGGAGTCTCAATCTGTGCTTGGAGGAGCCTTTCATTCTTGTATTAAGCATAGGGATAGAATAGCCATGCCTCTTAGGAATACAAAATTCCAGCGATTATTCATAGTATTTACACTAGAGCTGGGCAGTAATTCAGTATTTTCACATCTACATATCATACAGTACGGTCTTTGAGGCAGAGAGCCCCCACAAGGTGACATTTCCCATATAATTTTTTAAATGGTTTTTTGAGAATGCCTGCAACATGGTAAAATAACTACATCTGGAAAACATTTTTTTTTTCAAGACGTTTGTTTCTTTACACGGGGTCCTGCTGAGTGTGGGTCTCTTTAAAGACCAGTCTTCCACATGAATGTTGAAGGAAACTACTGCCTCATTCTCATTTATCCAGCTCCAAAATGAATGTGTGACTTAGCCCCTAGACTCTGAAGTTTGTTGCATAGCTGGTACTGGTCAGAGGAGGTTATACGTCGGGCCCATAATCAGAATATATTTTGTCTCTATGCATTTGAAAGGTTTCTACTTGTAAGTATTTCATCCCTGATTTTGGGAAGCCTTTTGGTACTACACCAGTAGAAATGTGTTTTGTCTATGAATTGATAAACAGGAAGCACTTCATTTGCATTTGAATAGTAGATTTTAAATTACAGTCAGTAACAGGTTTTTATAGATTGTTATGGAGCTGGATTTTACTTTTCATATACAATTATGGTTCATCATGCTCTGTAAGACTGACATCCAAGTTTGTGTGAGAGTGAATATCCTACTATTTCATAGGATACTGCAGATAAGAAGAAACTGTGGGTGTGAGGTCCTGGGACTATTGAGAGGAGTGTGCCTGTTATTAAATATATTTTTAAATACATAACTGAACCTGATACTGTATTCTCTATCCATGCTCTAACTCAGCACCCTTAACCAACTAATATTCCCAGGAGCTGGGACACCATTTTCTGGTTTGCCTCAGGCAACAAAGTGTCTTGGGCCAGTTTTCAAGGAGTCCACTACCTGATCCATTGGATTCCTATGGAAAAGGTCTTTCACTACCTGAAGTAACTCCACAGGCCAGCATTGTGTGGATACAATAGTAGCATAGGAGTAAAATTTATTTGCTACCATCACTACAACAGAATAAGCCCTATCACAGACCCAGTTGTACAATTTCTCTCAACTCTGCAGAGTACCAAGAAGCTTAAAGGACTCTTCAGTTTGACTGAGATTCTTGGGAGTGATCATATCTATAGCCTGGGTTATCTCCCTGTTACAGGCAAGGAACAGGACCTCAACAGGGATACTGGATAAGGCTCCAGAAAAATCCCCTAGGGCTGCATAAAACCTTTTGTATTCATCAGCTTGCAGGAGGCAGACTGATGAAATTGGTCCTCCATTCTTATGGAGGTTACAGAGGCAAAGAACCTGATGACTGAGAAGCTGAGTGAGAAGATGCAAAAGAAGGGGAATAGAGTAGACAATGGCCAGAGGGAGCGGGTTGTAGGATGAGACAGAAGAGTGAGAGAAGGATGGTGAGATACAAATCACGGATTATTTAACTGTGATTCCTGCATTGCAGGGGGTTGGACTAGATGATCCTATGGGAACCTTCCAATGCTATAACTCTATGAAATGGTGACAGAGCTTCCAAACCATATATATATATATATATATATATATATATATATATATATATGGACATCTAATCTTTTCAGCATGATTGCTCAGTAGGCAGCTGCACAGTTTATCATCAATGAGCTTTAATGTGTCACGTGGTGCTACATTTCTTGGGTTAGTTTCGGGAGATGTGCCATCCCCTTCCTTACTTTTTGACCTTATTGAAAAGAAATTGTGCAACATGGCTAACCAATTCCACAGCAGATAGATAATTAATCTGGCAGGGAAAATCTGGTGCAAAGAAACGGGCAGGAGCTTCATGGAACAGGGACCATTACTTTCTCAGCAAATGTATCCAGGGAATTTGCATGTTACTGCAACATTGTGACAGATTTATTTCAAGACTAGAACTTGAAATTTTAACAATGTCATTATGAATTATTTTTTAAAAAATGATATGAGTGAGCACAGTGTGGTGGTGTGGGAAGCACCAGATTAGCTATTATGCTTAATTATTTATTTAATATAGAAAATTATTCGCACAGTGTTTAAAAAGCCCAGTGGGATGGTGCCTGCACAACTGTGCCTGCAGGAACAGAAGCTGCACAAAAAATGAATAATCATAGAGGAAAGGTATTTCATTCATCAAAGGAAAACCCTCATCCCCACAGTATGAAAATGCACTCAAACAGTGAGAAACAGTTGAATATGTTTCAGTTGAGGTTAACTGATTCTAACCTATAAGCCTTGGAACAAGAATATCTCAAGGATTGATTGCAAGTTTCTATATGAACCAGCCTAGTTTGGGGAGTTTCTTCTATGGATACTTACACCAGCTGGAGCCAGGTGGTTGGTTACTGGAGATGTGGAGTTTTCCGTTGTGGCACCCCAGCTTTGAAATGTGTTCTCTTTGCCTAAATAGTGCCGGTAATAACTTATGTTTGTCTAGGTGTTTTAACTCAGCTTCTTGTTTTATCAGCAGCTGCTTTTAGCATTTTAGCAGCTTCTGTTTAGGGTTTTAGTTTATTCTGATGTTTCAGTGTTTATTGTTTCATGATTTGTAAGGTGCCTTCTGATGGGGATGTAAGAAGGCATTTGAATTCCATTCCAGCCCATGTTTGTTGCATGCAGCACTGTTTTTCTTTTTCACTACAGTCAGCTTCTGACAAACACAGCATTATCTGTCTCACTATCTACTGTGACAGAATCTTACATACATACATACATACATACATTATTATGTTATTCCATATCATTTATTTCAGCGCAAAGGGCATTCCTTTAAATGCAAAGGAAACACAATAGAAATGGAAAAAATATTGTCAACTATGTACCTTTTGTGGACTGAAAACAACAGCAAATACTGACTGTATTAGCTGGATTGATTTCTGTTCTGGACATGGGATGAATAAGCTAACAACTAACAACTAAACATCAGGAAGAACTTTCTGATGGTAAGAGCTGTTCAATAGTGGAACGAACTCCCCCAGAAGGTGGTGGACTTTACTTCCTTGGAGGTTTTTAAGCAGAGGTTGGATGGCCGTCTGTCATGGATGCTTTAGTTGAGATTCCTGCATGGCAGGGTGTTGGACTAGATGACCCTCAGGGTCCCTTCCAACTCTACAGTTCTATGATTTTATGAACAGAGTCCTCACTGCTTGAGATAAGCTGTCACACTGTAACAAAGCAAAACTCCAACCTCTGCTTCTCTTCAAAATCTCTAAAGCACCTACACACTTAAGCTACTATACAAGACAATATCATGTTACTAAAGCTGTTGAGTTACAAGAAAAAGAGATGACACCCTGATTTTATTATCCCTTTTCCATTTCCTGCCATAAGATCTCCAACATATATGTCTCCAACATACAATGAGATATTTGCCCCTTGTCTGGCAGGGACCCAAGAACATGATCCTTTTCAGTGTAAGCATCTCCCTCTCTGATCTTCATAAATAATAAATACTACGTACTTATCTCAATCTTAAAACCCCAACCCTTCCACAGATCTTTCTACAAGAGAGTCAAGTACACACTACTTAAATTACATTTTACAGCATATGCAGATGTTGAATAGAGCAGTGCATCTGCAACACCTCAAAAAGATTGACCTGCTATTTGACTCTTAGGCAAGATTTCTAAGGTAGAAGATAATAGCTGATAACTGCTTATAGTTTTCAAGAACTGCTAACCATCAGTATTATACTGGAATATCTATTTTAATTTTTATCTGAGTGTGTGAATAAGAATTTTGTGTAACACACAAGCTTACATCAATATTTTAAAGAGTAATTAGATAAGCAAAAAGTTCCACATGGGTAAGCAAAAGTGTCCAATCAAATCTTGTTGATAACCTGCAGTATCTGAGCTGCTTGCTCTTTCTGTAATGCATACAAATTCTCACCATGATCATGCTCTCTATAACTGCCCTTCCCCCTTGGATTATTTAAAGTGTGGGCTGGTCTCTGAGCTTTTATCAAAGACAAACTCATGGTAGAATGGCAAAACAAATAGAACCTCTTCATTTCCACCAAAGAGAATTGTATGGAATCATATGCTATCAACACATCCTGAAAAATGTGCCTGCCAGACCCAAATAGACAAATCCTGTGGAATGTTACTGGGCATCAACAGCAATGGACACCAAGCAGAGATAATGAGCTTCCAGAAGCTGCAATCAGCTAAGTAGAACCTGTTTGGCAAAGGATATTTCACAGAGTATCAGCCATAGTAGAACAATTGGTGGCAATGGATCCAACACTGGCCCCTTTTCCAGTGTATATGGAAGCCATGTGTGGGCTCCATAGCAAATAATTATATTCTTGCTAACAGCAGCCCAATTACAAATAGCTCAGTATTATTCATCATTCTTCACAACTGCTGCTGTTCATTATTGTTCATTAATTTATATTCCACCTAATTGCTGAAGTAGCTTCTAAGCAGTATACAACCAATTACAAAAAGTGTAAACGCACATAGGAGACAGTTGCAGTAGTCATTACAGTACAGGCTCCCCTTCCCCTTACTTACCTCTGTGGGCCATACTGTCTTAGTAACCCCAGCTGGAGTGGAATTTGGAATGGAGTATTTGTGTCTGAAGTAGGAATTGTGATGATTTTTGCAATAATCAAGCTTGCACTCTAGCTGAGGCCCATTTGCTTGCTTGCCAGCTGATCAGATTTCATGTGAGTGTTAGCAATATTTAGCAGACCAAATTTCTTCAGTCATGAAAAAATGAACTGCCTGGCAACTTACTGAACCAGGCCATTATAACTGCAACTCATTTTGATATCAGATCTCTTGTGCTGCAAAAAGGCATATTCCCTAGAACTGCTTAATTGAGAAGATGACAGTAGCCATTAACATTCATTGTTATGTTTCTAATCCTGTATCCTACCATCATTGTATGTGAAGTAGTGGGAGGCAGTAATGCTTAATGGAACTTTCTGGGCAGCTCTTTTGTTTTTGAGGTTAGCGACCATACACACAGGCACACAGTATGCTCTACAGTACAAGATGCTATTGCCATGGCAGTGTCATTGCTCTTGGTAATAGACGATAATTAAAACAAATACAAATTATGTACATTGCCAGATTAAGCAGGAATCTATTTCTAACCATGTCTATTCAACACTAAGTCCCATTTAAATAAATAGTGCTTACTCTTAAGTAAGTTAAATTAGAATCCCACCCTTACCACACTTTTTTTTTAAAAAGCCACTATCACAGTATCACAGAAAAATGTAGCCAACTCTGTACCCCACTCCTCTTCAGCATTATATTGTTTACATAGAGACCAAATTATGAAAGAAAGAAAGAAAAAGAAAGAAAACCATTTACAGGTGTGATTTAAAAGAGACAAAACTGTTGTTCTGTTGGTATTGCACGAAGATGAGAACAAGGACACCACTAGAAAAACAAATTACAATATCCCTGGGGGCACACAAATGGATTCTAGGTGATAGTGGGCAGTGATTAACAGTAGCAGAACTGCACATAGTCCATTGCACAATAAGTTCTCACAACACAGCCTGGAGAGTTGAAGTCAGTTATGCCATTTTTGCAAAATGCAAGAGTGGGCTCAACTGAGATGTGTTTCATGAGCTGTAGATGAAAATGAGCCAAGTTTACACAATGAATCTGTGCGAAAATACGAATGGGCACACAAATGAGAATACCATCTAATCTAGAGCCCCAGGGCAAGATATCTGTTAGGGTTCAAGGCAGAGGAAGTGTCATGTTCCCCTCTTGGTAGGAAGTCAGGCTGTTTTGTGCAAAGTGTTCAATTGTGTGCAAAGTACCCTTTCACATAGTTTCCCATCACCTGAGTTCACTCTTGTGAGCTCTAGGTGTGCATGACCTGGTGCCAGAGAGATTTAGCACCATGCCATACATCTGAGTATCTGTCTTATGGTCTCCATGTGTGGGGTTTACATCCGAGTTGCGATTTGCTGTGATTGGGTGCTGATTTATACCACATGATATCTTATGCTTTGTAATGGTGATGTGGGTGGAGTGGTAATTAATTTGCAGGTGGCTATTTTTAAATTTTCCCCTCCCATTCAAGGTCATGTAAAGTTACACTGAGCATCTCCAGACTGTCACTATTTTTAGGTGGCATTCAATCACAGACCAGCAAATTCAGGTTGTACAATTAGAGCTGATTTGGAGCTCTAATTGTGGAACCTGAATTTGCTGGTATGTGATTGAATGTCGCCACAATGCAAGGCTGGCGGGCAAAAGTGTGGGTAATTGCAGTAGCTGAGAACCTTATGCAGCAAAGGAGAGTGTGTACAAAAGTTGTGAGATGTGATAATTTTACAGCAATGTGGGGGACCTTTTATAAAATTATTAGACAAGGTAGCAATTAAATACCTCCAGAATCTCAGATGTATTTCTGGGAAGATTCAATACCATAGCATTTCAATTCTCATTGCTATTTTAGTCACTTGTCTGTATTTAAATATCAAAAGTATATTTCCCATTTGAATATGTAAATGGCATGTATTATGCACCATTTTGTTGTATTCAATTATTGTTTTGCTTTTTTATTACTATTATTTTAATTTAAAAAACTGGTTAGGTGCAGCTATTTTCTGAAGATCTCCCCACAGTACATGTGTGAGTTTACTTCAGAAGATGTAGCGTAATAAATTAGGCTTCTTAAAAATAGTAATAAAAATACAATGGTTTTGCATAATACCTTTTTATTACTCTTGTACGAGCTCAATCACTCTTGTACAATACTTCATTATTAAAAATTAAAAAATAAAAGAAATGGAACTGAGTATTGTCCCTCTCAAAAAGCACAAGCTTCTATTTTTCCCATGATGAAACATTAACCAAAGCTGGTAATGCTTGTTACTGCACTCTTGTACGCATCATAGGAATTGAACGTGCACAAATACTGAAATACCTGCATGCATACCCAGAATGGAAAACGACTGTGGTATCCTTAAGAGGAGGGACAGAAAAATCCTCTATTACATGAAACTATACCCACTGGTGTGAACAGCAAGAGGCAGAATAGGAATAAATATACATGACTGAAAAATTGGGAATGTGTGGAAGTTAACTTGCTAAATGCATACACAGAAAACTCAGATCTGAATTAGTCTTGTGATATAAATTTCTTGTCTGGTTACATCCAATTATACATGGCTTCCCTGCCCACAGCTGCACACAGAGATGAGTTTACCTGCTTAGGGTACTCTGACTGGACACAGTCTTCTTTCTTGAATATGCATGAACGTATGAAGCTGCTTTATACTGAGTCAGATCACTGATCCATTTAGCCCAGGAATGAGGAACCGTTGGCGCTCCAAATGTTGTTAGATTCCAATTCCCTTCAGCCCCAACTAGATGAGTTATTGTGGCTAATAAATTATTTCTATTGAGGTTTGAGGTAGCAGAGCATCGTCTAGTTTGAATCAATGAACACCTTTGTAGGTAAGGTTCTACCGGGTCTCTGTGCAGAGGCCACAATTGTTAGTAGTGATGATGATGATGATGATGATGATGATGATGATGATGATAGTTACTAACTGAATTGTTTAGCAGTCTAATACAGGGTAGTATCCAGGCTTACAACCAAGTTTTAAAACTTTTCAAATTCCATTAAATGCCAGGTGACATGGAAACCTTTAACCTGGTGCCAAAAAATGTCAGTTCAGGTGCCAGGAGGACTCATGAAGAAAGGAATTGCATAATAGAGGGCCACAACCAAAAAAGGCCCTCTCCCTTTTTGCCACGTCTAAGCCTTTCTTGGAGGAGGCACACAGAGGAACACCTCTGATTACATGTCTAAGGTTTGGATATATTCTTGGCAGGAGAGGTGGTCAGTTGGGCATTGTGGTTCTGAGCTGTATAAGCTTCTATAGATGAAAATCAGCACCTTGAATTGGGATTGGAAACATATATGCAGCCAGTACACTTGTGTTAATACTGGTGTTATAAAATTGCTATTTCTTACAGTACTATTCCAAAGGCGGTCTCTTCTTAGAACTTGATATAGGCTCCAGTGGGTAATTTCCCCTGTTGTCAGCAAGGCTTGCCTGACATCACATTTTGAGCTGTTTCATGGGATGTAAAAGCAGTGATCTCTAGAGAACACAATGGTTCCATTACTGCAGAAGCAAACCAGGGCTTTCTTGCTAGCTTGAACATAGCAGGCAAGGAAACCAAAAGCCGATTGGCAGGTACACTTAGAACAGTTAAGAGTAGCCTGCTTTCCTTGCACAAATGAGATTCCACACCAGCCAACTACTGCATATTTATATCAATGCTTTCATTAACTAACTGATCATGGGGTGATTCATTTTCTTTTGATTGGGAAAAAGCAAGTACTAAACTGTAATGGTGGGACAAAGCTATACTTCACGAGAAAACAGTTCAACCTCCTGTCCTCCTCCCTTAAAAACCTTCAGGGTATTGTGTTCCTGAAAGAAACTGCCACCAGAAAGTCATGAATAAACTCTGGGAAGCTTCAGTATAATGATAACATGACCATATTTCTGACATGAAGGCAAAAAGACTTCCACTGGACAAGAGATTTGCTGTCACACACCAAACTTTTCACTTTAAAAAATAAACAGTGCCATCAGTTTACTCTTGATTAGATCCTAACTCACTCTCCTGGGAGAAAAAGATCCCACAAGAAACTTTCTGGTAGGAAAATGCATCCTCCTTCTTAGATTGAAAACTAAGATTGAAATACCCCTTGATTAGGTTTTCTGTTCATACAACAATAAATATGACTTTAAAGTCTGTGGGGGCATACCAAACAATTTCTAGACATTGGAATAATTCTTTTTCAATATGTAATGGTGACTATTGACAGCAATTTGCTCTCAATAAGACAAAAGAAAGGAAAAAAGGTTGGCTTTTTGAGGAAGGATATCTGTACAGGTGAGGTAAATTTGTAGGGTGTTTCTGAAATTATAGGACCTCATTTATTTGGCATGTACAGAATACATAATCAATAATAATATTTTAAGCCCCTCTTTTACCTTATATAGGATATGTGGTTTTTTTAATGAGTTTATAGTAAGCTGGAGAACCGGAGAGAATTGCAAAAAAGTTACATAATCCCATCTATAATAAAATGAGATAAATGAGGAAATTCTTTCATTATGTTCCTGGCTAGTGATATGTACCAAAGGTAGGTTTCACGATGTGAACCACTGATGTCAAAGGCACAATGTTGAAAGATTTGAAACTCAACAAGCTCAGGACCATTAGGTAACTGCAGTGAAAGCAGAGTTGCCTGTTGAAAGTTCAGGAAGCAATTCTGCACCATCTGTGGGTAAAAATTATGCCTAAGACAGTCTAGTTACTAGTATGTGAAAAAATGCATTTTCCTACTATGTCCACCATATTCTGCCCTCAGTTTCAAAGAAACTCAAGTGAGCATCTACATTCCCAGTAGTACAATTCTCATCTTCCTAGGATGCAATCCTACTCCAGTAGCAATTGATGGCAAAATTCCCATTAATTTTAATAGAATAGAACTTCAGTCCTAGTGAGTTCATTGCTTTCACTTAGGCTAGAATTTGGTGCTTTGACTTCATTGTGCACTAGAGGGCAACATTCGGCTCTGGTGCAAACCCTGCTTATTGCTAGCTATTGCTAGCTTTGTTGGTAATCCTAGTTGGCAATGAGAAGAATATGTGATGGAAAGACTTTGAATTACGAAATTCGTTCTTTTCTAAAGTTAGTGCAACTTGGTTGAAGGCATATCTCCCTGCCCATTATTAAGGATTTGGAAGGATAAACTGTTATGTCATGGTTGCACACAGATTCTTGAAACAAGCAATATACATGGACTTCCCACCTTCAAGTACAATACCAAAACCAGTTTTTAAAACCCTACTTTCTGATCTTTTTGCACTTCATTTATCTAAGTAAAATTATTTCTATGGAGCAACAGAAGCAACTTTACCATCACAGTGTTGTAGCTCTCATCAGGCATCAGTATTTTATTTTTATTTAACAACAAAAAAATATACCATTTGATTGTAATAAAACATCTAAGCAGTTTCAATAGGTCGATAAATGTACACATATAATAAAGAAGGGGGAAGAGGCTTGCTCTCTGTTTGTGCAGCAGAATGAATCCCATTCCCTTCTTTTCCTTATAAGCAAATGCTTCTTCTGATTCCTTACAAATCTGTGGACTGTTGAAATTTGATAGACATTATTATTACTGCTTTTAGTACACGTGGCAATGATCCTTCTCTTTCATATACATTTTGAATGGCTTAACAAATTCTGAGCTTTCGTGCGCGGCATAGCATGTTGCCAGTGCTTTTGACTCATTCTGGCTTGCTTTGGGTTTCCAGGGTACAGCTTTGTGCTACAAAACTGGTTCTACAAGAGTCTATGATGGGATACAAAAGATGAATGTATAAGCTATTAGCTATGGCCACTCTACAGTATCATTTCTGAGGTCATGAAAATATTAAGTTTGTACACAGCCTGAGGACCAAATTTGAGGTGGCATTTGCCATGTGTTTTGCTCTTATTAGGCTATTTTTTCAAAACAAAACAAAAGCAGGAACGTCTGGGAGCGCCAAGCCATATCTGGACCATAGTGGGGTGGGAAACAGTTTTTAACCCTTTACCCCACAGCAGTCCTTATCCTCAGACCCTCTCCATGACTATACTTCATAGTGGGATAAAATCTCCTGTTTATTTATTTGATGCCAATAGCAACTTTCCTGCAACTGTGAATAGCAGGTGTGGAGAGATAATCAGTGGAGGATGGCTGATTGGGACAGTGGCCGGGGCAAAGGCTTAATTCCCACCCATGGACCTGATCTGGCTCTCCCCAAATCCCAGCTATTTGGTTTTTTTAAAATCACCCATTTAAGAATAAGGTGCCTTATTTGGCCCTTAAATACATTTGATAGATCCCAGAAAGACTGAAAATGAATACAGACATGTGTGTCTGCTTAGTCAAAACAGAAAGGTCCTATGAATGAGTTGACTTGTTTCTAGCTTGCTCTATTGAAATTTCAAGTTCTTGTCAGTTCAGAGGTCATTGTGAACATATTTTTACTAACCTATGTATGCATCCAAGGTATGACCATGTTATTACTCAAACTACTTGTGCCTTTTCATTTTAATCTACTATTTTCCTCCTCTGTGGTGTCAATTTTTAATTACAGATTTATTCCAGGTCCATTTGGTTCCTAGAAACGCTGGAGACCACCATAACACTCATTTTAATGTTTCACTGTGAATCTTGTGGGGCCGGTATTGACTGATATCACCCAGTTTTGACTTCCTGTACTCTTTCTTCCTTTCTAAATGTACTAGGCTCTCTGCTAATGGGATAACGTGGAAAGTTCCCCCTCCATGTTTTAAGCATCCAGTTGTCAAATAAGCCTGTGTTCCATAGTGTGCATGGAATTTCCCTTGTGTACTTCAAAAATGTATTTATGTTGTTCTAACTCCACATCCTCTTCCTTTCCCCCCGCCAAAAGACACCCAACCAGCACATCCCAATATTTTGACATATAAATCAGATAGAAAGATTTTCAGTCCCAAGATCTGTAGCTGGAGTACACTACAGAAGGGAATCCTTGGTCATTGTTTGGCCCAGATATGGGTCTTACCCACTTTTCTCTTAAGAGTCCCAAACCTGGTCTGGTTATTGCCAGTGGTAGAATCTATTGCTATTCCTCAACCTTTTCCCCTCCTTTCTTTTAAGTTTCCTGGGAACTCAACTTCACATTTTACTCATGACCTGATCTTCCCAGTGCTAAGAATAGTAACCACTGTGCCACTTAGGTTCAATCTCTTTGAAAACACCCCACAGCTGGAGAAACATGGAAGCCAGATTAGCACAAACAGATATAAACAACCAGAGGTTAGATTTATTAAGACTATAAAAAAGTCTAAATATCATTGTGGAACAGATAAGTGAGGAAAGGATTTTTGCAAGCCCTGCAAAAGTCTTGGGAAATAATTTGCAATCAATTACCATGTTTTTGATTTTTTTGAAAGGAGGCAAACCAACTCTCAGGACACAGAAGGGACACAATCTTAAATTTACAACCCAGCTTTAACCAACTTATTTATAAATTGCCACAAGAAGAGTGAGGATCACTCAGTAGAGTAATAGATAGGTTAAAATACACATTCATTATGTAACATATTTGGTTGAATGATGATAGCTGTTCAGGGGGGAAACATGAGCTGAATAGGGCTTTTGAAGGCCTATCTGCAGTTGGCAATTATGCTATTTTTGCATAATTACCTTGGCTCTTTATCCAGTCCAGCCTGCTCTATCTCCAGGAGATGGATGATTTGTGTCAACCATATCTGTCTTATGTATTCTCTTTTACCCTAATGTGATCCTGATGCTTATCAGCTGTTAACTAACCTTGGCCTCCATTGCTAAGCTCCTATTTTGAAAATAAGGAATACTACCACTCAGGTTCTACATGCTGAATGGATTATTTTAGAGCTGTATACATATAGCTGTGGGAGCATATCTGTCTGCTATGAACAGTCTGCTATGACAGTGAAAGTCAGTGGAGGGCACAAAATAAGGAAGGGTCAAAATTAGAAGTGTTTCACTAAAAAGTTTTCTTGTATGTTAGCTACTATGTGGGAGCCATTTCCCCCATAGTGCAATAAGTGTACAAGAATATGTGTATGAAGGTATCACATGTAGTTCCTTCCCATTCAAACTTCATCCAGCTGGCATCTCTTCAGAGAGTTAGCAGGTCCCACACTATAGTGTCTAAATGTAGATAAACCTTAGTCTCACCAGAATGCAGCACCTGGCTTAAAAAGAACGAAGGCATGTCTCTCTTTTCATGTTGCTAAGCTACATCTGCTCTTGTCTTAGTTCTACCATGTTCCACTGAAACTTTAAATACTGTACAGACCTGTTGGCTGTGTGTACAAAATGAATTTATAATGAAGTCTGAAGGAAGAAAAATGGCAGAACAAGGGAAGATGCAGCAGAACTAGAGGGAAGGGCTACTTCATGCAATTCAGAACCCAAGAACTATTCATCCTACAACAAACACACATGCAGGTAGTCCTTACATAAACACTCAATACCTTTGATTTCAATGGGATTGCTTATTTGAGTAATGCCAACATGTGTGGTTGTGTAAGAAAACTTATTCTCTAGCTACTCTTCTATAACCACTTGAGGACACCAGGGCAGTAATTCTAATGCCGATTTTTGAACTGTTTTTTTGTCTGTCTAACATTCCTTTTTAATCCCCATCCTGCCTGCCCCTTCCTTATGTAGGGTTACTTTAGTGATCCTTGGAATGTTTTTGACTTCCTCATCGTAATTGGCAGCATAATAGACGTCATTCTCAGTGAAACTAATGTGAGTATTACTCTACCCTCCCTAGGATGCCACCAAATCCTCCTCTACTTCCTCCTCCTGTTTCCTTCTTTTTTATTATTTCTGGTTTATGTTTTCTTCCCTCTAGTCATGCTTTTATTGAACTTGCCGTCGTCCTTCTCCCAGGGGGAAAAAAAGGAGGGGGGTTGCATACCTCCTTCTTTTTCACTTGTCACAGCTGTGACCGGTGAAAGCACACAAAGCTTGGGGTACGTGTGCTTTTTTTCCCTCCAAAAAAATTCAGACATGTTTGAGTGAAACGTTCTAACTAACCAGGCTTTTGTTGATACCCTCCATCATGTTACAGAGGTATGAGCAGCCAATACTGTAGAGTGGTAAGAGACTCTTTAATATGCCCACGTAACCTCTTTCTTTTCTTATTTTTTTCTCTTCTCTCCCTCTTTCATGCTTTGTTTATTTATTTTGTTTGTTTATTTTTATATATCTCTCTCTCCCTTTCTCTTCTCTTTGTTTCTTTCTCTTTTTCCTCGGCTTCTCTGCCACATGCAGCACTATTTCTGTGATGCATGGAATACATTTGACGCCTTGATTGTTGTGGGTAGCATTGTTGATATAGCAATCACCGAGGTGAACGTAAGTAGCTGGCATCTGTCCATGAATGTGCCTGCTCTTAACATTCATTTGTCTCTTCCAGTTTTTTTAATCTCTTCTTCTTTTATTCTCTCCCTTCTTTTCCCCTCCCTTTTTATTTGAAGTTTTTTTTTTTAAGGATTGCTTTTGTTCTGTTGTTCTGGATATTTTGTTTTTGCTTGTTTCTTTAAATTTGGAACAACTTTAAGGACTTTCTGACTGTTGCATCATTTTCTTTCCCCCATAACCAGCCTGGCATGAATAAAAACTGTATAGTAGGAAAACCGATGAGAGCTATGTGAAGTAAATGCACAAAGAGCAGGTTTGTGTCCTAGGAAGTTGGAGAAGTAGTCCAAGTTTAGGACTACTGATTTGTCAAAGTTGAGTTAAACTTTCCATGGCACTGGGATACTTGCCACTTCACAGAGATCTACAGGGCAACTCTTTCGAGGTGGAATAATGGGAGCCAAATGTCATCTGTTTTCTGCTAGGCCTTTATATTCCCAACTTTTTATTCAAAAACCACAAATTCTTACATTTCTGCTCACATTCTATGATATATTTGGTGGGTTGGATCCAGAGTAATTTAGTGATGCTTTAGTCTGACTGAAATCAATGAGGCTTGACATGTTATTGTTACCAATTCATCTCACTGATTTCAAATTGACTAAATGTGACCAATTTAGCCTGGATCAAACCCTGTGTATCATGTTAACTGATGCAGTTTTATCTCCCTATTATTTGTGGAAAAGCTGCCAGGGTAGTGTAGAGAGGAACATTGCATAAAAACCATTACATCCAATAGGTTTGATTAATTTTGGCATTTCAATACCTGCCATCATGGATTGGTATTGCTTTCAAAATACAAAAGACTGAAGTTAAGTTCATGGTTTTTAAAAAGGAAAAAATCTCATTAGAGAAATTATAGATTTGAAACCCAGTCTTCTGAATTTTATACACACACACACACACACACACACACACACACAGAGTAAATATCTGGTATTTGGAGAAGAATTTGTACTGGGCATTTAAGTAAATAACATTGGATAGAGAGAAAATCCCAGTCCATTAAAGGCAATAATCTTATGGAATAAGGATTTTGCTGATAAATAGCCCTCTGAATTGGTGTATGTGTAGCACGAGATTTAAAAATCTCACTTCTAGAACCTAGGCCACACACGATCATCCATGCTAGACTGGGGGAATGCATGCATCCATCAGCCGCTGGTTGGCATGGTTAGTTTGCTTCAAGCTAAGTATTTTTAGGGATCCATGGGGCCTTTCTCCCTCTCACATCCAAGGGAGGATTAGTGCACCAATAAGAGGGATGATGTAAACCACTGGTTTGACATGTGGTCTTGGAGATCTTCACCAAAGATGCTGAAGGATTCTATGTGGTGACACATCATAAGCGGGTGTGATTGCATACATTATATACAGGTAACTATGTTAGATAGATTTCTTTGGGGCGTATCTCACAACTATACTACTTTCCCAGTAAATTGTGGAGTTGATATTCAGGGAGTGGAAGACATTTTTGGTAATTTTCATTAAGCTGATCTCAGTTCCAGATCAAATTCTGATCAGGAATTGAGATCAGATAAGTAAGATTCATCAACCACATCTTCCACTTTCCATTGGTCAGCTCTGTTGTTTATCAGGAAAACAGGACTTTCAGGTTATGGTTAATTCTGTTCTCAATATTAATTGGCTGATACTGAGAATTGAAATAATGTGATTAAATAGGATCGATCTCAGTAAAACTTTAAGTTCAGCAGTTATTTACATATAGTTGAAGAACTGCCTAGAGCTGTCCTCTGCAGAGATTCTCCCAAAAATTTAAAGGTGGCATTGGTGGTTCTCTGAATCCCCTCTAAAGATTACCCTCCTACTATATAGTCCCTTCAAAATTCTGCACATGTCTTTTTATTACCTGGCATGTTTGACTCTTCTCTTTTTAATCTTTGCTATTAATTCCTAACATTTGTTATTAAGAAATTAATTGGTTTTGATTTTTCTTTCCTTTTTAAATTTTTTTTTGCACAATATCTGATGCACTGATAATTGAAAATCAGTTAAGGATGGAGTTTGTTTTGAATTGTTTGAAATCCTCTTGCACATAATTCTGTTAACTAAGAGAATGAATGGTACCGTACATCAATTTATTCCTTTAAAATACCCTTGCTGCTTGCGACATTTGGTATGAAATCCTGCAACCTCCACTCCCACCCCCAGCAGGCAGGCATTAATCATTGCAGCTCAAATTGAAATATTTTCCTCTTCCCAGGCAGCACAAAATGGTTTGTGGATCAGTTGCACCTCCATTTCACCCTCCCTACCATGGGAGCTTCATTGCTTTGCTCACTGTTTGTGAGCCTGACAAAATCTGCCTTGTGTGCCTGTATGCTGTCTCATGTTACATCAACTGATCTGGAAGCATGGCAGGGACAGAAGAGGAATAAAACTTCCCACAAGCTCTATGTGATGGTAGATTTTAAAATGACTCCAAAACCAGGCATCATATGGTAGAATCCAGATCCAAAGCAATTGGAAAAATGAGTTTGCTGTAGACAACCAGTGGCTGCTACACTAAGAACAAATCGTAATGCTGAGATTTGTTCTCTATTGAAGGTGAATCTTTTTTGGCATGAGTTACTTTGTCATAAAAGGTGATGGATGCATTAAACAGGAACATTCTGTGAAGTCCAGCTGGGACTTTGCCATGCTGATCTAATCTGCCTAGGAAGCATTTGGTCACCAAAGCAATAAAAGGCAATAATGAAAACACAAATATATTATGTTAGCTTGTGTGTGTATGTGTGCGCACGCGCATGTGTGTTGTGTGACAGAGAGAGAAAGAGCACTTATCTGTATGGTATAAGCTGAATTTATTTTCTTAACTAAAAATATATAGCATAGGAGGGCCATGAAGGATATAATGGATGCTTCTACATAGCAGGTTTTTTTGTAGAAGCGTCCAATACTTCTGAGCAAGAGAAGTCATCCATTCTGAAGCCTGGGAACAAAAAGCAATACTGATTGGGAAGAGTCTAGGAAAGGGGAGAATTTAGCTCCAAATCCTCATGAAGCTTAATATTTGTCTCATCTCAAATTCAGTAGTGTGTTAATTATTTCATGCATGGAGATATAGCCGCAACAATCCTGACTTATGCAATCTCTGTAGGAAACTATATAGAATTCACTGGATATAAAACTAAGTGTGAAGACAAAGCAAAATAAGGAATGTAACCTGTTTCATGGTTCTGACTCCTTTCTCCAGTCAAGTTCCAATGCCGATTGAAAGTTGTTTGTCTGATCAGTATTTGATGCAGTACTAAAAGAACAGCAGTCAAGAATGGAGATCATTCTGCAATAACTACAGCTTTCAGCTCCTGAAGCACAAAGTCAGAATTTGGGAAATATCAGGACAACTGCAGTCCTCTAAGAGACTGGAAGTCAGAAAGCACAATTTGAAGATTACAAGGTGCTGACAAGGAAAATCCTCCATTGATGGCAATTTGCTATGGAACAACTGAGTAGGAAGAATATTATCCAAAACGAAATATGGATGAGACTGCAAAAGAAGGAAAACAAAAAATTAGTAGTCCATAGCAGCAGGTGCAGAAAACAATGCAAAGGTGCTAGGCTATGAAGCTAAGCAATGTCTGGCCAGAATCTGGATGATAGATTGTCTAGGAACTCCATGTATTCCTTGAAAAATGGGTGTGACACAAAGGAAACAAATATGAACTACTAAAAGAAATGAACATTACAAAATTATCTGGAAGACTGACAAGAAATCCTACCACATAGGGGTTTTTTTGTGAAAATAGAAAGTTGCTAGTTACTGGGGGTGGGGTGAAAATTTGTGTTCCTTTTTAAGCACAGAAGGTTTTCTGACCACAGCATAAAACTGTACCAGATAATATCAACTACTGAGATTTATGAGCTTTTTTGGAAATGCATTTTTTTATCATAGTTGCATAGGTTTAGAGTTGAATTTACTGTGTGTGTTTGTAGTGAGTCAGTTTTTGTATTACTGATTGGTGGTGGTTTGTGCGTTTGTGCGTGAATGACTTTAGCACATTTTATCCATTGTGCTTTTCAGGATGTTTTAGGGTTTGAACCCATTTACCCAGTCACACACTTTTCTATATATCTAAGTGCAGGTGTATCTCTTAGGGCTTGTGCACACATTAACTTTTACCCCTTGGTTGCTGTACCAAGAGGGTAACTGTTTTGTTTACCTCTAGGTAGCAGCAGGCTAGCTCTAAGCAGTGCCTAGAGCTAATTCACTAGAGGTAAGTGTGGATCCATCAGGGGAAATACAGGCTACATGGGACAGGTGGCATCTACCCTGGGTAGATAATGTGTGCACAAGCCTTAAAAGGATCATTGAGCTTGTGTGTGGATGCATACACCCAAGTGCCTAAATATCTTGGCATGTATCTCTGCTTGCTTAAGAGATGGAAATGCATGTGTATGCATGCTATGTGCATGTTGACTAGCATGTTTCTGTGATGGTGCTTGGCAGTGCCAAGGTGTGAACACATGGGACCACTCCTAAGGCTACCTTAACATAACACTGTCCCCATAATCACAAAATTCCACTGAAATCACTGCAGTGTCACGATTATTTCAACACTAGGTTATGATGTACTATTTTTCAAGGTGTAGTTCTCTGAGTAAACCATAGCACTCACTAGAGGGTGTGACATCTTAATTGCACCTCTCAGAACTTTAGTGATACATGTCTTTAATAACTGGACACAACAGACATCTCAGTTTAACAATCTTGTATTTTTATTTTATTTTTTGCATTAAAAGCCATGGCATATTTTCTACCAAATCCGTTTTTAAAATGGCTTGCTTTCAAGCCTGCCTCATTTATTATTATTTTTCAGGGGCTTGCATACAAAATTTACAGTCTGATCCTATGCACCCTTATTTGGGTGTCCCAATGAACCCACTGGGAGTTCCTTCCAAGTAAGCGTATACAAGATCACACTGTTACGTCTCCTCAGCATTAGCAAGAATTGTACAACTACATACCTCAATGTTCTTGTATGTTGTACAACTACGTGCCCAAACGTTCCTTGACATTTAGCCCTTGGTTTGCTGGTTTCATATTACTATCCTGCATCTGATCACATACAGCCACTTCTTCAAGTTTCTAACCAGTTTTTGTATCTGTTCACTGCCTTCAAATGTTGATAATGATCAAGAGATTGACAGAAAACAGCATAAAAACTGCTAGTAAACAAAAGCTAGCCCCAAATACAAATATTGTTTTAAAGCCAAAATATGCTGTTGCTGCCCTGCATCATAATTCTAATTCCCCCTAAATAAAATCTGGAAGGAAGTCTGGCCTTCTGTCAAATAACAAACATATATTCACCAGCCTACCCCTCATGCACAAATACCCTCTCTTTTTTTAATGAGAGGCATATGCAAGTGTATGTATTCATAGTTGAGACCATCCCTAAAACTATCTATGTATGAGTCATGAGTATGCTTCTCTGCAGTTTTTACCCTCTATGCTTCTACACCAGGTGTAAGCTTTTCAAAATTCCACTGTAAATGCCCAGATTCCCACTGTGAAACCTCTGCCTATTAATAGTAAAAATTCCCAATCTTAATAAATGCAACAAATATGTTTCAAAAACCTATGGAGATAAACATATATAACTAAGAATTATTGGTGTTAACTATGGATACAGCATGACCTTAACTTGCTCCACTTTGGTCTCCCATTTTCCATAGAACAGGAGAATCTTTACTCTTTTTCAATCATTTTTGAGAAGCTGATCTCATGTGGGTAAACAGTGCAGCAGTGAAATACTTAGTCCTGTACATTTCCATTTGAAAGCCTTAATAATATGAACCTTTGTTCTTTTGAATGCAACTGCTGAGACAATGTTATAAAAAGTGAAACATGAGACTTGAAATATGTTCTTCAAAAAGGGACTTGGTCATAGGGGTTGAAAACAACTTACTGTCTATATTGATACATACATGATGGTACTTGTTTCTTTTAGCCCATAATGTAACTTAATAAATCAGTATCCCTCCTTGTATGGCAGAAGGATTTCATTACTCTTAAAAAAAAAAAAAAACACAAGTAGAAGAATAATTTGATGTGTGATCTTTACCTGTATGACTAGTGTAACAGGAAAAGACAAATGGTCTTCAGAATACTAACAGAATATGCACCTCCCCCTGGAATTCAATAAAAAGTCCAGCCAATAGATCTCTAGTCTTTAATAAATCTTAACCCTGTTATCATCCTTCATATATATATATATAGGCTGTCTGAACCCTCGCTTTCCATAGATGCCAGTCTTAAAGCATTTCTGGGATGTATGGGGCAAAACAAGTACCGTTGCTCTTTGTTTGCATATAATAGGTACACACAAAGCTGTGTAGATATTTTAAGGATTTTGTGTCCCTATATTCACATAAGTATATTTTTATTTATTTTACAAAAATTATATACTGTTTATTGTCATAAAACCTCTAGAATGTATACAAGAAATATTAACATTATCTATAAAAACCAGTTACAAACAATTAAAAACATTTTAAAAGAATTAAAATTAACAGTAAACAAGGTATGGGTGCAATTATATTCCCTGAAAAGCAACTGAGAGTTCTTTCATCTATGCATGGCTAGCAATGTTTGTCTGTGTGTCTATGTCCTAACAAGGAGTTTCAAAGAGTATTTCTTATATATAATACTTACAAGCACATCAGGAGACTGAGGCTTTGAGCATTTGGGTCCTAATCTCAAACCTTTGTCCATGTTTACTATGAAAGTGTTTGCATGTATGAGTGTGCCTGTGTGTACTGAAAGGAATGACGGAAGGGGATACAAAGTGTTGTTTCAGTGAAGTATTTCATAGAATCATAGAACTGTAGAGTTGGAAGGGACCCTGAGGGTCTTCTAGTCCAACACCCTGCCATGCAGGAATCTCAACTAAAGCATCCATGACAGATGGCCATCCAAATTCTGCCTTAAAACCTCCAGTGAAGGAGAGTCCACAACCTCCTGATGGACTCTGTTCCACTGTCAAACAGCTCTTACTGTCAGAAAGTTCTTCCTGATGTGTAGTTGGAATTTCCTTTCTTGTAACTTGAATCCATTGATTCAAGTCCTACTCTCTGGAGCAGGAGAAAATAAGCTTACTTCATCTTCCATGTGATGGCCCTTTAGTTATCTGAAGATGGATATCATATCTGAAAAATAATATTTAGGACCCAGACACTGAACTGTAAAAGTTTAACTTGAATAAGCAGTGAATTGTTATAGTTTCCATGAATAGAATACTAGAATAATAATAGGGTAATGATAGAAGAAGAGGATATATGTGTATATAACACTCCCCAAATTTCTTATTTGGGCTCTGGACATGCCCATTCAGACATTTCTTAGAGACAAGCCTTGCCCAACATTCAGAAAATTCCACAAGCTCTCCTTTTGCTCCTAGAAAATCATGTACTTTTATATGATTCCAAAAAGTAGGTGTTTTCAAATGCTCAGGACCTCTTGAAGAATCAGCCTGCTGATTTAATGTTTATGACTGGGTCAGTTCAGAGATTCCAAAATACCTCCATGTAATGCACTCTAACCTTTCTCATCCCTAGAAAAAGTGTTTTACCAGGGCAACCCACAAATATAGCTGCAGTTTCCCAAGTGATTCTTGTGATGACAAAAGCTGACAAACTTACTTTCACAGTCATGGAAATCACTTCCAGGAAACTACAGCTGAATTTGTAGGATGTCCCAGACAACACTCTATCCTATTAAGAGTTTGGGGTCATTGCATGGAGAATTTTTTAGATTTAAAAAAAATGGCTTTTTAGAATATTCTGAAGCCAAAAGCAGTAAGAACTGTGAGACAAGCATACTGTTTAGGGCCTTTCTCTAGGCCTATCTTCAAATGAGTTGGGGGGGGGGAATTCTCCTTTGAGCCTTAGAAAAGGTGTTGGGCCAGGCAAATAGGTATCCTCCCATTTTGGAGAATCTCCATTTTAACTCCAACAGGCTCCATGCAAATGGCATGCCTCCTGTTCACATTCCTTGGAATATTCCAGTTTCCCTTTTATCCTCAGTGGTGCACTTTCTTTTTAACTCTGTTCCTCCCTTTCTTCATTCCCAACTTTTATGCTCTTCCCAACTCTTCACCTTTGTCCTTCTAGCCAGGCCAAACCTCTTACCAGCTAGTTTTCACAAAATTAAAATGTGACTGAAAGCAGATAGCTATGGTTTCACTTTAGCAAAGGCAAATTGTCAGTCAAGAGCTGGAGGATGGCCCTGTGTGTAAAAATGTCAAAATCTTAATGATTCTCAAACCTCTGTTTAGTGGGATTCTGGCTACAATGCTACTTGGAAGTAGGGTCCATTGAACTCAATGGAATATGCTTCCATTCAAATCACTTCAGGATTGACAGATTCGTCAATCTGTTTGAAGGCTGTTTGAAACTTTACCCTGTTACTGCAGGTACAATCCTTGACCCACCTACCGAAGAGTATTTCTAGAGTAATTGCATTGACTGAACTGAAGCTTGTTTTGCTAGTCCAGTGTAAGTGGATTGAGGATTGTGATCTAAAATAAGCCCCGCCCTTGCAATGAAACAAAGATGGGTGGAAGGACGGCATGCACATAGCCTTGGCCTTTGTTTCAAATTCTGTGTCCATCTCTGTTGCTGTTCTGGTCTGTTTGCCTCTTTGTTGCTCTCTGTCTGATCTTCTAAACTTTCCAGTCATTTGCTGTTCTGCTGATATTGGAAACAAATCTTTGTTTTGTGCATACATACAATCATTTTAGGACTGCAATGTTCCACAAGCAACAACTTGGAACATGGAAATGTTTTAAAAGGTTTTTTTCCACTCTTCCAAGATTAGTATGTGGACAGTGAAGTCCTCCAATATACAGCTAGCAAAGGGCAGGAAAAATGTAACCAGCTTTTTTATTTCTTTATAACTTTTTTTTTTACATCCTACATTATCCCACTCTTAAGTGTCACCATTGTAATGGTTGTTATATATTTCTGATATTTACCAATATTTGTGTTGGTGTATGCATGTTCAGTTTTTATACTGAGAACTGTTTATTGGGGAAATTGTTCAGTGTTGCTGTTTTTTCAAAACAACTGGAGCTATGTGCATTTTGTATACACACTGTTCAAGCAAAAATATTTATATTAAGTGCAAAATTCAACATGCTGAGAATCTTGCTTTTAATTTTTTCAAGTCAACTTTCTAACCTTTTAGGGCTTGCAAATGTGTGAGCCTTACCTAGCAACATACCTGGGAGATCTGAGCGAGACTTCCAGTGATCCATGAGTGGGGCAGTCAGTACCCTCTATAGCTGTTTGCCTCACTCCATGGCCATTCAATTATACAAAATAAGCAAAAGATGAAAATTTGCTTCTTTCATAACTTATACAGATTGCAGAATTCACATTTTTATTTTAGACAAAAAAAATATTTTTAGTAAAAGTGACTCTGAAAGATAAATAACTGAAGTGAAGTTTCCCCCACTAACTATGAAATGATTTGGTTTGACACACTAAGGATCTAGCATCTGATCAAATCATTTTGTAATTCAGAATGAGGGACTTGCCACGTTAGACTCTTTAAGTCACTATTATCTAATTAACAAACATTAGGTCTGGTTTTCATACGGTGAAGCCATGAGGTGGCTCTTTCCTGTCATGGTGGACCTTTCTTCTAATCTTCTTCCAGCATTTTAAAATCTGATAATAATAATTATTATTGTTATTATTTCATTAATCATGTATGTATATCTACTGTACTGCATTAGCACCATTTCCTCAAGACCTGGAATTGCAGACTTTATAGTAGGAGGGCACTTTAGAAAAAGAAAGCTTTGGCTTAGGAAAGAAAAGAGTTATGCTGAGGTGGCTTTAAACTGTAATATATATATTTATAAGAATGTGAGATTTGGTTCTTAGCATCTCCACCTAGCTAGTAAACCAAACCAGCCCTATTTTTAAATCTTTGACAGTTCTAGTTAATGACAATTCTAAATCTAAATGCACTTAAATAAAAGAGTGTGTATGCAAATAAGGACTGGTATGTGGTTTGGGAGTTCACATTTCCTCTGTGGAGGAAATCTTATTTATTCTAAACTGTTGGTGATAATAATAATAATAATTAGGCACTTATCTGAACAGAAAGTGAAATTTCTTGAGCAGATTCCAAAGTTGTGATTAGAGGGTAACTTTAGATACAGTAATTCTTTGGTACAGATCACTGTATCTAACATTTTACTTTCAAGAATCTTAAGAAACAGACATGACTCTTGAAGAGTGCACCCATATTTTCTTTAAAAATAATATAAATTGCAGCTTAAAGTATTCTAGTATTTAGGCATTAAACATGTAAATAATATGTTTCAAGAACATGATTGCAGGCTTTTTCAGTTTTTGTTTTGTATAGTAGCAAGAAGAGGAGAATTATTAGACAGTATCATGTCTACAGCATTTTCATGTGGAGTCATTCAAAGGGGGGGTTGTAATAACTATTTTAATTCACATTTGTTAAAATTAACAATTACCTCATTCCAGGAAAGTATTCTATAAGCAAATTAAATATTTTTTTGATTTTTTTTAAAGGATGTAAAGTAAATCATATTTGCTTCCCTGCAGACACATTATGGTTGCTAAATAATAGTTAGCACTATGCAACAGCAAACCCAGTGTCCTTATCAAATGTGTGTATATAAAGAAATTTTTATTTTATAGAAATTGCTTGCCTATGTTATTACCACCAAGCATATTCAATATATTTCAGTTTCAGCAAGCAGCCTGAGAAATACTTAGATTTTGAACCTGTCCATTGCTACAAGTGTTGATATTCTTGAAAACACAAGTAAAATCAGACGTCTAAGAGACTTTTCCTTTGTTACATACAGCTAAAGTTAGGCCATAGTATGCAATTAGATTACTCTAGAGTAGATGTTACCAGTTTCAATTTATTATTTATTAAATTTATACCCCACTCTTCCTCCCAAAAGAGCCCAAGGCGGGGGGGGGGGGAGTGGTAAAACAAGAGACATTAAAAGCAATTCCAGTGCAGATGCAGACTGGGAAATATATCAACTTAAAAGCCTTGTTGAGAGAGGAGGGTCTTCAGTTGACACCAAAAAGACAACAGATGGTACTTGTCTAATATTTAAATAATGGGAATGCCAAATGGTGCCACAACACTAAAGGCCCAACTACTATAATGTATGGCACAGAATCCCTGATAAGATGATGCCTGCAGGAGGATCTCATCTGCAAAGTACAATGATCAATTGGCTATATAAGGGATATGACAATCTTTCAAGTAACCTGGTCCAAAGGGCAGCTCCATATAGAGGACATTGTAATAATCCAGACTGGAGGTTACCAGTGCATAGATGACAATGCTCAGCGTAACAGCAAATAATATTTTCTTTAAAATTAACAAAAGCTATTGCATGGTTTACATTGAACATTTCAACTATAAATTGACTTAGATTCAGAGGCCCAACTGTAGTTTTCACATGACATATTTTTGTATTTAGGACCTTGTTTAAGAAAAGAACTGTAATAGCTTTATATATCCACATTATCTAGAGAAGAATGTTTCCACTAGGCACAAGTCTATTAAGCTGTTATACCAGTTTAATAACATCATAACCATGCCATTCAAGCTTTAGATATGTATACATGAGAAAGTCACAAATATGCTGATATATGGGTTTTTCACATAATATGTGCAAATGCATATACCTTGTGAATAATGGAATGACTTGTAGAAGGAAACATATTACTTAAAAATTGGCATAATCTAGAAAAGCCCGCAAATAGAATGGGTAGCAAGAATGCAGCTTCTACTCATTCAGTGGGATTTGCAGAGAAGATATTAGCACTGAGTTGTGCACTCATTGTTTGCACAATTTAATCAAGATGTGGGTTTTTTTTCACTTTACCTGAAATTTATATCAAGAAAACAATTTTGCTGCAATACTGAAAAAAGATTAATTTTTAGTAATATAAATGAATTAAAATTTGGTAATATTAATACATGCTTACATCCTATTTTGTTTTGTTTTTTAAGATTTGTAACCAATGAAAACAATGGAAAAAAACTTTCTCCCCACAAAATTTAAATACAAAAATATTTAAAATCATTTAAAGATATTCCACAGGTCTGATACTTAACCTTTTTATGAAATACTTCAATATCCAGTTTAGAAGTGATATACAGGAGAAAATAATATTATGTTAACTATTGAGCAATTTGTGGAACACTCAGCCTGGTGGAACGCTCTGTCACAAAAGACCAGGGCCCTGCGGAATTTGACATCTTTTCACAGGGCCTGCAGGACAGAGCTGTTCCACCAGGCCTTTGGTCTGGGTCCAGTCTGACCCCCCTTTTTCTTTTCAAGACCTCGCATGTAAGGGGCTCCTCTAACCCTTTCTCACCAGCTTATATGAGACCAGCACAAATAGCTGGGCCTGGTGAGCACTTAATGTTCCCACCCCATAGTTATAGTTATAATTCGTGGGTTGCCATCAGATTTTATTCTGATTTTAAGCTGTATTTCAACGGATCGTTTGATCTTATGTTTTAATGTATTATTTATTTGATGTTAGCTGCCCTGAGCCTGGTCTTGGCCGGGGAGGGCAGGATATAAATAAAATTTATTATTATTATTAGTGCTAAAAATATGAGAAATTTAAAAAAACCCTCTAAGCTGTTGCTATAACGCATAACTCCATTCAGTAATTTTGATATGGAACAACATTCCAGTTTCTCACATAGTTACGGTACTATGCTAGGATTTAAAGTAGGCTGATTAAGGCTGCAGTCTTATATCCACTTACTCTTGGTAGCAAGGAAAAACTGGTATAAAAGGAAAATTCCTGGAAGCCAAGATCCAAGTTTGGGGCAAGTACTCTTTGGTGAGAGAACCCCAGCAGATATTTAAAATCACTAAATATGCAGCAAAGTAAAGTGTGGAAATATAGGTTGTTAGACCTTTAAAATATGTCCTTGTGAGCTCCAAAACTTCCATCTTCCCCGTCATATAAAAAGACCACATGTTTAATAAGTTTTAAATGGTTTACTTACAAACCCTCCAAAGGTCAGAGTCATGTGCTTTTTCATACATCCTTCAGAAAAAGTTGCACAAGCAGTAAAACTTGGCTTAGTTACACTGGTATAGTTTCGAAATTATTGGTATAGGAACACAAGAATGGCTCATGAGAGCCATGCAGTCTAAGCTGCCGTAACCAGCTCAAAACCTCTTTACGTGTTAAGCTTCTCTGATAGACTGAGAGAACAAAGGCTTGATTACCTAGTCCCTCCCCAGGTGAACTAAGCATGGCATGACAACTTACTGTATGGTCTTAACCCCTTCATGCATTAATTAGACTTAAGCATGTTTGTTTTATGAGGCTGGTTATCCCACACTTACCTGGGAGTAAGACCCACTAGACTCATAAAGACTTCTGAGTGGATATGTATAAGATTACACTGTTAGTTATATCAAGAACTATGGTTTAACCAGTTTGTGGATCAATATTGCCTGACCCTAAACAGATAGAAAATACATTGTCTTGAAGCAAGAAAATGATTTGAAGGGAATGTGGTGGCTCCTGGTTTTGAAGGGTCCATGGACAATGCACACTCCCTGGGGGCACCTCCCTTAGGGAGTCTACACTGCCATTATCATCAGCTCCTACAGCTCCTCTTTCTCAGCACTGCTACTACCAACTTGAAGCAGAGAGCCAATGAAGAAACAGGTCATGTCATTTTCTGTTCCTCCATTTCACCACCGCTGCTGCCTAGACTCAAGCAGGAGGCAGGGGAACAAGCAAGCAGTGGTGAAGAGGAGAAGCAATTGTTTCTCAATGGGGCTCCCTGCTGAGTTGCAGACCCTGGAAAACTATGCAGCACTTAATTTCTATATCCATTATGCTCTTGGTTGTAAAAGTAAAACATGGCCAATATGACCTGAGAAAAGAGAAAGGACACATGAAACATAGAGACAGGGGATTCAATGCAATTCTGTATTGTTTATGTGCAAAAAAATAATCCCTTCCCATTGGGATGCTGAATAGTGAAGGCCAAACCATCCAAGAGTTGAAAGAACTTTTGTCCCTATCATAATAGTGGCCCCAAATGCAATTACCGGTATTTATTTATGTCATAAATAATCATTATTAGTAGTATTTATTTGTTGTGTTTTACACCAAAGTGTTTCAAAGCAACTTACATAATAAAAATAGAAATAACAAAAAACATCAAAACCAAATATAAAAACAGCAACAACAACTATAGTGTCAAGCATGCTTTCTGGGGAGAGCATTCTGCAAGCGGAGAGCCGCTGCTGAAAATAATTTCAGTTATGCTTAGGGAACAAAATCATTCAACAATTTTGGCATTTAACACCCTTCCCCACCACCACAAGCTGCTTTTTCACCTGTGGAGAAAAGATGAAAAACCGCTTGGGGGGTAAATGACCTTCAGCATAAATGGCTGGAGGAGAAAAGGTTAAGTAGTCATTCTCACACACAGTACTATTCCTCTTTGCAGTATCCTGCAGCTGCTTTTTATTTAAAACAAAAACCAGGAGGCCATTACATCTGCCATGCACTGCCAGCTTGGACCTGAATCGTATCCTAATTAAATAAGCAGTAAAAAGACACAGAAAATGAATTAAAAGTTAGGTGTACTACTTTTCAAATAAAAATTAACTGGCAGCAAATTATTTCTTCCTGCCTACCCACATATTTGAACTGAAGCATTTTACTGTGAAACAACTCTGCTACTTGGGGGGCAACTAATCAGCCTTTGTGTATAGTTTCTTTTGGATATGTAGTTCACGTTCAGACTCAATAAATACTAGGAAGAAAGGTCTTGAGCATATTCAATATTTCAGCTAATCACTGTGTATTTTTGACTTTGGGCTTTTATCACTAAGTGCTGTGTATTGAAAACAGTGTACCTCAAGGTAGACTGAATAAAAATCTGATTGATACATGGTCTAATGCTGACCTTATTAAATCAAATGAAGCATCCTTATGGATAGGAAGCTGCCATACTAAGGCAGACCAACTGTCCATCTAGCTCAATATTGTTGACACTGACTGGCAAGAGCTCTTCAGGGGTTTAGGCAGGAGTCTTTCCAGACCGTACCTGGGAATGCTTCAGTTGACATGCAAATAATGTGAACTGCTATAAAGCCTTCCCTAAAAGGACCTATAAGTTGTAATACACTAGGAACCTTATCTAGCATATCTGAACCTTGGAAGCTGTGCTAATGTGAAGTACAGTGGTACCTCGGGTTACAGATGCTTCAGGTTACAGACTCAGCTAACCCAGAAATAGTACCTCGGGTTAAGAACTTTGCTTCAGGATAAGAACAGAAATTGTGCAGTGGCGGTGCAGTGGCAGGCCCCATTAGCTAAAGTGGTGCTTCAGGTTAAGAACAGTTTCAGGTTAAGAACAGACCTCCAGAACAAATTAAGTTCTTAACCCGAGGTACAACTGTACTGAAATATGTCTACCATGTAGCTAAAGACATTAATTGGAACCCAATGTCCATCCAAATAAACAGAAGAATCATAGTTTGTCTCTTTTCCTAAGCATATAAACATTGTCTTACCAGGTCAGCCCAGCATACTCTAACAATTGCCAGTCAGATGCACCAAGAAGCTCTCAAATAAGGCATCATGGAAATAGTCATAACCTGATAGTCATTCATAGCACTGGTTAATAAGATCCTGAATACAGTAATTCAGTTTTTACCTATCATGGCTAATGGCCTTCAGAAGAAACCTGGTCTATGTTTCAGTTATCTCCCATGCTGATTACTGCAGTCATATTTCAGCTAGTCTTTCATTGTCTCACCTTGGTACACTTCCATCCATCCAGCATGCTCTTCTCTGAAACAAGTCCACCCTTTGTCCCGTATGCCCCTTATGCCTGGAACTGCCTCCCAGAATGCCTCTATTATTTCTCCTCCCATATTTCCTTCAGGTTGCTCATCAAATTAATATTTTTCTCTGGAGCAACCCCTTACTCTCTATACACTATTATAATTAAGCTGAAGTATGTATAATTGAAAGAATGGCATATACCTTTCCTGTTAGTTTTACTTCTGTTTCCCTCCTCTCACGCTGTTGTTTCTCTTGTATCTGTTTTCAGATTTTAAGCCCCTTAGGCCAAAGATTTGTCAAATATATTTTTTGTCATATGCCATGCACATAGATAGTATGTATAAGCAATTATAATGGCTATGAATTTACCAGTCCTCCATGAATTTATCTAATCCTCTTCTGAAGCTATATAAACTAAAGGCCATTGTTTTATGATGAACAATCATCATCATTAGTTAACTATGTGGTTTTCTCTGTTTTTAACCTATTGCCAGAAAACTGAACTAGATGACTCTGGAGTCTAGTAATTTCAGAAACAAGCATGAATATATCTTCAATCACTTGTCATATCTCCCCACTCCATTCCAGCCTGCCTAGATATGTTTGTTGAAATGGGGTGACCAGAGCAGTACATTGTATTCTTAAGTGGAAATATAATAAGGTTTCTATAATGGCATTGTGATACCTGCTATTTTATTTCCATCTCTTTAGTAATAATTCCTAATCATGATTTTTCCTTAAGTGAATTTTCTACTATGGTCTCAAGAGATCTTTTCACCTCATCAAAACTCAAGGTATGAATGATTTCATTACTGCTTGTAATATGTGATTCTTTCTGTTGAGTGATAGGCCAAGCTTTTCTTAAGTGTCTGCAAAGATATTTAGGATGATCCAAAAAACCAAAGTGCTGCACCAACAAGTACAAAATAACCCCTTTGCAGCGCCACAAATCCAACTCAATGGTGTAACGTTGGAAAATGTCAATCACTTCTCCTACCTAGGCAGTTATCTTTCCACAAGGGCCAACATTGATGCTGAAATCCAGCATCGCCTGAGCTCTGCGGGTACGGCTTTCTCCTGATTGAAGTGCAGAGTGTTTGAGGACCAGGACATTCACATGGAAACCAAAATGCTTGTTTACAAAGCTATTGTACAAGAAAGAAAGAAAGAAAGAAAGAAAGAAAGAGAGAAATTCTAGGAAATTCTATGCAGATATCAGAGTCAAGTATTACTACACAAAGGGGGTATTATATTCCACAGGTATTGCTGTGCTATGTGCATGCTGCCCTCAAAAACATTCCCAACTATTAACAAATAATTACCAGGTCAATTAAGATAGTAGGCTTAAATTCTTAAACAATGGAAGATAGCTACTTGAAGTAAAAGCAGTATCTTCCAATAAGCTAAAGTCCTGCTACACTCTTCCCATCACCAAATACTGGTCCCTGACCACATGTCAAGAAATGGACATATCTCTCAACACCATAACTATGCAATCCAAGGATGGCTGGGCAATATCAACATTGTCATTTATCAGCAGCTAAATACCGGTATATGCTGATATATCACTATGTCTGGAATGTATCTCAGCTGCTGCTTCCTCCCCACCTTAGGGGAGGAATAACCCAAATTAACAGGGCTGGCCCAAGACATTTTGGTACCTGAGGCAAACCTCAAAAATGGCACCACCACCCCAAGTTGTAAGTAGTAAGTGAAGATCTACATTGCGAACAGTGTCAGGGGATCAAATCAACCTGATGGTTGATGTGGGAAGTAAAGGCCATCACAGGGGAGAAAGGGACCAACTCTGGGCTGGTGGAGCCCAGGAGAGCCCAGGAGGCAGCCCCTGCCATTTCCTCCCTAGGGCTGGGAGAAGACCAGCAATGCCTATTTGCTGAGTGCCCACAGTGGAGGCAGAATTGAGGCAGAGGGCTGCTGAGGAGGCAGCAGGACCAGCTGCCAAGGAATACACCACAACTGTCGCAGCCACCACAGAAGCAACAGCAGGTGGCGATGCATTCCTGTGAGGCTGGATTTGCTCCCACTGTGGCTCCTGCCTGAGGCAGTTGCCTCACTCTGCTTCATGGGTGGACTAGCCCTGCAAATCAGTATGTGACATTGTTGGAAATCATTTGCATAAACAAATTAAAGTATTTGACTTTTCATTATAATTGCCAGCACTTGGAATGGTAAGATTCACTGTAAATATATGCTAGTTCATATACTCAAATGATGTTTGAAACCATTCATTCTATGTCCATTTCTGTGAATTTTAGGAAGTTTTAAAAACAACAACTGCTGAACTACTTAGCATTTCCCCCCATGTGCAGTGCTTTTTTTCAGCTGGAGCATGCCTGAGCACAGTTCCAGCACCTCTCAGGTAGGCACCATTGTGGGCTGGCGCTGTTTCTTCCCTTTACGTACTTCTGAGAGCCCAAAACGAACATTTCAAGTCAAAACAGAAGCTGGCCAGCATGTGCGAGTCTATACTTTGTTTTAGATCTAAGACTCCACCTAGCTCCTAGCTGCTTCTAGTCATGATTCGTCAAGCTACAGGGCGTGGCCAATTCATATTTCCTTTTCTTCAATCTGTCTCCTGTGTAGCAGCAGTGGGCTTTCCAGCCAGGCTTCTGCCATTGCATGCACGTGCATTTGCACAAGGGCCCTTTTGAGCTGCCCTAGCCATCTGCCTGAATCTAAGAGAACAAAGGAGGCAGGGGCACACTTATTTGACCTGCACCAGAACCAGGGGAGACCCCCAAACCAGCTAGGGAGAGATTACCATAGTGTTTAGTGCTTCTGTGGGTTGTGAACACAGCTGTTGTCAAACTGGCATCTGTTCAGGGCTGCCCTGAGTTGCCTGGCTACTTACTGTAACAACTTCATGGTGAATTCTGGCACCTATTTTTCTTGTGCAGCTTCCTAAAATGCATAGAAATGAACACAGGGTGGCATTCAACAAACCTGTACTCAGAGTAGACCCACTGAAATTAATGGACCTAGTGCAGCCATGTTTATTAATTTTAATGGGTGTTCTCTATGTTAGTTGAATACCACTCATAGAGTGGATTGTTTCAAACCTAATTGTGTGTATAGGTATATATGTATTCATGGTCAAAATAGCATGAGAAATGTTACTTTTTGAGTGTTTTGATGTTTGTATAATATGTGGAATCCACACACCCCTGTCTCAATGAGGACCTGTGCATGGAAACAAGTATTTAGCAAACAGCCCCTGACAACTACAACATCCAGAGGGCTGTTATATACACATGGACCTGGTCAGATCATCACTGCCAATCAGAACAAAAAGGGGAAACGAGGTACAGGATTCATCCCTTCTCCTCTTCCGAGATCAGGGCTGTTGGCAGAATCCTAATCCAGGCTGTTGCATACACATACAGTTAGACTGGATCTCTTGTACATATGACTAACCTATTACATACTACATTGTCTGCTATAACTAGAGAACTACCTGTTCTAATAAAAAGGGTTTAATTAGGCATTGCTAATGACAGAAATAACATTTTAGCTTACTGCAAATATAACCCCCTGGAATTGGTTGTATGTCAAGGCCAATCCTCATGTCAAATTTAAATGGTGAACTATTGACAGACTTGCATTCACAGTGCAGTGGGCACATTTGATTCCTTGAGCATTTATAATGGTATGTTTGCTGTTATTCATCTTTCATGCCATTTTTTATTGTGTTTTATTTCTTGGCCTTTATTTGTTTATTTTTCTCTACCTCCTCCCTTAACTGTAGGGATTCTGCTCTTCTTCCTCTATAAATAGCAATTCACAGTCAAGATCCGTCCAGTAATCTTGACTAATACTGCAAATATATACCATTTACACGGAGATATTGATTTAAGCCATTTTGATTCTGGTGTATCTTTTTGCTGAAATATTAAAATTGGGGAGCTGACTCCTGATGCTATGGTTAAAGAAAAGGCAAATGATAGCTCTTGAGGGATCAGAACCAGGGTTCAGCTCTTAACAAGTATATGACATAAAAATCTGACTCAGCATTAGAATTTAAGACATAAGGCAGGTGTTTTTGCAGCTGGTTTACCTGTGCAGCCAACTTCTTGTTTAAGTGGTATTGAATGCACAGCTAAATGCAGAAGTCCCATAGGTTAATAATTCTTTTTCTGTGACTTCACACTGAGTGCCCTCTTCCTATGATACACCGCTCACACAAATAAAGTGGCTATGATAGTGTCAGCACTGACTGTTAGATACATAATCAGAACTCCAGACATAATCATGATTAGGGCCTCTACAAGTGTAGCATCATAATTAGACCTAGAGAGTCAAGACACTGATGGTCAACTGGCTCCAGGAAGACTTAGTGTTTCTGGACTTAACAGCATCTAGAGTTTAAGAATCAAAATTCACAATAGTTACAAAGGCTATAGAAAAAAGTCTGAAAGCAACAAGAGGAAGCAGAACTGAAACAGGGAACAAGATACCTTGTTAACCCAAAACCCTGTTGGATATATGTATGCCTGATGAGAAACTACCCTCCCATCAAATCTTAGGTCCTGGGGTAATCAATAAAATAAGGTACAAAAGTATATACCACTTTCCAATAACTGACTTCCAGAAAAAGCAAGTCCTGGATCAGGCTGGGACCTAGAATGGGATGGTGGGTTTCCATTTGTTTTTATTCTGGATTGAAGCTTGTCACATCCACACCATACATTAAAAGCACATGCTTCCCCCCCCCCCATAAAAACCTAGGAGTTATAGTTTACACCCTACAGAGTTACAATTCCTACCACACTAATAAACTGCAGTTCCCAGGATTTGGGAGGGAGAGTCATGTAATTTAAATGTATGGTGTGGATGTGATCCACAGTGAGATTCTAAGTAGAGAACTGAAATTATATATTTGCAGCAGCAGTGGTAGGTGCTGAAGGTTAGGTGACCATGGTGTTTATCTCCAACCAGGAGAAAATGCAATAACCTACAAATTAATTGGTGGAAATTACTATGCTTGACAAATGGGTCTCCTGAGATCAGTGCCTGAATTCCAGCCTTGACAATATCAGATATGTTTGTGTTTGCAAACATTTCAGGAAATGGCCTTCTCATTGATTTTCTCCTGTACACTTGAACTGATGTCTGTCATATTGTGTTCTGTCAGAGACAAGGATATTGGTCAGCATGAACCTGAAGTGAAGTTATTTTCACTTAGAAGTCCAACTTCAACACTCTCATCAGCAGATGCACAATGTGCAGCCTTTCAATATATTATACTATTGTATTTATTAGTGCTAAGAAATCCTTAACAATTTTTACAAATTCATTCTGTTCACTATAAAAGATGGCTGGTACAGTTCATGCCTCATTGGGGGGAGGACACAATTTTGTACTGCTTGTATAATACAGAAAAACTTTGAGATGTGCATTTTGCAGATCATACACAGAAGAACTCACGTGTGATTGATTCTTCAGGCATTATGAATATATGATAGATGGAAAGGTTTGTTCTCCCTTTCTTGACATGAATGTAATGAACTTGATATTATAAATAAAATAGCAAATATCACAATGCCTTTATAGAGATCTGAGGTGCATCCCCATTTAGGATACTATATACCATTTGCAACTGTTGTCTCATCTCAAAAAAGATGTGAAGAAATGGAAGATGCACAAAAGGATTTGAAGAGGTGGTAATGGTATGAATGTTTTGTTTTTTAAAGGATCAGACTAATTAATGGAGGATAAATTTAACAATGGCAATTAGCAATGATAATTTCAGAGGCAATATACTTTTTACTACCAGATGCTAGAGGCAAACGGCAGGAATGGCTACAACCACCGTGCCTTGCTTGTGAATTTCCCAGAGACTTCTGACTGGCATATATTCTGAATTTCAGTATTTTTCTAGTTATGCATGGTATTGCTAAAGTGTATTACATTATCCTGTTTAATTTTAGAAACTAGAAGAAAATACTGAAATTCAGAATACACACACAATAAATGCTATGAAGTTCTGAAAAATAAAGTTAAATAAAATATTAGCAATAATGGCCAAAGGACATACATATCAGAAAGAGAAAAAGATATGAAAAAGTGTGTTATAATAATATTTTAATAATCTTAAAACTTTTGCTGAAATCATAAGCTGCTAGAAGCAGAATCCAAGAAACAGATACCTATCACTAATTGAGGTAATTATTTCAAGGTTCAGCACATCCCCTCCCCTTTTCAAAAAAGCAGAAATAATTTACTTGTATGGTGTATGCTTTAAGCATAAGTGCAATGTCTGTTTAAAATATGCAAACATGTGAAATAGTCTTTGAGTTTTCCTTATAGCATGAACAGCCTATAAGAGTTCCAGAATGTAGTCAGCAGTAACACAAGAGCCAATGCCCTTGCATGGCATATGCTATAATGCAGTTGAGGGAAAATGGATTTGGAATAGTGCTTTTGCAAGTGTGGCTGAAACATGGATCATATCAGCCCCACACCAGATGCCATAAATGTCATTTGTGGCTTCCCTGCAATTCACTACTTGGTTAATGTCAATAGCCAGTAATTGAGCTGATGGAGATCTGGTCAGGAAGTAGTATGATAAAATTAATTTGTTTTTTTACCACCCTGTATCTGCATTGGATTAGCATTCCATCAGCAGAAAACAGCTGCTCTATATAAATGTCTACTTTCAGTTTTAGCATTTGGTTAAAGCATGCAAAGGATTGACTCGCGGTACAGCCAGACTTATAAAAGCATCTGGTTAAATTTCTGTCTCTGTGTTTCTGAAGCAGAACCAGACTCAGCAGCATGCATAGAACTTCAGGTTCCATTCCTAGCGTCTCAAATTAAATATTTAATAAGCACTAGTTCAGAAAAGACCTGGCTGAGGCCATGGGAGTGCCTAAAAGACAGAGTAGAAGCAATTCTACCTTTGGGCTGGTCACTGGCCTGTCTGTTTAAGACATTTCCATTGTTTCTTAAATCGTTATATAATTATTTCCCTAAAAGTCTGTTTAAATGTATACTTTCTTGTTGCAGCATGGTTTAAGATGTTAACCAACTCTTTTTAGTACTGGAAATACCAGTACTGAATATGAACTCAGTAGTAAAGAATAATTTAAAAAGTTGCAATCCTAGCTGTGGGATACTGAGGAGAAAAATGGTGCCACTTACTCTAGAGTAGTATTATTTATATTACTGAACTATTCCAAGTAAATAGTTCCAGACTTGCAGTCTGAAGCTACCAGACCTCTTCTCAGTAGATCACAACTTTTTTTTTTCTATTGGTCTATAAGCCAACTGATGCAGATTCATACCCTCCATACGTTTGGTATGAAAGTGCATTTTGTTGCATTGGCGGTGGGGGGAGCATAATTTCCTTCACCCAGGTTGAATTGGATCCATTACATTCTAGAAAATCAGCATAGTCTCTCTATTGTGCCGTCCTATCCCCCCCCCCCATTACTCTCCTCCATTGCTGTGTTCTGTTATTCCTGTGTTATCCAAGACATAGCCTATTGGGCCTCTTCGCTGGAGACTTATTACAGTTTATCTCTGTCTGCCTTTCTTTAAAGCCAGCTGAACATACCCAATGCTCTTCCTCTATGGTAAGATCTAACAGAACCCTGCCCCCCCCAGCTGCTTCTGTGACACACTTCTTAATCTAATACACTCCCTGTTCTCTCTACCCTGACCATCTAGGTTTCTGTCTCAAAGCTTAGCCTAGTTATCTCTGCATGAAGCCACCATGTTGTGTTTCTGTTTGTTGAGTCTGGTGTTCACATGAGCTGTTGATTATGCTGCACATGATGTGTATTTATTGGGCATCCTTGAGCTTTCCTTTAGTCAAGTTAACTGTTGTCCTACGTTCTAATGAATAATTACCAAGAGAGAATTAGAATCCTTTTCAGATTTTCTGTTTGTTAAGTCATGAGCTCTTTGATGCAATGGAATTGACTTGCAAAATGAATTGAAACTATGAACAAGATCCACATTGTTATTTTTGTGTGTGAAAATTACCCATACAATGAACAAATAGCACAAATAGAATAAGATGTGGCAAAGAGAAAGGCACTGTGCATTTGCTCTAGAGTCCAGTCCTGAGTGCCTGATAACACTCTTCAAGCATCTAACCTATTCAGGCTTCAAGTCATTCAGCAACAACCCTCTAGCTCCTGTCATGTGGCCCTGTTCCTGCTATCCACGGAAACACCGTTTACCTTCCCACCGGAGCGGTACCTATTTATCTACTTGCACTTTGAGGTGCTTTCGAACTGCTTAGGTTGGCAGGAGCAGGGACCGAACAACGGGAGCTCATCCCGTTGCAGGGATTCGAACCGCTGACCTTCTGATCAGCAAGCCCTAGGCTCTGTGGTTTAACCCACAGCACCACCCGCGTCCCATTGGCATAAATTTCCTCACTTCTTGGTGAAGCTGGGAATAATGGGACTTTGGGGAAGGGATTAGTAACTCTTAAGAAATAATGGAATTCCTTCCTTCTCTCAGTCCAAATTTCATAATGCTCATTGGGTTTACTCCACAAATACAGAGACCTCCCCCTTGGCCTCTATTTTCTTAATTCTGCAAGTAGGATATGTTGAGCAAAACAAGCCAACAGTGTTGTTTAGAGCACCCCCTTAGAATCTCAGCTGAATTGTCTGCCCTTGAACAACAAATATTCCCCTCTTCCACTGGCTGTAACAGACATGTTTTCATGCAGAATCAACTCTAGAAAGTGTCAAAACTAACTAAACTACTGTTATGCAGGGCACAAGCCTACTGAAAACAAATGCTGTCAAGGCCAAATGGACTTGACAGTAAAGCATGGATTATGGTTATAGCATCTTAACAATACCTTATTTTAATAGAGAAGGCTGCAGGTATTTTATGTAAACTAAATTATTCAAAGAGAGAACTTTGTTCTATGTCTTGGGTGTGGGTGTACACACACACACACACACACACACACACACACCGAAAGTGCTATTTTTGAGCTCTTAACAGGAAATCAAAGGGGTCTGTTCTCTCCTGGTATACACAGTGGTGAGTAAGATCAGATTGGGGTATGTGTGTTTTTGGGGGGTGATCTGCACTGTTTCCTGGTTATGTACTTCTTCATTATTTGGCATCAAATTCTTCGCTCTGTAGCAATGGAAGAGAATGTGGGCACAATATGTACTCAGAAGCGGAAATGTTATTTCCTCCCACAGCATCAGGCAGTGCTTCAACAGCACATCTAGTAGAAGAGCAGAAGAGTTCCTTAGGGCACTAGAGGAAACAACCCTTTGTTGTTCTACTTAGCATGGTTTGGGAGCTTCATTTCCCACCACACCCACCAGTAGTCTGCCTGGCAGGGAGTCTTCTCACAAAAGCCAAGGCAAACTAGTTGATCCCACTTGTTCAGGAAACTCTTGCCTTGGCATAACATAAGTGCAGAACAAGGAATGTTCAAGCTAGTCACATTCCCCTTGGGGAACTGGGTGAGGGAGATGAATACTGAGGGACAAGGCAGGAGCTGTGAGAACAGAAAAGGCCACTTAGGGGGGGATATCTAATTTAAACTCTAGGGACTGTTAAACAGTAGCAGTCAGGCCAAATAACTGCTTTATCAGAGCAAGGCACAGGCTATGGGAAATACCTAGGGGTCATGAGAAATATAACTGAGAACAGTGAGAACAGTGAGCATGTAGTACAAAGCTATTTTTAAAAAAAGCAAGAAGTGGGAAGATCATCAGATCCTGAAGAAATCATTCTAGTTTAACTTGGTTTATGCAGTGCAGGTCTCTTTGAAAGGGATTTCCCATTCAGAAGGAAGCTTTGGAATTGCTGTTGTTCCTCAAAAAACATGAATTAAGTATATATTGGGTAAAGTTTCAGTAAACCTTGGCATCTTTAAGGTTAACATTTTTCCTGCAGAGAAAATTCATGGGAAAACACATGTGGATATTATATTGTTTTCCAGTATAATTCATGCATCTGCTCTCATGAGTATTTCTTCAAGGAATATAAATTTCATCAGAATTGACCATTAAGCCCCTCATCTCAACTTAGCACTGTCTGCATCTTGCTATTTTGCTGTTGCTTACAACTGAAGACTGATCAGCTACCTCCTTTTTTGGTGGGCTGCTTTCTCCTCCTACTTCTTCCATGGGGTCTGTCACAAGGAAAGCAAAGTAAAGCACACTGTTCTCCAGATGTTATGCCGGCTGGGCCGTAGCAATTAGGTTTCCGTTAACTGCATGCTCAGCTCCAAGCTTCATAAATATCCTTCAGTGAGCATGAAAAAGGCCATGGCTGTGTATGCACCCATTTAAATCAGTGAGAAAATTGAACATAGGTTGAACATCAGTGCTCAGCGGAGCCACAGGGCATGCACCACAAGGCGGGTTGGTTATATATTCAAGCTAGATCATCAAAGTAGCAGACTGGAGCAGTCTGAACAGCAAGCAGGGCATAAGGAGACAGTTTCTGTAGTGTTCTCCTGTGCTGAGTAACACTTATTACCTGAGGCATGAAGTACTTTGTTTCCATTTCCTCCTGCTTGTCACCATGACCAAGCAGCAGGAAGTTATGAGCAAAATGGAGGTCTTGCCAGTTACACCTATTGATCAAATTACATATGGGGCAGTTTCTCAATCCATACAAATTCAAAACAAAGTAGCTTTCTTGTCTCACAGGTTATGATATATCAACCAAAGGAATAGCAGAAACTGTGCCTTACCCTACCAGCAAGGCCCTTGAAAAATATTTATTGTTAAAGTTGCGGTGTGAGGGAGAGAGATTTTGGATAATGCCACTGAAGAACCATGGGGAACTGTTGAGGAATGATGAAGAAAAAAATAGGCTAACAATTTGGTCCTAGAAGACAGATTATATATCTGCATTCATCTGTCTGAACTTCTGGGACTAGTGAAAGATTAGAGGTCTATAAGGCAGGGGAACAGTGCAGTGAGCTCTTCCTGTGAAGTAGCATTTTCTGTGGCCCAGGGTCTGTGTTCCTCATCTTCTGTTGTAACTACTGCCCTCTGTGCCAATGGGTTCCAGAACGCAGAGGAAAACTCTCGCATCTCAATCACCTTTTTCCGACTCTTCCGCGTGATGCGTCTGGTGAAGCTCTTGAGCCGAGGCGAGGGCATCCGCACACTGCTATGGACCTTCATCAAGTCCTTCCAGGTAATTCTTTATTTCTTCTTCTATGCCTTTGCCTTGGGACAGTACTGATGTGTTTGCCACCTCTACATTGCACATTTTTATATAGATCAGCAATGATCCCTGAATGGATAGTTTTTTCCAGTCACAGGTCTCCCAGCATTAGGGTGAATGTGATGAGGCAGGATGAGGTAAAGGATTTCAAAATCTAAACCCAGATCTGTAAACCATGTGGAGGTGTGGAATTGTTTAGTAAACTAGCTGATTTTTATGTTTCATAAACTCCCTTTAGTGCAGTTTCCAGAGGGGTAACCATGTTAGTGTGTTGCAAGAAAAACACCCAAGTCTTGTCACATCTTTAAAGTTAACACATTTATTATGGCCTAATATATTTATTAGCGGCTAAGGTGCCACAATACCTTCTTTCCTGAATTTTAAGTTAATACTGGACATTGAATTGGGATTGTTGGATCCTCCTCTGATAAACATGCTAAGGCAAAATGATTGATATAGTCATATTTTCCCAAGGTAGTTCACAACCCTAGTTTGTATTTTTTATATATATATTAAAAGTACGGTGTTTTACTTTGTCCCATCAGGTCAGCCTGCGAACAAGCACTATCTTTTTGCACTAATGATTTATGCATCTGTGGCCACAACCAGAAATTTGGCTTTGTCCAGTAATGGCAACAGCTCCAACCCCTATGCATGCTTTGGGCATAAGCTGATGTATCTTAATAACAGACACCAGTACTAAATCCATGGCAATGGTCACAAGACAATGTGAGCTCACACAATTTGTTGTTGGCATCTGTCTGTCTCGAGAGACAATGGAGTGTGCCTCCGAGGGGAGAATCACAGTGCCTGCTGTGGCTGCAGAGACCAGCAACTTGTAACTGCTGCCTCCTGCATTGTTTTTGCTGTGTTAGCAGCACCAAAATTAACTCCCTAGGGCACAGGCCTGTGCAGTGTATATAGAGGTCCTGGGCTGCCCAGGTTATAAGACACCCCCCTCCCTCAGCCTTGCTGATGTGATCCAAAGGAAAGCAGAGCAGTACATTTGGCATCAGCCTGGCTGCAGGAGCTGCTAGAAGGAAGTGTACAAGACTCCATCCAACCATCTTAGTAGCTCCACTCTGGATTTGTCTGTAGGGTTCACTCTTTAGCCTTTTCTTCCCCCAAAGATATCCCTCAAGGCTCAGGTATGGATTTTTCATCAGGGTTTACTCCCGAAGCCTTTCTCACAAATGAATAAAAACCTCAAGGCAGTGGAGGTTTAGGATCAGTTTTCCTTCTCTTAGATGGGCTACCTTTCGGGCTGACGAGCCCCATGAGCTAAGCAGAAATAACCCATGGGTGTCAACAAGCACCATTTTTTAAAAATGCATTTTAAAAAATTATTATCAGCAAGTTTACAGCCAAGGAGTTTCCTGACAGAACTTTAAAAACAGGCCCCAAACAAAGGACAAAGCTCTGTCCTTCTGTAGTCTGTCAATATCAGTCCTATTTCTCAGCACAACAAATTGCTCCATCTCTTATTCCCTTTACATCTTTATTAACACTGTGCCTCTCACTGAGTCACTGTTTGGTTCTTAGTTCTGTCTTCCATGATCCTTTATAATTTACCCATATGGACAGTATCATAAACAAGTAGAAAGTCAGTTGTCAAAAAGAGCAAGAATTGCGTGCTTAGAGGTTATTCAGACAAACATAACAAGAGTGTTAATTTTTTGGAGTCAATAAATGACAGAAAATGGAAATTTACAAAACATGTACACTGCAAATGGATCCCAAAAAGGAATGAATTCCATTATCATTGTGATTTCAGCAATATTTTCCAGTGTTTCCAAAAGATGTCCCACAAAGTCTAACAAAATTCTACTCTGCACAGGAACATACATGTTGACAGTGCTAAATAGTTACTAAATATAAGAACAACAATATTCATTGAAACCCAACGTCATTACTTATTAGATGAATTAAGACACTCTACTTTCCTCATAGTTACATAAAAAAGTAATGAATGACCTCGTTTCAAAAATGCTTTATCACCATATTTCTCCATAAAATAATTTAAAAACATTTCACCCCAACTTCCACTGACAGGAAACAATACTTGGAATTAAATTACTTATGAAGCTTATAAAAGCAGTGGCAGAAATACTTAATTTTAAAGTAGGGAAGAGTAGTTTATGCTGATAGATGTTGTTGTATATTGGTTATTGCACAGAAAAATGTAACTTTTTCAAAAAAACATCCACAAGATACAGTATACACCTGCCTGCATTGAGATGATGGTAACGTATTTACTATACCCAAGATAAAATCAAATACTGGGCATTAGCCAATGTTTGCTTATGTTCAACAGCAGTACTACAGATATTGTCTACTGAAAGCAAGACCCACTTCACATATTTTTTCTGACACAAATATTAATAATAATTTCAGAAAAATGAATGTGCAGTGCAAGACTTATTGACAATATAATTATGGTTCTGTGTGTTGATAGCAAGTTTAGTCAAAGATCAGGTGAAGTCAAAGATGGATCAGCAGAGGCACCTAGTGGAAAAACAGACACATTACAACAATTCATTGTTCTTGCAATGATTTCGCATAATACTGTACATGCATTAAAAAAAATTAGATGCACAAGTGCATCCATGTTTCCACTTTCTGCCATATATGACTTGCCACTTATACAGCTTCAGGGATGGGGTGGACGACTATTGCTGCTGCTGTTGCTTACATTTATAGCCTGCCATTCCTCCAAAGACTTTAAGGTACTGTACATGGTCATTCCCCCCCACCCACAACACATACATTTATTGTTATTATTTGTCTTCCACACACATATCTCAAGGTGATATACAAAAGTCCATTCAAAGAAATAAATATTGTTGAAAGCAACATGGAAAATAACCTCAGATAAGCTCAAAAACAATAACCAACTAGGCACACCTAAGGCAGAGACTTATTCAGTGGTGAAAGTCTGTCCTAACAACAATCTTGTGAGGTAAGCTAGTACGGGAGATATGAGACCCAAGGTTATCTAGTGAACGTCATGGCTGGGCAGAAATTTGAACCTGTTTCCCCAATCCTAGTCCAATATTCTAACCATTTCAACATGGTGGGTCTCCAAGGGATGTATGAATTTCCATTTGGAATGTGACAACATGTGAGGGAAACAGCAAGTATAAATGCATTTTCATGTGCTTTGCTGCACACTGAATAGGCAAAGCCACTTTTGCCTTCTGTCGCATCCCTTCAGGCTGTTGTAATAACATATAGGGGCTTGCTGAAATACTCCTTTCTTCAACAAGTCAAACTGTCTTATTAAGTGGCACACCATGATCTATTTTGGGTTTTTTTTTTCCCCCAGGCTCTTCCCTATGTGGCTCTTTTAATAGTGATGCTGTTTTTTATCTATGCTGTGATCGGGATGCAGGTAGGTGATTTCCTAAAATTAATGTTTTCACATACAAAAGTATATATGGAAGTCAACAAACACTTGTAGGAAAACGATTTGATTGACCCAAATATTTTGACAAAGTGCACAAAAATAGAGTATATTGAAAGAGATGTGCCAATAGGACTTTGATGTTCATATTTGTTATGTCAGTTCAAACAATTTGGTGGAGACAATGGAGAAGGGGCTTCCTGGTTCATTTTGAAGTTGTTTGGGGGTCTGGAAATGTATGGTCAAGGAACGAGGAGCAAGCCCCTGCTGCTTTCTTCATTTTATTTATTAATTTTTTACAGAGGTTGTTCACCATGGGTGGGGCAACATTAGAGAAGATTAATTGCTTTCCCAGCTAGTATAAATACTTAAATGGATATATTCACGTCAAAGGATCAAAACCCCTGTAAAAGGATGACTTTGACCTGTGTTGAGAAGATTGCTACAGTTGCTTTGAAGTACAGGTGAAAAACCACACCAAATGCTCTTAGAATATTGTACCTGCTTTTTAGCAGTTTAATTTAGAATTTATCTAAACATTGGCATATGAATCTTAGTTGCAGTAAATCTTATATCTCTTTTAACCACCAGCCTTATCTGAAATATCATAAGAACATAGGAGTCTGCCTTACACCAAGTCAGACTATTGGGCCACATAGCTCCGTATTGCCTACAGTAACTGGCAGCTACTCTGTAAGGTTTCAGGAAGGAGACCTTCCCAGCCCTACCTGGAGATGCTGGGGAGTGAACCTGGGACTGTCTGAACATAGGCATACCTAGGTTCCTTGTGCCCTTGGCCAGGAGCTGTATTGACGACCCACCCAGAAAAGAATCTGAGAAGCAGGTGAGATTGCTTGGACAGGAGGAACATGCCTCCTTGTGGCTGGATATTGCTTTCTGCCTGGAAGCCGCTCCAAGGATCTCTTTCCACTCCCTCCTGCAACAGCAGCTGCAGCTTTTCCTTCTGGAGATCTCAGAGGATTCCTTCTGCAGGCAAAACAGATGCTTTTGCACCCCCAGGACAGGCTGCTTTTGCCAACCCCTAAGTATGCCTCTGCTTCTGCACATAAGGGCAGATGCTGTACCATTTAGCTATCACCCTTCACCATCTGGTTTTGCACTGCCAGTCTAAAATCAATTGATGAAAGAGCTACATTGACACAATTGGTTTACAACTCGTGGAACTTCAGTTTGTGTCATAATTTGGGGCTGGCATTGGGGAACCATGCCACCCGTGACTTCAACAGCTGTGTAGCAGGTAGAAATTCAATAGGTTACAATTATAGGAAAAGCATCGCCTGACAGCATTTTGTCAGTCAGACACCCTACAACTTGTGGATAGCTACTGATTTATTATTGGGCCTTCCACCCCACTCACAAAAGAGGGCACAAAATTGTGTATGAAACACACATACACACAAAGCAAATGTTATACATATGTGTGCCTTCTTTTCCAGTGGGGGTGGAGAGCCCAATCCACAAAGTGTACTGGACCAGAAAATGTTGGAATCCCTGGTTCAATACATTCAATCAAGTTCTTGGTATGCGTGTATGTTGCAGAGAAGAAGTGAAGCTTTAGAAACACACTTTTTCCTTCTGCTACAACGTGGTGTACCTGGCAGTGTTTATCTGTCCAGTGTCAGTGGTGGTGGGTGGATTTTGCCCACACCACACCATTGTCTATCAAACACAATATCTTATTTTCCCCCATATGCATGGATAGCAGCCATTCACTTACATGGGGGGGGGGAGGGAAAAAAGTGTGTACTCAGGGGCAGAACTGAGGTGGGAGCTAAACTACCCCTGGGTTTGCAACTCTCCCAACAGCATTGTTTATTGCAACCCATCTTCCTCCATGCAGATTAAACCTGCTCCTGTCTTGGTCATAGTATAATATGGTTGCTAATGTAATAGAGACAGAACCCACAGAGCTTCCTTTTAATATATGACAAGGCAGAAATGCACCTAATTTGTACACAATATTTAATTATCCCAGATGAATGTTGGACACTTTGCCTCATTCAAGATTTTAACAATCTAATTGATCTTATTATATTGCAAAACCAATATTTCTGCAAAAAAAGAAATATCTGCATTAAAATGTGTATCTTTGTCACAAACAAAGTTTTTGCATTAATCTATATTTTGAATTTGACATAACGAAGAAATAATTAGAAAAGGTTCAGGCAATTCTAACTCACATTCATATTTTAATAAATAATTAATAAATATTAAGTGCTAAGTATTTTTTATTATGTCTCTTCTCTTTGGCAATCACTCGTAGCAGAGTAAGATTGTCTTCCACGAACACTGTCTTAACAGTGAGTCTGTATAGGACTGTGGAGGCCAATTCTGGATCTACATGTCCTTCCACAATGGGGACATAGGTTTCCGGACGGGAGTTGATCACGTGAAGGTTTGTCAAATGTGCCTTCCTCTTAGCTCCTTTCTCCTTTTCGCCCTGAGTTCATGCTTCTTCAAAGTCCATCACACCTTTGGTAAAGGCTGTTCTCCAGTTGGAGCGCTCGCAGGCTTATACTACATTTGTTTAGATTTGCCTTGAGAGTGTCTTTAAACCCCTTTTGCTTTCCATTTTTGAGTTTGGAATAGAGTAGTTGCTTTGGAAGACAATAATTATATCCTCCTCAACTCTGCAAAGTCCCATTTCCTCAGCTACTCAACTCTTAATGGGCATGAAGGGTTTTGCCAAATCCCTTGCAGTGAAAAAGCCTGGTGAGAGTTGTTTGAATCCACTTGATGCAAGAGTTCCCTTTTTTAAAAAAAATGCCCTTGAGACATTACTATTGAGTCATCAGTTTGGATGCACCAGAACTGACAGTTACATGAGACTTTCCTATTTAAGGAAAGAAAGAAAGAATCTATCTTAGCTGTCTCTTCTGATACTAAGCATCACAATGCTTAAGCTTCACCAACTTATGTGACCAAGTGGAAAAACACAAATTGATTATGATGGATGACGCTGCCCAGCTGAAGCTTCAACAAGTGTGCTTAGAGGAAGAATCTTCTTTTCTGTCGTCTTCTGCATTGCAATCACTTCTACATACTGTACTTTGCTAATGAGTAAGATGAAATGCTGATTTTAGCCTAACCATTGCCCCTCATTTAGTCTGTTATATGAAGAGCTTAAAAGAACAAATGAAATATCTCATGGAAACATTGCCTCATACTCTTCTTTCCTGAGATGAAAAATATGGCCTGCCTCAGAGTATTTAATCTGTCCTCCTGCAACGGTAACTCCCAACACCCCCTCAGAACAGCTGCAACTGTCATTACTAAAATAGTGAGTCTGAGCCTGGGGGAGTCTGAGCCTAGAGAATTTCAGAGTACTCCTAAGGCAACTAACTTAGAATAACTTCATTTTAAAAGCAATTTTCTGCCTCTCATGCTTAATTTTTTAGAACATTCCTGTATTTCTTTCTCTTTAAAAAGCATGATGCTCAGAAGGATATTGCAGCACCTAAGCCTACCAGCATGGGACGCGGGTGGCGCTGTGGGTTAAACTACAGAGCCTAGAACTTGCCGATCAGAAGGTCGGCAGTTCGAATCCCCGCGATGGGGTGAGCTTCCGTTGCTCGGTCCCAGCTCCTGCCAACCTAGCAGTTCAAAAGCACCTCAAAGTGCAAGTAGATAAATAGGTACCGCTCCGGTGGGAAGGTAAACGGCATTTCCATGCGCTGCTCTGGTTCGTCAGAAGCAGCTTAGTCATGCTGGCCACATGACCCGGAAGCTGTACGCCGGCTCCCTTGGCCAATAAAGCGAGATGAGCGCTGCAACCCCAGAGTCGTCCGCGACTGGACCTAATCGTCAGGGGTCCCTTTACCTTTACTAAGCCTACTAACAGGATTTTCTAGAACCACCACATGTGCAGAAATCAACCAGATTCTGCAGCACTTGCACATGAAAACAACAAGGAAAATATATCTCACAAGATACAGAGAATTGCAAGATGGTAGCCCTACTATGAAATGTAGCATGATACTGAACTAAAGTGCTGGGTTCATGCATATGTCACAGAATTAATTATTTCTGTACTGGTTCTTAAATAACAGAAGAATGTTCTTTAAATTTAAATGTAAATTCATCTTTACATGGCATCTTCTTCACTTATATACTGAAGCTAAAGTACTTATAGCTGTCAAATGAAGGGAAAGGATTTCTTGGCAAATCTCTCCTAGCCTGCCTAAGCTCTCCAAGGATTGTGTGTGATGTGGCCAACAGAATAACCCTGTAATTTTACATACACAATGTGTAATCTTGTGCTCAAATTTTGTAACTAAACCACTGTAATCCTCTGTACTTATTTTTGAAAAATATTTGTATTAATGTCATTTGTAAATTGAGAGAAAACACACATTGAGTTATATGGATAAAGAAAAACTGAAGGGCTACAGAAGCTTTAGAACAGATTAGAATTTAACACAATTCTGAATAATTTTAGAGTTGGCCTTAAAATTCAAAGATTCAGTTACAGAAAAGGAAAAATAGAGTTCAATCAAATATCTACACAGTACTGGGGAACAGTGTTCAAAACTCCTGTTGTTCTAGGTGCATTTTGTGACAAGGGATTTCATGAGCGCGAGCAGTTTCGGAGCTCTGGCCACAGTACTGCACCTAAGATTTCAGATTAAAACTGCGGAGTGAAAGAAAAGAAGAAACTTTTTCTGCCTCCCCACTTCCAGCTACTCTCTGAGAAGAGAAGAGACTGGAGAAGAGGCCATCTTAAGAATATTAGATGGGTGGGCAGGGGAAGGAATAGACCATGTGAAAAATGAACATATTTCAGCTGCAGTTCATTAATTTTCAGCATTGTATTATTGTTATTAAAAAAGTTTGCCTAGACATTCCGGCGTTGCGTCCATAACCTAGGTTTAAGGTGCCATTTAGCTCCTAACTTTCATATCTTAGTAGGCTGACGTTGAATCTGCTCTCCCGAGGAATAACCCCACTGATCCTCTGCGACCAGTTCCAGTCAGGCTGGCAGACAGCAGTCCTGAACACCCTTCAGAAACTGGGTGTTGCCCCTCAAGCCCTTCTAAGTCTGGGGTTGGGCCAGGCAAAAGCTACGGTCAGGCAAAGAATCATAGACACTGAGAGACAACAGGACTGCTCAAGGTGCCCCGACTGTAATATTGGAGAAATCGAGAGATATATAGCCGCACCAGCAGCATATCTCTTCTTTCTCGTATCCAAAAATGCAAGAAGGGCTTTTACACTTGCCAGAAGCTTGGCTCTGCCCTCGCCAGTCCTGGAAGGATCCTTTTAAAAAGTCCCATATGCTCAGAGACTTTGTGCCTGTTCATGTGGGGATATAGGAAGCCCAGAGCACTTGTTCTTTAGATGTCCCTTTTATGAAGAGGCATGTAGTGAGACCATTGATCCCCTGCTGGTGAGGCTCGCTGACCTCCCGGAAAAGCAAAAATTTGACCTTTTCCTGTCAGGCAAAGATCATAAGATGACCCGGATGGTTGCAAGATTCTGTTTACAGATCTGTAGGCACAGACTATCCCCCAACCCAAACTAGTTCGTTAAGAAAATCCCCAAACTCGATTCCATGGGTGACTCTGGATCATCTCTCTGCGGTAGCTTATCTTAAAGTTTTAAATGTCTATACGCTTATCGCATTTATAAATTTTAAGTTTATTGTTGTACATTGTTTTAAATATTTGTTTTCCTTCTGGGATTGTAGCCCCAAGTATGTTTTATAAGCTGGTCTCCGACCGTAATAAATTATCTATCTATCTTAGTTTCTAACACTGCTGGGGAAAGATGTGAAACAAATGAGTTTGAATATCTGAAATGTGGAGGGTGCATCCATATTTTTTTTATTTATTTATTTATTTAAAATAAATAAGAATATTAATGTGATAGCTAGCATGAAATATAATCTTACAAGCTCCTTTTTTCTACTAGGTGTTTGGTAAAATTGCCCTGAATGATACCACAGACATAAACCGGAACAACAACTTTCAGACCTTCCCCCAGGCAGTACTACTGCTTTTCAGGTGGGTTTCACACTTGTTTCCCTGGTTCAACTATATCATGGAGAAGTTAGTCACTGTGTCTAAGAGAAGCCACCTTACACTTGGGCTGTGATCCAATCAATTTGATACCCTGCCCAACAATAAATGTCCAATGATTGTTAAGATCTGATACATCCAAAATCTCCTAAAATGCATCTGCTCAAAGTTCTTTGCCATGACTAGCTAACTGAAGAATAGGTTGACAGTCCAATATTGCAAACATTGTGGCTGCTTTTGAACCATGAGTTACACTGTGCTGCAGGATAGTTAGTTCCCATTAGGTGGTGGAGCAGACATGACATGACTAGCTGAGCCTTTAATCTCTAGATCAGAGCTTTCCAAACTGTGTGTTGTGACATGATAGTGTGTCATCTGCAGTGTGTAGGTGTGTTGCGTGAATACTCCTTGTGCTCCTCCCGGGGCTGGAAAGGGGTTAGGTTAACCTCCAGTTTGCTAGTAAAACTGAATTATTGTGTCACAAAATGATGCATATCTAAAAAAGTGTGTCACCAACATGAAAACTTTGCAAAGCTCTGCTCTAGATTATTCAGTGGTAAAGACGAATTACCTTCTTCCCATCAACCCCTTTTCAATAGATGTGCTACTGGCGAAGCTTGGCAGGAAATCATGCTGGCATGCCTCCCAGATAAGAAGTGTGACCCTGAATCCTTGGAATCAAACAACTCTACTGAAGGTGACCATTCCTGTGGGAGCAGCTTTGCTATCTTTTATTTCATCAGTTTCTACATGCTGTGTGCCTTCCTAGTAAGTATATGTCAGCAGCTTATGAGTGTTAGTGATTAACATGCACTTAACTTGGAAACATAGGATGCAAAATTTTGCATGACAGACTACAAAATATGTCAGTCATTCTTACCTACTGGGTCTGCATAGACCATTTATCTCTCTTTTAAATTACTTGGTCTTTAATTTTGCTTGCTTACCACTTTATTTTACTTTATTTTATCCATACTAGTATTTGTTGTATTAAACAGAGTATGCAGGTTTGTAACTATATAATAGATTATATACATAGGATGCTGCCTTAAACTCGATCAAGCTAGTGGTGCCTTTTCCATCACCTACTACTTGTTCCTTTTCAAAACAAAGCAATGAAGTCTAGGTTCCTTTTCAGTTAAATGTTTTACAGAGTTTTCTTCTCAAATTCTGAATTGTGCATGGAAAGGAACTTCAATTGTGGATGTTCTAGCATGAAATACTGACTATTATTGTTGTTTCTGATCTTCCTTGCAGATCATTAACCTTTTTGTAGCTGTTATCATGGATAATTTTGATTACTTAACACGGGATTGGTCTATTCTGGGTCCTCATCATCTGGATGAGTTTAAACGGATCTGGGCTGAATATGATCCTGAAGCCAAGTAAGTCCCAGGACCATGTTCCAGATACATTTTTAGGAGAATAGTTGCCCTAACTTCTGTCTATTCACCACTGAATTTATTATTCTAAAACCATAGTTGTGGCATAGCTAAAAGTAACAACAACAACAACACTTTTGTAAAGCATTTTCAAGTGTTGAAAGTGCTTCACATGCATTATCTAATTGTTGTTCTTATAATAGCTCAGTAAAATGAGTTATATTATTATCCTCCCTATTGCAGGTAGGAGAGACAGAGTTGTTTACTTAAAATAAATTGTTGACCAGAATGCAGCATAAGTAATTTTGGAGAATGCTCTAGAGAGAAGAAACTTTAGCTGAATAACATCCTTTTGTTTTGAGAATTTTAAAAAAGGTTTTACAAAAGACCACTATTTTTAGCTGAATTTAGGACCATGAGGACTCAAAACCCAAAAGATCTGGACCAAAGTGTCAACCTCTATATCCAACACCACAGAGCAGTTATAAGGAAGGTATACCTGATCAGAACTGCTTTTACAGCGCATACGTGGGTGGTGCTGTCGTCTAAACCACTGAGCCTCTTGGGCTTGCTGATCAGAAGGTTGGCAGTTTGAATCCCTGCAACAGAGTGAGCTCCCGTTGCTCTGTCCCAGCTCCTGCCAACCTAGCAGTTCAAAAGCATGCCAATGCAAGTAGATAAATAGGTACCGCTGTGGCGGGAAGGTAAACGGCATTTCTGTGCGCTCTGGTTTCCGTCACGGTGTCCTGTAGTGCCAGAAGCAGTTTAGTGATGCTGGCCACATGAATCGAGATGAGTGGCACAACGCCATAGTTGCCTTTGACTGGACTTAACCGTCCAGGGGTCCTTTACCTTTATCCTTTACAGTGCATAAGCAAAACATAGCCAGATTATTTAAGAATACAGAATGCAGGTGGAAGTCTTTACTCATAATTGCATATATTTGCACAGTTGCATTCTAGTGTTAGTTAACTTTTATTTTGTTTTTCTTACTAAATGTGTTTAGAACCTGAAATGCATTATTCCTTTATAAAGGATATTCTGTAGAGCAGGGGTAGCCAATGTGGTGCCTTCCAGATGTTGCTGAACTCCAACTCCCATCATCTCTGACCATTGGCCTTGCTGGCTGGGCTGATGTGAGTTGGAATCACCAACACTTGGAAGGCACAACATTGCCCATCCCTCACCATAGAGGCTTTTATTGAATTAGAGAAAGTGAGTTTTTCAGGAGTAAATTTATAGTCCTAGTTTCACTAGACTAGGAAAGCAGGTTTATTTTCAGTGTCACAGTGCATGCTGCTACATCATGGGATAAAATCCCTTAGAAAGTCAGAGGGAGTATACTACACTGCTATAGTCTTAGAAAGAGGCAGATGCACAAATCATTGGTTTTTCTGAATTAAGAGATAACTGATTTAAGTACGTTTTGTTGTAAAATCCTACCAATTCAATAAAAACCCATATTATTGTATGTGTTTTGCATCACTGCAACTTAAAAGCAAGAGTTAGTTGCAATGCCCTGGTTTTTGTTAAAACTAACGTCATAAGGTATAGGCCCTAAATCAAAGCCTGTATCTGCTTCCTTTGCAACAGACACAGCATAGAATTCAATTCAATTGTTACAGCTTGCACTAGCTCCAGAATAAAAATAACAACAGAATTTGCTATATACATACAGAAACAGTTGGAAAATATCCTGAAAATATAGGGTGATACAGGAAGGCAAAGCAATAGGCCAGAGAGCCTGAGATCCCAATTCTTCAATATGAACTTCTCAAAACTCAAGATGAACAATTCTCAGATTTAGTATTTCATTCCCAACACAGAATGCACAGCATATTTGAGATACTTTTTAAAAAAATTGTCTGGGTTAATCAAAAACCAGTAGTAGGGAACTGGCATGCAACTTGGGCCCTTAGCAATGAAGGCACTCAGGCTCACAGGATTGTATTTGACTCAGATAAACTCATATAGTGTAGGTGGAATTCAGTGTCATATTATGATGATTGTTCCATCTGCACATGCATTTCTGACTGCTAGACACAACAATTTCTCCAATCCTTCCCCTGCATGCTATTTTGGGGGTTCTCTCAACTCTCTTAGAGGAGATGAGGGGAAGGTGCAGGGGCAAGAAGATGAGAAAAGCCCCACTGCACTAGCAGGAGTCCTTGCACTGATTCTCACTAGCACAATGAATTAGTTAAATCTGGTCCTGTATTCCTAACTAAGTGACACGTCCCTTTTGCACTTTCTCCTATAGGGGACGTATCAAACATCTAGATGTGGTGACACTGCTCCGTCGGATACAGCCTCCACTGGGTTTTGGGAAACTCTGTCCTCACCGGGTAGCTTGCAAGGTATGACACTTCTTTCTTTTTACAAAGGCGATCACATTAACAGAATCTAATCTTTGTTTGCAGTGCTGTTTTTCTAGAAAAAGAGGTGCCGGAACTCACCTCCCTTGTTCTCTTATTATGGCAATGGCACCCATCTGATAGGTGCTGGAACTGAGTTCCAGATGAAAAAAAGCCCTGTTTGTTTGAGACCTCTCACTAGATCCAGACATTAGTCCCTACTAAGCATTCTATGGCTCTCGTAGCAACTGGTGTTTAGGATATGGCAAAACTTGGATAATGTTGCCTCTCCAATTTAATGTCAATATGTCCCTTAGCTGCTGTGTTCTGATCAGACCTACCCACTATGGGGAGGGAATGTGAACTGATGTCGATTTGCTTTAAGAATATATCTCGTATTGGCCTGAATATAAGCCTCACTTTTCCGCCAAATTCTGACTGTGAAAAGTTACACTTATATTCGCAACCTTATGGTATGCAACCAGGAGTGTGGGGCAAACAGTGCCAGGAGCACAGCAAAGTGGCAACCGCCCAATAATAATAATAATAATAATAATTTTATTATTTATACCCCACCCATCTGGCTGGGCCTCCCCAGCCACTCTGGGCGGCTTCCAAAAAAATATTAAAATACATCAAACATTAAAAGCTTCCCAAGGCCGGGAAGGGAGAGAGCACGGCTCCCCCACTCCCAGTATGCAGCCAGGAGCAGCGAGGAATGGAGCGGCTTATATTTGGGTATTTTTTCTTTTTCTCCCTCCAATTTTAAATGTGCAGCTTATATTCGGGCCAATACGGTATATCACACCTTTGTCCAAAAATGTGTATCAGGGCAGTGTATATAAAAAATTAAAATCCACAGCAATTTAAAATGCCTTCCTTGGGGAATGGGGGTTCCAATACAGAGAAGGCACTGTTTTGAACATATATAATGTATTTCTCCTAAAGGTAGTACACAGAGAAGGCCTCCTCTGATGATCTTAATACACAGAAAGGTTGATATGGGAGGAGGCACTCCTTCAGAAATATAAAGGACACCAACCTTTATCTTTTTCCTCCTCCAACCCTTTCTTTGGTATCATATTTTTCAGATTGCAAATAAATGTAGTAAATAAATAAATCCCAAACCCTGAGCCCAATTTTAGGTAGGCCTCAGTGCTGCAGCCATCTCCTGTCTAGACTTTTTGGTTGGACTACTGTCAGCTTCAGCAGCTGCCTGCATGTGTCTGCACAGGCCCATGTGGGTGTGAGAATGTGCCAGAGAGCAAGATGAGAGAGGTGACTGCAGCATGTAAGGACCGAGCCCTGTGGAACCCCACATTGAAGGTTCCACAGGGCTGAAAAGCATTCCCCAAGCAATACCCTCTGGGAATGACCACCCAGGTAGGACTGGAATCACTGCAAAGCAGTGCCACACACCCCTCCCCCAGTTCAGACCGTCGCTCCAGAAGGATACCATGGTCGATGGTATCGAAAGCTGCTGAGAGGTTGAGAAGAATTAACAGAGACATATCTCCCTTGTCAAACTCTGCCTCCTCCATCCTTTAGTGACTGGTAAGCCTCAGTAATTTACAGCCCTCTCACATGAACCCTGGAATAGAAAGTTTGAGAACTTCTGATTTAGTCTGTTGGTAGCTGGACAACAATGCAGCATTTTCCATGAAAACTTCTGGAAATGGTCACTTTTGGATGCAATATACCAAGTTTGTCCAGGAAGATTCAAAAGTCAAAAAAGAAAGAACCTGGGGGTGAGGGGTATAGCAGTATTTGAGTTAATCTTGAACCTGATAAGAGAAAAGCATATGAATAAATATAGTTCATTCAGCATAATATTTTCTCTATTTTTTCAATCCTCATAGCGCCTTGTGTCCATGAATATGCCACTAAATAGTGATGGGACTGTCATGTTTAATGCAACTTTGTTTGCACTGGTCAGAACAGCGCTGAGGATCAAAACAGAAGGTAAGACCCTTAAGGTGCAGTATGATTGTGTGGGATACTATCAAGGCTGGGCCATGGACAGCAGCAGTCTGGAGTGAGCCAGGAACCGGGAGTCAGGACTAAAGACAAATACAGACCAAAGTGCCATTTATATTTAGACAGACATCTAGTGACTGGGGTAAGCAGTTTAGTCACATTTTTAAGGTATGGTTTTTACACCTATAATGACTTAAAATTTAATTCATAACAAATTAACTAATTCTTCAGTTTAGGCAGGTGTGCAGTCATGTACCAAATTACCTTATTATAACACCATTCTTTTGTGGCTGGCAGAGATATATGACTTTTCTGAAGGCTGTTCGCACATCCATGTCAGTATGTCAGAATACATGGGTCAAATGTGACAAATATGACTTTGCTTTTACCCTGTTCAAATTAACATTTACAAAGTGGCTGTCAACTAACTTTCAGGATTAACATAGTGATGTAGTAAAGCTAAGTTCATAATACAGAAAACTAGAACTGAGTACACAGTTAATTCATCATACTTCATTATGACTGTGATAATGTTTTATTATGGTTTTATATTTGCTGGAAGCTGCCCAGAGTGGCTGTGGCAACCCAGTCAGATGGGCGGGGTACAAATAATAAAGTATTATTATCATCAATCTAGATCTATTTAAAGTTCATCCATAGCTACAATTGTTGTTACATGAAAGCCTTAAATCTCTAGCTATATAAGAATCACATTATACAAATGTGTTAATAGTAGCCTTGAGTTTTACTTGAAAAGGGTCAAGTTGACCCTAATTGCTAGTGTTTTTGCTGCTCTTGAAACTTCCTCCCGCTGAATGGAGTCTTTATTTGCACTACAGTTTTTCTTCCTGGATGTATCTGTATTCAACATTATAACTATGTTAGACCTGGCTTTATCATTATACAGGGGTGTATTATTTCTAGGGTTATTTCCCCTGTATTTCTCACTCTAAGAATCCCTAGATTGTCTTCACACAACCTTTCCAATGAGAGAGGAGTATTCCTTTTTTTTGGGGGGGGGGGAATAAATTTTTATTGATTTCTTCTTTCCACAATAAGTGATAATTCCACAAATAACATCAAAAACAGGTTTTCCTCCCTTTCCCCATATATACATTTATCCTTTCAACACTATCTCTTGCGAGATTCTTAAAATCTCGCTACTTCCCTCCATTTCCACTTCTGGTTCTTTATATATACCAAATTCTTCTGCATTTCCATATCTATGCTTAGCCCATTATTATATCCTTAATTATCCAAATTTCTGGTAATTGCAAGAATTTAGTTGAAGCCTGTTAATGTTTCAGCTTGTTTATAATATTTTTGCACATATACAATAAATGTTTCCCACTCTTTTTTAAACTTCTCATTATCATGGTCTCTGAGCTTTGCTGTCAGTTTTGCCATCTCTGCATAGTCCATAAGTTTGATTTGCCATTCTTCTTTTGTTGGTATCATTTCTTCCTTCCATCTTTGAGCTAACAGGATCTGGGCTGCTGTTGTGGCGTACATAAATATCCTCTTCTGTTCTTTGGGTAGTTCAGCCCCTATTAATCCTATTAAGAAAGCTTCTGGTTTTTTTAACAAAAGACATTTTGAAATTTTTTTTCAATTCATTATAAATCATTTCCCAGAAAAACAAATGCTTTTGAGGAAACAATACATATGTGCTAAGGAATACTCCTCTCTCAGTTTCTGGGAAATGAAAGAGAAGTAATCCTTAGCACATATGTATTGTTTCCTCAAAAGTATTTTTTTATGGTAAAATGCACAAGCTCACCGCAGTGTTGGGTGGCTGTAGTAATTTGTATCAAGCAACATGGAAACCTGATTTTGAAAAGATAATCTCACAGAAGTTTTAGGATGTTTTTATGAGTGCAGATCCCAAAATCTGCTCTGTGCATAACCAGAAGGAAGAACATTTGTAAGTCAGTGAGTTGTTGTTTAGTCGTTTAGTCGTGTCCGACTCTTCGTGACCCCATGGACCAGAGCACGCCAGGCACTCCTGTCTTCCACTGTCTCCCGCAGTTTGGTCAAACTCATGCTGGTAGCTTTGAGAACACTGTCCAAACATCTTGTCCTCTGTCGTCCCCTTCTCCTTGTGCCCTCCATCTTTCCCAACATCAGGGTCTTTTCCAGGGAGTCTTCTCTTCTTCTCATGAGGTGGCCAAAGTATTGGAGCCTCAGCTTCAGGATCTGTCCTTCCAGTAAGCACTCAGGGCTGATTTCCTTAAGAATGGATAGGTTTGATCCTCCTGCATTCCATGGGACTCTCAAGAGTCTCCTCCAGCACCATAATTCAAAAGCATAAATTCTTTGGCGATCAGCCTTCTTTATGGTCCAGTGAGTAGGTAGTATTTAATACTACACCATTTCAGTCAAATCTATCCCCAATCTGAAGAAAGGAGTTGGGGGTTCCTTACTAGGATGTAGGCAAGTGGGGATTTCCCTGCTGCATTCTGCCCCCACCCCATTCCAGCCTGTTCCGCCCCCTTTCAATGCCAAAAACTGTGTGTGTGTGCAGTCACATGTGACTTGAACTCACGTGAGTGTGGTGTTGCCTGTATCATCTTTTTTTGTCCTCCCCTAACATTAAGCGGTTTGGACTCTGTTATGGTAGAAATCAATAAAATCATAGGTACTGACCTTCCATTTGACCTGTTCTTTATTCTGTTTGGATTTACAAAATGCTAGGTGAAAATGTGAAAATGGTAACTCACCTTTCAATAGCAGCAGTAGAAAAAGACAACCCTGCTTTCATTGATTAGCGGTGTCTGTAGGTATCAGATATGGCTTACTCAGTCAAACTGACTAATATGATAACAATTAGAGAAGGGAGACAGCAAAATGTGTATTTATTGATAAATAGAGTTTCTTTACCATGTTTTAAGGTGGATTTAAGCAACAGTGCTTGTGTTCTGTGAACTTTGCTTTTGCAATTAATACTGCAAGCTTTGCAATATATGGTTACGTAACTGCATATACAGTGGTACCTTGGGTTACATACGCTTCAGGTTACATACGCTTCAGGTTACAGACTCCGCTAACCTAGAAATATTACCTCGGGTTAAGAACTTTGCTTCAGGATGAGAACAGAAACCGTGCTCCAGCAGCGCGGCGGCAGCAGGAGGCCCCATTAGCTAAAGTGGTGCTTCAGGTTAAGAACGGACCTCTGGAACGAATTAAGTACATAACCAGAGGTACCACTGTATTATTATGTACATCTTGTATATTCACCAAAAAATAAATAAATAAAATGCATGCCCTTCTGCTTTATCCACATGCAGTCTCTCACACCATGCTATGCAGGTCATAAAAGCCAGCAAAAAGTTTTTTTTCCTTCATTTTTTTGTACAGGCTTAATTGTGTTTGCTAGAATCAAAGATGTTTCTGAGAGACTTGTCTTAAAATTACTTCTCGGGCTACTGTTTCTTCTGGCAGGTAACTTGGAGCAAGCAAATGAAGAGCTGCGTGCAATAATTAAAAAGATTTGGAAGCGCACCAGCATGAAGCTGTTGGATCAGGTTGTGCCCCCAGCAGGTGGTGAGCACACCTTTTTTCTGTATTTAATACTGAAGGACAAATCAATATTTTTCCATGCAAAGAAATATTATTTATGATGGCGATGGCTAGACAAGTACTGTAATAGCCAAGAACGGGAAATGACAAGCTGAACCTCTGGTACATGGGTATTAGTGAGTAGAAATCTGCATTAACAGAAAAAATTACAAAACAGTTGAGAGCAGCCAAACAGATATAGACAACTTTATTGAAAAAATGTATTTTTCTTACTACTTTTGGAAACAAAAGAAGAACACTATGTAAGGCATTTAGATACACATGACAAACTCTGATGTGCATTTTAGGATAAGATATATGAAAAGCTACTCTCTATTGTTATCAGTTATACACTTAAATAAGTACACTGATATGTATACAATCTCCCTTTCTACCTACCATTATTTGTTCCTCTTTCTATTCTGCTTACATGTTAAACATGGAACAATAAAATATATTTTTTTAATACTCTGTAACATGCTCTGTAATTACTTGGAAAAGAGAAGCCTAGCTTCTCTTTACAGTATATGAGAATAACTACTTGCCTGGCTGGACATTACCACCAGTAAATAACTATGCCCTGGTGAATGAGAAATCAACAAATAAATATAATTGTTTTCAGCTTCTTCTATGCTTTTAAACTTAGATGATGAGGTAACAGTTGGAAAGTTTTATGCTACATTCCTGATTCAAGAGTATTTCCGAAAATTCAAGAAACGCAAAGAACAGGGCCTTGTTGGCAAACCTTCACAGAGGAATGCTCTTTCCCTCCAGGTAAGAAACAGATATTGCTTAATATTATGCTACTGATCCACCACATCCACCATTTCCATAGTCTTTCCACCAAAGATATAAACCAATGAATCTCAAACTGTGGGAACATTGGGGAGGTACAACATCCTATTTGATGAGTCCCAGACCTAATTTTAAATGTATTCTGACTAAAACCCCATTGAATGCCAGCTTTATGCCCCTCCAAGACATGGCTATACCAGGTATCCTTTTGTGTACTTTTTATTGATTGTGCTCAGCTCCTGCAGAACAAGCTTTGATTTTTCACAGGCTTTTCATTTCTATGATACCTTAATAGACACTCCCATTTATCTAAACCACTGAGCCTCTTGGGCTTGCCGATCAGAAGGTCGGCAGTTCGACAGGGGCGAACAAAGGTGTCATGACACCTGGGGCAGCAAACCGCGGTGCATGTGCGGTGCATGTGTGGCGTTGCTACATACACCGTACATAGTGGGTTGCTGGTGGCAGTGCTCCAGCGCCGTACGGACGGTGCCGGGATCCTCTGCTTGCAGCTGCAGCCGCAAATGGAGAATCCTCCATTCGTGGCGGTAGTGGCAATGGAAGGATCCCACCCGCCGTCCATGCAGCGCTGGCGGCAAACCGCTATGTACAGCGCTTGTGCGGCGGCGTTACATACAGTGCATGCATGTGGCACCACACATGCACTGTACATAGTGGTTTGCTGCAAGCGCCAGGATCCTCTGCTTGCAGCCGCGAACGGAGGATCCTCCACATGCGGTGGCGCGATGGCTGCTTGAGCCCCCGCGGGGTGCCTTCTTGTCACCCCCCCGACATGGCACCCAAGGCACACTGCCCCCCCCCCCCGTTGCAACGCCACTGCGGTTCGAATCAGCACAACGGGGTGAGCTCCTGTTGCTTTGTCCCAGCTTCTGCCAACCTAGCAGTTTGAAAGCATACCAGTGCAAGTAGATAAATAGGTACCGCTGCAGTGGGAAAGTAAATGGTGTTCTGTGTGCTCTGGCACTTGTCACATTCCTCCATGCACCAGTAGCGATTTAGTCATGCTGGCCGCATGACCTGAAAAGCAAATGCTGGCTCCCTCAGCCTGAAAAGCGAGATGAGCACCACACCCCATAGTCGCCTTTGACTGGACTTAACTATCCAGGGGTCTTTTACCTTTTTTACCTTTATCTACTCCAATATTAGAATAAGCTTCTGCAGTCATGTAGTTTGCCAGTTTTTGCTTAAAAGTGAAAACTGAAACTAGCTTCTAGCAATGGAGAGGCGAGAAGAGGCTACTTATGACCTTCCTTGCACAACAGCTTTGCAATGTATGCCAGTTGCATCCCCAACTGTCTGCTTGCTGCCACCACACTCCCTATTAACCGCTATAAGTCCCAGGTTAGGTGAAATCTGGGAGGTCAGATAAATTGCTTCTAAAGGGACACTGTCCTGGCCCTTGCTGCCAGATTAAGAACTCAAACTTGGGTTTCTGTTTCTTCCAAACTACATAATGCACAAATCTATTATATATTGAAATGGCTAAGCATGAATTGAAATGTTGATCCAATAAATTCTACAACCCTGCCTCTTCCTTTTGAAAAGCAGGATGGGAGCAAGCCTTAGCATGGCAAAAGACAGGCATTTCTCCTCTGGGTAGGCAATGAGGAACTTCTGTGAGTGGGCGCCAGCATCTGCATAACCATGACAAAAGAGATGCGGACTCAGTATCCAACTTATTCTCCAGCAGAGAATTCCTCACTAACAGAATATAATTTTGTCTTCCATTCTGTACCCTCGCTTTGCACCCATTTCCCTCCCTCTCCTTTCCCTTCCCTCCTCCGCTTGTCCACACTGCTTGCACAGACCATGACCATGGTAACCTCCTTCATCCTCCTCCTCCTCCAGGAGTGAATCACTCACACAAAATGGTTGCTACCTGTAGTTGCATGGGGTGGGAAGGGGATCCTGTAGGGGTATAATGTGGAGGAAGTGGCAGTGGGGTTGGCAAGTGGAGCAAGCAAGGACGCAACCGCTAGTTAAGAATAACAAAGAAGGAAGAGGGAAAACAGATAAAGCAGAATATTTAAAATAACAGGAACTTGTTGGTTCAAAGCTATCTAACCTAATTATGGGACTTACAAAAAAGGCTTCTGTTCTAGTGAACAATGCAGTGTAGATACCAGCTGCAGAGTGTTATGATGGTCAATGAGGGACAAGAGACCCTGATGTAAAGGATCCCGATATGAGTGGCCAAAACCTGCATGGGCACAGTCCATGTTTTAAGGTTTTCCTTTCCATATTGGGTTGAGTGACAGCTGGCACTTTTTTAGCCAGAGCACAGGTCACATCTGCAAACACCTTTAGGGAAGTTGGGGGAGATGGTAGTCATCTTCTGGGAATATGGGGAAGTGCCTATCTGAGGAACTGATATTTCTTGATGTTGTTGCCAGACTGAACTTGGTGTGTGCTTTTGTACTGGTAGGTGGTTATGCCTGGTTCATTCAAGCAAAATGTAGGGCAAGAGAGCAGAGCTTTTCTCCACATGTCTTACTTACTAAGGAGAAATAACTAGGTTAAAATTCAAGTTCCATATTGGATTTTTTATATAGATTTTTGGTATAGGACCTCAAGAGTAGCTGGTGAGAGACATGCAGCTGAGCTGGAGCTACCAGCTCAAACCTGCTGAGTTTCTGAGCTAGAATAGGCTTATTTCCTCCTAAGGTAAGGGGAAGTGACATAGCTAAGCCTGACAGGACAGCTTACTCTATGACATTGACTCCTTCACGCATTAATTAGACTAACCACATTTTTCGCCCTATAGGACGCACTGTCCCATAAGGCGCACCTAGTTCTTTTGGGGGGAAATAAAGGGGGAAATTTTTATTCCCCCCCCCAGAAGTGGGGCTGGGGCGGGGGAAGCCCGAGCTTCCCCCGACCCCAGCCCCCAGAACAGGCAGCTCTCCGCAAGCCGCGGGAGCCCAGTGCCGGGCTCCCGCGCCTTGCGGAGAGCTGTGCGAAGCCTGGAGAGCGAGAGGGGTTGGTGCGCACCGACCCCTCTCGCTCTCCAGGCTTCAGCGAAAGCCTGCATTCGTCCCATAGGACGCACACACATTTCCCCTTCATTTTTGGAGGGGGAAAAGTGCGTCCTATAGGGTGAAAAATACGTTAAGTCCATTGGCTATATCAGGCTGGTCACCCCACCACCACAACATCCCATTTCATTGAGGCTCAGTAGCTCTTAGGTGCCCAGTTCCAAGTAAGTTTCACTATTTTTTCTCTAACCTACTGATGTGCTAAATTATACTATTTTACAGGCTGGTTTGCGCACATTACATGATATTGGACCAGAAATTCGACGGGCAATCTCTGGAGACTTAACAGCTGAAGAAGAATTAGACAAGGCCATGAAAGAAGCTGTTTCTGCTGCCTCTGAAGATGATATTTTCAGAGTAAGTACTTTTCTAAAAACCTCCATTGGCCTATGGAATTAGATCATATTCTAACATATCAAATCACAAAAATCAAATAAATCTGTTATATCCAACAAGAAGCAATGTCCCATGATTCTGTCAGATCAATAATTAAGGTTGGTTGTTTGGGGGGTGGATTGCTTCTTTAGGTTTAACAATGTACTAGGGAGCAGCTGGGGGACGCGGGTGGCGCTGTGGGTTAAACCACAGAGCCTAGGACCTGCCGATCGAAAGGTCGGCGGTTCAAATCCCCGCGGCGGGGTGAGCTCCCGTCGCTCGGTCCCAGCTCCTGCCAACCTAGCAGTTCGAAAGCACCCCAAAAAGTGCAAGTAGATAAATAGGGACCGCTATCCAGCGGGAAGGTAAACGGCGTTTCCGTGTGCTGCGCTGGTTCGCCAGCTGCAGCTTAGTCACGCTGGCCACGTGACCCGGAAGCTGCCTGCGGACAAGCGCCGGCTCCCGGCCTTTTGAGTGAGATGAGCGCGCAACCCTAGAGTCGGTCACAACTGGCCCTGATGGGCAGGGGTACCTTTACCTTTACCTTTAGGGAGCAGCTTGTCTGCACTTCTCTCTCTCCCTAGATTGGTGTCAACAAGATGAAACCTCATTCACTTCTCTCCTTAGATGGCAGTTAATTATGGAGGCTTAAAATTTGTCTTGCTTAATGTAAATGGCCTTAGGGACCCTATAAAGCCTGCACAAGTTGCCACTGCGCCCTGATATAGTTATGCTTCAGGAGGTATATCAGTGAAGGAAGTCTACTCAGTGGCTGTTAAAAAGCACCTGGATTGATGACTAGCTCTGCTCTTTTGGGAGGATAGCATGTCAACAGCACGAGCCATTTGGATGTTCCAGAAGTAGGCCAGGGCTTTGTGGTGCATCTTGGGACAGCCTTAAAATGGGATTAAACAAATTCATGGAGAATTAAGCTATCAATAGCTATTAGCCATGATAGCTTATGTTCGACCTCCACTGCCAGGGGCAGTATGCCTCTGAACACCAGCTGCTGAGAATCATAAATGGGAGAGTGGTTCCCTTCATGTCCTGCTTGAAATATTGGTGAAAATAATGACCATGCCTCATTTCAAACAATACTGCATGCATGCATAAAATAAATACATTGGAAGTATCTATTTGACCCACTCACTAAGAATATGTTTTTGATTTTGTTCACAGAGAGCAGGTGGCTTGTTTGGAAATCATGTCGGTTACTACCAAAGTGATGGCAGAAGTTCATTCCCTCAGACATTCACCACTCAGCGCCCTTTGCACATCAATAAATCTAGCAGCAATCAGGGAGACACTGAATCCCCATCCCATGAGAAGCTTGTGGATTCCACTTTCACTCCAAGCAGCTACTCATCATCCGGCTCCAATGCTAACATCAACAATGCCAACAACACTGCCTTGAGTCGCTTCCCCAGCCCACCAAGCTACCCCAGCACTGTCAGTACTGTGGAAGGCCATGGCACCCCTCTATCACCCACTGCACGGATCCAAGAAGTTCCTTGGAAGCTTGGCTGCAGAAGGTAAAGAGCAGTAACTGTAGCAGTAGTTCTATTATTTCCTATAAATATAGGGATATTTATATTTTGCATTCTTGCCCCTACTTTGCTCTTTGCACATTTGTAGGCCATCCATATATGTGAAGAGCCACACAGGAATTAGTTATGAGTAAGTGTCCCAGTATATGATCTGTGGAATGAAATAATAACCATAGGGAATAAGACTTGAGAGAGTTTGTGTTTCTCAAATAGAGATGAAATGAACATTATTGTCTAGTAGAAAAGTATTAGTACAACAACTAAGCATCTGCTGTAAAGATGATTTGACACCTCTGCTTTGAATTGATGGAAAGTGAGCTTGCTAACATAGCCCTGTTGCTAACATAGCCCTGTCATAGTACACTGGGCAACATTTTGGCAAATGCAATGTGTTTCAAACTCCTATTTTTAAAAATCTCAGTGTTTAGCAATAAAGTCCTTGGTTAATTTTAGAGAGCATTTAAGAAATGGTAGTTATCATTCATAATATAACTCATTCTTTGATTTTCAGATGAGTTTACATCCATTTACATAAATGTAACTAAGTCTAGAGCAGTCAAGTTTCTTTTGCAAGACAAATGCTTTTGCAAGAACTAGTATTGTTCTATTTTTCTACTTTTTCCTGCAAATCCAAAAGAAATCCAAATATATTTTATTTATTTTTCCTTTCCATCTATATTCCTGATTTGATCTTCTTTTCCTTCCTATACTTCCCTGAAGAACTAGGACACATTACTATGAAACACTGGGGCGGTAGGTCTTTCTCTTCCTGCTCTTAACATACTTGGGATATAAGTTACTTTATAGACTGATATTAAATATAAACTATTTATTTTCAGTACTGACAGACCTAGTGAGAGAGCAAGAGATCACATCACTGAACAAATAAATGATTACCGTAATTTTTTGTAGTGTAGGGCATAGACTTACAATAAATTAATTTGAATGAGTTATGCAGAGCACTTATAAGTCATTTTGTAACTAATTCTGCGTGCTCAGGTCAAACTACAAACTATGTGGGAGAGCCCTGAATGATCTTCCAACTTTCTTTGAAAAATTACAGAAATGTGCTTGTATGTTCAAGCGCAGTGAATCTGCTGCCTGGTGCCTTATGAACATGAAAGAAATACCATACACAGGACTACGTTCTTGGATCAAAACAGGCCACAACTTTATTGATTACAGATCTAAATGGACTTTGGCCTGGCCACTGGGTGATTATCAGTTCAATCAGCCCACCTGGTGGCAGTCAGCAGAATGCTGTGCTGGATGAGGATGTGTCCCCTTTTTAACCCTGGGAAGCAAACCTAAGTGGAGACTGCAGGCAGTCTCCAGTTGGCTCTGCTGCTCAAGTGATGCTTCCCAAGTCCCCCCAAGTCTTTTTTTTCTGCTCTTTCAATGCATTTTTAAGTATGAAATGATTAGTCCAGTCTGATTCAGTGGTGATGAGTTCAAAATAATGCTGTTATTTCACATTAACGTAGAAAGATTTTTATTTTTCCACCAAATACTGATAACTGATAAATGTAAAGTAACAGTAATAGGAAACGGCTTAAGTAATCAATATAGGTTGTGGACACCAATTACAGTTTACCTTTGCTTTATAGGCAAGTTATTCAGCAGTTATATCTCAGGATAGCATCAACAGGGGAAACTGTCATATGTTCATATATAAGCCCTGAATAAGCTACATAAACATTTGCTTGATCAATCAGTTTGTATCTCAGGTCTGTTTCTCCAAGCTTCTACAGTTAAGATTGCAGTGTTGTATCTTGGAGTTTATTTATTTAATATATTTATTTATATACCACTTCCTAAGTTCCTAAGTTGTGGTTTAAAAAGTTATCACTTTAGCGTGCTTTTGGGAAGTGACGCAAAAGTTCTATTTCAGAAGTATGGACAAGCATCAAGAACATGAAGCCTAAAGTACATGCTTTTTGTCCCCACCCTCACCCATCTCAAAATTTCCATGTTAATTCTGACAAAGTTAAGAGCTATACGTAAGGACTGCATCACACTTTTCTCATAATTTATGTTTTGTGTGTTTTCTTTGAATGGATGTGTTATAAAATAATGCAAAAGGAATATGTGTTTCTACATTGCCTTCACTATTTCTATTTCTCTTATATTGATTAGATCCTGTTCCAGAGACAGTCAGGTGGCTATTGTTTGTGAGGAGGAGACTTGTCAAGAGGAAGAGAAATATGATGAGCAACTGAATGAAGAAATTGAGTACTGTGGTGAACCAAAGCTGGTACCAACTGAAATGTGAGTATTTTGCTATTGCAGCCAAGTAGGGGTTGTTAGGTTTGTGGGAGGGGGGCGTCCTGCAACTCCAAACACATAAAGCAAAAACCCCAGAGTTCCCATGTATTTCAAGCAAGGGAGTGAGGCTAAGATTATACTTACACTGCCATTTTTCTCCATCCAACCATAGCACAGTTTGACCCTAGACTCTTATCCTAGCTTCCAGTCCTAATAGCACAAATCATCCTACGTGTTGCAGGATGGGACAATATATTTCCAATCTGTACTAACTCATACCTCAAATAGGAGCCATGTCCTCATTTGAAGCTAACTTGTCCTTTTCCATTACAGGCTCTCATGTAAAGATGATGAACACAGACAGTTAACTCCACCTGAAAACAACATTAGATACTCTCCAAAGAGTGGGTTCCTGCATTCCTCATCACTAAGTAATAATTCCAGCTTCATATGACAAACATGAAACAATATCTCTTCAGATTTTCTAACCGCAAGCATTTTTACTACATGGGCGTGTTGGGAGTACTGGGGTTCAGCCAATTTGAAAAACATTGGCACCTACAAAAAAAATATTCTGCAGCTGTGGGAATTGTTAGGCTGCCTGTTTTAACTTTTTCAAAGCAGAATAGTTCTAATTCTCTCAAATAGCAAATGGGGTTGTAAACCTTTCTCAACTGTACTACTTATACAACAGGTACATAGTCCAATGACAGAATATTTCACTACCCCCCAAAATACCCTTTTAAAATTCTGACATATGTAAAACTAGGCACGCTAGGGAGAAAGATAGATTGGAACCCTTCTATCAGACAGCATGTTTTCTTTCTTCAGTGATTCCCCATCCAAACATTATGTCAGCCTCCACCTGCATTTTGATGTAGTACAGTCCAGACACAGGTTTGCCATCTCAGTGCGATGCAGGCCAAAAATCACATCTCATATGAAAGAGATGTGATCGGTCTCCAACCGCTTTCTGAACGTGGCAGCAGGAAGGAACCAACTGAAAATGCTTAACCTTTTCTGTATTTGCTGATTTTCTCCTGCAAATCCACCCCCTTTTCTTTCCAATCAGGCTTATTTCCAGTCTCGGATTCTAACTGGGGTAAAAGGGTGCTAAAAACAAAAAGAGTTGCAAGAGGTCAGTGGTGTGCAGGAAAATATTGCGCATCTGCCTCTACCTGCCTGTTCTCCTCTGCAAATACCCTACCCCTTTATTAGTGATACAAGGCAAATATACAAATAAGAACCCATGTTTGCATCATAAAATGTTACATGAAGTTCCACCCCTAATTGTGTTATGAAAGCAGCTTAAAATATTATCACACTTCTGTGCAACTGGCTTTGCAGGTCGAAGAGCATCCTTTCATCTGGAGTGTCTTAAGAGACAGAAAAATCAGGGTACGGAAGTCCCACAGAAGACAGCAGTGCCCTTGCATGTGGTACATCATCAGGTAAGCATTCATCAGTGAACATCTAACTATGGGATCACACTCTCACTAGGTATGCTTCTGAACTCAGCTGTTTCTGGATTGGGGACAGACAGCAATGGCCAGAAATGCTGATTTATCAATTACGTCTTATATGCCACCTGTACCTTCCTGAAAAACAAGAGTTTAGCAATTACTGTTGCCTTGGTGATCTTTCAGTTCAATTGTTGCATTGTACTGCATATAATCCAAAACGTTCGGAAACCAAAGTGCAGCTTCTGACTGGCTGCAGGAAGCTCCTGCAGCCAACCAGAAGCCCTGTCGGACGTTTGGCTTCCAAAATAGTTTGCAAACCCGAACAGTCACTTCTGGGTTTGTGGCGTTTGGGAGCCAAAACGTTCGAGAACTATGCTGTTCGAAAACCAAGGTACAACTGTATATGCAGAGTAAAGAAGTATTTTCTTTTGTCTCTCTTGAATCCCCCTACATTCAGCTTCATTGGATGACCCCAGGTTACAGTATTATGAGAAAGGGAGAAGGGTTTTTCTCCCTGTCCATTTCTACCATATGCATAATTTCATACAACTCTACCATATACTCCTCTATTTACCTTAAGAAACCTTTTTTATAAGTCAGCTTGTACAGTTTCTTTTCTCATATTATGATTCAACTTGCAGCCATCATCATGTACAATGTTCTCCTTTCTTTCTATCTATAGGCACTAGCAGTTGCAGGCCTGAGTCCTCTTCTTCAAAGAAGCCATTCACCCCTAAGATCATCTCGGTCATGTGCCACACCCCCTGCCACACCCTGTATACAAGATTGGTTACAGCAGCCTATTAAAACCTTGCGGCTTGAAGGAGAGGAATCCAATGAGAAACTCAATAATAGCTTCCCATCAATACATTGCAGCTCCTTGTATTCCGATAGCCCCAGCTCTAGCAGCACTCGAAAAGCCAGGCCGGTCTCCCTCACAGTTCCCAGTCAGACCAGAGAGTGTGGCAGACAATTTCACGGCAGCGCTAACAGCCTTGTTGAAGCGGTAAGTTGATGTGGTATTGGTAACTGATGTAACAATCATGACACTTATGGAGATCAGGCCCCAAAGTTACATGTATTCTATGCAATACATTATATTTCATGGACACAAATATAGGAGGTTAAGCTTACTTTTCCTTTAGATGAATCCAAAACTCTTACAATTCTTAGATAGACCATTAATCTGAACAAGACCACCAGTTTTTATCCCAGTCATGCAGTTTTTGAGATCCCTGTGAAATCTTTGCCTTTTACAAAAGTAATTAACAGTAAATGTATGAAAGGAAAATAATTCCTTATGTAGGATATAAAGTTTGTCAAATAGAAACAGGGAGGTTGGGCCTGAGGGCAGGGGTTTATTAAAATGTTTACGTAATTGTCCAAGGCCGTTAATATCCCCACTATTATAGCCTGCCCTCTTGATCAAGATTGCTATTCTATTCCTATAACCAGAATGTTCTATAAAGCAAAAGCTTTATCTGCTAGCACAAATATACAGAAGTGTAGTTTAATAAAATTACAGTTATTAAATGAACTAAACTGCATTTGTACTGTAGGCAGGACGCTGTCAGGAGATAACTTAGCATGTAGCATCTCTGGCAGAAATGACCAGTAGTATAGGTTTGAAGCAAGAGAAACCCAAAAATTTTTTTTTCTAAATACTGTGAGTATTTCACTTTATTTATCTATACTAGCAAGTGAATAAAACAAAATTGGCTCAAAGTGCAATCCTAACCATGTCTCCTCAAAAGTAAGCCCAAATGAATTCAATGGGACTTACTCCCAAGTAAGTGGGTTAGGATTGCAGCCTTTGATCCTAAATTGCTGTTCAGTTTATGTTGGGGGGGGGGATATTTTTGTCAATTCAGCAACCCCACAACACCATATTCAATACCATTCCCAATCCCTACAATCAGATTTTCAGGGGTGCTGCAGACTGAAGAGGAAGGGGATAATGGGAAAGCTTTATTACATTAACTGCTCCATTCATAGAAGGAAAGATAGGGCCCAAGCCATTGTCCTATAAAGCCAGGTTTACCCATCAAATTATTACTGTCTGTTATTTCCACAGATTGCTTTGGCTCTTGTTATTATATTAAAATTGATTTTTGCTTTTCTTTCTTGTGTTTGATCTCCTGGCTCTTTAAAGGTCTTGATTTCGGAAGGCCTGGTGCAGTTTGCTCAAGATCCAAAGTTCATTGAGGTCACAACCCAAGAGCTGGCTGATGCTTGTGACTTGACGATAGAAGAAATGGAGAATGCTGCTGACAACATTCTCAATGGTAACAGCAAGCCAAGCCCCAATGGCAACCTCTTGCCTTTTGTTAACTGCAGGGACCCAGGGCAGGACTGTATGGGAGAGAAAGAGGAAACAGCCCAGAACCCAGATTGTAGAAAAAGTCAAGAGGAGCCTAAGGACAGCAGGATTTATATCAGCAGCCTGTAGTTGCCAAGGCTGAAAGTGATGCTGGTTTTTTAATTTGTTTCAATGTTCCTAATGGGTTTGTTTCAGAAGTGCCTCACTGTTCTCGTGACCTGGAGTAACCAGAACAGCGTTCTTCATTCATTTCCGTCAGGAAGAATTGCAGAGTTGGGTGGTGTAAAGGAGCTTTTCAGGAGTGAATATACAACCCCAGCATGTGTCCATGAAGGAAGAATGACGGCAAGTAAAAGGAGGAGAGTCAGATCCCTCCTTTTCTCAGTCCCTGCACAAGGAACAACAGCTGCTTCCTGAATGTGATGGAAAACCTCAGCTTCCTGTGAATGGCCCTAGCCAAAAGGACACTGCATCAAACGGGTGTCTTTCAACTTTGCTTGTACAAAAAAGAATCATTTTGCACATATTCTGTATGAGCCTCACCATCTCCATAAAGCCAAGGCCCTTTTGATCTGCAAGTGGAATAGAAGACTTCAGCAACAGATCCCCACACTTTGCTGAGGAAGAGGAATTGGAGGAGGAAGCAGAAGTGGCAATGGTACAGGAGATGTAGATGGCAATATTGCAGATGCTTATTAATGGAAATGCAGAGACTCCTAGGCAGACTTCTCTGCCAGTCAATCAGAGCTCAGGCAGTCTACTCTGCCAACCAATCAGAGCTCAGACAGCTAGCTGTGCCAACTGCTCAAGGAGCAGGAAGCCAGCTCTGTCAAACCGGAGTTCAGGCAACCCGCCCATTTCAAAGAGATGTGGTGATGGGCTAATGTAGATCTCTCCTTGTTTTTGCTGTTTGATATTTTATTGAAAGCATGTTCTAATTTTTATTTTTGAATACTTTATTTTATGGTATTTTATTTTTTGAGGGAGGGGGTGAACAGAGTGTTTACAAAGTTTTGTAATCACCTAACTTTTTGTTTTCTTTCTCACCTTTGCAAATGTTTAAAATTGGTTTGATTTGATTATGTTGTACTATTTAAATTTTTTTTTTGTTTCCCTCCATTGAAATTTGGGTAGAAACTAATAATGATATTAGAAGAGTTTTGCCAACCATTATGTACACAAGAATTTGTAATTTTATTTGAAGTAATGGAAAACTCCTTTTTGTTGTTGTTTTATAATTTAAAGATAGTAGGCAATGCACTTGATATAGTCTTGCACATATGAGTGATCGATTTGGATTCTTTATAGTGGTAGGTATATTTGCGGGTGTGTGAATGAGTGAACAGGACTGAATGAGAGAGTGAATGCATGCCTGAAAGTTTGTAAGTTCATACAGTTCTCCACTTCCTGGTATAACTGCAGGAGAGCTGTATCTGGGGTCATGTGAGTGTAAAAATATACCACTGTCTCTGCTTTTGAAAGGGGAATCAGTAACTCTTTGCATTTTCTGTTCCACAAGATATGCAAAAACAATGCAATAATATTAATTTTGAATACAATTTGTGAATTGTGTTGGCATTAAAACTGTATAGAAAAACAAAACAAGGGAATTAAAGAAAACAAAAAAAACCACACAAGTGAGAAGGAGTTACGTTTCGATATATTCTGTGTGATGTTTTATTGCATTGATGATGTTTCTGTTGAAGAAACCGTAATACTTGAATTCAGGTCAGTTTCAGTATTTTTCAACTATTTTTTTAAAATGAATTGCAATTGTGCCAAGCAAATATGATGAATTAAGTTTGTTTAAGGGGAAAATAACAATTCTTGTATATTTTGCTGCATGTAAAGTAAATCATTTCGTATTTGGAGTGTGCCAAGCTTTACCTTTGAACTTTTAAGTGCTTTTCTACATGTGGTTGGGGGGAAAGGGTATACAATTTTTCCCTTTTTTAATTTGTACAATGAACAAAGTGTACCTGGTGTTAAGTAACTAGTCTGCAACCCACTGGCAGGTTGATCATTAACTGATTTTGCATATCTTGTGTTCACTTTCTTTTTTCTGCACTCCCTTGAACATGCACAGTAATGAATTGAGATGGGAAGAGTACCTTGCTTTCTGGAGCTGAGAATTTTTATCCAGGTTTAACCCCTTTGCACAGTTAAAATGATTCTCCTCACTAAAGGGTGGCAAATTTCACTATACAAAGATAGTCCAGTTGATCCTTTCCTATAAACTGAGCTGGCATCAGCAACTCCAGGAAGGGGAATAATTTATTTTACTATAGAGAAAATACTAGAAGAATAATGAATGTAACATCATCAAATTAATGCTCTTCATGAGTTAGTCACGGTTTCAGTTGCAGATTTATATCAAGCTGAGTGCAAAGCACCCTTCACCAAATTTGCACATTTAAAGGGACTACAATTACTTTAAAGGAAAAAGTAATTAAAAAAATTATTAGGATGACAAAAAATACCAAAACATGAAGTTAAACAACAATAAATATAACTTGTTATTCATAGGAACAAAGAACAAAATGCACAAGTGTAAGATGGAGAACGACTCACTAAATTGAAGCACTTTGAGAAGCATTTAAAGAGTATTATGAATAAGAATCTGAATACAATCTGATAAAATGGCATTTGCCTTTAGCCTGATTAATTGAAGAACTGTATGAAACACAGGTAGTAATTATTAGTTTTTAGAACCACCTTACATTGGAAAAGACCACAAGATGATAAAAGAACACAATGCAAAATAATGTTAAGAGCATAAAACAATAATGGGAAATAAGGGCAGGGAGAGGAGGACTAATGAGCCAGGGGGAACATGTTGGCAAGATGGCAATTGTTCAACATAACCCCAGTCCAAAAATATGTCCATGCAGCTATGTGATACAAATTGCTTGTATGCATGTGTCCGAGCACATCTGCTACCATCTACCACCTGATCATATGGTTGGCACTATGACCTCTTTCAACACCCAATCACTTGTTCATGGGGGGGGGGCTGAATTCAGTCACAATGAGTGACTATCAGTCACGATGAGCACTATTATAACTGATTAGGACTGTGAGCATAATCTGCAGTTCAGTATCAGAAATACACCTGCTCAGTGGACTTGAAGTATTATAGAAATTAGTCCTGCGAAGCAACTTCAAAACCTTGAAAACCCTTTAGGTCTGTGGTTTTCAGTCTTAACGAGCATTCGTCTTGCGGGGCACCACTGTACCCCGGACCCCAGATACACGTGTTTCAGAAAGATATGCACATACATAATGGGGCATATTGAACAGAAATGAGGGGAAATTGCATTTCCATCACAGGTAGGACAGAAACAAATTAACCCAAAATTTCAGAGATTCAAATAAGATATCTATGGAGGCTATAAAAATGCCTTTTTAAAGGCAAAAAATCTGGACAGTTATTTCCTGAGGTTGCTTTAGTTATCTTGTCTCAAGGCCTGAGGCTCAGTAGTTATATGGCATGACTTTTAACACTCAGATTTTATGACTATCTAAGCCACTTACTCAGAAGTCTTCCAAATCAAGTAAATTCTGTTCTGGAATATATGGCTTGTGTATCATATTATATAAGCCCCCAACATCTAAATGTCAGGCAGTCCAATCATAAATCTGCAGAAAAGGTCATATTCTCTGGCTAAGGGTTCTTATATACTTTTTGTTTCACCAGCATCCAATAGTTAACTAATTCTGGCCACTTCCTCAGAAAAAAACTGTCTTATCAGCCTGGTCCTGATCTGCATTTGCTTCAGCAGCACAAACAAAGTTTCTATCCTGGAGCTAATGCCCCATTATTTTCAGCAAATGAAGTTAACAAGGTAAACGACCCCTGGATGGTTAAGTCCAGTCGAATTCGGCTATGGGGTGTAGCATTCATCTCCGCTTTCAGGCTGAGGGAGTCAGCATTTACCGCAGACAGCTTTCCGGGTCATGTGGCCAGCATGACTAAACCCCTCTGGCACATGGAATACCGTGACAAGTGCCAGAGTGCACAAAAATGTCATTTACCTTCCTACCACAGTGGTACCTATTTATCTATTCACACTGGTATGCTTTCGAACTGCTATGTTGGCAAGAGCTGGGACAAAGCAACAGGAGCTCACCCTGCCAGGCAGATTCAAACTGCCAACCTTATGATATGCAAACTCAATAGGCTCGGTGGTTTAGACCACAGCGCCACCCGTGTCCCTACTTCAGCAAATGAAACCCCTATCCATTCCTTTCTTTTAAAAATAAGTACTGTCTTATTGGCTATAATTGGTATACAAATTTAATAATAATAATAATATAATCTAACACAGAACTGAGAACTGTTAAGCTCATGAAAATCAGCGGTCTCAAGTATGCTTCTGTGCTGCAACATTGCCACCAGGTATTTATACCGCATTTTCCAAACCAATATATTATTTATAAAACAGATTACATTATTAAATTGGTATAAATTTAAAACAATAAAATTTCAGTATAGAAAACAATACAACCAACAGCATTTAAAATAGAAATTAGCTGAAGCAAGGCAAAAGGCCATCCAAAGCAGGAAGGTCTTCAAAGCATGTCTTCTGGAGCTGGAATGTTTGCTCCTAAGACCTATCTAGTCAAGCATCTCCTGCTCTGATAGTGACCAACAAGCAGGACATGAGCACTCTCCCCACTGGTGCTCCCCAGAAACTGGTATTCAGAGGCATACCACCTCCCTTACTGGAGGCAGTACACAACTATCCTGGTTAATAGCATTGAGAGCATTATCCTCCATGACTTTGTCAACCCCCCTTTAAAGCCATCCAAGCTGGCAGTCGTTACTATATCTTGTGGTAGCAAATTAAATTTTTAACCATGTGCTTGTGGAGAACTACTATACATTTAATACTTTGCATTTAACAGAGAAGTACTAGGTTGTAGATTGATGGTTATAAGTCACTATACTTCATCTATTACATAAATGAATGTGTTTCCCTCTCTTCTCTTAAACCATACAAAGGGGCTAACAAAAAAATCAAAGATGAGTATATATTTTCCCTCCAGTGTTAATATTTGTAATAACATACTGAAAAGTTTAAAAAAACCTCTTTTTTGTCCTTCTTCTCTTAATTTTACTATTTTTTTCTACTTTGCTCATAACCATCATGCTCCAGATTTTATTAAACCATGCATTCACTTATAGAAGGCTCCAACAAGAAGACTTATTAAATAGGTTGAACTATCTATGAAAAATCAATCAAATTTTGCAAAGTATGATGATATCCATTCTTAGAGAGGCATTATACAACTGTCAGGGCCAAGCCCACCCATGAGGTGAGGTGTGGCAGTCGCCTCAGGGCAACAAGCTCCAGAAAGCTGGGAGAGGCAGCAGATCCAGCAAGTGGGCAGACATACAGCAGCAGACACACAGCGGATGAGGGGTCAAGATTTTCTGTTTTGCCTCTAATGGCAAAATGTCCTGAGCCAGCCCTGACAACTGTGCACACAATTTATATAGCATGTTCTCCAAAATCACATCCTGGCCAACAATTAATAACCATGCTGCAATCAGAGCAGAGAGCCAGAATCCGCCTGGAAACAACTTGCTTTTTTTAGTTTTGTTTGCGCTTAAGAATCCTCATTAACTGTTTCCAACCATGTATGCATTAGATCAAACAATTTCATTCATTTTTTATTAATCCAGAATAGCTGTCATTCCTCAATATCATATTCATAATTACTAGGGCCAGTCCACACCTGCATACAGTATTCATCAAAAAGACTCTAGATTCAGGTAGGTAGCCATGTTGGTCTGACGCAGTCGAAATAAATACAGTGGTAACTCGGGTTACATACGCTTCAGGTTACAGATGCTTCAGCTTACAGACTCCGCTAACCCAGAAATAGTACCTCAGGTTAAGAACTTTGTTTCAGGATGAGAACAGAAATCGCGCGGCAGCAGCGGGAGGCCCCATTAGCTGAAGTGGTAGCTCAGGTTAAGAACAGTTTCAGGTTAAGAATGGACCTCCAGAACGAATTAAGTTCTTAACCCGAGGTACCACTGTAAAAAAATTGTCCAGTAGCACCTTAGAGACCAACTAAGTTTGTTGTGGGTATAAGCTTTCGTGTGCATACTCTCTAAGGTGCTACTGGACAATTTTTAATTTTTTAATTTATATCAAAAAGACTGCAATCCTATACCCATAGGTATACCTAAGTCCCATTAATCTCAATGAGACTTATTTCTGAGTAGATGTGTACAGGATTATGTTGCTAATGACTAATATCAAGATATTAATTTCATTTCTCAACAAGCCAAAACAGATCAAATACAACAGAAATACTTTTCATATAACTTCAGATCACCTAAAATTCAAAGGATCCGTTCTGACATTAACTTCATAAAATGGGAGCTGCATCAGTGTAAATCCTGCACCACAGGATGGACACATGGATGGAGATGGCAGTATGGCTCCTTCCCATGCCTATGATACCTCAACTTTAGGAATAGTGATGATGGTGTGGGATGGCACACTGTGGACTCCTCCCATATTAGGGCTTCTGATGCCACTCAAGCAGCATAGGAAACAGCTGAACTGCAGCAGCTCTCATGCTACTTAAATAAACATCAGAAGGGGCTTAAAGCTTTTCAGTTGAATTGGTTCACAACTGTAAGCCATTTAGTAATCAAGTGAAATTAAATGATACACATATGCATGTAAACCAATCCTAAATTCATTTAGAATTGCCCACTCCCAACGTAAGCATGCACTGCACGTTTGGGAATGGGGAATTAGGTGGCTGCATTATTCTTCACTGATTATGACAGCATTCCAAGGGAATAGATGAAGACAGTTATATGCAATTGCAAACTTATCACTAGTCGTATACTACCAATGATAATCAGACTTAAGTCCATTGATTTCAATAGGTCTACTCTGACTAACCTTGGATATCACCCTATGAGTTCCCATAAAAGTGTAAATTCCACAGGTAGTAAAATACCAGCCATAACTGGTTGTATATGGTGCTATTCCTTTACCTCCTGTGATATTTGTCAGAGAACTGATATTTCATGCATCCAGCCATCATAAGTACTGTACCGCTTTGACATGCATTTATTGAGGTTAGTTAGAGTTAAATTGTGACTTTGCAAATTTACAGAAAGGCACAGAGAACAAATACAAAGTGATAGCATAAGTAATTAATTTTGCACATTGTCAGGGGTATCCAAGTGATGTTGAAAAAGTGATTTTAGATTCATACATGTCCTTATCAAAATGAATAGTCTTAACACAAAAATTATGCATGTTGACCAGGCAGTGTATTATCTAATCTGTTTATATTATCCAGTTTTATATATTTACTGATATTATTTGGAGACTATGCATACTGTGCAGGCATTTTACAAAACCCCCTATTTACACTGCCTATTTAAACACATTCTTTATGCCTTCATGTGAGTGTGCAAAATTGCATATTTATGCAAATTATTCACTGAATTTATATTAACCACAATATATACACACTTGACAGGAATTAACAATGTTTTCTAAGTATATACTGGTGCTACAATTTCTGTCAAAACAAACTGTTATATATAGAACCTTCTGGGTTTAGGTATTAATGAAATCATTTACCTATGGTATGGAGCATCTTTTGTTTCTATAGAAAGTTAGACTGAAGATGCAATTTACTCAAAGTAGGTTCTTCTGCCATCATTGTGCATTTGGGTATTAGAGGAAGGAGTTTCTATCCAAATTTCAAGCACCGGATGAAAGATCTTAGTTCTTTGTCATAGTCTGTCTATACCCTATTTCGTATCAATTACCAATGAATGAAAGGTACTTTGCAGATATTTTAACAGAGATTTTGGTGGACCATGGCCAGAGCTTGCTGCTGCCAGCACAGTTTAGATTATGAGTGGCTGCTATTTTACTTCAAGTGGCTATAATATAAGCATAGAAAGAGATACTTAAATGGGTCTGAGCAAAGAGCTACTGCCTCCTTTAAGTGGGGCAGTCTGGGGCATGGTAGGGGAAAGGGGAAAAGCTTTAGTTCCATAAAATGTCCTTTCTTTTCCCTTTGTATTGGGCTTACATGTTGGATACAATCACTGCACTGCCGATGGAAGCTTTACAGAAGCTAAAGACTGGGTTGTTTTCTAGAAGGGGAAAAAGCCAACCATCACTCTTTTGAGTTTGTTCACTCCTGCAGCTCGACAACTGTCTACACTGCAGACTAAAGACATTTATTGCAAGTACCAAGACTTCCATCTTCCCCCATCACCCTTGGTCATTCTACCAGGCCGGTTATATTGGATTCCCCCCCCCTTCCTTATTCTGTATGATTTAGATTATGGGAGGAAAGCTGGGCTTAATGATCCAGAGCTGGAGTTCCCTTAGCCCAAGAACTTTTCTGCATCGTCTGCCTCTTCAAGTGAACATGTATGATGAAGATGTTGATGATTACAATGATGCAGATGTTGCTGCTACTGCAAGGGATCCAACCTGTTTTTATTACCCCACCCCCCACTGCACCGGAGTCTGAAGGGACAGCCAAAGGAGCACTATGTACAGGACCACATCTATTTCTGCTTTGTTTTCTAACCCTAGTCCCACCCCGTTGATGACTATGACAACAACAAAAAGGGCAAATGCATTTTTTACATTTCTTGATAATTTCTAAAGCAATGTATCATTGCTTTCTTTAGACTGATGCCAATATAAGAGTTGTATGGGTCTCAGCCAGGCTTCTGTGTCTTTTTCTGACTGAAGAGTTTGAGATCATTCTGTGAAACATTCTTACTTAAAGGCAAGTTACGATTTGACAACCATGGAGACAACTTTTCAAGAAAACACAGCTCGCTAACTGTTCACTTGCTGAGATTATTCTCTTAGTAACAATTGCAATTTGTGCGCTTCTTAATAACATTTAAAAATAAACTCATCCTTTACAGGAAGAGCCCACATTTGAACCAAATTTGGTATAATTGTACATCGATTTGTATTAAACATTACAGTTCTGATATAATATAAATGGAATGGAATATGAATCAAGGAACTGTGAGGTTGGATAGATGAATGGACAGTTGTGTCCAATTAATCTCTAGAAGATTAATCAAAATCCTGGGTTGGGTTCTGACTTCACACTACAAAGAGAGGGTTGTTTTATATGTTACAGTTTCTTACATGGAAATTATTTGGGCAAAACTGTTCTTTACCTGATAAAAGATCAAAACAGTAACATTTGCCAGGCCATCAAAATTCTAACACAGAAAAAGAAAAAATGTGAGATTTAATAACAGATATATATATGAAGAGAACTATGCCATGTATACATGAGATTCTTAATCATATTCAACTTAACAAGCATGGGAAATTAACTGATTTGAAGCTAGTGAGACCACACAAAGAGAACTGAAATTAATAGAATATATGGCTGAAAGGAACCTCCTTTGTCCTCCAGCTTAATATTGCTAATTTCACATAAGTAAATGGGGGGAGGCGGGCAGCAAAGGGATAAGGAATACCATATGACATTTTTACTAAGTAGACTGGATCACACAAGGATAAAGGCCCTGAGATAGTAGTGACTACATAAGAAAAAATGTGACTCCAGAATAGAGAGACAGGGTTGTCTCATTTATTGTAGTTTCCTAGGTGGAGACTGGTCCTTTACTTGCAATGAAGTGTGGGATTTAATCAGATCCACACCATGTATTAACAATATGCAGTTCATACAGGTATACGATATACATTCCATGCAGGAAGTACTATCCTAAATATTGAAGGCCTATTAGGACTTGGGGACGGGGAAGAATTCAGACTCCTTTGTCCGCTAGAACTTATTGCTGCTGAGAGGACAGAAATGGTTGAGGGACAGTGGTGGGAATGGCCTCCAACCAGAGTGGTACAACAGGAGGATAGTGCTTTAACCTATACATACATACTCAGCAGCCACAAACTTGAGAACTATAATACCTGGTGGGGTGGGGGTGGGGTTTGTTCAGCTAGACCTAAACCTCAGCAGTACTTTGCAGGGATAGAAGCATTATCCTGACATGAGTCAGGGGACCTTGAACTTATTTCAGATTGTTCAGGCCTGGGGGCTGCCATCACCATCCTGAATTCTGAGTGCTATTGCATTGTAAATCAATGCAGATATGTTTTGGAATTGCCACAGCTCCCAAACTGAAAACTATAGCAGGGGAGGGATATTTTTTTAAATCCCTATTCCCTGTGTTGTCTGGGAGAGCTCCTCTTTTTCCTTGTTGAAAAGCCAATCCATCCCTCCAGCGTTCATCACTGTCAGAGATTTTATACACGTCTTAACGTACCATTATTACAGGAGAGCTTTGCTCATATGTAGTTCTTGTTGGAAGATGGGTTCTTTTCTGTCCCTTCCCCTTTTCTTTTTTACAAAATAATATTTTTTCTGAATACCTGGGGAATGCACAGAAACCCTTACTTTGCCCATGGGTGCCCCAGTTTTATGTGCTATGTGTCAGATTGCCGTTAGGAGGAACAAGTGGGACCTGGCAGGACCTGTAAAAAATACTGTCGTATACCTTCACAGTTTGGGTTCCAGCCAGCCCCTCCTTCCAAGCAGGGCATTCCACTCCTCCATCTTGTTCTCCATTTTCCTTTTCCAGCTATCACACAATATTCTATGGCTATTGCGCATGTTCAGTCCTCATTGTTCGGGGGGGGGGGGGGCTTTGTGTGTTTTTGTTTTTAAAGAAGCCTTTTTATACTTCTGCAAACATTAGGGGTCCTCCAAGCATGCTGCGACATCCAGAGACATTCCGGACAAAACACTCACTACATAAGTTTAGTATTAGAAGGAGTGTTAATGATGAAACAGCCATCAGTGATATTATTCTGCAATTATTTTATCAGAAAATTTTCTCTCTGGTATCCTAGCTGAAGTCCACTGGTGACAGATGGTTCAATCAATCAGTCTTCTGCCCAAACTCCATTTAATGTGAGGATTTGTGCAAGGGGGGGCGGGCGGAATCCTGATTAATTGTGCTGTACATATTTGGGGCATATATCCTTGAGCTACATTTTATACTATCAGAAAGAGATATGAAATAAGAGGAAATAAACCCAGTTTGATCTTAGTTCATCTCAGTTTCTGAAAGTATGAATTTCAACACAGTTCCTGTATTATTGCCTTGTAGTGGTGTACGTATTATTGTAGCATCTTGTATTCACCACTGACAGAGATAGTATAATACCATTGGTATCCTATCGGTCTGAATGTAATACTTTTCTTATGCTCTTAAACAAATCATTTAGGGATCTACTTTTAGTGGACTATGCTAATCTATATTAACCTTTAGCATCATAAGTAATTTCTTTAATTATTTATGGCCTGCTTTTCATAAACTATTTTCTAAAGTCTGCTTACAAAGTAAGCCGTCACATAAAAAACAAAAACAATTCTGTGTTTTCATGAACAGTAAAATGAACACAGAAGCTGCTCTAGGCATATTATCTGGCTCATGATCACCAATTACTTAATAAGAATTCATGTCAGTATCTTGCACATTGGTAGAGAAGGTAGTTTATGTGCTGTGAAAATTTTAAAAATCCCAAAATTACCACCTCAGGGTTGTTGTAGGTCACAATGTTACAGTGACGGGAGAAACCACATCAGACAAAATCCTCCTTCTGTGCCACTCTTGTTAGTGTCCTAGCAGCTTATGTCCTCTTGGCTCCCTGGTCACAGCCTCTAACCCTCTTATCCTCCCTTTGCCTATCCACCTCCTTCCTGCACTGAGCCCCCTGGGAGGCTTTGCCTCAGTACCCCTTTCTCCAACTCAGCCCACCTTTCTCCATCTTTGCATCACACAAGCTTCCTCAGGTTCCTATTTATCCCAAATGGATCATTCCACATCAAATCAATGCAAAATAACCAAGGGTTTTCTCACCCACCATTTCAGATTTTGATGAAACTTGGTGTACACCCTTCACTTATGATTGAAAGAAACCCCCTTAATTTTTTCCCCTCTATCTCAAACGGTTTTATTTTTAAAGCACTTCAAAGTTTCGTTAAATCTGCATTGTCTGTCCCTCTTGAGACTCTCGGCACAAGATACCCTTGTGTACATTCTGGGGTTTTTTTCCCTCCATAAACAATTATCAGATCTCTTTGAAATTTTACACAGAGCTCAATAAAATGATGAGGATTTCAGAAAAAAATACACCAGCACTCAAAAGATTTTATAAATGCCTACAAAAAATTATAAATGCACTTGTAGCCTAGTTTTTTTATGGAAAAACTAGGTTTAGAAAACCTGAATTTACAGCATGTGGGCATGATGTAACCAAAAGTTTTTGATGTTGAAAATTATTGCAAAGACATGCTCTTTCTTGACAAAGAATGAAATTTGTGATTTTTTATTCCTTGTAATGAAAATTTTACGTTTTTTGGACATCGTGGGGGAAAATGGCTACTGGGTAGCCATTTTGTACAACTTTCCTACAATCCATAGCTGTAATAGAAAACATTAATGAAACAAAGTTGTTCATCTTAAAAATTAAAATAATATTATTATAGGTTTTTTTCAAAAGTGCAGATTTGTTTTAATTTTGGGATTTTGAAGTTATGAAAATTGGCTATCAGGAATATAAAAAAAGAAAAAAAGAATTTACAGTCAGTAGAACATTAAATGCTGACATGTAAGGAAGTAAGACCTAGCAAGAAAAATATTCCAAAAAATTAAGAATTGAGTATTATATAAAAATATGAGTACATCAATTATTTAAAAAATAATTATTCATTTCAGAAATATTTAAAATATTAGACATTTTAAAATGTTTTCTCAGATTGCAGTTCAGAGAAGCCTTGCTAGTTGTGTATGCTATTGTTCAGTTTGTGGATGAATCATAGATAGCTGAGGTTGGGTGATGCAATGCAGATGAGTCATGCAAGCCACTGGTGTTGATGGAAGAAAAAAATGAAATACTTACAGGTGACACTGAGGCTACAGCAAGGAAACTGAGGAGCATTGAACTTGTAAGGTAATCAACTGTGATAATAGCATAATCTGTTATGGTAATTTTTTACTTTAGTTTAACTGTTGTCTTTACTGTTATTAATGTATCTGCTGTCATAAAACAGCCTCATTGTGAATTACACCTCAATATATTTAACATAAATGTTAAAAAGTCTCCATGCATCCATTATTTCAAGATGGCACACAAACATCATTCTCTTTTTCTTTTCCTTTGTAAGATAGACTTGTCTTTGTATGCAATAATATTCTGAAAAACAAACTGGGGATCATGTAATATTGCATAATTGAATATAATAATTTTAAATTCTTTTAATCTTTTTCTTGCTAGGTCTTATTACCTTACATGTCAGCATTTAAAGTTTCTGACCGAATTTATTATTATTATTATTATTGATTTCACGATAGCCAATTTTCATAATTTTAAATACCCCAAAACTAGAAACAAGTGTGCACTTTCAAAAAAATCTATAATAACCAATATTATTGTAATTTTTAAGATGAACAACTTTGTTTCAGTAATTTTTTCTACTACTGCTATGGATTGTAGGAGAGTTGTACAAAATGGTAGCCATTTTTTACCTACGATGTCCAAAAATGTAAAATTTTCATTACAAGGAATAAAAACCCATAAATTTCATTCTTTCTCAAGAAAGAATTCTTTGCAATAATTTTCTACATCAAAAACTTTTGGTTATACCATGCCCCCATGCTGTAAATTCAGGTTTTCTAAACCTAGGTTTTCCACCAAAAAAACTAGCCTTCAAGTGCATTTATATTTTTTTGTAGGCATTTATAAAATCTTTTGAGTGCTGGTGTATTTTTTTCTGAAATCCTCATCATGTTATTGAGCTCTGTGTAAAATTTCAAATAGATCTGATCAATTGTTATGAAGAAAAATAAATAAAATGTACACAAGGGTTTATTGTGACGAGGGTCTCAAAGGGGACAGACAACGCAGATTTAACGAAACTTTGAAGTGCTATAAAATTAAAACCGTTTGAGATAGAAGGGGAAAATTTAAGGGGGTTTCTTTCAATCATAAGGGATGGGTGTACACCAAATTTCATCAACATCCGAGATGGAGGGTGACATGACCTTGTTGAAATGACATGGAATGACCCAAGTCCTTTAGGCAGCTGACCTCCTACCCTCCCTACACAGCATAAAACCCCTTCTGACCTTTATTATTTATTTTACTTATAATATTTTAGCCCTTCTGTTCCTCTAAGGAGCTTAAGGCAGCGTACACAATCCCTCTTTTTATCCTGAAGTGCTAAGGTTACTTTACAGATCATTCTTGTCTCAGTTGACCATTGCCTACAACACTGATTTGGGGGCAGGTGTTCATGAGTTAGTGTATTAATACTGACTTACTTAGTCAACTAGTGTCAGAGGCTTCACCATTGCAAGCACAATACAAAATAGATGTCAGCCTCCTCCACAGTCCATTCCATGCATCTTATCAATGTAAGCAGGCTCTCAGCAGCAAAACTGTATCCTTGCACCATATTAATCAAGGCAAACAAATAGTGTGGTGGCACATTCAAACTATTTGATGTTTCTGGCCTAGTTTTAACCATGGGCTATTATTTGAGAAATTTCTGTCAGCAGAACCAAATTTATATTTTTAAAAAATCACTTCAATCATTTATTGTCTCAATCATGTACGTTTAGGAACTACTAAGAGTTTCTACAGCTCTTGCAACATGAATGGATAAGAAGTGTCTTAAAAGCTCTAAACATCTGAACAAGAAATGATTTCTATGTTTTTAGGTAAATCTCTAATTCAAATGCACACACACACAAAGAGCATTGCAAGATAAGATGCTGCACCTCATAACCTCATGTACCTAGAGCTTCCACATAATCATCCTTCCATGAAAAAACAAGTTGCATGTCCCTACCAATAAATATTGCTATGTTTTATACAATGCTGTCTCTCTGTCAAAGATGCCTCTACTACAGACAAATTTGATTTCTTAAAAGTGTCTGGATGAAAGAGGCCACACTGTGCCTTTCTTGGATATATATATATATAGAAAGAAAGGAAGAATTCCTTCCTAAAATAGTGAAGCTTAGCAAGTCAAGGATAATTTTTTTTAAAGAAAAGAATACCTACTGTAATCCAGCTCAGAAGCAAATATAATTTAGGGTATGATTCCACGTTTTTTAGGCTACATTCTTATTGATGTCTGCGATCACATTACAGGAACAGGCAAACCAAGTATAGCTTCAGTATATGTTTCTCCTTATTTCATTGAACTGAGGGGTTCATCCTGACAAAACTATCCATCTTATTAATTTCAGTGTGCAGTGGGCTCATGCACAACTTTCACTTCCTCTGACCATCCAAGGAACTTCATTTCTCCTGACCATCTGCTATAAATGTTTAGTTGATATGATACAGATTTCTGCATGTAACTTTCTTTCTAATTGCTTAGATCCATGAATGAACTGAGCTCTTAAAAGCTGTTATGTCTGTCAAGATGTAAATTCTTCCACTTTTCCTCCTCCCTAATCCAAAATGCTCATACTATCTAACTTAAAGAGGTTCCAGACAGAGCTGTTGAGCAGGTCCCACTGTTTTAAGACCCAGTTTTCATGAACCAACTGAAATCAAGAAGGCTAAAATTGCCCTTGTAAAATAAAGCTGTACAGTTTGTAACCATAATGTAAGCCTGCCATAGGTTAAAAACAAACAATCAGTCTTGCCCTCTTCTCACACATTTTAAATAAACAGAATGAATGACCCTCAAAGTGAGCTAGAGAATTGCCTTGGTGTGAGACAAATGTATATTCCTGTAAGATTGCATTTTTATCTGAGGAATTATGTTATTTTAAAAATTGCTAATAAATTTTTTAACAATGTCTTGATTGGTTTATCCTAACTCCTTTTACACTTATACCTTCCTCATGACATCTGCTACAAACAGGCCAATCTGTCAGCCACTGTCAACTTATACATTCCTAACATTTATACTTGGATTTGTATTACAGTTCTATCAGTGCCAAGCGGTATTTAGAATCCTAACCATACCTTTACAATAGTAGTGGCTATCTGCATGGCTAACAGCCCAGTCCTCATACTTTCTGAACCAGTACACATCTTATGAATGGGAAATATGGCTATACTACCACCACAACATAAAACTGTTATCCAAGCAATGTTACACTAATATTACATAAAATAGAAACAGAAACAATAAATACATTAATACTCACCCATCATGTTGTTATGAGTTGGCTGAGTTTATTGTCCCTGTACCTCTCTTGCTTTCCCTCTCATTGACTATTCACCTGTCAAAGAAGATATAGAACAATAAACATACTTTCCACCAGTTTTGGTTATACAGTGGTGCCCCGCAAGACGAATGCCTCGCAAGACGGAAAACCCGCTAGACGAAAGGGTTTTCCGTTTTTGAGTTGCTTCGCAGGACGAATTTCCCTATGGGCATGCTTCGCAAGACGAAAATGTCTTGCGAGTCTTGAGATTTTTTTTTCGCTTTCCCCCCCTTTATCTAAGCCGCTAAGCCTTTAATAGCCTTTTAGCAGCTAATCCGATAAGCCGATAAGCCTTTAATAGCCGCTAAACCGCTAATAGCGCTAATCCGTTAAGCCGCTAATAGGGTTGCTTCGCAAGACGAAAAAACCGCTAGACGAAGACTCTCGCGAGGCACCACTGTATTTTGATATTCTACTTATTATTTGCAGCACAAATTTGACAATTACAAATCTGTTCTGCAACTAACACAAATAAGGTAGGGATGTGCAATTGTACATTTCTCCCAAAATACTTTCTAAAAATTCAGAGTGCATCTTCTAGGAAAGACAACTTTGAGGAATATGAATGCTCTGGCAAATAAGAATGTAAGCAAACAACACTAAAAATGCAAGTCAGATTCAGAAACAAATAAATTCAGAACAACCAAGCTCAAATGTGCCCTAACCAATAAGAACAAGAAGCACACTATCTGAAGATAAGCTCATGGCTGATCAAGAAGTACCGGTAGTTGATAATAAAAAGCCATAGCCTGGTAAATTAACCCCCAAAAGTCTGTTCATTCCTTATTCTTAAAATCTAGCATGATAATTTAAGATCCTCAGTGTACTTTTAGAGTTTAGTTTCCTTCAGATTGTAACCCATTGCTATGCATGTTCACTTGTAAATCCCACACTGTGTCAAAAGGGGCTTAGTACAATCCTGTCTGCACTGATTTGGAGTATGCATAGAATTGCACTTTTGAACTAATTTTCTGGTCCCAATTCCATGTACTTGTTTTAGCTTTTGAAGCCTTAAAAAGCTTAGAACTAGGATACCTATCAGAGGGCTTTCTACTTTCCACCTGAGGCACCTTTTGGTTGTTTTGTCCTGCCTTCAGAACTCGTTCCTCAGGTAGGCTTCCCTGGTACCATCTCCCATTATCTTTTCAGCACCAGGTATTGTTGCTATTTGCTGGACTTTTTAAGCTTTTAGTTTGACTGCAGCCCTATTCACATTTCTCTCACATACAGGGCATAGCTACATTGACTATAGAGAGTGACCATGTATTTAACCTGCCCTGTGCTATAATTTCTTCCTACAACTATGTGTTGTTCACAGTTGTCTGTAGGGAAATGCCAATGCACAAGCACTGCACGATACGGACACTAGGTATCCTGATAGTACAAAGCCCCTATACAGCCAGATGCTTGAGCTTCGGAATTTCCCTAAAGACAACTGCACACAATCATGGGGAGAATAACACTATGGTCTAATCTGCACTCAACATAATAATGCCCTACATCTGAGTAACACATGCACAGGGCTTTTCCATTCTGCTGGCTTTTAAGCCTTATCTTGTTTTATTCTATTGTATGCTTAAAAACAAACAAAGGCCTGTGCCAAAAGGCACATATCCATCCCCCATTCACAACTGTTAAAATTAAAATTGTGACAGAACAACTATCATACTGTGTAAGTTCAACAATTCCATTTGCCGTGTTCACCTTGGCAAGTGGTCAGCCTTCCCCACAACTCTGAAGCTGCAGAAGTGAGTGGAGATCATCCCAGCAGCTCCTCAGCAATCCACAATGGTAGGAAGGCTAGAGATTTGTTTGGCAACTGAGTGGCAGTGCCCAGAGAACAGCTTCCCCAGCAGCACCAAACTGGCACCCCATGGCAGCCTCTCCTGCTTCTGAGCCAGTGGGGGAAGGGGTGCAACTGCAGCAATGCCCAAAAGGCTACACTCATCCCAGGGCCCCTCCTCAGAAAAGGAAAGGGGCTTGAGAGATGAGGGAGCTCCACAACTACAACTGTTTGATTTGGCCAACAAGGCTAGTAGTCATTGTGTAAAGCACTTTACAATACAGTATATACATTTTGTTCAACAACCCTGACAGAAGTCACTCACATCCTCACGGATGAGGACGGCGGGCAGGGGATTTGGCCTAGTTCAAAAGCAGGGCTCAGAATTTAGACGCTGTTAATTTTTTGGCGTTTGGCAAGTTTCGTGCCTTGTTTTTATGTGTATCAGACAGGAATGTGCCTTATTAGATTTTAGTGGTGTTTTATATATATATATATATATATATACACACACACACACACATATATATATATATATGGCTTGCAGTGTTGTTTTTTGAGGGGGGCGGGGGGAGTATCAGCACCTTTTTATCCCCAAATGTTGAAAGTGTGGCACTTACTGTAACAACTTCATGGTGAGTACGGGCTCCTTTTCGTCTGGGGGCGGGGAGCAGAGGCTAAGGGCCTCAAAGTCTGGAAGAGGCCCAGGCCTCGCTGGGGAGCTTACTTCTGAGTAGGCAATGTATAGGAACGCGCCGCAGGTCTGTGAGAAGAGATTCTATGAGGACGTCGGCAGCTAACCTGTTTAAATTCATAAACGCGCCCAAAAGCAACCTCAACGGAACAAGCACACGTTAGGTACCTATGTACTAAGGCAGCTAAAACTGCAAGGCGTCAGGGGCCACGGGGAAGCGAATAAATAGCAGTAACAACAGGCACACGAAAGCGGGCGAAGAGGCGAGGCCACGCCTTTGGCAGTTCCTTCTCCTAACCGCCCGCTCTCGCGCCCATGGCGCTGAAGCCACGCCTCCTTCTCCCGTCACCGAGCTCAGCTCCTCGCGCCGCCTCAGGTAAAGCCGCACTTCTGCTCCTGCCCGCCTTTTGAAGAACTTAGCCACGCCCCTCCCTCTTCGCTCCTCCTTAGGTGCGTTTCCTAAGCTCCGCCCTTGTTCTCCCTTTTCAGGTTTTGGTCCCGGAAACTGGGGGCGGACGAAGCGAGTGTAGCCGGTGGCCTCGCTTCGACAGCGGCTATGGCGAGGATGGGAGCCGTCGCCGCCGCTTCGCTTCCCCTTACACTTCTTCTGGGACTTTTGCCCGCTGCTTCAGGGCTGAGGCTCCTCGAAGACCCGCCAGTTTTCAATTGTTCCCAGCCGGTAAGTCTCTCGGGGCCAAAGTTCATTTTTCCGGCTCTTTCGAAAGCGGCGTCGTAGTTAACTCGAGGCTGCGGATGCGGAAGTTCTCGGTTCGGGTTCTTGCTACTTGTCAGGAACTCAGGAGGTTGCTTTTGACAAGCCCGTCTCTCACTCCGAGCCGTCGCCAGTTTGTTAATGTAAAGGTTGCTGTATTGACCTACTTCGCAGGGCTGTTCCGAGGATTGCCTGCCCGCGCCTTCATTCTCTCCCTCCCCGCTTCTCTGTTCTTTGTGTTTATTTAGTTAAGGACCTGCCTTTGTAAAGTTCCAGATACCTGGATGGTGCTGTAGAAACAAATTATTCCGAATAATAATGTGTGTGTCCCTCCATGTGTTGTTGGACTTAGCTCCCAGCAGCCTTAGCCATGACTGCAGGTTCCCCACCTCTGTGAGATGAGCAAAGTAAAACGGGTTGTTTTTTTTCGAAAATTGTGGTGGTGTTTGTACATTTTTTTCCGTGCATGGTACTACTGAGCCAGTGTGGTGTAGTGGTTAAGAGCGGTAGTCTCGCAATCTGGGGAACCGGGTTCGCGTCTCCGCTCCTCCACATGCAGCTGCTGGGTGACCTTGGGCTAGTCACACTTCTTTGAAGTCTCTCAGCCCCACTCACCTCCCAGAGTGTTTGTTGTGGGGGAGGAAGGGAAAGGAGAATGTTAGCCGCTTTGAGACTCCTTAAAGGGAGTGAAAAGCGGGATATCAAATCCGAATTCTTCTTCTTCTTCTTCTACTGTATCTGTTTAGGAAAGAATATCTAGCCTTAGTTGGTCCACAGATCAATGGCTTAAATAAAGAGCTTCTCTGGAGGAATTACAGGTGTCTAAAATCAAAGCATTGAGTGTGCTGCGATGGCAACATTATCTTCCTGAAGTAGTATTTGTATTTTAATTTACCTCTGCAAGTGATCTCTGACTAAAGGATTGTGTACTCTTTTACCAATAGTGATAATTCAGTCAGAAACTTCCATGCTTCACTTTTCATTAAAGCCCTATTCTATGTGTGTGTGTGAAAGATTAATGCTGTATTAGCATTCTTTTCTTTATTAGCATACATTTGTGTACAGTCATGCATGCTTCAACAACACTGAACATGGTTAACCTTCTGGTAACTGATGAGCAACCAGCCTTCCTCCCAACTTTGAACCTGGGAAATTTGGTGGAAACATCTCTTCAGTTGCATAGTGATTCTCACCACCTCCTAAGCTTTGCAGATAGGAGAAAGAATAGGGACTGTTTGGCACCTGCATGGCCAAAATGCCTTGAGGGTCTTGCCTATGCAAGGCCAAACTAGTAAGACCCTGCACCACCACGGCTTATCTCTTCCTCTACCACCAACCAGGTTTCCCGGTAATATATTCAGACTCAGTCAGGCTGTAATGTATTAACAAAGATTCTAGTTAATTGTGAACGCAAACAAGCTTTAAATACTTTGAAACACTGTAATCCGATTCATTTTCTGCTCCCCTCTGTCTATAACTCACTCTGACTCCTATGCCTGCCACCCACAAGAAACCAACCCAACTAACTGCCAAAACCCCTGTGCTGAGCCTTAAACACAGTTAGGCTCCGTCCCTGGGCTTTCTTTTTAGTCAGCCTCTTAACCCTTTCTCTCCCCCGCCCCAGTACGACATCTCCATAATGAGTGGGCAAACGCCACACACCCCTTCTAGCTTTTCCTGCCTTTAAGCAGCAGCAGCAGTCTGTTTCCTTGGTAAAGACTTGGAAGGTTTGCCCAGAGAGAAGTGAATAGGCAACTATGGTACTTACTTACTTTAGCTCAGCCAGCAAGACTCATAAAAAATTGTAGAACCCTGCTTGTATATATGACACTGTACCAATACAAGGGCTGCCTACTCCTATTGATGTTGACTGAAGTCTTACTCAGTGTTGCTAGTCTTCCCACCATCCTTTTGCCATCTCCTTTCCCACATCTCCTGCAGTGAACAACATTAACAGTGGTAGAGCAGGTCTCTAATGCCTTTACTATCCTACATTGTTAATTGCCCTCCTTAGTAGACACATGCTTAACTTAAACACATTCTAAGAGTCTCCAGTATTAGGATCTTTAGACAATTTGCTCTGATATAGCTGGCTCTTTTACATACTTCTTCAGAAGTTTTAAAAAAATCATAGGTCTACCAGCTTCTCTTTATCTGTCACTGGCACAAAAGCAGCAGCTTGTGAAATCTTTTATAAGGTCGGAAGTTACCAAACAGGCTGTTTATCAGAAATTTTATTTTTCATAACTCTTGCGGAAACCACAGCTGATGATACAAGTGGCTTAAGCCAAGCCAAGCAAATTTCAGAAGCTTCCCTTGGTTACAGATTGGAGAAGCTGAGGCAATGTTCAATAAGTATTTGTCAACTGAGAAGTGTAACATTTCAGTAAACACCTGAACATGCTCTACCAAAAACTGTACCGTGGTACTTCGGGTTACAGACACTTCAGGTTACAGACTCCACTAACCCAGAAATAGTACTTTGGGTTAAGAACTTTGCTTCAGGATGAGAACAGAAATCGTGCAGCAGTGGGAGGCCCCATTAGCTAAAGTGGTACCTCAGGTTAAGAACAGTTTCAGGTTAAGAACGGACCTCCAGAACGAATTAAGCTCTTAACCTGAGGTACCACTGTACTTTATGATAGAAGTGGATAACCTGTTGCCTGTTGCCCTTTGGATGTTGTTTGATTAGAACTCGCATCATACCAGACCACTGGAGTGCTAAGGATGGGGCACTAAGGCTGAGAGAGAGTAGCTTACTAAGGACACCTAGCGTGTTCATGGCTGAGGTGATACTTGAACTAGGGAGTTTCCAGCACGCCATCTTAGCCACTCTGCTATGTTAGATATCTTGCTCATTTCACCCTCCTACTTTTTCATTTTCTGATGAGAAATTCTCCTTCTACGTAGCTTTATATGCTACAGATGATTTGGCTATAGGGAATCCATTCTGTGCGTAGATGACACTTTTTGAAAACAATACAGTCATACAGTTCTGTGAGTCATCACTTAATATCATTATATCAATTTTTTAAAAAAATATTTGTGGTTTATGGAGCTTGTTCTGATCGTTCTCACAGATTAGAGATGATGCATACTTTTATTTTTAACCATACTGCTATGCGGCAGATTAGCCTAACTTCTTAATGGTAGTGAACAAACATCTGGTAATATTTCCTTCAAGTGTGTTCAGTCAAGAAGTACTGAAAGGAATATGAGCTACACAATACCATGTCCACAGTTATTACTTCTATCATTTCAGTGTATTGACCCTTTATCCTTGTTGTGATGCATGGTTAAAATAAATAGTCTGGATAAGGTAAAAACATTTGTATCTTAGGTGTTAGAAAGGTTCTTGTTCAGTTATTTTTGAATATAATATCACAGTGAATCCTACCACTAGTGCTGGTGGGTTATCTTTGTCAACAGTATCCTCCTAGTTACCAACCTGACAAACTGTTTAATATTGGCTATGGTTTGTTTGAAACAAGGCAACTTCAAACCATGGGTTATAATTGTGGGATGTGAAGTTGACTTTTTTCAACAAACTGATGTTAAGATTAGCCACATTCTTAGGGCTCAGATGACACACAAAACTGTGGTTAGTCAAAAATGGAAGTGAACACCTCCAAACTCCTTGTGGCCACACCAGAGAAAAAGAGGTGGGACATGCAAGCACAGAGGGGGTGCTAAATTAATTCCCTGTGTTTTAAACCATGGCTAATTATGACTTCCAAACACAGCCTTTGACTGTAGTACCCTCTTTAATTATTAGGTTGCTATGTTGTTCCATGTCTTGTATGACCATATTTGGGTGAATAGTCATGTTATGTTCTCAAACAAGAGACCTTTTTTTAAAAAAAATAATAATTATTGAACGATTTTAACAAACAATTATCCATCAATCAGTATAACCATTTACATTCCCCCCCCTTTTTCTTCTCCCTCCCTCTCCCCCCCCCCCCGCCCCCCCTCAGAACTTCCCTTAGTTCCCCTCTCTGGTTTCTTTGCACATATTATTCTCTGCATGTTATAAAATTGTACATATCATTGCCTTATCTCTCATGTATTCAACTAATAAATTTGTGGATGTTTATTCAAAACCTGCCAAGGAGTCCAAATCATTTTGTTGTCTTTTTAAATAATTTGTAAAAAGTTCCCATTCTTCTTTGAACTCACAATTGTCCTTGTCACGCAGTTTATATGTCAATTTGGCCAATTTCGCATAGCTCATCAGTTTTTCTTGCCACTGTTCTTTCGTTGGGATTTCTCAAACAAGAGATCTTGATGTACAGTACTTGGTCTATGTTCAGAGAGTGCCTAGTTTATTGGTTGTTAAGGAGAACCAGCCTGATTAAAGCAGATGGTAGTATTTTTTAAACAATTGATCACTGTTTACACACAAGGGTATATTAAACAGTAGAGTTTAAATTCACTAGCACTAGTCATATAATCCAAGTGCAGAAGTCATGGCTGTTAACCAAAGCAAACTTTTAGATCAGTCATGTTATATATGAACTACGGTAGTTGTCTGGTTGGTTGGTTGGTTAAAAAACAACTGTTAGCACCGTAAATACTTAAACGCATTCCCACCATATCATTGATTGGTTTAACCAAACTGAATTCTAACTATAAATGATCTTTCGCTTTTTGCACCTGGCTTCATCAGGCTCTGAGAATAGGAATTGTTCCTCTCAATTAATATGTTTGTGTTCTCTCTTGCAGGGTTTAAATTGCCTTGTGCGAAACAGTAAGTATGTTGGTTATCTTTTTTTAAAAGTCTTTTTAGATGGTTTGTGCTTCAATAGTATGGGAGGATGCAAGTAAGGCCAAAGTGTTGGTATCATCCAAACAAAATCAGTGGCCACATCAAAAATGGTCCTTAAGTTTATTTTTGTTTAACTGGCAGGTACTTGCATGGATCAGAGCTGGCTCAGGGCTTCACAGTTGACTCCATCAGCCCCAAGTTCCCTTGCTGTTCATATTGATACTTTCTTGGATAATGAGGAAAAACTGCTCCCTGTGCTGAAGATAGACTGGAAGGTGGCTACTGATGGTAAGCAAAGGGCAATTTAATATAGACTTGAGTGGGCTGGCATTTAATGGTAAATTGGGTTCTGTAGCATGTAGCATCTGTTTGGCCCAGCAGTAGTACCCAGAGCTGCCATTTAAAAGTTTTTGTGGATGACTTGACCATTGCATGATTCCATGATGAAGAACTTAGGTGACTGTGCAGAGTGCAGGCTCTTACAAGCACGATAGAGGAAGCAAACCTTGGCACATGCTGGCTATCTGAATTAGCAGGAGTCACACTCAGTGTCTAGGTGGGAAGAGCTACAGAAAAATGCAAATAATTGACTATACAGCTTAATTTGTCAACTGCCAATAATTGTAACATTCCCCCTCTCTCTACACACACACACACACACACACACAAATGTATCAGAAAAAAGTAAAGTATCAGCTGTTGGGAGAGGTAAAGCCTATATCTCATTTTTACTATAACCATTTTACTCTCTGTAGTTATTCCATCTTGATGATTCAAGTGGCACTGTTTTGTTTGTGTTTTGGAATAATACATTTATTCCCAAAATCTCCAGATATCACACCTGCATAGTAACACATGGTTACATGCATGTTAAAGTGTAATATATGTTTTGGGACACAGATAGACTTGAATTCCTCCCTTGGACACCTTTTCAGAAACAGAAAATGTAAGAAATTCAGAGCAGATTGACTGTTAAAGTGGTGGTATTTCACTTCAGGCAGGGAAGGCAGTAGTACAGTTGTAGTATTCATGGACCCTGTCGATTACTTTAAACACTGGAATTTGCAGGATAAATTGAGTCCTGAGTGCTGAAAGTATAAAAAGATAGATTGGAAAGCTAATGAAGTTGCCTTATACAGAATCAAACCATTGATCCATATTGATCAATATTGTCTACTCTGCCTGTTGACAGTTCAATCTCTGGTGAGGTATTCCTCACCTGAGATCTCTAACTGGAGAAAACAGATTAAACCAAAGACCTTCTGCATGCTAATCATATTCTCTGTCACTGAGCTGCGACTCGTCTGTTTCCCCTCCAATAAATAAACTATTCCTTAGTGCATCTTCTACAGGCTGATGTAGTCATATTAAGAAAAGCCTGGGCCTGCCCCTTCATTTCTTTTTCTAAGCCAGGATTGACTTTTTCCACCTCTGCAGTCAGATGCTCAGGCTGCAGTATGAACATTTATTTTCCTCTAGAGGTCACAAACAGAAATAAGTTGTTTCCTTACAAATCCTCCTCTTTTTCTTCCCTCCCACCTCGGCCATACACCAACCAGGAAGTGTTCAGAACCTCAGAGGGGCAGAATTGGCTGTGCTTCAGGTGAGCACTAACCAGCAGGTCTGTGCTCAGTTCGATCTTCAGAACAACTTGTTGGAACAAGTCCGTCCAAATGGTGGAGGTCGGGTAAGTGATCATGGAGGTATTACAAATGTTCTGCTTCTTTTCCTCTTCTCAGAATCTCTTGGCTTGTTGTCTGCAGAAGATATAACATTCCCAAAGCAACAGAGCAGCTTTGTGCTTAAGAACAGCCTTGTAGTGTAAGAATATGCCCAGTTGCCTGCAGCAAATAAAAATGACTCCTACACAGCCCCTGCTGCGTGTGCATTACCTGGACAGAAGCCACGAGGATCCACTCTGTTTCTCACCTGGGGAAGTGCAGTGGAGCAGTATGATTTTTCTCTGTCCCTGAACTAAAATGTGTGTGTGTGAGAGAGAGAGAGACGAGATGGAGAGGGAGAGCTGAGACTGAGAGCACCCACAGCATAAAACAGGAGAGAGAAGGAGTATCATGACTGGCTACTGCCAAAGTAAGAAGAGTTGCTGCTCCCAACTCCTTTGCTTTTTCTGTTGGTAACAGAAGCCATCTGAAATTGCTCAACGAGAGAAAGCAGCAATATTTAAATTTTGTAAAACCCAGAAGGCAGTGGAGAGTAAGATGTATAACATTTGCTGCTGACATTTCTGCTGCTTTGGCAGGTCTGTAACATTGACTGCCTGTAAACATTGTTGTTTTATCTGAGTGAGTGGGACCAGAGGTTGGAAAAACTGCAGGGGAAAAGGGAAGGGGGCACCGCAGGTTTTGTCTGCCCCAGTGGATGCATGCACTATCAGCTCTCTTGGACATAACCCACTGCTTTTGTCACCCTATAGCCCCTGTCTCTCTGGCCTCCCCCCTGCCAGTTTATTCACTACCTTATAGCAGGAGTGGAGAGGGGGGACACTAGCAGAACATGAAGAAGAGGACAACCATTCTAAAATGTATTTCTAAGGCTGCTATTAAAAATGTTCATTTAGTGCCAGCAGCCCTGCCTGCAAGACTTCAAAAGTACATCCCTCCTTTATCAGAAAGCAGAGTAGGCAGAAGAGTGCCCCAAATGATACTCTGTTGACCTAACAAGGCTATACAATTCTAGAAGGCATTTGGAGGAGAGGAAGGAGTGAGTTCTTCCATCCACAAGGAGCAAAGTAATGAACAATTCAGAGGTAGAGAAATGGTTTCATGGGTTTGAGACTAGTTGATTGGACTTGAACAAAGTAATCACTCTGCCTTGATGTCCAGATCTCCCCTCTCTCCCTCCATCCCTCCTGTATCATGCCTGTGGATTTTGTATTATTTATTTCATTTTTCTACTATAACTCCAGTGTTGCAGTTCCGTGCAATCTTGGTTTTTAACTTCAGCACACTGGTATTGGTTGACAGATCTTTCCTCTTTTTGTTGTTTCAGTGGAGTTTCTCTTTCAATCGTTTTGAGGTAGAACCAGGTCAAACATACCAAGTAACTGTTCATCACTTGCCCAAATTAAGTACTCCAGGAGACTATAATCGGAAATCTGTGTCATTCACAGTACCAGGTAAAGGACCCTCTTTATAATGGTAATGATGGGATTTAGTATTGGGCTTATCATGTAGTAAAATCATGTTGCTAGACTAGGGATGGATAGAAGAACTATTTTCCATTCACTCTCTTTTGCATATAATGAATTGTAGGTCCATTCAATTTTTTGCAGTTGATTTTTTTTAAATGTATGAAAACTTTGAATTTAAATTGGAGGAATTTTATACACATTCTTCCCACAAAACATGCATGTTTTTGCTTTTTGGTGCATTTTATAGGAAAACACACATTTTGTACATATTCTTTACCATAAAGTATGCATTCTTTACTTTCTTGAACCACAAGGTTCATTTTTGCATCACAAAATTAGGAATAGTGCATCCAATTCATATATAAGTCTGGGACCAGTGAATTAAATCAGGTTCACTTTAAAATGCAGATCAAATGAATTCCTCCATCACGAGGCAGGACTGGGTTCAGATGCAGATGTGACTTTGTGGTGCTGCTGATACGGATATTATAGTGCCATACAAAAAGTTTTTTAAAGTGACTGGCCCTACCTGCAGGTTTCCAGTCTCTATATAAAGAAAAATAAGAAATGGAAAGAAGACTAAAGCAAGAATAGCCAATGTGGTGCGCTGGGACGCTTTGGAGTACAATTCCCACCCCAAGCCAGCATGGCCAATGGTCAGGGAGATGGGAATTGTAGTCTACAGTATCTGGAGGGCACCCTCTCTGGAGGGGCTGGAGGAAAGACCTACTAAGATGGGAGGGCCTAGGCATTTTATAGAACTTATTGCATACAGGAGGCAGTGTGACCAAATGTCAGATGGGAGAGAATTTCAAAGAAAAGGAACTGAAAGGGTAAAAACAGGAAATAGGTGAAGAAATTCTGGGCTTGCAAAATAACATAGACCCAGCAGAAAGAAACTGATGCAAGTGGTGTGAACAAAAAAAAAAGAGATGGAAGATAAACAGGAACTATAATGGGCAAATATTGGCAAATCAGTTTTGAAGAACTTAAAAGGAACACACGCATAAGAATAATAATGGTGATGCTGTTGCTGCTGTTGATTTGCAGTTTGGAAAATTGAGCACACATATAAAGGTAGACCACAGAAAAACAACTAAATCATATAAATAAGCTGTGTGTTGCATTGTAAGCCTGGAGGGGTGTGTTTACATGAATTGTAGTATCTAAAGAACATGATCTTTATATTCATTACCAGTGTAGTATTTTCTAAACAATGTAGTGTTTAACCTCAGTAGCCCAGTGATCAAAACATAATTAACATTCTTTAGGCTGTCTACAAACTCAAGTGGTCAGCACTACTTGTTGCTGTTTTTCAACTAGACTCTGACCTTGGTTTCATAATGTAGGCTGGACTTTTATTTCCCCCAAAATTTTCTCTCTCTCTCTTCCAGTAGTATTGAAATTACTTTGTGTCAATGCTGAGCACTTTTATTTCTTTTGTAAATTTCACTGTTTCTGTGACTTAGCCTGAATTCAAGCAAACGAGTTTCAGTGTATAAGCTGGTAAAGTTCTGGATAAAGTTTTATGATGGCTTATTGTATTTTATGATTGTTGTCATACACTGCCCTAGGAGCTATTTGGATGAAGGGTACCTTAGATAAAGCAAATTATCCTAACTGAAATTTCATGTCTAGTCACCCTGGAGCCCATCAAATGTAACTTAGTGCCCCCTCAAGTGTACCCAGCAAGTGTTCTTCCACTTGTATATATTTGTGGTACTTAGCTAGAAATTCTTGCCTATTGTACTCTGTCTTTCTGGACATAAATTCAATCCTTCTGTCTTTTTGTTTCAGATTGCACAGACCCTATCATGAAAACAACAGCCCCATGTCTGCAATTAGGTAATGTTTGTTTAAGTGTGGGTAGAAGTGTAGGAAATCTATTTAAAGTACTCACAGTTCATGATTATATTGATATATGCAGGCAGTGGATGGGAACCCAGCCTGGTTGGAAGAAGCCTAGATGATGAGACATTATTGGTGAGCTTTAACCCAGCAATGGAGTCAACCGATTACTTCATCCATGTGACCAGCTTTGAAAAAGATGGAGCAGAATGTAAAAAGGCCACACAGAAAATTTCAGAGGTAATAAAGCTGTTCTCCATCTTCCTCCCCACTTGAGACACTTATTTTAGAAAGTGCTTGTATTTAATCCCACCTCAACAAATACTAAGTTCCTACTTATTTATTCTACTTATGTCTGCCCTTCAGTGCCTCTAGATTAGAGGCAGCTAACTTCTTTCAGCCCAAGGACTTCATTGCCTCATGACAATTTCAAGAGCTGCATAGCAATAATGAGTGTGGTCAAAAAGTGGGTATTGCATTCTCACACACGCATGCACATACCACCATTCACCAGAGCGTGCACACATCCTAGCCAGAGCAGCTACCTGGCCATCTAGGAACACACAGGACCCAGCAACTATCCTGAAGTTCGTGATAAGTTCTTCCTTAACTCTGATTTCCTACTCTGAACCCACCTGTGCTCGGGAGGCATCACTGGGATATTTGAGGCACAATGTATTTGAGATGACAAATGCTTCTCATTTTTTTCTGTGCTGCTACTCATTCTTTATCCCGAGTTCATTCAAGCTCTTTGTGATTTTTACCTTGGAATTCCACTTTGTCTCTTGGTTTCTGCAGAAGGAGTTGCTGCAGCCAATGAACGTCACAGTCAAACTAGAGAGAAACTTGAAGATTTGTTGCGAATACACGGTGCAGGTATGGTGAGCTGCTTTTCTTATTTGAATAAAGAAGGGAGTGGCCATGCCAGTTCCACATCACCCTGTCTGTGTGCTTCAAACCAAACACAATTATTTCTCCAGAGATCATCTTATCTCTGGTTATTACAAGTTATACAACGTAACCATAATGAATTATTTTAACAGTGCTGATACCTCACCATTTCATCTTCACTAGAGTATCTTGAATTGTGCCTGGAAATGAACTGGCAACCAATGCAACTGTTTGAAAACGAGTTACATGAGTTCTAAATGGAACCCTGGCCAGTAATCTGTCTGCTGCATTTTGGACCGGTCAAAGTTTCTCAGTCGTCTTCAAGGACAGCCCCACATGAAGCACACTGCAATAATATTTCCTGCCTTCTTGCTGTGAATTTTGCACCCCATCCTACTAAAATCTCTGCTTAACATGAATGCATACTGCTTTATGTCCAAAACTGTATCCATTTGTAGGTTTTATTTTCAGACACTACTTCACTCTCCCTACATTTAGTATGACACAGTCTGAAGATGACAAAACAAAATGCCTAATCAAGGGGCCACAAGTAAATATGGTACTGTTGACTTGCTCTCCTTTCTAAAAGATGTGTCCATTACAAAAGCGAGCAATTAATTCCACACAATATGCAATTTGCTCCAGAAACACCAAGTGTTAGAGTATCAAAGAAACTGCAAAGGTGTTCTCTCCTGTCTTTTTCTTTCCAGATTCAACCATTCTTTGCACGTTGTGCCACAGATTGTATAAGGCATTCCATTTCCATCCCATGTCTCCCTACTACCTTGCCTTACGGGACAACAAAGAAAGGTGGTACGGACTTCATTTTGAATTTGTGTAGCTAATTAACTGTTGCAAGAATTTGTTACAAAACAAGCCAAAGACCTGTAGAGTCCCCAGTAATCTGTACGCAAATGTTGCAATTAACATAAAGCAGCAAAAAATAAATAAGGAAGACAAAGGTGGGTACAAAGGAATTAAGATACCCAAAGGTTGGCAGCTGTCCCCTCCCTTTTAAAGATGGTACTTTAGTCTAAGAACCATGTAAGCATCATCCACAGGATAACAATGGAAATAAGGCAGAAATCATCCTTCCTCACAAGAGTAGCAGATGTGGCTCTGCTGCTGCCTTTGTATGATGAAGTTATAGATTAGGGGCTGAATGACTTACTCAGTATCCATCATTGTCATCATCATTATCTGCTAACTTGTAATGCCACTTTTCCACAAAATTGTGCCCAAAGTGGCTAACTACATATCAAGTGAACAATCAATATAACCATTTTTAAAACATTAGAAACAACTAGAAATAATATCAATAAAAACACCCCAAAAGATAAAGTTTGGTTTATTTGCATTGTTTTGCACAATCTAATTTAACAGCCTAAAACTAAGCAGGAGAGAGAATAATGCCTAACCCAGAAATGAAAAGTAGTGTTCAAAACAGTAATTTGAATCCAAACCTCAAACAGGAACCAACTGCAAAGAATCTCTGGTCGGGTGAAGGGAACAAACCTTATGAGAAAGTCATAAAGCAGCTGGGCCTGCTCTACCCCTCTTGAAAGGAGTTGGAGAGGGAAGATAATTTCACTTAGAATCATAGAATTGTAGAGTTGAAAGGGACCCTGAGGATCATCTAGTCCAAATCCCTACAATGCAGGAATGTGCAACTGTCCTGTGTGGGGATCGAAACTGCGACCTTGGCGTTATCAGCACCACGCTCTAACCAATTGAGCTCTCGAGAAGATCAATTCTCTTTCTGTTGAAAGCATATGTGGCTTCAGATATATTGGGCTGTTTCTGCCAATAATTCTTGGCTCAGTAAAGATGTAAGCAAGAAATACCCTGTTATTTTTTGGACCTGAGCAAAGTAATTCTGCTGCTTATTGCTAATAGCTGGGGGGGGGGAGGTTGCACCCACCTCACTCCCAAGTGGTCTGGTAGTTTTGCATGGTCTAATTACTGCAGCAGTGGAAATGTTCCTTACATTATGCTCTTCCTATGTTGCAGATAATCTTTCTGTGGTGTTGCCCTGGGGCCTCACTCTCATCTGCATTTTAATAGTTGGATCAGCTGTCGCTTCAGTAATTTGGCTTGCTCGAAGGCAAAAAGGTATGAAAAATGTCAGAAATGTAATGGGAAGATTTGCCAGCTTGTTTCCCACATTGTCACTCCACTCGTACCTTTCTGGATACTTGGCCTTTAGCATGCAACACAGAGAGATAAAGTGACCCAATTAGAATCTCTTATCCAGCCCATGGCTCCTTACATACTATTACCTATGGTTAGATGTTGAGCCTGTGAAGTCAGTATTTCAGCATTTAGTTGTATGGATACCCCAAGTTCCATAGGAACCAAATTCCTATGGTTTGTTGGTCTAGCCTGATAAATAATTTTTGTATTACACTTTAGAGAAGAAACATAGCTCAGTAGTAGATAGCATGCAAAAGTAGCCCTGCAAAAACTCCATACAAACTTTAATTGCAAAGGGTTTGGGGGTATTTTTTTGGTGGGGAGGGGTCGGGACAACAATCAGGCTAGCGTAAGAAACAACATACTAAAAGTTGAAATATCCACCTGCTGTTTTGTATTTCCCTAGTTGTTAGAGTGGCCTTACCACAGGGTGGACCGGCATCACAAGTAATCCTCAAGAATCTCATGTGGCTGCTGAAACTTCATCCCAGGCTCTGAGGCAGGGAAAGGCTATGTTCCAAACAAACAGGAAATAACTCATTAACAGTGCAAGACACTCCATAAATAACTGAAGTCTATAAAAATGAATAAGGGTGTCAGAGCACCTTTATTCATTTTTATAGACATCAGTTATTTTTAGGCATAGATATTGGGTCCTTAGAACTGCTGTCTCAGCTTAGTCTTCAAAAGATACTGTCATTCCTAGACCAAATGTATATTCTATCAGATCTTCTTAGATGTGTCTATTGTTTTCTTTCCGTATTAGTAACGCATTCAGGAACAAGCAGCAGTGATGGTACCCACCATGGTAAGAGAACATTTTGTTTCTATTGAGTCAGTGCAGTTTGCAATGTGGGAACCTGGGATGAGAGAATTTGAACTTGTATTGTTGTATGTACTATTAGGATAGCACATGCGCAAGGTACAAATAGAAATTTGTGGCAATAAAATGTTTGGGGAAATCTGTGGTGGTGAACTTGAAAAAGGGCCTGGGGAAGATGAAAGGGCTGAAGGCATGAAGTAGCAAGGAGTGAGCTAATCTTATTCCTAGTGACTTAAAGACTCTGCATTGTCTCTTCTAGTTTTCTGTCACCTCTCTTGCATAATACCGTATTTTTCGCCCTATAGGACGCACCGTCCCATAAGGCGCACCTAGTTTTTTGGGGGGGAAATGAAGGGGAAAAAATTATTCCCCCCCCCCCAGGCGCACCGACCCCTCTCGCTCTCCAGGCTTCAGCGAAAGCCTGCATTCGCCCCATAGGACGCACACACATTTCCCCTTCATTTTTGGAGGGGAAAAAGTGCGTCCTATAGGGCGAAAAATACAGTAAGTCATTTTCTTTAGTGTGTGGCGTACATAAAATTTTAACAGCTAATGCTAGTCCATATTCTAAAACAAATCTGAATGTGCAAACATAAGGTCCAACAACTCTTTAAGACTAGCATCACCTCTACTTTTGTGATCGCCATCACCAATACAAATCTTAATTAGTGGCTTTATGTACAGAAATGAATTGAGATGGTGGCAGGGGAAGTTAGCTCTTTTACTATTTTTATGTATTATGATTATATTTTGGTGGTTAAATGGTGATAAGGCATGGCTTACATGTACTAAAAGGTCTTGAACACACATGCCTGTATTCTGTATAGTTTACAAAGCATATTTGGTTCCAGATTTTTGCATTCTGGCTTTCCACATGTGCAGTGCAGCAACTCATGGTGGTTTTCTTTTTTAACAAAAAATCTCTGTTTTCCAGAACTTCTGCGCATGTCACAGTCTCCTCCACCCCTGAAGACTCGTAAGGTTTGGATTGTGTATTCTGCTGACCACAAGCTCTACGTAGACATTGTGATGAAGTTTGCTCAGTTCATGATCACAGTCTGTGGTACTGAGGTGGTCCTAGACTTGCTGGATGAACGTCAAATATCAGAGATGGGGGCTGTGCGCTGGCTGACACGGCAAAAACAGGAAATGGAAGCACTCTCTTCAAAGATCATCATCTTGTGTTCCCGGGGTACTCGAGCCAAGTGGCAGGCCATGCTTGGGCGTGAGGAGTTAACTGTATCTCTCAAGCAAGATAACCTGCTACCAATAGGGGATATGTTCACTCCAGCATTGAATCTGATCCTACCAGACTTTAAACAGCCAGCTTGTTTTGGCATGTACCTAGTCTGTTACTTTGAGGGCATAAGCAGTGAAAGAGATATTCCAGATCCATTCAACGTCACCTCCAAGTACCAACTGATGGACAAGTTTGAGGAAGTTTACTTCCTGATTCAGGATCTGGAGAAATTTGAACCAGGGAGAATACATCAGATTCCAGAGATCTCACCTGAGAACTACGCTGAAAGCTTCAGTGGGAGACAACTGAAGGAGGCAGTGCAGAAGTTCCAGAAATGGCAGACTGAGCACCCTGATTGGTTTAAGAGAGAGAATGCCTGCCCTGGGTATGAAGATGACCTTCAGTCTCTGAATGGGGATCTCTCTGAGGAATTAATCCCGACTGAGGGAGGAATTCTGAAACGGCAACTGCTTCCACAGGAACCTGATCCCAATAGCTGTTGCTTGGTCAACCTCTTAGTCAATGAAGATGAGTCGGGAGCTTGTAGGCTGTTACCCCAGCTACTACCACAAGAGGATCTAGCATTCCAGACCCTGGTTGTTCCTGCTGATGACTGCTCCCAGGTTCAGGTAGTAATGCCAGTTGCCCTTACAGAAGAGACAGAGATACTTAGCCATCAACTGCTGACCAATGAAGATTTGCTAAAAAGAATGCCCATGATGAAAACTAGCACCCCCAGGAGAAACAACGTCATCCTTCAAGAAGATCTGTCCTCAAACCCCCACCCCTTGCCAGTTGATGTGAAGCAGCAGCTGGAGAGCTTAATGCACTCTCTCTATCAACAAAGCATTTTGCCCTCTGAAACACCTCTCTGCCAAGAAGATGTTAATGAGCAACAGCAGCTGGTTTTTGATGAGTCTTGCAAAGATCAAAGACAGTCGGTGCAGTCAGACCAGGGTTACATTTCCAGATGTTCCCCTTTGCCTTCTGACAGCCCCCTGGAGGAAGAAGAGGAACAAGGGCAGGAAGGACATGGGTCTGCTCAACACCTCTCCCCAGATGTCTTGGACAGTCTAAAAAGTCTTCAGCAGCAGTTGCTTTTTCAGAATATTCAGCAGCACTTCAGCTAGGATCACATGGTAGGATAGCTATCTATGCCCCATACTTCTACCCAGAACCTGTTCTGTTTTGCCAAAAAAGAAGTGACTGTTGGTTAGAATGCAGACATTTCAGACATCCTCCCTCAGGCAACCTTGTGCACACATTTTTGTGAAGTCTAATGCGTAGAAGAGCTGACAGCAGAAATTTGGCAGCTTGGCTTACCTGTCTGCCCAGCCATCCTGCTGCATATACTCGAGCATTCTTGTGCTCCAGTAATCTGCCTGTAAATGAAGGTAGATACCAAACCTATAAATAATGCATTTTTTTCAAATTAATGCTACAATCAGATAGCATACAAGTGGCCTCAGAGGATCAGATGAAATGGACCAGATAGCTCAGTAAGCTCCAGGTAACAAGCCAATATAAAATGATTGTGATGGAAACATCACAAGACCTCTGTTTTATGAGATAAAAGATGTGTCCAGTCCAGCATCCTGTTTCCATAGTGAATGACCAGATGCTACAAGGAAGCCCACAAGCAACAGTCCCAACCTGCTGCTGTTGCCCCAGAATAATAATAATAATAATAATAGTAACAACAATAATAACAATAATAATAATTTATTATTTATACCCCGCCCATCTGGCTGGGCTTCCCCAGCCACTCTGAGCGGCTTCCAACCAAATATAAAAATACAGGAATGCCTCAAACATTAAAAGCTTCCCTAAACATGGCTGCCTTCAGATGTCGTCTAAAAGTCTGGTAGTTGTTGTTCTCTTTGACATCTGGTGTGAGGGCGTTCCACAGGGTGGGTGCCACCACCGAGAAGGCCCTCTGCCTGGTTCCCTGTAACTTGGCTTCTCACAGTGAGGGAACTGCCAGAAGGCCCTCGGAGCCAGACCTCAGTGTCTGGGTAGAACGATGGGGGTGGAGACGCTCCTTCAGATATACTGGACCGAGGCCATTTAGAAGTCAGCACCAACACGTAGAATTAGTAGAAATAGTAGTCAGTAACATATTGCCTCTGAACCTAGAAGTTCTACGCGGCTATGATGTCCAATAGCCATTGATGGGTTTACACTCCATAGCTATTCCTACATCTTTTAGAAGTGAATTCTATAATTTCATTGTATGAAGTACTTTCCGTTGCCTGTCTTGAATCTGCTTCTGATTGATTGATCTGCAAATGTAGTATTGAGAGGAAGAACGTATTTCTAATCGTTGCATAATTTTATGAACCTCTCTTGAGGTTTTATGAAGGTTTGTGAACTGTCTCTTGAAGCAGGCAGATGCCAACAATTAAAAAAAAAGTCTTTTTTTTAATTGTTGGCATCTGCCTGCTTCAAGAGACAGTGGAAGAGTATGTCCTCAGGGGTAAAGTCAAACTGTTGGGAGAGTTACAATGCATGCTGTGCCTGTAGAGGCCAGTACGGGAGATACATGTTTTATTATAGCTGGGGCAGATAAAGGGATCCGGTTTCGCTATTACAGATGCACCATGGCATTTCTTCTCTCTGCACTCCTCCCAGTGGTCATTTCTCCTCTGGTCACTGCTGTGAATACACAACTTGTTTGTCTCCAGGCACTGTGGTCGCCTGCTAAAAACAACAACCCAGTACTCCTTTAGCTGTGCTGTAACCCCTTGGTTATTTGTATTACATTTTCCTACAGTTTTCCAGCTCTAGGATATGTACACAATATTCATAGTGTGTCACACTTACATAAAAAGCACTTCAATACTGCTCACTTTTTCAGTTCCTTTTCTAATAATTCCTTGCATGAAATACCTCTGTTTCACTGCCACAGCACACTGAAGTGACACCTACATTGATCAAAACAGCACAAACCTAATATCTTTCCTGAATAGTCACCACCAGTTCTGGTCCTATTAATACATATGTGGTTAGGATTTTTTTGCCCCAATATATATCCCTTACGTTGAATCTCAATTGCCATTTTGTTACCCCTTCACCCTGTTTGGAATTGTACTTTCAGAGCTCTTTGCAATCCAGTTAGGTTTACACCCTCCTGCATAATGTGGCGCCGCCTTGCTGCTGACCCTCTTCTCCAGAAAACTAATGAACTCCAAATCATATTACAAATGATTAAGACAAAATGTTTCACATCAAGACAAATCTTTTAGGCCATCTTCCTCAGCAAGCACTGTACTCTTATTCTATATTAATCTTACGGTCAATAAGGTAAAATGCTGTTGTATTGATTTGAAGCCCTGCATTAAGTAATTGCTCTGCCCAGTTTTAAATGCTGCAGTAATTAATTTCTTTTCATGTCACAAACAGTCCTAGCAGAGTTGCCTGAGTTTAGGGATTTTCTTGCGAATGTGTTGGCAGCTTCCTTATGCAGTCTTTGAATTATGGATAATCAAAACTGCTGAAGCAATCTTCAGAATGCACTTAATTTTGGTAATGGATACTTCTCCATGATATACCAGAAGAATCTAGGCAAACCTAATTTAGAAGGGGGTATTTTAGGAAGATGCTGAAGCAGAGGATTATGTGGTTATACTCAACATAGCTAGTGTGTGAAGCCTTCCGATTCCATCCACAATATGACTTTTAACTCACCACAGGGATGCTGTTTGCAGAAGCATCACCATGTCAAAAGTAATGAGTGTGCAGCCTCTGAATCACAGGCAAGGGGCTCTTTAATATGCACCCGCACTTTAGCTGCTCTGTCGATTTCCCATTATGCGCCACATCTGCTGTCTCCCTACACAATCCAAGGCAGGCAAATGGAAGCAAGCGGTTGTAGTGTGTAAGGGGAGAGTACATGCTTGGCAGGAGAACTTTTTGCCAATGGCCATGGGCAGAACCAATGTTGTTCTTTCAGCTGTTACTCAGTTCAAAATATGGCTCTGTATAAAATTTGCCATAGACCTGGGACAAAGGAAAAATCACAACATATATAGGTGTTGTGAGTGTGCAAGATTTACATTACAGGCTGTTAAAGCATCCATGTATATTGGTAACCAATTCAGCTAAAGCACAATAGCATCTGTGGTGAGGTAGAGGAAAGTGATCCCCAAGCATCAGTTCTCCATGGCCCATGAGGCCGACTGCCTTGAAAATTGTGCCAGTGTATTAAAATGAACAAGTGCAGGCTTGGTGCCTGTTCCACTGCATTACTTCTTAGCCCGTTTTAGAGACCACTCAGCAGTTTCCTTCAATGTACGTGGTCCATTTCACAATAGCAAATTACAGCTGTACAGTATTTTTTAAAAATTTGCTTTTTTGCTATGCCTTTTTCATTGGTAATAACTTGATTAAACTATATTGTATTTTGCATATCTCTGGCTCTTTGCTAAATATTTGTTACTAAAGAAAATGATATGTTAGGTATCCAGAGCATCAATTAAGTGGCATTTGTTCTGCTTTTCACTTTACATAAGGACTGGTGGAGGCTGGATGTTAGGGGGGCAGGGAGATAAGAGACTGGCTGGCTTTTCCTGCAGAATAAGGCTTTTATGGAGGAGTGTAATTGCTTCCTCTTGCAGTATAGTGAGCTCCCAACCTGTGCACATTTAACTTTTGTGTGCTCAGCTTTATTCACTTGGCAAAAAAATAAAAAGTAAATGGAAACGGGGTGAGCATCCAGGAAATAAGACTTTGGCAATCCCACCCACCATTGAACCCAATGGTTTTGAATATACACGATTTTGGTTTTAGGTGTGATCCCCAGAATGTAACCCCCATGTAAGTTGCAGGTTTACTGTACTTAACTAATGGCAAGCTACCTAGTTGCACTCAAGAGGCCAGCCTGGATATGGGTACACTGAACACCTAGCAAGAGGAGAGTAACCAGCATGCCTTCAGTCCAGATATTTTCTAGAGTACAGCTACTACCAAGTCATTCAACTTTGATTCCCTTCCTAAATTGGAACTTTTTTGAGCTGGTAGGATGCTGAGATGATAGACTGAGCAGCACCACTTCATAATGCAGGTGAGAGAATCCAGCTCTGAATGCTTGTCGAAATAAAAAACCTCCTGCAGACAGAAAACTAGCACAGAAAGACAAAAACTTCTATATCTGGCCTAGTATGGATTTGTGCCTACAGGAAGGATGGAGAAATGTGATCACTTACCTGAGTCTGAAGTGGCACAGCTTATTTTACCACTTCAGCACTTCATCACCTTATTCTGCTACATGTCCAGACCTAAAGTCTTAATTTGTTTGCTTTTCTCCTTTACAATTTCTGAAAGCACAATTGTTACCACAGATCTGCCCTGCAAAGAATTAAACCACCAGACATCATCAACAATGAAATCAGTTCCTAGGTTTTATTTTAAAAACAAATTGTTTTATTTTTTAAAAAAGCTCTAAATTTGTGGGGATGCTCAGTTTCCTTGCCTTGTTTTCTGCCTGTCTCTTTTAATTTTCTTCTCCTTGGGACACTGTCTTCATACGTTAGGGGCTTGCCCTAAAAAAATAAATATCACAGCTTCTTTAAATAGAGGGATTCTGAGCCAGAACTTGCATACTTCTTCCTTAAGCTTGTATGTAGTGTGGTTTGTAACCATTCCACTTCCATTTGTGTGCAGAGTTCCTCATGGCACTAGAGCTGCTGTGCAGAAGCCTGTTCTCCCATGTTTATAATTCCTTACCCAGATTGAGATGAAAGTACTGAAATTGGGTTAGGACTGATGTACAGTAAATGCAACACAATCACAACTGAATTGGTTTCGATTTTATGGCATACAAGAGCTGTCAGACCTTGTTGTTGCTCTAAACCACCAAGATTCCTTATTTTTACCAATATTTGTGCCACACAAATCTGTTCCGTTACTGAACTGTTTTTACAAATGGTAGGTGCTCTTGCCCACCTACTTTATGGCAAACACAATATACTTAAATGTGCAATTTTAAATTTCAGTGTTATTTAAATGCAAATAACAGCTGTAATGGCTTATAGCATTTGATTACTGCACAGCAGCCTGTTTTGTAGCAGATTCTCTCTGTGAGGAAGTGAAGTATTTGAATGCATGCCTGTTCTTTCTGTCAGGAAACTAGCATCCCCACTAAAAGTATCTTAGAGCTCAGAGGGAAAAGTCCACAGTACTTAAGTTTTACAATCACAGTCACAGCACCAAGATTGTCCAGACAAATAGAAAGGAGTTACTGAAGGGAAGGCCTCTGGCCAGAATTCCACACAAAGTCTTTCAGAAGATCTGCTTTGGAGACCGGACAGGATAAAATCACTGGTGAAAAAGTTAAACCTTAGTTCTCGTTCCTGCAACAGCAATGGGTTAGCCTGAGGTCAGTAAGCAGGTATCTCAAAGCAACTCCAGGGCTGAAGCTCGGGTAGAACATCTATGTATGCAGAAAGTCCCACGTTCAGTTCCTGGTGTATCCAGGTAGGGCTGTGAAAGACTCCTGCCTGAATCATGGAGAGCCACTGCCAGTCAGTGTAGACAGTACTGAGTTAGATGGACTAACTTTATGACTCTGTATAAGGCAGCTTCCTATGGAGTTAACCACCCAATGAAAATCCCAGTTCTATAAGCAACCATAGAGAGAAAAGGCTGGGTATATAAATGTATTATTATAAGAGTGCATGAGAACCAGGTTATTTATCACCACCTCTGGCTTTTGTATCATTTCTCCATAGCACAGTAACTTGACTGCCTATATGAGTGGTTACTGAGTGGAGAAAAACATCTCCCAATCGCATACCACAGGTTTTATATAGTGGTTGTTAGCATTCTGTTCTCTTTCCTACCTAGGCAGCTTGGGGATTTTAAGACCAAAGGCAGCTGGTGTCCACCAGGACAGGTTGCTTTCAAATTATATGTCCTTTCCCCCTCCCCACACAAAAAAATTCTGGGCCCACATACAAAGAAGAAGCATAGGCATGTAAGGAAAGGATTGGGGATCTTTCCAAGATAGCCAGGCAACACGACCATTGATAATGTGACCCCTTTCTGCCTGTTTCCATTCCATGTCAACGAGTTTACTATTTAGCGCATAACAAGCAGCACCAATAAATATCTAGAAATAAGAGGATGGGATAGTTCCCTCCTCCTTTTCACTTTATTTAAGTCCCTACTTAAGCAAGTGAAAGCTGTCCTCAAAACAGAGCACCAGTTTTTAAAATCGTGCAGGTCTATTCCCAAGAGCTAGAAAACGAGAGCCCCCATAAGCAGAGGCTGTTAATAAGACCCTGTTATCACCGGTGAGTAAAATGTCTCAATGAAGAAGAGAGTTTCGCCCCTCGGGGGAGGGGGAATCAGACATAACTCCCTTATGTGCAAGGTCGGCACATGATGCAATGAGGTTCAAGCACAGAGGTAGAAATTTTCAGCAAGGAGAAAGATGGCTCCTTTCGTCTTAAAAGATTGCAGGTACCACCCTAATCCCAGAAACCCCCAAGGCAGAAATTAGTTTATCCCCAGAGTGAGGGAGTGGTGATGAACTTTTGTACAATGTACAAGAGGGTTAAAATTACTTCTTTTTCCTTGAGGGCAGGAATAGTCATGTATTCCAAGGCCTAACATGTGGAAGACTTGTCTATGTCAGTCTTCCTAAATGAAAGCCATTGGGAACTGTCAAGTATCACACAAGCCAAATTGCATTGTCCCACAGCAGAGGAGTGCTATGGGCAAAATGAAACAAATAACATGTGGTCATGCTGAAAATACGATTTGCCCCACAAAGGCGCAGGTGTGGCTGAATGCACTGAGACACCATATTTTAAAAGGAACCTGCTGATGAAACAGGCGCCCTTTCCTGAGAAAGGCAGCTCCTGCTGATTTATTTGTCCTTAAAATGGTTTTCATCTTTTGTTCAGTAAAATGGTGCCCTAGAGCAGCTAGCATGCCTATAGCACCCTGAGCAACTGTGCTAAAGAGAGGCACAGATTTTTGAATGGCCAAAGTTGTTCTGGGCTGTACCACCTCAGCCTGCAAGTGGGAGTGCACATTACTAAATGTTCTAGCATACATACACATATATACATATGTATTTGCGGTATACATAAAATTGGATGTGTCAAGAAGGTAGACTAGAACCCTTGATGTTTACCTCTAGCTTGCCACATGAAGGAAATTTTGAATGAGTAGGCATCTGATCATGTGAGTTCCCACCTGCAGTTTGAAGTGGTAGAGCCTGTGAGCAGAACTAAGCCTAACTTAGCACCAGCAATAGCGCTCCTTTCTCTTTGTTCAGCATTGGCATTATGGCTGGGTGGCTCTCCACTGCATGGAGGAGGAGCCCAACATAGGATATGAAGAACCTGGACAGCTTACAATATGTTTTTCCAGGCATTCCAAGTGGGCGCTGTCCTCTCTCTGCTCTCCTATAGGCAGTGGTGGTAGGAGGCACCTCAGAAAAGAGAAAAAACCCACAGGTCAGAGAGCAAAAAACCAAAAACTTGATCATGACTGAGAAACTGAACCTGACATGAAATATATAATCTGGAATGTGCAGTTAGGCAGTTAAACAACAAGCCTCTTCCATCTTGATTTCTATAAATAGAAGCAAAAGAGGTGAGGGGTCTGTAGCCACAGCACATTAAGTTGTCATTAGAAGGAACCTACAGAATAAATAGGAATGATTTGGGGGTTATGGGGATGGGGTGGAAGAAAAGGATTTGGAATAGTTTGTAAGAACTTGGGGAAAAGGATTAAAAAATGATGCTGCCATCATTTTGGCCCAATAGGTGGTTTGACTAGTGCTGCAGCATTCATTATGTTGTGTACTTATGTGTGTCTAGCTGCTCTGTAATGACAGAATATCTAACAATATTAAAAGTTTTCATGATTAAAGTAGTACATGAAGGGAAGTGATTTAAGGCAAGAGCAGCTCAGATATTGCCACAGAAGACAGCCTGACTAATTAGGATGGGAAAATTAGGCTGCTTCACATTACCATTGAGGTGTAGCTACTGCCAAGACTCCAAACTATATGGGCACCACCTCACCACACAGCCACTAGGGTGATGCAGTGGACTACATATTTTAGACAACTTTGAACCATGCCAGGGCAATACTTTCATGGGTGCAGCTGGTTTAAACCAATGGCCCCTGCTTCACTCAAAAAATCAGCATTACTGTACTCCACTGAGTTCCCAGGAGAGACCAGATCATTGGCTAATTAAATGGGCCTTAATCTGGTTGAGATTGGCAGAGATAAAAGTGGACAAGGGGAACTAAAACAGGCACAGGTCAAAATCCCTAGGTTTGCCATGGACAATGAACTTTCCAGGGAAGGGTCAGACTAGGTAGGTTATTCAGGACAACTGCTCAGAAAGTTACAGTGCCCTGAGGTAGGGAGCTGGGTCAGATGCACAAATGCTGTCTCCTAAGGGGCCTGGGTTTGGGCGACTGGGCCAATCTGAAAATCGGAGACATGTAAAAGGGAAAGTAACTACAGCGGGGTGGGTACCTAAGCTGAACTGGCATGGAATACGAGGTGGGGTAACTGCAGAGGGGCACTGGCATGGGCGTGGACCCCCTCAGCTCTGCGCGGTGACGGCCAGTGTGTTGACATAGCCGTGGGGCCCCATGTCGTTCTCGGAGATGCAGTGGCTGAGCTGGCCGGCCCCGACCCCGGCGGAGGGGGCTGGCGCATTCTTGCCGTTGCCCGCCAGCCCGCCGGCGGAGTGCAGGAGGCAGCAGGTCTCCAGGGCCTCCAGGCCCCGGCAGGCCAGGAAGAAGAGGTTCTTGAGCATGAAGATGGAGAGGGGCTGCTGGTAGCGCACCAGCAGGAGGCAGCGCAGCGCCAGCAGGGGCGCGTCCAGGAGCCCGGCGGGCAGCAGCCAGTGCAAGGCCAGGCGGGCGGCGCCGGGGGCCCGCGGGGCGCTCAGCTCGTACAGCCACAGCACCGGCGAGGCCAGGCACAGGAAGTAGACGGCGATGAGCACGTAGCGGAGCGGCGGCGGCAGCGGCAAGGCCGGCCGGCCGGGCTGCAGGAGCAGCAGCTCTAGGAGAGTGAAGCTGTCCAGCAGGTCCAAGCACGTGGCCAGGAAAGCGGCGGCGGCGCGGTGCTGCGGCGGCGGCTGGGGCGGCAGGAGGAGCTGGCCGGAGCCGGAGCCGCCCTCGGCGCCGATGGCCCGCAGGAGGCAATAGAGGAGCGGGGCCGAGAGCGCCAGCGTGATCCGGAAGCCCGTGGCGCCCAGCGGCAGGCGCAGCTCCACCAGCTCCAGGATGGACGTGCCCAGGATGAGCGCCGCCTTGGGCGTGAAGGCGATGGCGTAGATCAGCCAGGCCAAGTGGGCGTAGGCGAAGTCCCCGCCCCGCGGAGCGCCCCCTGCCTTCCCGCCCGACGCAGCGCAGGCGCCTCGGCCGCCGTGGGGCGGGTGGCCCAGCAGCGGGTGCAAGGGCGGCGGCGGCGGCGGCGGGTGTCCCCCTCCGACGCCGGACGGGCGCTCCCGGCGACGAGCGCGGCTGTTGCGGCAGAAGAAGATGCTCCAGCCGGCGGCCAGCACCAGGTCGGTGGCGATCCAGCTGCACCAGTACAGGTCGGTGACGGCGATCAGGTAGAGGTCCAGCAGCGCGCCCTGGCCCAGCAGCAGCACCAGGGACAGCGCCTTGTAGCCCCAGCGAGACCCGCCCGAGCCCCCCGCCCACAGCAGCCCCGCGGCCGCGCTCGCCGCCGCCGCCGCCCCGGGCCCGGCGGCCGGAGCCCCGTACAGCTCGGCGGCTGTCATGCTGCAGCCCGACGTGGAGGTGCTGCTGGACCCCGGGGAGGCGCAGGCGGCGGGCGGGGCGGGCGGCGAGGCGGGCTCCTGAACCGGCACGAGGGGCTTGGCTTCCTCCTCCTCCTCGCCCTCTTCCTCCTCGTCGTCCTCACTGCTGCGGCCCCCGCTGCTGCTGCTGCTCCTGCTGCGAGTGCGGGTGGAGGCCGAGCTGGACACGGAGCCTCGCCTGCCCCTCCGGGTGCCGCCGCTCGAGCTGCTGGTGCTGCTGATGCCGCCGCCCAGGAAAAGGGGCTGCAGGTCCGCGGCGGGGGGAGGCGGCGGGGGAGCCTGAAAGGAGCCCGAGGAGGAGGAGACCGAGCGCTGGTTGGAGACGACTCGGTGCATGGTCGTCGTCCTCCCCGCCCCCCACCCGCGCCCCACAGAGATGGGCGGGCGGGCCACAGCCCTCCCGGCCGGGCACCCGGCGAGTAACCCGCCCGGCACGATCCAGCCCCGGGGAGCGCCGAGCGATGGGGATGGTGGGGATGGTGGTGATGGGCGAAAGGGAGGAGGAGGAGGGCGGTGGGCAGGCTCTGAGCGAAAGCCGAGACCCGGCCTGGATCTTCCCTTTCTCCGTCGTCGGAATCAGTAGAAACCCGGAGCGGATCCTGCCGTGGACGAGAGAGAGAGAAGCGGGGAATCCGGGAGTGGATCCAATCGCAGAGACGGACGCTTGATGGAAGAAAGGAGAGAAACCCCTAAAGCAGATGCTGCGCGGAGAAAGGCAGGTGAAGGAGGGGCGGGTTTGGGGATGCGGACAAAGACAGAGATGCAAGGCGAGAGGCTGCCAAAAGAAAGAGCCAGCGCGCGCGCCTCCTGGCTGATGCTCTTCTCCAGAAGCGCCTGCCAAGGCAGCGAAGGGACGGGGGCGCGGATTGCTTGCGAGCCAGGAGGATACCTGGGAGCGGCAGCTGCTTTTGTTGCCCACCCCCTCGCAGCGAGCTTCATGGCAACTGGGTGGGCGGCCTGATGCAGCAGCAAATGAGTCACTTGCCTCAGGAAGGGGGAAGCTGTCGCCTAGGGGGGAAAGCTCGTGCCACAATGCGCCTCGGAGGCTGCAAAGGGAGGGTGGCTCGGGAACTGGTTTTCTTAACTACCTACTTAAGCACCAGGCATAAATGATGGAAAGAGCAGGGTGGGCATTGAATGTTTACAGTTGAAGCGGGCTTTTATAATTGGAAAAGTAGCATTCCCTTTGCTTGGTATTATTTTTATACTAATGAACATGCTTTTTTCCCCCTATCCCATTATGGCTCAGAGCAGCTTACAAAGATTCCAAGAGTTAGACGTTACTAAAAATATGTTGCCTTTTGAAGATCACTAAACATGAGCCCTGACAGACCTCAGAAGGCCATTTCAAGGACGGGGCAGGAGTGGTGGTGCCAAGGTTAATAATTCAATCCAGAATAATAGGGTGTCATTTGTATGTATATTACGTTTATATCCCACCTTAAGTTCTATCATGGACCTGTGTGGGAGGGTGTCTCCTGTCCAAGCACTGACCACATCAGGAGTGGCTTAGCTTTAGCATATTTCGTGATCATACACTTTCCAACCTGGCATGAGTACTTTTTTGCAGCATAAAACACTTTTAGCCTTACTCTGCAACACATACACAAGGCAGGCCAGCATCTATGCATAAGACATAATACCAGCAACTTCACAAATCCAAGACAATCTCCAGTTAAAAGGAAGCCTACTTTTTCCATATTGAGTTTTAAATCTGGGGCAGGTGGGGAATTCAAAGCTGTGACATCACACCTGCAGGCTGAGGTTGGCTCCAACTGACTTAGTAGCTTGGCTCTATGAATACTGCTGCAACAGTCTTCAAGTTAGGACAGTGCAAAAGGAGCCCAACAGGAATAAAAAGAAATGATTTTTTAAAGGGACAATCTGCTAAGCTTCAGAAAAGCAGGAAAAGGCTGCATGGGGGAGGGGAACCATGATATAAATATTAGATTTATTGTTATGTACACTTTTATGCTTGGCCTCTTAAATAAATATTTGCCTCTTTTTTTATCCGTTTGGTGTCCTTGGTGCAATTCCTTCACGAGGCATAACATCCTTAAGTCCTTAGGTATCCATCAGAAACTTCAGAACAGACACTTTGCAACAGGAGGAGCTGAAGCAGAGGTAGTGACAGCTCAGTAGATGCTTGTCAAATGGAGCCATAGAGGAGGAAACCAAGTGAGCCTCTGCCGCTTTCAGGGTAAACAGGAAACCCTGTACTTTTATAGCATTAACATAGAAATGAGTTTTTAATCCTCTCTTTGTAGAAGCTCTGCTATTATCTATTTGTCTGGAATTTCCTATGGCTTTAATTTGCCCATTTCCTTGATTCTAGTTAATACGTGTTAAGTCTAAATACCTAGCATTCATGGGACATAGGAAAGTGTCTTATGCTAGTTGGACTAGAGATATGAAGGCCCAACAAAAAAACTGCAACAATCCTGTTTTTCTCCATTTTCCCCAAGCTTTTTTCTGAGCCTTCACATCTTAGATTATGCATCCGTCTAGATCAATCTGTCTGCTCTATCAGTGTCTCTCAGGCTTCAGGCAGGGACATCCCAAGCCCTACCTGCTGATGCCATGGATTGAACCTAGTATCTTCTGCTTGCAAAGCAGGAGCCACAGCCTTTCCTATATTTCAAGATCTCAGACCACAGCTGAAATGACATGCACTTAATTTGGGATTAAGGCCTACTAAATTTAGTGGGACCCAATTCTGTGTTCATCATGATTGGTATTTCAAATACTTCAGGGCTGAGCCCCCGTCAGTAGAAACAAAACAGGTCCTAGGCCTCTGTCCAGCACTGTCAGGATTGCATGCTTAGCCAGCACACATGAATCAAATTACAGTACAAGCAACTCCCTGTTTACACACATACAAGTCACCCGTGACTGTGCATATACACTGCACTCTTGCTACAAACCTGGAAGTAGCAATTAAAGGGGGGCAAAGGCCCCCCAAAGAGTGTGAAAACAGCAAAAATGGTGCGAAAACAGCAGTCCCACAAGCCTTTTCAAGTGCAATCCCTGGAGGGTTTGCATGGAGCTTTGACGTCTGTGAAGAGCTGGAGTTTGAGAAAGGAGGTTTGGAGAGAGTCTGGTAAGTGCTGCTGGTTTTAAAAAGGGGTTTCCAAGGGTTTTCTGAGGTTTGGAGGATGTTTTCAGGCTTTCTCAATATACACAATTTCACTTACGCGCACGGTGCCTTGGAACATGTAAATGGGGAGTTGCCTGTAAATCACAAGGCTTCCCTTACCATTTGGCAAAGCCCACTGATATTATTGTACTAACATCCCTCAGCCCATCAAAGACACATCTGGTGTTTGTTGGTGGTGGTAACAGAGAATAAAATTCATAATGAAGTCAAGATGATGGTAGTTTTAAAAGGGATTTTAAATCAGTTGGACTTAAACTACATGCATTTAAATGCTACTTCAAGAAACAGGGGGCAAAGGACTGTTTTGTCCCCCAAATCAGTAAGAAAAGTCTGTCCCTTACTGCACAGATTGCAAGAAGGAAGAAATAAAGAAGCCTGGAGAGCGTCTGAGGGTGGAAGGATGCTTAAAATAAAGCACAGGAGTGAAGAGCCTTAATTATGTCTTGCAGGGGCTGTCATGAGTCGACAGCTGCAGCAGGGAAAGACAGGAGGAGGATAAGTCGGTTTTATGCTGTGGCTTTTTTTATTTTAAAAAAGTGCAAATTGCTCCTTGAATGGGAGAGGATGGATGACTTATACTTGAGGTGCTAAGCAGCTTAGCAAACTCAAATTAACATGCCAAGATGCTGAAAATGAGGGATCAAGTTAATTCAGCTGATTCTCTCTCACCTCAATTACTGTAAGACAGTTCTCTCTGATCTTTCATTTGCCCATCTCCAACCTCTTATTCCTACTTTGCATCCCATGGCTCATTGGTTAATCTGCATCTCATTTCAGAACTCTCACATCCCTTCCAGCTTCTCTTCACTGGCTCCCTTTACCATGTGAACATAGGAAGCTAAACGAGCAATGTTTTCCATGTGGGGAGCAATGTATCCTTACCTAACTAGCACCAAAGAACAGGTCAGATATTAGAGATCCGTGACCTGCACACCAGGTGTACTGAACTAGGTAGACCTGCCCTCTGAGAAACTCAAAAGATCTTCCCTGCTGTTTTTCCCGTGAATAATCCTGCTTTCTTTTCACCCCACGTCTGAAACCTTCAATTTATCCCCTAGTTCCTTTCATCCCCTCCAGCTTCTAGTTAATTGCATGGTTGCCACAATTAACTTGACACGCACCACTGCATTTCTCAAAACAATAGATGAAGTACCAAGACTAACTCCGCCTCCCACCCAGAAAATAATGGGTACCGTATTTTTTGCACCATAACACTCACTTTTTTCCTCCTAGAAAGTAAGGGGAAATGTCTGTGCGTGTTATGGAGCGAATGCCTAAGGATGGCGGGGGGATCTGCTGCAGTCGTGAGCAGAGGATCCATGGTTCCCCTTCCTTCCCTCCTCCGTGGCTCGCTTTGAAACAGCAAAGCGGGAGAAGAGCTGCTGAGTGGGGAGGAGAGAGGGGCAGAGAGCCTGCTTGCTTTAAAGGAGCAAAGCAGGAGAGGAGAGGAGCCTTCTCCTCTTATACCCCTCTTCTGCATTATTAACAGCATCCTTCTCCACACACCCCATGCGTGTTCCTTGTCCCTTGAATGCTTTTCCTTCCCTCCCCACTTAAAATGTGGTTACAAAGCACGGATCCACATGGATCCTCAGGATTTTTGCACTGGGTCACCCCAAATTCACCATCAGATCACATAGCATGTCCATGGCTACAGCTTGCACCAAAAAAATCACGCACCCTCTGTTGCCTGGGGCCGCAGTGGTGCAAAAACATGGTTACAAAGCATGGATCCACATGGATCCTCAGGATTTTTGCACTGGGTCACCCCAAATTCACCATCAGATCACATAGCATGTCCATGGCTACAGCTTGCACCAAAAAAATCACGCACCCACTGTTGCCTGGGGCCGCAGTGGTGCAAAAATGTGGTTACAAAGCATGGATCCACATGGATCCTCAGGATTTTTGCATTGGGCTACCCCAAACTCACCGTCAGATCACATGTCTGTGGCCACAGCATGAACCACAAAAATCATACATCCACTGTTTCATTTAGAATATTTTTTTTCTTGTTTTCCTCCTCTAAAAACTATGTGCGTGTTATGGTCGGGTGCGTGTTATAGAGCGAAAAATACGGTATTTATAACACTTTGTAGGACGCTTAGCTCGTGCTCCTTGGAACATAAGATGATGCCTTATACTGCCAGGTCAATGGTGCATCTAGCTCAGGACTTGTCTACACTGACCAGCAGTGGATCTCCAGAGTTGCAAAGCGGATGCTCTGCTACTGAACTACAGCTCTTCCCCTTGACAACTCCGGTTCTGAGCCACATTATGCAGCACAGGATATGTAGTGTGGTATACAGTAGAGGGACTACAAATCAGATGCAAATCTCTGCTCAGACATAAAGGTTACTGACAGACCTTGAGCCAGTTACCATCTCTCATCCTTGCCTACCTCACAGTGATGTTGCAAGGATAAAAGGGGGCAGACCATCGGCTGTTGAAGGAGGAAGAAGAAGAGAGGATATACCGTATTTTTTGCACCATAACACACACTTTTTTCCTCCTAGAAAGTAAGGGGAAATGTCTGTGCGTGTTATGGAGGGAATGCCTACGGGTGGCATGCCTACGGATTTTCCTCCTCTAAAAACTACGTGCGTGTTATGGTCGGGGGCGTGTTATAGAGCGAAAAATATGGTAATTAAATAAAACTATGAAGATTTTTGTAAAACTCGGAGCATTTTAAAAGAAGAAAAGTATATTTGCTTGAAGCTTGCCATAGTATAAACTTAATTAGAAGCCGGTACTTCCTAAATACAGGATACTGTGTTTCACTTTGTCTACTCCTAGATTTGTTCACACTTGTTTGCTATATATTTCATTTGGATGTCATTTTTGTATTTAATACAAGGCATGTCTTAATTATTATTTATTTTAGCATTTGCATTTTGTTATACAAATCCATTTTTTAATAAAAAAGGTAATGATTTTTTATTTTAAAAAAGATACTTGGTAATTCACTGAAAAAAGAAGTACAGTCAACGGAACCAACTGTTTGGCTTTCCCTGCAGTTGGCAAGAAAGTATTTGAGACTGACATTTTCCCCTTAAAATGAAAACCATCCATGTGCTAAAGCCAACCAATCTCCAGAAAGCACAAATGGTTCAACTGGAAAGTAGTATAGGAGAAGCAGGAATTGGAGCCCAACCCTACCCCTGCAACAGAGTCATCATCATTACAAAGTTATTTAAAACAGAGGCAAACAATTATATTAATATAAGAAAATAAGGTTATTGCTCATGCTACAAAGTAGTAGTAATCTGTCCTACAGAAAAAGGGAACTTAGAATTATGTCCAGATTCATAAGAGGAACAGGACCAACTTGCTATTTACCCACTAACATCACCAATTACTGTGGTACAAAAATCTACGATTGCCTCTTCTGCATTTGCGCATGGGACATGGGGATGTTTCCAGGATGCGGCTTACACAAAGGGTGGCCTGGAAATTCTTCATTAAAGAGGTTTGGAGACATACATAGCACAGGTTCAAAACTCTGGGAAATTTGCAGCCCTCTAGGTGTTTTTGGACTCCCATGAGCCTAGCCAGCATGGGTAGAGATGATGGATGCTGATGTCAACAACAACTGGCAGGCCACAGGTTCCTCAGCCCAGCTGTACACAGAGAAACATGCTTCTGCATTAGCATCTTCTGCTGAAGCATGCACATCTCTGCAACAATATACAGGCAAGGCCGCATGCATGTCTGGACCCAGGCTAATGATTTCTAAGCAACGAACAGCCCTGGGGCAGGGTGCTAAAACACCATATGAAATTAATGCAAGGGAAAGATCTGTTTGGAGAGGATCAAGATTGCTATTTCTGTGAGAAGGTGGTAGAGGGAAACACAGCAACAAATCACAAATCACAGTCTTGCCCTTGACAGTTTGTGAAAGCTAAAGCCATTTCTTTTACAACTAGGTAAAACTCCCCCGCCCCTTCTCTTCTCCAATTTTCATTATCTGGTATCCCAAACTCTGCACACCAGAGTCCATTCTGGTTCAGGTCAAGGACCATTGTTTGCAGACAGAACTCTGCCTACCAAAGGCATGGAACACTCACAGGAATAGTAAAAGGGGTAGTGCCTAAGTAAATATTTATATTTCAGGGACAACTAGTCAAAGGTTGTGAAATAGCCAGGAGAGTGAGATTTAGTCATTACTGCAACTATCTTGCTTCTATTTCTATTCCTGCTCTGGTAAGAGGGTCTGTTCCTCCAGGCATATCATGCGCCATAAATCAACACAGACACACATTTAATATTTTGAACTTTTCAAGCACCTTCAGGCGCATCTGGAACAGAAGCAAGAGCCAAAAACTGTAGCAGACCTCATGATGCTGGGTCACAATTATTTAGATAGGATTGGGTGGAGAGATTTAAGACGCACTGGCCTTTGGCAGAGGAGCCCATTTCACCACAAAATTGGGATTACACAGTAGTTGTAGATATAGGAAAGAGAATGGAAGCTGCACAGATGTGAAACAGGTGGGGCAAGTTAGCGACCCTTTCGGCCTTCTCCATGGCAACCTTTCCCAACCTGTCCTCTCCAGATGTTTTGGACTACAACTTCCATCAGCCCCAGCCAGCACAGCCAATGGTCAGCAGTGATGGAAACTGTTATTTCAGAACATCTGGGTGGCACCCTGGTTGGCAAAGACTGCTCTTTGGCCAAACTCATTTTCGCAACAATGCAGAATTTCAAGTTGGCAAATGTGCTAGAGGCCCATATTGACAAAGATTTGGGAGATGGGTGCAATCCCTACCCAAAAAAAAATTGGGAGAACTTTCCTTTACTTTGGCATGGGTTGAACAAGACAGTGCTCTGATCTGCCTCTGCCCTTCTGCCCCCATGTGAGATGCTGGCAACACTGGACTTATCATTCAAGTTTCCAGTTCTCCTTCTGAAAGACGAGCTCCACAGCATCATTCACATCATGCACAACGTGAGAGGCCTCCACCAAGGTTGGATCAAAATGGAAGTCCCGGTGCCCATGGAATACAGTCTCCAACATGTTCTCGTTGTGGTCAGCAGGCACATCTCCCTGGGGATTGTAGACCCCAGTGCAGACCAGTATGGACTGGCAGCTCTCTGCAGAGGTGATGGACACACTGTGATCTCTTTGCATCTCAACATGTTCCTCGCTCTCTGCTGCCATTGCAGTGACACTTACTTCAGCCTGAGCCTGGAGGTAACGGTTGTAGAGGTTTGCACCATAAATGTCAGCCATTGGGTTGTCTCTGTAAGTAGACCCAAAGGACAAGGGAGGAGAAAACAGGGTAAGAGTCAAGGTTATATAGTTAAATTTGGGCAGTACTTAAATTTTGAGAATTTAGACCCATCTAGTAACAGCATCCATGCAAGTACCTCCACCCCCGCTTGCCAGCAAAGGGATCACACTCTAGCCTCCCCTTAGCAGGGAAAACAGTTCAGTAAGTTATATGAATCTTTCATCTTGCTCTGTGCCAATGTGCAGCTGCTGTGGCCAAGGTCTTCCTCTCCCAAGCTCAAGGAAGAAGAGTTGCTTACCCAATAGCATACAGCTGGCGGAGAGGGGATGTCCAGCCCCAACTCTCCATCTGCTGCTTGATCACATGTTCAGCATAGCGGTATGTGACAGTGCTGGGCTTGCCTATCAAGGCCTCGTACTTCAGCTCCTTGCCAGTCATTTTCTTGTAGATGTTCTCCAAGCACACAAGAAAGGTGCCATGGCCAAATCTGACCACAAAGAAAGAAAAGCGCAAAAAGTCAGCATGCATACTCCTAGGAACATGTGGTGGCACTGGGTGAATACGGAGGATAAAAGTACCCAATAGGAAATGTGGGTAAGATGGCTATTCTTCAAGTATGTCCTTTAATCAAATAATACAGACATGACTGCATAATTCTATGATCGCTTTTGCTCCACCCCTTGTTACTGCTCTGCTGCTATGGAAGAAAAGCCTATCCCTCCATGGACTGCTGAACCAATTCCTGACCCTTTGCTGAGGGAAGTATTTGGATAATCTGGCCCCAGAGTCTTAAAAGTGTATTCCTAACGTTAATGGGGTTTCAAAAAGGTTTTCTCGCATTATACAAAACAAAACCAAGCAAGCCCTAACCTGTAATAATTTGACCATTGTGAGGTTACATTTAGAACCTCTTGTTATAGACTGGAGCAAGACTCCACACTTAAGAATTTCTTCTCAGTTCCTTTTAGTTTCCAGAAATAGTAGATTTTCTTAGTCTGTAATAAATAATAATAATAATAATAATAATAATAATAATAATAATTTATTTATACCCCGCCCATCTGGCTGGGCTTCCCTAGCCACTCTGGGCGGCTTCCAACAAAATATTAAAATACAAGAATGCATCAAACATTAAAAGCTTCCCTACACAGGGCTGCCTTCAGATATCTTCTAAAAGTCTGGTAGTAGTTGTTCTCTTTGACATCTGATGGGAGGGCGGGTGCCACTACTGAGAAGGCCCTTGGCCTGGTTCCCTGTAACCTCGATTCTCACAGCAAGGGAACCGCCAGAAGGCCCTTGGCGCTGGACCTCAGTGTCCGGGTAGAACTATGGGGGTGGACACGCTCCTTCAGATATACTGGACTGAGGCTGTTTAGGGCTTTAAAGGTCAGCACCAACACTTTGAATTGTGCTCGGAAATGTACTGGGAGCCAATGTAGGTCTTTCAGGACCAGTGTTGTGTGGTCTCGACGGCCGCTCCCAGTCACCAGTCTAGCTGCCGCATTCTGGATTAGTTGTAGTTTCCGGGTCACCTTCAAAGGTAGCCCCACAGAGAGTAACAAACAGAGTAACAGCTTTGTTTATATAAGATGTTCTTACAGAAGTGGCTCACTCGATGGCTTTTAGCTTCTTGGCAAGTGGGTTGTAGTTGAGTACCAGGAAGGTGAGAGGCGAGATTGCAGGAAGGTTGGAACAATGCAAAGGCACTGGAGGAGTCAATCCAGCACTCCTACTGGCACATTTGCACTGCACAAGCCTTCCCACAAGTTTACCTCTCACTCTCTCCTTGGTAAGTAGCAGCAACCCAGCTGCCAGGAAGCTAAGCGCAGCAACTTAAGTAATGTACCTAGAACATTGGCTCCCAAACTTTAACCCACCCCCCATGTCCACTTGGAAATCACTGTGTCTTGGTGGACCACTTAATCGTTTATCTACCTGTTACAGCTGTTGTAACGGACTGTGCTAGATGCTATATGATCTTTAACTCCATTTTTATTGCTTCTTTTATATCTTATACTGCATTGTATGGTTCTACAATTTGAATTCCACAGAATGCTATATACAATACAACCATAAAATGCAATTCAAGAAAGAAGCAATAAAAATGCAATTGACCATGTTTAATGGGACTGATGGGAATAGTAGTTCAACAACATCTGGATGGCCAAAGGTTCCCTGCACCTGATCAAGCTCATCCGAGGCAACTGAGCAAGGAGCATAGGAGCATATTCTCCAGTGAGGTTTCCTGCAAATACGGGGGGCGGGGGGAGAGAGGGGGGGAGAGAGAGAGAAAATACAGAATGCCAGCAAGAGATTGCAATAGAACCTTTGTATCACCTTGGCATCTTGGCTTCTGCCATCCACAAGAGATCCATGTTGCAGGCAAGGATAGGTAGATGTGGGTATGGAACAGAAGTCAACTCTACCCCTAGGTTCCCATTGCTCAGGAGTACATCAATGATCAGTTGCAGGCAGGTCTCCCACCTGACTGGCTCCCCAAACAGAATCACAGCTGGAGATTAAAAAAAGGCAGCGCATTTTCAAAACAGTAGTATGTGCCTGTACATCATATGACATAATAACCTCATATAAGAATGAACTCACAGTGGGTTACATCTGAGTAAACATCCTTTGCAAACCTATCCCCATCTACTTGGGTCCAGGACTAGGAGATTTTAGCTGTATTTTTGCAATATTTTTTGTTTTAAGTTGTCTGTTGTCACTTTAGTTATCTGTACACCACTTAGAGATATTTTTATATATTGAGCAGTATAGAATTCATATAAATAGACAGACAGATATATAAATAGACAGACAGACAGAATGATCTACTATGGGCAGCCCAGCCAAGATTACAAAGGAGCTCTCATATAAAACTTGGAGCAAACTGAATGGGGCTTCCATTTATTTGCCACATATTCCTATAGATGTGACTAAAAAGAGCAGGGTCTGCATTAGATATGTGAAAACCAAGAAAAAAGGGGGGGCAGAATACCCCCCAATATTGCAGGAAACACCCCCCCATTTTTCTGTCCCCCCCAGGCCTTCACAACTCTTCTCCACATTACAAGGGACAACTCTGTTTCGTCCCCTGATGTTCTTTCTCAAAACAACAACAACAACTGGGGAGCATGAAAGCATTACCAAAGTCATCATGCTAACAATCCTTTGCAATACAGTGGATTCTAGGATATGCAGAATTACTCATCTTTTTTTAAAGTTGATAAATATATTTAACCAAACTAACTAGCAATGGCACATTGTTCTGCATTATTTCTGTGCACTTATAATTGATTTGCCCCCAGCCAGACACCAGAAGTGGAAATGAGCTTAGCTATGGGGGGAAAACAACCTGGGGGTGGAAAATTTGCACCGGCAGACGTGAAGGGTCAAGCATCTTTTCACCCTGCCTGCTCTGCCTTCACATCAGTTTGAAAACGTGCATCTGCCAAGAGAAAGCCCACCTAAGCCCAGGTGAGCTCACAATGAAACACTCTTCAGAAAGAAAACAATGCACTTACCTTCTATGGTGGGGAAGTCAGCAGGTGGAGGAGGCTGTCAAAAGGGAGGGAAGGGGAAGAGATATTAGTCAATTTGTAGTGTCAGAAAATGGGTAAGGTTTGCTCAAGAGCTCAATGATACTTGGTATATTATCCAACTGTAACATCATAAGGTGTTTTGTTTGTTTTTAGGAAAAGGAAAACAAAATTGAATGTGTGTCTGGTTTTTAAAGAAATACAAAACCTTTAAAATAATTTCCCCCAACTGTTTTATTCTGCTAATTTGCAACCTTATAGAATTCGTCTTTGGTTTTTAACCTACATGGAGCAAAGGGCAACTTTGCGCAGGAAGAAAATCCTACCGACAGTTCTATATTGCCGTTTTTACGGGAGATCTTGGTGGGGATACTATGTAAAATATTTGTACTACTACAAAGCTGAAGAAGCTCAGGCTAGGGGGGCAAATGCCTCTCTGTCTGTCCCTTGGGATTCTCCTCAAGGCACATACCCCACCCAACCACACCCCTCACCAGCTTCACATCATGCCCTTGTGTTTCTTCCTGGCTGGAATATGCCCTTGGTAATGACCCGTTTGCCTGGATGGAGGATGGAAAGGAGTATGTGAAGAAACTAACTACAAAGGTAATATTTACATTAATTGTTTTGCCAACTGCTGCCTCTGGCCCTGCCTATCACTGGCCTGTGACCCCAGGAAGGTGGCCTAGATGGAACAGAGGTGCTTGGGCTAAAAGAGGAGTTTCACCCCTGTTGTACAGGAACTTTACTACCAGAGCAACTATGGAAAAGTTGAAAGTAGGCAAGAGAACACTTAGTTCTGCCAGGGGGACACACCACACAAATGCTCTCTTTCAGTCACACTTTGCAATACTCAGGTTAATACTTGCCAGCTCTTTTGGCCTCCGACTTTGATCAACCATATCCAGCAAGGGAAATGCCTTCCTCACATCTTCAATGGTAACAACGTGATGGAATCCCAGGCTGTTTCAAATGGTTAAGGAAGAAAGTTGTCAAGAGCTATACTTACTTAAGGGTAAATTGTCAGAACTAACCCAGGAACTTAGTAACAGGAACCCGCCAAATCCCTACTGTTGGGCAGCAATCATATCTTGATAGATTCACCACTTCCCTGTCCTGATCAGAAGGTCAAAGGCAGAGCAAAAAACAGCACTATATTATTATTATTATTATTATTATTATTATTATTATTATTATAATAACCCACCTTTCCTCCAATGAACTTAAGGTGGTGCTAGGCCTGGGCGATATATTGATAGATCACCCAGGACTGGTATGAGGAACAGACTGCGATGTCGGCTTCACTCAGCAGGATATCGCTGGTGAAAACACCACCAATCCCGAGTCTCTCTGCTAGCAGCATTCACTAGAGTTCCTACCTCCAGTAGTGCTGCTAGAGGGACTCTGGAGCACTGAGTGAAACTGCCATCACACTCTGCCCTCATGAGATGCAGTGACAAACAAGCTGTATCAGCGAGGCACCAATACAGCTTGTTCCTCCCTCTGCATCTTTAAACTGCTTGACTCAGGAGTGTGCAGCTGCCCCAACCTCAGCTGAGCAGTTACAGGAGCCAGGAGCCCGCAGCCCGGTACTGGTTCCCATGAGCTGCTGGCAGGGTGGGGGCTCTGTGAAACTACTCAGCTGAGGGTAGCACAGTTAAAGGAGCCTTGATGTTCTGCCTGCTCATGCCGGGACAGACTCAGCTGGGGAACGGGAATCTTCCCAATCCCCAGCTGAGCTGCACAAACTAGCTTTTGCCCAGGGTCACCAAGTGCACCTCACAAGGTTCGAACCCAGGTCTCCTCAGTCCACCCACTACACAACACTGATTCTTAACACATTGCTAAGAAAGAGAAAGGAAGATTAAATAAATAAATAAATCTGAAGGCAGCAAAGGATACTCCCTGGCATTTTCCTCCACAGGACCCTGACCACACACAAGCACACATTTGTCATGGAACTGATGGAAAAGACGCAGAGGACTGTGGGACAGGATCACCCATTCGGGAGAAACCTGAAAAAAGAGGAAGGTCAGCAGGACAGTTAGCTTACCCTTTCCACATGCAGTATTCCATATGCCAGGCCCTTTATCCTCTAAGCTGCCAAAGCCGCTAGCACAGGTGACACCACTAGATTAATCAGGAACATCAACACCCGTCGTCCTTCTCAGACATTAAATACCAATAAGATCTCTTGAAAATTACCTTGGGTAGGGACATGTCAGAAGAATATATTTAAGCTTGTCCACAATAAAAATGCAATGGACTGGAAATATGACTGTGCAAGAACATACACAATCCATATTCATACCCCTAAGTAAGGTCCACACAAAAATGACACTCATCTTATTATTTAACATTGCATGAATGTGTGATTTGCCTTCATTAGAAAGCATTCTAAGTGATGTCAAGTAACATTAAAGCTCCGTGTGTCCTGTTTGATCTGCAGAGTCATCACTGAAGGTTATAGTGATCAAGCGACAAGCATGGAGGGGTGAGCAGACTCCCCATCCCAGTATTAAAGGTAGTCAGGCTGGGGAAAACCTCTGTCCAAGAACTTACAGCCAGACCCAAACAAATGCTCTATTTAATAAACTTTTATTCACCTTATCAGGTAAAGCCTTACTTCTAACAAATGAGTAGCAACTTGTGGAAAGAGTCTAAGCCCTACATTATTTCTTTCTGTGAGGATCCCCCACAAAATCTGGATTCAGGGTCACATCACGTAAGGTCACAGCATACATGAAAGCAACCTTATATCACTTTAAGTGCCTGCTTTCCCCAAAGAATCCTGGGAACTGTAGTTTGTAAAGGGAGCTGGGAGGTATTAGGAGATGCCTCAGAGTTATAATTTACAGCACCCTTAACAAACTACAAATCCCAGGATTGTTTATAGAAAGCCAATTCTGTTAACGTGGCCTAACAGTGCTTTAAATGTATGGTGTGGATGCATGTGATCATAGACTTACAATTTAGACACACCAGCAGCCAGTGACCCAATATAGATCACAGGTGCCTTCAGTACCTTAAATCCAAGTGCATCAGACAGTTCCTCAGCCTTGCTGTCTCGAGAGCAGTTTCCAGCATTGGTTACAAATGCAGCCGGCACATGGAACCGACCTTTTGAATCTGTTAGTTTCTGGAAGGCCTTCTTAGCAGCAGGAATGACTAGCCGGCCCCGTAAAAGCACTCCATCAATATCAAAGAGGAACCCAAAGGAGGGAGAAGTCTGTAGTGGAAAAAGATTCAATGATGCTATTTAGGAATAACAAGGGTGAGGAGGAACAAACAATAACGGCTCTAAAATGTGTTGGCATTTTCCAATAATGTATTTATGTAACGTATTTACATCTCACCTCACTGTTCAAGATAGTATATAAGAACACTGCTTAAACATAACAATAAAAAGGTAAAGGTAAAGGACCCTTGACAGTTAAGTCCAGTCGCGAACGACTCTGGGTTTGCAGCACTCATCTCGCTTTACTGGCCGAGGGAGCCGACGTTTATCCGCAGACAATTTTTCGTTGTCCACCGGAGCGGTACCTATTTATCTACTTGCACTTTGACGTGCTTTCGAACTGCTAGGTTGGCAGAAGCTGGGACCGAGCAACGGGAGTGCACCCTGTCGCAGGGCTTCGAACTGCCGACCTTCCGATCAGCAAGCCCTAGGCTCAGTGGTTTAGACCACAGTGCCACCCACATCCCTAAACATAACAATAAAAAGCTTTAAAATGTACAAGCAATACAACAACACCCCCCAATTTATGTCAGGAAATTTTCAAAAATCTGTAGTCATTACTTCCCAAAGATGATATCAAGGTCAACAAATCTGGCAGCTGAATTTTACAGAATGGTCATCTACACCCACAAACTACTATGAACATAAACACAACTGCAGAGCATCTTTGAATCAGGGTAATTCATGGCTGATGTTGCCAGTCTGGAAGTATTACAGGAGTTGTATGTACTATTAACAAGAACAGTATTATTAGGAACACCATAAGTTAAGAAGAGAAATGCACTTCTACTCAAGCCCTACTGAGTTAAATGTGTCTGACTGCCAGCAAACATCAATAGCAGTAGTAACCAAACTTTCTTCACCAAGGACCACTTGAACATTACAGATGGGCCTGGTGAATAATGCGGGCACCAACCAGAGAATTCCATAACCTAGAGCCACCACTAAGGAAGTCCTGTCTCTTGCAATAATTTAAAGGTAAAAATTAGCCTTTTTAGTTGCATACCTGTAGATAAAATGACAAACAATGAAGTTCATTAAGCACTGGAGATCTGATGAGTTCTATGAAATTCAGTCAGCAATCTAGCCACCTTTCAAGCTGTCTTCACAGGCAGCCTCACACCCAACACACTGCTTGCAGCCTAACTTGCAAGTTGCCAATGTTTGGATCTCACATTGTCGCGCATTACAGCTAACTGTAGCACCCATCGCATTTAACGATGGAAGATGTAGTTATTGGGGATGTGGTTATTTACTGGGACATATCAGCACAATCAAAACACTCCACGCTGCTTCGTCCACTGCTTTAACTTAGATGTGCTTTCAGCAAGCTGCACTGATCTAAAGCAACACTCTGAAGAGTGTATGTGAAAGAGCGGCTTCTTAACTTTTTGTTAACGTGGAAAAACCAGCTGACGAATCGAAAATCGAACACGTAGGTTGGCTATTAACCAGGCAACTTTCTTCACTAAGGTCTGAGAGTTCCCAGCACAAACAACTCCGCCATATGCTAAAAACTAGTATCCCCCCCCCCCCACTCCCCGCCGCCGCTTTTTTCTTCCTATGCCTTCCACATCTTCCGAGGTCCCCAGCACAACAGCAACAAAGGCAGCCTGGGTGAAAGGAGACGCGCGTGAGAAAAGCAGGCCAAGGGACAGGTAAGCCCGGCGCAGTTGCCCGGCTCGATCTCCTCCCGGGGGTGTCACAAGACAAGAGAAAGTGACGGGAGGACACCGAAGGGCGCGCGCGCACAGGGAGGAGATCGGGAGGGGGTCCTCTCTCACCTGCCGCGCCCCGAAGGTTCTCCCCACGGGACGGCCTTGGCTGCTGCTCCTGCAGGGGCGGCTGGCGGCGCCCCCCCTGCGCGCCGCAGGCAGCCACCCCCTCAGCGCCGCTCTGCTCACATGGAGCGAGCAGCACACAGCCATCCGCCCGCCGACGCCTGCTCCGGCTGGGGCGCCTCCTCCAATCAAGGCGGCGGCCAAATCTCCGCCTTCCTCCCCTTGCTTCCTCCGCCCTGCCAATCGGAGCACCAAGCCTGCCGGTCACATGGGACGGCGGTGAGAGATGGGACCCGGGTCGGAGGTGGAAGGAACTACTGTGCAGTTCCCAGTTCCGGCGCGGAGGGAGCCGCTGGCGCGCGTGCTGTGTCCGCCGAGAGTGCGGGGAGCCTTGCCAGTGGCTGCTGGGAAGATGGGCAGGAGCTACAGCGCGCCTGTTTATTGTATTCACTATTTATTTCTTAACAGTTTATCACACTGCTTGAGCGTAAAAAAGATAAAACAATAAAATCAAGGCATTTTTCTTAAACCATACTTTGAAAGCATACAGAAGTTAAATAGATTACAAATTCGCAGCAACTTTTCCAAGCATCTGGGTGAGCTTGTCTGAACAAGGTTGTTTTTAGCAGGTGGCGAAAAGAGCACAGCGAAGGTGCCTGCTTTACCTCAAGTGGCAGGGAGTTCCCAAAGTATAGGTGCTTTCCCATCTAATCTTACAAAGGATGGAAGGAAGAGTATATAGGAGTAGCTAACAGTTGCAGGATGAAGGTCAGGTAGGCTCAGAATGAGTTCAGGCTTGCAAGAGAAGTTAAAAAAATGATTTTAAAGGGTTTATTCAGCTATATTCTAAACAAGAGAAATAAGCAAAGTAATAGGTTCCCTTGCACTGAGAAGTTGGAAAAGTGCTTTTGGGTGACAGAAAGCAGAACTGCTCAATACCTACATTGCCTATGTCTTAACCCAAAAGGAAAGCAGCGCCCAACCTGGTGGTAACAGATTAAAGTATTAAAGGAGGGAGCAGCAGCCCAGATAGGAAAATAAGTGGCATGGGGACACCTAGCTACTTTAAATGAATTCAAATCTTCAGGGCCTGATGAGCTGCACCCAAGCGTACTAAAGGAGTCTGCGTACTAAAGCGTACTAAAGGAGTCTCAGAGCCTGTGTCTATAATCTTTGAGAATTATTAGAGAACAGGTGAGGACCCTGCAGGTCGAAGGTGGAGAAAAAGGGGGAAAAAGAAGACCCAGACAACTATTGACTGGTCAGCTTGTCATCAATACGAGGAAAGGTCCTAGAACAGATAATTGAACAGTCAGTCTGTGAGCGCTTAGAAAAGGGCACTGTGGGAATACTGTGGGCATAGTGTATATTGATTTCAGTAAAGCTTTTCACAAAGTCTCCCATGATATCGTGGAGAAGCTGATGTGAATGCACTGTAGATAGCTCTTGCCTCTACCAGATTCACTTTTCAGACGTTCAATTCTGGTATTCTTCTAGCCTACCAGAAGAGGTCACTTTTGTACTACAGGAAAACAATGAGCCAACTATCCATTACAACAGCTCTGATTAGCACTTTGCTGGTGCTATTTGGCTTTAAAATGCTAAAATGTACTAATTCCACCACCACACATAAACTTCCTTTACAGTCCCCAGTAAATTTTACATGGCTGCGATTGATATTGCTATGAAAAGGGTATCAGTCCAGAAAGAAGGGTGGGAGAGAACTGGCCATAGGCAAAGTTGTTGATTTTACATTTTTAAAAATAATTCTTGTTATTTGTTATTTGTTTTAAAAATAGATAAGCCTGCTTTTATTCCAAAACAAAAATGTGAAGAGGTATATACTGTAATAATGTTTTTCTATTATGCTCTGTTTTTCAGACAAACATTTAGTAAACTGGGGACAAAGTCCAGCTCCTTAAAAATGCTGTTCATTTCAGCAGCAGTGATTTAATTGTTTTGTGGTACAATCCTATATAAGTCTACTTAGGAGAGGGTCCCATTGAGTTCCATGTAAGTTTCTTTATAGAGTAAGTAAGACTTGCTTCTTAATAAACATGCATAGGATTAAAATGAAAGAGGCTCAAACTGGAAAGTGCCCTGGGTTTAAAAGTTTTAATTGTGGACAAATATGCTGATTACAAAAAAAATATAGAATTTCCAAGTAGATTAATTTCACACCTGAAGGGTTCCCAGCTCCAGGGGTTCCAGATTAACCACTTCCTACCTCAAATTGAACTAGAATTCTGATCCTTACTTTCTTCTTCCTTGTCCACAGTAAGGTTATTTCAACCTGTCATTTGATCCCAGTTCATTTAGAACAGAGGGTGGTGGTTAGCACATTCAGCTTGGCTTAATTCCATGTAGCCCTCTGCTGAATATCATGGGGGCGGCAAAGACGGGGAAATGCAGGGACAGGGAATGACAGAAAAAGAGAAAAGGCAGCGTCTACACACCTTTGCCTCTATTCCTGCCCACCAGTGGCACTTCTTCTCTCCCCTCCAAAAGTTTTTTCCCCTTTAATGGGGGGGGGGCGGGTAGAGTTCCCGACCTGTGTTCAAGAAAATATATATATATGGTAAGAAATACCTAATTTTATTGTAAGCCATTAAGGGGGGGGGGGGACTTTCACCAGTACCATCACAATGTCAGGTCTTCAGACTATGAAACACTATGAAATTAAGATGCAGCCCAAGACTTGGTAACCCTATTGAGGTGCATATATTTTCCTTGTTGTTACTGAAGCATTCAATTCAGCACACACTGTCTTGAGCATTTACTGCCCATGGATCACATCAATAAAAAGAAATGGAATTGGCATGGGGTAACTCTCCTCTGAGGCTCCTAAAATGCTGATCTGGAATGGCTCCTTTGATGTCTGAAGAAGCGGCGGGGGTGGGGGGTGGCTCATGCTATACTCGAAGGGTCAGGCTGATTTCATTCCCATTACTCCACATGACTAATGTGGAGTTCAGCCTTCTCAGTAATGGAGGTCGGGGCCACTGAGAGAAGGAGCATCATTCTCTGCAGAGTGATTGCATTTGGAGGAGCTCTCACAAATCATGGGCATTCTGTACCTGATCACAGAACTGCCTCCCTGTAATGCCGGGGAAAAGGAGATTGTATTTATTTATTTTCAAAAATAACCTGACCCAGTGAGGCAAGATATCATTTTGAAAACACAGCCGAGGAAGATAAGCAGTCAGGCGATCACCATTCTCGCGGTAGAGTGGCTTAATACAATATGGCTGGCAAAACCCCGCGGGTGTACTTGACAATATAACTCTCAACCTTGCTGGGCTCCAAAATTATTGACTAACGGGGACAAAGTGCCTTGAGGAGAAAGAAATAGCAAAGGACACACAGCATTTTAGAAACATCCAAATGAAGCAACACTTCACTGAGTCCAGGGTGTCAGTTCCCACAAACCATTGTGCTGTGGTTTCCACTTCTGCATGACCAGATTTTTACACTACAGTGGAATCATCTGTAGCTGGGAACCAAGTGGGATTACATGGTAATCTCTCATGGAAGAAAGGATGGGAACCAGAAGGTGGGGAGTGGGGGATTAAGCATATAATTCACCCAGTCTACTTGGGCTGTGAACGCACTATATGTACTTTTAAAGCATGTGCAAAGCACATTTCCCCCCTCTCAGAATTCTGGACCTTGGAGTTTGTTAGGGATTGCTTGGAAGTGTAACTCAGGGAAGGGTAAATAACAGTGTCCAGAATTCTTTCAGGGGCGGGGATGAGCTTTAAATGCACTTGTCTTATTTCCTTAAAAGTAGCCTTAAAAGCTCCACAAATTTGGACAAAAGTAAAAAAGAAGCTCAACAAATTTGGTGGTGTCTCCCCCCCAAAAAGCTCAACATATTGAAATATGGCAACCCTAACTTTAAAGACATACAGATACCTTTTCAATGCATCAGGAATGTTCTGAAATAAAAGTGGTTGCTAGTAAGTTCAATCAGTTCTGTCTTCCTTGCTCAGTTTTGAGCATTTCAACATAAAGATACAGACAAAATGTAAACAGGAACGCATAAAACAAATCCACATTTCACTATCCCAAAGCACAGCATCTTTGGTTCTGAAAAGAAGTCTGTCTCGATAAAAACAAATAGGGCAATCCAGCTAAAGTTTAGATAGTATGTAAGTAGTAGTCATACTGCTCTATAAAAGAAGCTAAGATCCCAACCAATCAGGAGTTTGGCATGGAAGGAAAGGTAGAGGAAGACTAAATCTAATCCTCCCACATAAGGCCATCTCCCAACTGCTAATGGGCACAATTTTAGTTTTGTTTACCCAATTGATTATACACATACATAGAACCCCAGTTATTAGATTGGGCCAGAGAGCTGGGTGTGTGTCAGGTTGGTGTATGTGTGTGGAAGATCCTGCTCTTTAGATGGGCTAGACAAAAGCTCTTTTCTACCCATTGATTTCAATGAAAAAACATGTTTAACTCCAACTAAAATCAGTGGGGTTCTGATTGCCAGTTATCCTTAATTTCTAAGTGATGTACATTAAGATTGCAAAAACATACAGTGAATAAAAGCAAGTGCCTGAAGTTCAACATGGAGGGAACCTATCTGATTCACCTAAGAAGGAGTTCCACAGAATCCGGACCACAATACTAAATGCACAGCTGCTGGTAGATACGAGTCATGCCTCTGAACCATGGGTGACCTCTAAAAGAGACTCCCCTAAAGATCTTAGTGATTGGGCAGGGATATAAAGAATCCTTGAGGTATCCTGGAGCCGAATTGTTAAGGGTTTTGAAAATTAATTAATTAATGATCATAATCATAATAGACCATTGAACTTGGCCTGGTAATACGTGAGCAGCCACAACAAACTTTTAATCACCGGAGTCATGTGTTGGCAGTAGGTGTCCCCACCAACAGTCTAGCCACAGCATTTTGCACCAGCTGGAGATTTTGGATCAGGTCCAAGGATAATTCCACGTTTTCCTTGCTAATGTTATAAATATAGACCTACCAACAGCTTGTTTTTATATAGATTTTCTGCAGTTCCTTGAGATTGGTGTGTATAGGTGAAACAGCTTTCAATTAATTCCTCCAATTCTTCTGAGATTTGGGATAAAAAGAGAAAACACCGGTTCCTGCTCTATTTCTCCCTCTATTATGTTACATTCATGCACAGCTGCTCCAATTCAGCAAGAACAAACTGCACCCATAAGCAGCTGCCCACAAGCACTGCCAATGTCAATCTGGAAGTATTTGCCATCTCTCCATCATGATGCTCAGCTGATTCCTATGGCACTAGCTGGATGTACCTTTTTGGTGCAAATGAAGCGGCACAACAGTCAATTACACATACGGTAACTTGTTTCCCAAATCTACAGCAGGAACGGGGTCACTTGCTTTAGTGTGGTTTGTGGTTTCAGAAAGGTCAATCATTTATTAGTTACTTATTTTCAAGGTTTATATCCCAACTGTCAGTACAGTAACCAATACAGTTTACAATCAGGATTAAACAACACCACCACCACATTACTCACTAATTATCAGGGAATGTAAGGAAAGACGCTTTGGAGGGAGCTACTTTGTATATAGTAAAAAGAGATCAAGTGGAGTGACAGTAAACAGAAAGGGGCAAGGGCAGTCAGTCCCCCACCCTTTTGCCTTTCCTTGTTACTCTTAACCAGAAATTGTAGGCTCTTTAAAGCAGGCATAGGCAAACTCTGGCCGTCCAGATGTTTGGGACTACAATTTCCATCATCCCTAGCTAACAGGACCAGTGCTCAGGGATGATGGGAATTGTAGTCCCAACATCTGGAGGGCCGGAGTCTGCCTATGCCTGCTTTAAAGCCCTTCTACTACTACTGAGCTACCTCATAAGGGACTGCAGCCCTGACACTGAACTGGTTGTTCCCATAGAAATGGGATTGTGTGTAAGACTTGGTGAGTCACAGACCCCATTCAGTAACCAGTGGTGACCCACTCAGTAATCTAATTTGCTCAGGTATAGTGCCTGGTATTATTATGTAAGAGCCACCCTGCCTGTTATAGAGAGACAGTGTGGCGTAGTGGTTAGGGTGTTGGACTAGGACCTGGGAGACCAGGGTTCATATCGCCACTCAGCCTTGAATCTCGTTGGGTTACCTTGGGCTGGTTACTGCCACTTAGCCTAACTTACCTCACAGTGTTGTTGTGGGGACTAAATGCGGAGGGGAAGAAACATGCCCACCACCTTGAGCTCCTTGGACAAAAAAGGTGGGAGATGAATAATAAATTAAAATAAACACTTGCTCCCCCAAATTTTTTGTCTCTCCCAAGCACAACCTCAGTTTATAGAGAGCAGAGAGCAACTTCAAATGTGTGCACACTGAAAGAGATTGATGCAAATAAATTATTAATTATCAGAGTTCCCACCCACCCAACATTGTTTTCTTTTCCAATGGCTTTTTATTTGGTGCATTAGTGTATTCTGTGGACCCCTGTACCTCTGCTCTCTTTTCCTTCCCATTGAATCTGCTTACCCCATAGCTATGTGTAAGAAACTTTTATGAACAAACACAATGTTTAGTGATGGACATTAGATTAGATGGCTTTTTAGAAGATTAAGGGAAATCCATCAAATATAGGTTTATCTAGTAGCAATGATGGCCAGATAGAGCCCCTGTGTTCCAAAGAAGCATGCTGCCCATGCGGGTGGCACTGTGGGTTAAACCACAGAGCCTAGGACTTGCTGATTAGAAGGTCGGCGGTTCGAATCCCTGTGACGGGGTAAGCTCCCATTGCTCGGTCCCTGCTCCTGCCAACCTAGCAGTTTGAAAGCACATCAAAGTACAAGTAGATAAATAGGTACCGTTCCGGTGGGAAGGTAAACAGCGTTTCCGTGTGCTGCTCTGGTTCGCCAGAAGCAGCTTAGTCATGCTGGCCACATAACCCGGAAGCTGTACGCCGGCTCCCTCGGCCAATAAAGCGAGATGAGCGCTGCAACCCCAAAGTCGGTCACGACTGGACCTAATGGTCAGGGGTCCCTTTACCTTTACCTTAGGGGTGACTAAGTGGGGAAGGCAGGATCTCAATGTCCTGTTTGTGCACTGCCTGGAGACAATTTGGCCTGCCACTGATGGAAACGGAGTTAGATGAGCCTTGGTCCACACCAACAGTGATTTTCCTACCACCAAATGAAACTCTCTGCTTGCCTGTCTTATAAAGAGAAGTGGTGTATAGTTGTTTTCTTGATCTGGGGATGTCTACAGTGACAAAAGTTTGATTTCCCTGCCTTAAGGGTGTTGAGATTACACTGTTTCCATGCCAAGACCAGGACCAAGTTACTTCAATTTACCAAATCCCATCTGCTTTCTTTGCACTTTAGCTGAGCCACTGCGTCATAATTCCACGCCCACTGCCACATATATACTACTAAAGCTGTAGCTCCATCTTACCTTATGGTCTAACTCACTCTCCCCTTCCATGCTATTCTGAGATGTGAATCAGCCATTCCTCTTCCTGCCCTGCCTGGCTGATTTGCATAACACATTTTGATTGGTTGTATGGAACAGTGATTTGGGTTTGGTGTTTTTTAAAGAAGGATTATTTGTGTAACAATCATGTGCATTAGTTACCACAATGACTTACATACATACCCATAGTGATTTTTTTTGGAGAAGTAGTATCAAAATCACAGAACATCAGATTGTCAGATTGCTGACTGTAGCATCATTCACACGCATAAACTTACTTATTATGCCAAAGAAAAAGAAGTTTACTAACATAGGTTTGGAGCAAGTATTTAAATTTCAGACGTAAGCATAGTTATGATTTTAGAATGTGTGTATTCGCATTGACATTTCCCCTTCAAAAATATGTGTAATACGCACTGCTTCATTTATTTATGAATACTTAAATTTCTGTCTTGCCTTTCCACACTATGCATCCAAGGCAGCTAGCATAAAATTTAATGCATTCAAACTACAAGATAATAAAAACAAATATACCAAAAACATGTAGAAAGAACAGATATTCCACCCAATAGGTCAGAGACCTGTCTAAACAAGAAGGTATTTGCCTGGCAGAGGAACACCATGAAAGAGAGGAGATGGATTTCCCTAGGTTTCCAGAGCCTAGACGCAGCCACTGAGAAGGCCCTCTCTTGTGTTCTGCCAAATGTACCTCTGATGTTGGCAGCACACAGAGAGGCTCCCATCCCAAATATCTAAATTATGTAGGCAGGTTTCTGTATTTTGGAAAAGGCTATTTATATTTGCTCATGTAGCTTGCATTTCCTTCCTTGCATGACCTGAAATGCCAAAACTCTTGAACAAATCTGTGCAACGACCATTACTGCTGTAAACAAAATGTGTCAGTTTATCTGAAGAGTTTGTATATTTGTACGTCACATCGTTTTCAAAGTCAAAACACTGCTATTTTTTGTTGATTTTGGTGGATTTTGCTTAGTGATAGTTGCAATAGTCCTAGAAAGGATTCAATGTTGGAAGAAGAAGAAGAAGAAGAAGAAGAAGAAGAAGAAGAAGATCATCCTCATTGGGAAATATTTAGATGCAGTTTTTGTGTGAACAGATTTGTGTAGATGATTATGTTACAAACTTCAAAACAGCTCACAATTAGCAGTGGCAACATTTATTAGATTATAAAATTGAGTGTTTTAAAACCTATTGAGTGATAAAGTGTGCCCAGTTAAACAACCGGCAATTTATTATTATTATTTTACAATGCAATTCTATGTAGGTCTACTCAGAAGTAAAGACTACTCAGCTCACTGTGGCTACCAGTAATTCCTTTTTAAAAAAAATAAATTTTATTAGAGTTTATAAATAAAAATACTAAGATTATTGTCACATATTTCTTTTTTTGGTCCAAACTAAAACCTTAATCCAGAGTCAAAAAAAAGAGAAAGAGAAAGAGAAAGAAAGAAAGAAAGAAAGAAAGAAAGAAAGAAAGAAAGAGGAAGGGATAATGAAAAAGGAATAGAAAAGGAATTAAAGGAGAAAATGAGAAAAAAGAGTGAGAGAAGAGAGAGAAAAGTTCAGAAGCTAAAGAATTTCTGATTCTTCATCTCTCCACTATATAAATATTATTCATTTCATCCACTTCAGTATACCTAATAAACACCTAATAAAGCCACTCTATATAAAACATCATCTTCAGTCCTCAGATCCAAATGTCATTATTTCTTTTTCTTTTTCATGCAGTCTATGAGAGGTTTCCAATCTTTAATAAATGTTAACAATGGGACTAAGTCCAAGATGACAGGGTTGTCTTAGAAGAGAGATTCTTCATTTTTTGACAAACAGGAAATAATGTCTCTTCTAAGTCAGTTACCTGCAACAATATGTGAAAAAACTGCATAAAATGAAGTTATTTTTCTTCAGATTGGGTGTTTTATTCATGTGCAAATATAAGCAGACTTAAATCAATTAATTAAATACAAGTCATAGATTAACTGATTAAGATGTTTTAAATTGGATATCTTACAATTATCAAGGATGTTTATTTGTTTGTTTCAGATTAACATCCTGTGCAGGGGGGGGGTTGAATTCTGCAACTGATAAACAATGCATATTAAAGGAATAGTTTGCATAATCTGTTTCGTTTCTACTAGTTATGGAAAAGGGCAAAGAGTGAAGCATGGCACCACAGCAAATCTGTGGTCTTCCAACTTCCACCACCCCTGATCATTGACTTGGGCTGAGGCAGTTAAAGTCCAACAATATCTGAAATGCCACAGTTTCCTTATTCCTGTACTGGAAGTTCTGCCAAGGTAGTTGAGATTCCATAGCTCAATCCTATGGTATACCGTATTTTTTGCTCTATAGGACGCACTTTTACAGCTCTCGCTCTCCAGGCTTCAGGCAGCTGTCCACAAGCCTTCTGAGCGCGGCGGGAGTGGCGCCGAGGTTACGCGCAATCTTGCCGCCGCTCCTGGACCTGGGGGGGGGGGATATATATTTTTCTTTATTCCCCCCCCTAAAACTAGGTGTGCCCTATGGTCCGGTGCGCCCTATGGAGCGAAAAATACGGTACTTATTAAGGCCATTGATTTCAATGGGTTTGTGCAGCTAAATTTTATATAAGTTTGGGCTGCCAGAAGATATCATGTGGGCTAGAAACTTGTCATTTAAAATAAAACCTGAGAATTTCAGGATTCCAAAGGAAGTAGCCCAGTTATACCTTTTCCTGTAGTTGCATGGTAAAACTAGAATACTACCTTTCTAGCTTGAGGGGAAGGGGCTTCTTCAAGCTCCTAAGGCACATTTTATGACAAAATATTACCAGAGGCAGTGGCTAGCTAGGGCTAAAAGGCCTAATTTGTGCTAAATATCTAGGAATGACAAGAAGGGTTCAGGACAGCAATAGCTGATGGAGTTGAAGCACACCTAGTTCCACCTTTAAGGAGTGCATTTTGATCAGTCATTGATTTGGAGCATTTGCAGCATAATTAAAAGGGCACTTTGCTCAGGTACTGAAATGTACAAGAGACAAGACAAATTTATATTGACATTAGCTGTCATCTGATCAGAGTACCATACTTAAAGCGAAGAAGTCTTTTGTGCCTCTGTGTCTAGCTTGATGCACAGACTGAAGCTATGAACTGGTCCCACTTTTTTTGCCAGATCTCCAGGGCCTTTTTCTTTTGACCAGGTTGCATACTGCTGTAGCTGTGAAAAGAAAAGAAGTTCAGGTCAGAGGAGGAGAAACTGCTTTAAAAGCTGGATGATCAAGTCAAAAGCCAGAAAGAGCAGGAAATAAAAACTCAGCAAATTGACTGTTTATGCTGCACTGGGTATATAGGTGCAGCCTAGGAAGAAAATCTCACTGAATTTACAGGACTTGCTGTCAGGTAAGTGTGCTTAGAATTACAGTTGTCATGGCTGTGGTCTCAAGCTCAGAGAAGGATAAGCCAATCATGTTTGGAGCTGTTTTACCACTTACCAGGTCCATGTTTGATAGACCTCGCACCTAACCATATAAATATAAACCATATAAACATGTTTGATAGACCTCGCACCTAATCATATAAACTTATTTACCAATGTGGGCAAGTAGTGCAGAGCACAGCAGAAGTAAGGGTAATAAGTGGAGTATCCGGTGGTGGATAGGTGTTAAGAAGCACTGCACTGATTTGGCCATTAGCTTCTAAGCCAGTTTCAATTAACTTTTGCTAACCTAAAAAGCTATAAATAAGTTGTGACCAGGGTATGTAAAAGGTCATCTTGCCCCATACAGACCTGCTAATGAGGTCTTGTAAGTGGTGCTGCATTTTACAGTATGTCACCTAACAGCAACACAGAAAAGGGTCTGCTCTGTGGTGGGACCCACTCCCCTCCCTTGCTATATGGGAGGCACCCATAGCAGGGTGCTACCAAAGACTGTTAAAACCTGATTTGTTTGCTCAGGCTTTTCCTGACCTGGTTATTGGTACATTTTAAATATTTGGTGCATATCCCATACATTGTTTATTGTTTCCTGCAGTGGTTCCCCATATGTGGAATGCTCTCCCCAGTGAGGTTTGGCTGACACCCTCATTATACACCTTTAGACGCCAGGCAAAAATGTTCCTTTTCAACCAAGCCTTTGGGTGGTTGACATCTGATGCCCTTTTAAATGTGTCGTGGAGGGATTTTTGGTTAGTTGTTGTTCTTACTTTTATTATGTATTTTGTGGTTTTTATATTGTAATTATATGCTGTAAACCACCCTGAGATCTACAGATGACAGACAGTATACAAATTCTATTAATAAATCATACTTACTTTAGAGAGTTTAGTGCTAGTTGTTTCAAAGTCCTCAGATCAGCACTCATCCCTCCAATGCCCATGAACATCTCATAAAGGTCATATGACAGACCCTTTGCTCCAAAGATGGATGGATCATCAGAGGAAACCACGATGTGGTGACCCTCTGCCATCAGGACTGCAGCAGGATGGTTCCTGAGATCTGATACTAACATCAGGACCTTGAAGAGGTACATAGCTGAGATAAGTAAATACTGCCATTTTATCCATGTGTGTGTGTGTGTGTGTGTGTGTTACATATCTTTAGGCACCAAGCAAACACATTCCTCTTCTCCCAAGTCTTTGGCTAATTAAACAATCTATTGCCTTCTAAACTGTGGAGGGGGCCTCAAAGGGCATTTTGTTGTTGTTGTTGTTATGGTACGTATTTTGTGTTTTTATATTGTAAGCAGTTCTGTGATCTTCAGATAAAGGGCGGTATAGAAATTTAAACAACAACAACAAAACAACAATAAATCCTGCCTCATAGGCAGCACTCTAGAAAATTACAACACTTCTGTGGCTCAATCCTATGCATGCATTCTTGCAAGTAAGTCCACTGAGTCCAATGGAACTTCTTCCACACAAGTCTACATAGCCTTTAATTGTATGCACTCTTAAATGAAGGAGACTGTCCCAAGTAAATAGAAGAGTTTGGATTTGATATCCCGCTTTATCACTACCCTAAGGAATCTCAAAGCGGCTAACAATCTCCTTTCCCTTCCTCTCCCACAACAAACACTCTGTGAGGTGAGTGAGGCTGAGAGACTTCAGAGAAGTGTGACTAGCCCACGGTCACCAGCAGCTGCATGCGGAGGAGCAGGGAATCGAACCCAGTTCACCAGATTACAAGTCCACTGCTTTTAACCAGTATACGACACTGGCACACTGGGCAGCATCTTTCTCCAACTAAAATCAGCAGGATTTCAAACTGTTGAAGACAGTACACAGATGTCCTGACAGTCTTGTGGTACCTTACAGCATAAGCTTTTGAGGATTACAGTCTACTTCATCAAATATATGAAGTATAATTATTTACTCCTCTCCCCCAAGCTTTAAAATAATGTATATACCCTGCAATTATATATATATCTATCATGCATCATTATTATTTTGATCAGTAGCATCATCCTTGCTTAAACACACACTTACACATGTAAACACACCTCAGGATTAATCCTGCTATCAAAGACAGATTACAGGGCTAGGCTCCCTTCTGTGTGAACAGTACCTGGTTAGAAATAGGGCAGACTTCTATAGGAATATCCATCTTCAAAGCCAAATTCTTAGCTTCTGGGTGCTTGGTGATGGCAAATCCATGGCCAATCCTGCTGGTGTTCAACAGCAGAGCATCGAACAAATTTCTATCTACAGAGGTGCCTTCCCAGTCTGAGTGATAAAGAGAATTCTTACATCAATATAAAACCACAAAATGGTTGTCACAATGGTCCCAAATACATAGAGGGAAAACCCAGTTAAGTTGTCTTCTGAAAGAGTAATGTTATGTGAGGCCTAAAAAGGGACTGCCAGAACTTTTCTGTGGTCTAGTTTGATGTTTTTTCATTATTTGCTTTGTTGGTTTTTTGTTTTCTTTCTGCCACATCTCATTTTACCAACCATGTGAGTCAAGTTAAATCACATGCCTAAAGCGGCCAAGTAGATTCATGGCCATGAATCCCAAAATCCTGCCTTTGCATCTGGCACTCTTGAGGATTTAATGCCTCCTGTGCACATCAATAGCATGTTTAAAGTGGCCCACTCCACTCAAAATGGCAAACCATTCTGTGCTTGGTAAAGCAAAGTACAGTGGTACCTTGGTTTTTGAACGTCTTGGAAGTCAAATGCTTTGGTTTTCGAATGCCGAAAACCCGGAAGTAACTGCTTCGGTTTTTGAACACTTTTCGGAAGTTGAACGTGCCACACGGTTTCCGTATTGAGCTTTTAATGCAAATTAGCCACTCAGATTTCATCCAATACCTAGGATCAACCAACAGCAAACCCTTAACCACCCGATGAATGGAAAGGGTGCCTTCTTTCCGTTATCAATGTTTCAAGGCTTTATTGCCATGGTACTAGAAAAACCTTTCGATTTCCGACAACCATGTTTCACTGTAACTATATTGCAGAAAGTTGGCAAACCTGACCATGTGACCCAATCTTCCTCCCCGAAAACTCCTCTGACATCTTAGTAATAGCTCAGCCGACACTACTGTATGAGTCGGCATTTTCTGTTTTGTTGCAGCACAGATGGAGCAGCAGATTGCCACCCTGCTAAGTCTCTGTGAGCAGAGGCTCCTATGTGGCAAAGCATTCTAGGACTGCTTATGCAAAACAGTAATCCACGTGAACTCTGGCAGACGCCACAGGCTTTGGCAAAATGTTATTTGCTACTCAACATGCCTATCACGAGGGGGTTTGCCAGTACATTTCAGATGACTGGTACAAGCACAATCCTATGCATGCTTGATCAAAGATAAGTCCAGCTGAGTTCAATAGGTCTTTCTTCTATGTATGTTGTGCCTAGGATTGCAGCTGTAATATTAGATTGGTCCACTGACACACACCAACGTATGCCAAGACACACACACAAAGGCAGAATACTGTTTATCTAGTTTCATCAAAAAGGTCATCAGAAAGTTCTGAACATAATGATTTAAGAAGAGCCCTGCTGACTCAGACCACAGACCCAACTAGTCCCGCTTCCTGTTCTCAAAGTGGCCAACTAGGTGACTATAGCAAATTCACAGACAAGGCCTGAGTATAACAACACTCTTTCCACCTGTACTTCTCCTTACTGTGGGATTGCCATATTTTGAAAGGTAAAAACCAGGACACCCCAAAAGTTGTTGAGCTATTTTTAGGATGACCATGAAATTGTTGAGCTTTCTTTTATAAAACGGCAAAAAAACAAACACCACATTTTTCGATTGACTTGCCAAAGATCCGCCTTTCGAAAATTTCCTCAAGACATAAATTTCACCTTTGAAATCCTAGGGATACAGCAGCCCTACCTTAAGGCTCAGTTCTGATTCTCTTAAGAACATAAGAAGACAGACTCTCCAAAGTGTCCCTATTTTCCAGGGACATCCCTGATTTAGAGAAGCCATCACAGTTTTTTATTTGATCCTGGAATGTCCCACTTTTCCTTAAGATGTCCCTATTTTCATTGGAGAAATTTTAGAGGGTATGGAGTTATCTGATCCCTGAGCTGTCTGAAGGTAATCCTGTATAGGGAAGGTTTTTTTTAATGTTTAATGTTTTATTATGTTTTTATATATGTTGGAAGCTGCCCAGAGTGTGGGGTATAAATAGTAAAATTATCATTGTGGAATGGGACGTCCCTATTTTCATCGGAGAAATGCTGGAGGGTATGAGAAGGGCCCTGAAGGATCAGGACAAGGGGCCATCTAGTACAGCATCCTGTTTTTACAGTGGCCAACCAGATGTATAGGGGAAGCCAACAAACAAAACCCAGGTCGGGGGGTGGCAGCCAGGTACACCTGGCCTGGGCCTTGGAGGGCTCCCAAGGGCTGGCTGCTTTTCTGTTTGAGTTTATACCTTTATTCTAACAAGACTCCTCAGATAAGCTCTGCACAGGCCTGGCAAAACCTGAGTGCAACTGCACTCTCCCCACCTGTTATACCCAGCAATTGGCATTCAGAAGCATACTGGCTCTAACAGTGGAGGTAGAACATAGCTATCGTTGCTAGTAGATAAATAGCAGCTGCCGCCGCCGCCACAGCAGCATGTAGGGTTGAATAGAAAAGCTTGGATCAGATGATCTATTTGTCTCTTGCAAGCCTATGGCCCCCTACCCATATAAGTGTCACAAACAGTAAGGCAGTGAAGGAAATTGATGCATGCATTTTGGTCGGTTACACACACGCACGTGCTTTGCAGACATAGATTGGATTTGAAGGCTTTTAAAGAACTTCCTGATGGCACTACTTTGGAAGGTGATGGACTCTCCTTTGTTAGGATTTTTTTAAAGTAGAGGCTGGATGACCACCTACCATGGACATGTAGCAATAGATTTCCTGTGTTGGCAAGAGGCTGAACTAGATGGGCTTTAGGGTTCCTTCCAACTCTTATGCTTCTATATACAAATCTTTATTACAATTTGAATATCCATTCAATGTGTTTCCATCCATTCAACACTGTTTTCAATAGGACTTACTCACAGATAAGTGTTTGTAGGATTTCAGTCCTCATCTTCTAGTTACCCCTTACTCTTATTTATTTCGTTTAACAAAATTTATATATGCTTACTTGACAGAAGACCTCAAATCATTAGTGGGATGTGCCCGTACTTACTTGTCTCACCAGCATGAAAGAAATATGGCAATTTACTTCCCAGAGTTTCCGGAAGGGTCAAGGCATCCTTTAGTTCCCAGAGGGCCTTTCCTCCATCTTCCCAGCCAACCTGAGAAGGAAATTGCTCTTGATAAGCATTTAATGCTTAGATCTTCTATAGATCAGGAGGAAGAACCTGCACTGAACTGTCATCATAACTTACGTTTATTTTAAAAATCATTTCAACCCGATGTTCAATTTGTGAAATAAGGTAAAAATAATCTGCAGCCATAACTTTGCAGCAACAAGCATCTTTTTTTATTTCCTTTGTTTCTTAAGTGGACAGAACTACACAAGGCACTGAAACATAGGTAAGGAGACCTGCTTACCCATGTTACACTGCACAAGTGAAACATTTCTCATTGAACTGCTCTGAACAGCCCTACCATGAAGCAGAGTGAGGTAGCTGCCTCAGGCGGCAAATTCTGAGAGGTAAAAAGTGGCTAGAAAGGTATGCCGGGTGGTCTGTCCTGCAGCCCCTAAGCTAGCTTGCTGCTGCAACATGGCTGTTGCGCCAATGAGGCGACATGAGATGGCCCACCTCAGGCAGTATGTTGCACAGGGGCGGGAAATCCCGATCTGCCCTTGGCAGCAGCTTCTAACTCAGCTTTGGGTAAACTGAAGATGCGGCTGAAAGCCATAACCAGGGAGCTGCATTGCTGTTGGTATCCTTCCACCCTGCAGACATGCCTTTCTGCCTTAAGATCATGGCAGGGTTATAGGGCTCTGGACAAACTTCAGATCCCTTCCAGTTCTTGAATTCCATGATTCCATTTCTTACTTCACAAGGATTAGTAGGAAGTATTTCCAAGGAATGCCATACATCAAATATATTTCACCTCAGATGCTGCAGCAATTTGTCATGGCCTCAGCTATATGGTCAAAAGGTACATTACATCGCATGCAAGAGAGTTTTGATAGGATTGTAGCCCAAGGAAACCTGTGTCCACCACCATAAATATCATCTTATTGTGCCCTGCTTTCCTTCTAACACAAAAAACAAAACCAAGTAAGAAATATAGGAGATTACCAAATCAAAGCCTGCCATAGTTTCCGGGAACTCTGCTCTGAGTGCCATAGCTGCACGGACAGCTTCTTCAATTTGGGGGACATTCTCATTTCTGAAAATTAACAGGAAGAGAAGAGTACCAAGAGAGGGAGAAAAAAACTAGGTACAGTGGTGCCTCGCAAGACGAAATTAATCCGTTCTGCGAGTCTCTTCGTCTTGCGGTTTCTTCGTCTTGCGAAGCACGGCTATTAGCGGCTTAGTGGCTATTAGCGGCTTAGCGGCTATTAGCGGCTTAGCGGCTTAGCGGCTATTAACGGCTTAGTGGCTTTAAGAAAAAGGAAACAAACTCGCAAGAACTCGCAAGACGTTTCATCTTGCGAAGCAAGCCCATAGGGAAATTCGTCTTGCGGAACGACTCAAAAAATGGAAAACTCTTTCGTCTAGCGAGTTTTTCGTCTTGCGAGGCATTCGTCTTGCGGGGCACCACTGTACTGTCTAAAAAGGCTATTTTCAAATTATGAATCGGCCACTGGATATTCAGATGTTTTCTGTTACATGCATTGGTGTGTACATAATTCTAGCAATGAGTCCACTCTGAAAGCGCACCACATTCACCATCTTTTGTGCACAGATACAAACGTCTCCTGATCAAACTCACAGGAAATCTGTACTTCCCATTTGCTTCAGAGTTGAATTTGCACAGCACTAATTGTGTAGTCCTTGTGCCAACCACAAAGCTGACTTCTCCCATTTTCAGAGCAGCTTATTTTTAAAGAGTTTTAAATTCTCTGACCAAAATTTGCAAGTTGTTTCAGAAAGAAAGAAATACATAACATGGCCAGCTGACTTAGAGCACAAGGGAAAAGGAGCAAAGAGGATGAGGCAATCTGCATTTGAATCAGAGGTCTTACATCAGTGGTGAGGAACCTCCAGTGCCCAGGCCTCCCCATTCTGCCCGCAATGCTATTTTGGCCAAACCACGCCCACTTAGCCTAACCCTGGCATCTTATATGATGTCAGGTGAGGGGCAGGTAAAGACACAGCTGAACCAAAAGGGGATTTGCAGCTGATTGGTGCCACTTCATTAGCACTTGTGAATCGTGTTTTGCAAGTTCCCTAAATTAGCTGATCTGTACGGAACCTAAATATTTCTCATTAAAACAGTTGAGTTAGGAGGATTTTTTAAAAGTGCTATTTCTGATGGACAGAGCAGAAGCTCAGTACTAGCCACTAACCATCTGAGTCAACAAAAGATGTAATACGGAGACTTTTCAATTTTTTTATTAGACTACTGTCAAACAGAGCTCTTTGCATGCCGAAGGCACACAGTTTTGATTTTAATACAATCATAGGTATGAAAATTATGTTTTTATATTGATTAAATTAAATTCCCCTCAGAAGAACTTAAACTCTTCTGCATGGGTAATAGTGGATGGGGAAATGAGTATAAGACAATATGTTGTATATGGTAGCATAAAGTTGCTGAGGCTCTCCTCCACTATTTGTTCAGCTGTCCTTACTTTCATAAGCAGGGGGAAATTTAGCTGAGAGTTTGACTACAGTGTCACCAGCAGAAAATATATCTGTAACCTGTTGATGTTCATAGAGGTCCAAAGCTAAAAGGGGTTCATTTTGAAGTTGCTGCACCTAAGCTGTGTCAGAGATTATCAAATACTAAAGGCAGCAGACAACAAGGCATGAATGGAACTGCCTTAAAATAAGTCAAAGTATTCTTCCACAAAATGGGGCAACATCTCATCTTAGTTTGAGCCAATCCAAGTAGATTAATATCCCATGCACCCTGTGCTAACATCAAGCCTCTACCCCACTCCCTCTCATGACCTTCCAAACACCCACCCTCCTACACACCTACCTATGAGTCTCCAAATCCCTCCCTCTTCTCTCCCAGCCAAACTCCTATCCATCCACACAGTTGACTGTGGCTCCTACAGCAGCAATAAGTAGAATAGAGGAAATAGAATAGAGGGAGGGAAATTGCTTCCCCCTTCTGGAACATGATGTGCTGCTATGCATTAAAATCTGAGCCAGAGAATAATTGCAGAATCGTAATGTTCACTTCATATTTGAAGCAAACAATACAACTCTCCAAGGTTCATGTTTCTGAGCCAGAGGATACAAATATTGGCATCATCACAAGGCACTAATATCATAGATTGTTTCAATGAGCACAAATGAGGTGGGCTTCTTTTCATTCAATTTTCCGAAGATGTTTTTGTTAATTTTTCTGAACTGAATGTATTTTTTTCATCTATAATGACCTGCAGTTTCTTTCAACAATAAAATGTGAATTAGATAAGTTCAAATATATGTGTTCTGGCAAAGTCATCTAAATATTCCTTACCTGTGTGCTGTGTATATAATCTTTGCACTAACAAAGTCTGGGTGGTCCTTTACAAACTGTTGGGTTGTGCTTTGATAAACTGCCATAGACCAGGATTTGTCATGCATGGTACCATCCAACTCATATACCTGTGGGCAGAATATGCAAACATAAAGGTAAAGGCAAATGAGGGGGCAGTCTGTCATAAAACAAGAAAAGAACAATCGGCACCAGAACTCCTCAAGTTTTGTTCCTGGCTGCAGTTTCAAGCCCACTTTCAACCATGAGTCCAGCTTTGGACAATAAGCTAAGCCAAACCTTGCTTTAGCTCAGTACAGGAATAAAAACAACTGAGGAGGAGCAAAGTGGCTGCAAACTCCCCTCAAGGAACCTGCACATTCAAGCAGAGAGTTTATCCACACTTCCTCTTGTCCCCCTGCTTTCCCCCAGGGTTTTCTGTATGTTCCAATTTAGAATTAAACAGTGGTTTTTCACTGGGAAAGGAAGGGGGGGACTGCTCAGACCAGTGCCTAGAAAGTGTTTTATTTATAATTTGTATAATTTATACAAAATTCAATTACATAAAATGATAGGAACGTAATGAAGTATTGTTGAAGCAGAAAAACATAGAATCATGGAACTGGAAGGGACCCCAAGGGTCATATTTCTAGTGCAACCCCCTGCAATGTAGGAAACTCAGCTAAATCATCCATGACAGATGGCCATCCAACCTTTGCTTAGAAACCAAAGTCCAGAACCTTCCAAGGGAGAACCATCTTCCATGTATTATAAAAATGTATTATAAAAATTATAAAAATGTATTCCATGTATTATATAATGAGGTTTTGGACTACTATCCTGTATCATCTCAAAACAATTAGAATTCTACATATTCCTGAAAGATACTGGGTTTATTTAGGCATAAGAGTTAACCACTTTTTGTTTAACTGACATTAGTTTAAATTATCTCTAGACAAGGTTGGAGCAGAGCTAATGGGCAGATGTTAGTGCCATAGTTACCAGTCTGGGAAACAAGACATTTTAGGTACCCATAATAATACAATTTTTTAAGTAGTACAACAGGTTTACTCAGGTATTGGTCACAAAATATCTCCCTGGATGGGAAGAGGAGCCCCAGGAAGGAAGGAAGGAAGGAAGGAAGGAAGGAGCATTACCGGTGGCAGCATAGCCCTTATCTCAGCATATTGTATGTTATCTTCATAGAGCTCCAACAGCCCCTGGTAGAAATAGGCCTTGAACACTGGTGCATAGCTGATAAGGCCAGAAGCAGCGATGAAGGCATTTTCAAATCTCTTCCAGATGAAAGTCTGAGAAGGGTAGGTCACCTCTGGAATATCTGTTACTAGAGTGAGGTTGCTCAACAAACTGGAGGTGGGTGGGGCAGAGAGAGAAAGAAAAAGAGAGAGTGAGTTGTAAGACTTTTGTGTCTGTGATCTCAATTGACAGAATCCTAAAACACTTTCTACTGACTACAACCTCAAGGCTAACCATATTCATACAAAAAATTATTATTTACCCTAACCATAGCTGTCAACATTTCCCTTTTTTAAAGGGAAATTCCCTTACTCCGAATAGGATTCCTCACAAGAAAAGGGAAAAGTTGACAGCTATGACCCTAACACATGTATGGTACAGTCCTAATGGGTGTTAATTTATTTAGAAATCAATTCCTGTAATTTAATGGGGCTTATTCAAGTGTATTTAAAATTGCAGCCTTAACAGCATAATCCTGTGCATGTTTACTGTGTTCAGTGAGGCTTACTCCCAGGTAAAGTGTGCACAGGTTTGCAGGCTAAAGTGTTTGCTGGCAGTTTTGAATGAATATTTATTTATACCCCACCTTTCACCAAATGGTCTCAGGATAGCTTACAAAAATACAACAATAAAAATAAGTATAATATACCATTAAAATAATAAAATAAACACCACCAAACCAGAATATCAAAACACCACCACACAACTGCAATGTGCAGTAATGCATAGCCATGTAGGATGTGTTTGATAAGCCCGGGCCAATACGTAAGTGTGTGATGGGCTTTGGGCTCAGAATTTAGCTGACCCAAGCCCAACTGAGAAAGCGGACTTTTTTCTTTTCTTTTTGCCCGTTCAACCTCTTCGAGGAATCTCACAGTCTACTGTTTTCCTACAGCAGTGCAAACTCTCCCAAGCCCTTGTTGAGTGCACCAGCTTAATCATATGTGTGGCAAATGGAGATCTACACCATACATTTTAAGGACAGCCAATGCACATTTAAAGTACATGACTTCCCCCAAAGAATCCTGGGAATTGCAGTTAGTTAAGGATGTTGGGTATGGCACATCTGTGAGGAGGCAACTACAGTTCCTAGGATTCTTTGGGCAAAGTTATGAGTTTTTAATGTGCATGGGATGTGCTTTAAGAGTACAATGTGGATCTGCCTACGGTGACAATAAAAATATAATACTTAGCTAGAGTCCACATGAATAATTCGCCAACGCCATACACTGTGGAGGACAGCATGAGAAGGAAAAGAACAAGTGATTAAACTTAACAGAGTGCTGTGTCTATAATAAGGCCGTGGGCCCAACTTTAGAGAGGACAGTCTTCTATTTTGAAGGGCTGTCCTTTATTTGAAAATGTATTCTATTTAAGGGTTGCCTAGTCCTGTTGTGGGGCATATATTGTCTATCATACATGGACACATCTATTAAGTGCATCCCAGCCTAATAATTCCAGTTTTCCTGCTAACTGATTCTTGTTAATTATTACAGAAACAAGTTTGAACATTTCCCTATTTATACCAAACACTCAGAAACAATTTTTAACAACCTAATATAGATCCTGTTTTGTAGCTAATGATTTCTGTGTTCACTGAACATTGCTGTTGTTGCTTGAGAGGGACTATAAAACAAGCGTTTTCTCATTTGCGGCTTTTTCTCTGCCTTGTTCAGAGTAAGAACAACATGCCTGTCAGCTGTGGCTTGGCATATATCACACACCCATGTGAATAATATGCAAATATGCTCATTGTATGCCACAAAATATGCAAATTATGTCTGAGAGACACTGGCTCGTGCTGTTTCTCCATCAGGACCCTTAATAATGAACAAGTTGCTTGCTTCTGGCCTAGGCTTCCCTCATTCCTTTGCTATGACAACAGTGGCCACTTCCAAAGAGCAGTTTATGTTTGGTGCTTTGCCTAATCTCAGCCTAAGGAATTAAAAGTACACATCATCACACATGTGAGATCTGGATTGAATTCATACTTATTATCTTTGTCTAAAAATCTTTATCGTTCATCAGGAAAATTGTGTTCCTACAGCTTGCAAGTGGCAGAGTTGCCAATTGCCATAAAACAAAGTAGCATTGGGCCTGGTCAGCAGATGGGATGGGAGATCACAAAATGGAGTCTGTTTGCCACAAATTTAATATGCCAGCTGCTGTTATCCTACCTAAGGAGTTCCTTCCTGTGCTGGGCTGCAGCTATTTTTCACTCCATTTGGTAGTTTATTACTTTTATTAAACACATTTTTCGGGGGGGGGGGGTCTTATGTATAAACAAAGAATTCCAGTATGCCTACCTCATCCAGGGTGATTTCCCCCCCCCCCAAAAAAAACACAACTGCCCACCAGTTGAGGAATTCAGAGTTAAGTTTCCACAGCAACATTAACTCTGTCCTTTTCTGCATGACAATGGGGGTCTTTCGTTACATTATCACACAAAAGATCGGGCAAGGCAAGAAAGTACTCTGTAAACAATGCCACATAATGGAAAGGAAATGGACCATAGCTAGAGAAGGGGACACAGAGCAGCATTTTCAACTAGTTTATATATCTGGCAGCAACAGGCATTTCAGGCCTATTCTGAGGAGAACTGCTTATGTGGTGACATAGCAACCAGGTGACCCTCAAAACCAGGAATCAATGAAGTGCCTGAGGCATCTTTTGCAAACTTATCTGAAGTGCAAGAGCCAAATAATGGGAATTTTAAAAGACAGAATCTCCTCAAGCTCAGGGGACAGTGCAAGGTAGGGGGAGGGGAGGATGAGAAAGATCTCATGGTAAATTGGGAGGCAGGAAGATACTATGTTATGTCTTTTTCACAAGCCTTGGGCAGCATGGTCCTCTGTGGGGCGGAGAGGGCAGAAGTTTGATCCTATGCATGTTTACTCAGATCTCGCCATAATCAACAGGACTTACTCCCTGATAAGTGAGCATAAAACTTCAGCTTTACTATAGCACCAATATGTGTTAAGTATACACTCACTGTTAACTTTTGAGTTAACTTCTAAAGTCTGCAGTGTTCTGGCACTACAGTTTTTGTAAATCAAGCTGCCCTGGTTTTCTCCTCCTTCACCATATACAGCAAACATGAGGAAAGTAAGAGTACATTTGAGATAAAAAATAAAACAAGCCCCCAACCCCATTTGAATTACGGTAATTGGCTGTTGCTGCTGCTTTGTAAGTAAGAGGATGTAAAGCAGTTGCTATGGCTAGCACATTCCAGAGAGAGGCGCTATTTTCCTGCCTCCAACCTTCATCTCCTGTAAGCAGAATGCAAAATGTATGTAAAATATGATTTAAACATGGCTGTCTGCCAGGTCTTGGAACGACAGAATTCAGATTAATTAATTCACTGAATTAATTCAAAAATATTTCAGGTACACCTATACTTTATGGTAAAACTCTTTATTGGGGATTCTGCTTTCAACCTCCCTCCATCAGGAGAGCTGTTCATTTATTCCTGCTCTCTGTTCCCTGTTAATTAACTAGTTCTTGATCTACAAGAAGATCTCATCTCTTATTCTATGACTGCTAAACTTACTCAGGAGTCTTTGGTGATGTACTTTGTTGAAAGCTTTTTGAAATGTCAGGTACACAATGTCATCTAGGTAATCGCTATTTATATGCTTGTTGATACTCTCATGAGGCAGGACTTGTTCTTTCATATGCTTGGTTGCTTTATCTTTAACAAGAGTATCCCGGGGACAGAAGTTGAGCCAACAGGCATGTAATTTTCAGGATCCCCTTTTAAAAAATTGGTGTCATATTGGCTTCTTTACAGTCCTCAGGTACAGAGGCTTATTTTAGGGACAAGTTACATATTTCTGTTAGAAGACCAGCAACTTCACATCTGAGTTCTTTGAGAGCCCTTGAGTGGGTGCTGTCTGGACTAAACAATTTGTCAATGTTTATTTGTCTGTTAGGCCTCAAACTTGGTCTCTCACCACCACTATTTGCCTCAGTTTCTCAGACTCCTTCCTGTGAAAGTTAGTTCAGGTACAGGCAACTGCCCTATATCTTCTGCTGTGAAGATAGATGCAGAAAAGTTGTTGCTTCTCTGCAGTCTCATTATCTTCCTATAGCACACCTTTTACTCCCTTGTCATCCAAGGGTCCAATTGGTATAAAGAAGGCCTTGCATTAACAGAGCAAAGTGGAGATTCAGATGGAATAAAATTGTAGCACATACAGTATATAATGTATTTAAATAGCAACCAGCTCTTGCTCCAGTTGAATAGGCAGAATAAGAGTGGAATTCATTTATGACTAATCACAAGCTTTCACCTACCTCTTATCAAATCCAGTTATATCCTTCAGGTTATTGCGGTAGGTCTCTAACAGCACCCACTCAGAGCAATCAGGAGGCAGATCCTTGGGAGGAAGAGGACTGGAGAACTTGAAGCGGACATCCCATAAAGGGGTGAAGCAGATGTAACAGTTTGGCAGGTAGCTGGCATTGTACACTAGCCAGTCAACACTCAATATAGCATAGTCATGCAAGTGTAAAATACCACCTGTGGAAATGGAGGAGACAAGTGTAACAAAACAAGACAGTGCTTAAATAGTACTTGGAAAAACTGAAGTTATCTATATTGTCATGGTATTAGTGATGATGTGACTGTGATGGGATAAGCCAGGTCAACAATACATTTTCCTGCCTGAGAAAAGACAAGAATATCCCCCAATCCCATTCCACATACAGGAAGCACATTTACTGACATGAATCTTACTTCAACACTGGTGAATGGACTGCATCCTCCAGCACAAGTAACCATCAAAATTAAAAGTTTTGCAGAGTGCTGGAAAGAGTTTCAAACCGTCAAAAATGACAAAAGAAGATGATCCAGTTCAGTCTCACAGGCAATACCAACATTTGAGCGAAGCTGATGGGTTTTGGCAAAAGCTCAGCCCACACTGATGCTTGGATAGAAATTGGCTGGTAGCCCTTGGGAATATTGTACTTCTACACAGATGTATATATATATTATTTTGGCCATATTAAAAAAATGGAAAATATTAAATAAATATATTAAAATTATAAAAAACAAGGCAAAGTATTAATAATTTTAAAATTAATACTTTACATTGTTTTTAACTGTATATTTAATAGTATACTTTTATTGTGTTTTATGTGCTTTGTTTTCTTCTTATCCTCTCTACTGGTCATTGACTATATATATATATATATATATATATATGCTACACAGATGGATTGTGCTCCAAATGGACTCATAGGCCACTGGAAGAGGCTGTAGCTCAGTGGTAGAGCAGATGCTTTATATGCAGAAGGTCCTAGGTTCAATCCCCAGCATCTCCAGGTAAGGCTTGGAATAGATTTCTACTTGAAACATTGCTGTGGCAATACTCATGTAAGTAAATTGCTCACCTAAACTATGGGTGGAGATGAACTTTGTGTTTATGCAGCATTCACACCATGTGCCCCAATATCCATTAAATATTTTAATAGGTCTGAAGCTCCAAACTCAATATAAGAGAAATAGAAAGCTATCATTTGCATTTTTCCAATACCCTACTTTAAAAGACTTGAAAAATGATTCCACAGCACTAACATCAGAAATAAGCTTCTGCCTGCTGTCTTTTAAGGAGCAAGCATATCTCTGTGCTTGTCAATGTATGATGTCAGGCGACCGACTGGTGGGTGTGGTTTGCCCAACATGGTCTCACAGGCCAAATCAGAGACCTGACAGGCCTAATAAGACCTACCAGCCACAGGTTCCCCACTCCTGTTATACAGAATCTTCCACTATAATCACATGAGCCTCTGTAAAAGTTCACTTAATACAACACCCGGAGAGATGCCATAAGAATGCAAGTTGGAATTACTACCTTTGGGCATCTTTTGTAAGATGCTGAAAACATTACTTTGATCAATGAGGTGTTTGGCTTTGAAGAAATGCATGCTGGGTGGAAACAGTCCTGTTTTCATAGCTTCAGCTACTTCCTTCTCTTTGAGATGCATGAGCTTCTTATTGGCATCTTCTTCAAGTTCTGTTAGCACAAGGTTTCCACCTACACGACTGGCATTCTCCTTTTCAATTAGTAAGTCCCGCTCATTCAATAATGGCATGGATACACAAAGAGAAACCCAACTGAAAACGATGATCACTGGCCATTTAGTTCTCTGAGCTACTTGAGACATCACTTGAGGGATGCACCTAGAAAACACAGACGCAAAAATAAATGATAAAAATTAAACACACTATAGGTGCAAAATAGGGCCAGTGAAAGGTATTGCCTGAGAAGAGTTCAAGGGACCACACAGAGAGGCCAGGAAGGCCATATTTGGAACCCTGCCTAATGTTCACCAAACCTGCCTTTAAGTGGTGCATTGATTACAATACACAAAATTCCATGGGTAACAAATCTGGATTTAATACTCAGTAATTAATTAGAAGATATATATGCCATTTTTGAGAGTAAACTCTTTCAAGGCAGCTTGCGCCAGAAGTGGTTTAGTCATGCTGACCACATGACCCAGAAAGCTGTCTGTGGACAAATGCTGGCTCCCTCGAAAGCGAAATGAGCGCTGCAACCCCATAGTTGCCTTTGACCGGTCTTAACTGTCCAGGGGTCCTTTACCTTTACCTTTTACAATAAAATACAGAAATGCAATAAAAATTTAAAAGCAATGAATACAAAAGATACAATGAAAATAAAATACTGGAAAGTCAGCAACTAATAAAACAGGCAGCCCACCAAACATTGCTAAAATGTAATCAAAACCAATAGCAAGAGCAAGGTAACAATAATGAATTAAAAAAACATCAAGGGAAAGTTGGCAAAAAGGATGTATCTTCAATATCTTTCTGAAAGCCCTGTAGGGTTGTGGTCTGGCAGAGTAGTGTTAACCACATGTGAGAGGGCTTGGAAGTTAAGTACATTTCCCCCTCATTGTCTATTGTGTCCTCACATATACTTCAATATTTGGGCTCCTTCTTAATGTATCCCATGGCTACTACTTATTGCAACAACTTTCTGCTATCCTCTGCCCATCCTACAGTCTAGAGAGCAGCAACCTGATCTTGTGGCAAAGAACCTTGGGAAAACTGACTCAGTCAGGAGCAAGCACACTGCATTTATAGAAAACTCACTCTGCTTGTAGTGAAAGATTACATGAAAGCCTCACACAGAAACACACCTGCAATTCACTTACTGTTGACTTTTCCATCCTTGCATATAGCACTCAAAATGCTTTCACAAGCAGAAAGTCAGAGCCCAGTCAGCAAATAGAAAAGCAGATTGGTGCTACAAAACTGTTCTAATATGGGACAAATGAAACAGAACCTATTCTAATTCCACTGTAAATAGTTAATTGTCCCTGTATTTAAGACACACACCACTGCTCAAGCAAGGGAAGACAGTGTATACACCATATATTTAAAGCACACTCTCCAAAGTATCATGGGAACTACAATTTCCAGTGCCCTTAACAAACTGCAGTTCCTAGATTTCGAGGGGGGGGCATGTTTTAAAGGTGTGGAGTTTATGAAGAGTTAGGGCAAAGAGGAACTACTGTTTACATATACGCTTATGTAAGAGGCCTATTAAATGCAGTGAGACTTACTTACATGTACAAAATTAGGATGTATGGAAACATCACTTCAAACAGTCATGGCTGCACCCAAAGAATCCTAGGAACTGCAATTTATTAAAGATGCTGAGAGTTCTTAGGAGTCCCCTGTTCCTGTCACAGAGCTACAATTATCACAGCTCCCTAGGAAGAGAGACTGATTGCTAAACTACTCTTCAAACTGTAGCTTTGTGAGGGGAAATAAGTGTTTCCTAACAGCTCTCAGTTCCTTTAGCAAAGTACATTTCCCAAGATTATTTAGGGGAAGCTATGACTGTTTAAAGTGGCATAATTCTGCTTTAAATGTGTAGTGGGGACAGGGCCTTAGTGCTATGGGCACATCAGTCCCAATCCAGCGCAGGAAGAAATGCCTTGCTGGTCTCTGGCACTTTTCTGTCTTAAAAAAGGGAAACATCGGTGCACCCTCACTCTCCTAGGAATCGAGAGAGAGTAAAAGTTGTGTAGAAAAATAAAGGATTAATAAACAAAGGAGATTTTATATTTTGGTTTATGCTGCTGTTGCTTTTATTTTGTAAGGACTTCATGGAATGCCTCAGTGTGTCTGGCTGTTAACCAGAGGTTTGGTGATTTGAACCTACCTAGGGGGATGCTTGTTGGCAGGATTCCTGCATTGCAAGGGGCTGGACTAAATGACCCTTGGAGTCCCTTCCCACTCTACATTTCTATGATTCTATGTTTTGTCTAAAGAAGTAAACAAGGTGCAAACAGAGGGCAGAGTTATGTCAATCACCATCACCAATGATGTTATGGGCACTAGCCAATAGGCATCCATAATGACACTTACACAACCAGAGTCCAAACTGCACAAACTATGGCATCATATATATGAGCCATGGGCTGTCAGAGTAGCTTACACCACTTAAATTTTGTTTGTTAAAACAAGTCAGATCACTTCCTGGTGCAACTGGACTTCTCCGTGACCCTTCCCCTCTGCAGGGAGGCGGGACCGATTCAGATGGTCCGCCCCCGCCACTTAATGGATCCAAATGGTTTCCAGAGAGTGGTAGGGGATGTTTTATCCCATGTTGATGGCCTTTCAGCTGATTCCCTGGTGGCCCGCTGGAATGTGGAGTTAACCGGGGCTATTGACTGTTTGGCTCCAAAGCGCCCTCTCCGATTGCATGGAGTCCGGATAGCCCCATGGTTTTCCACGGATCTGAGGGCAATGAAACAATCGTTGAGACAGCTAGAGCGCCGGTGGCGGATAACCCATTCTGAATCTGACCGGACACGGGTTAGAGCTCAATGTCGAGCCTACCAAGTGGCGATAGCGACGGCGAAGAAGACTTTCTTCACCACCTCTATTGCATCTGCGGAAAACAGCAGCAGGAGACTCTTTCAGGTGGTTCGCAATTTAGCGGAACCGCCTGCTCCATCAGGGCCCAGTAGCGGCCACATGATCTCCTGCAATGACTTTGCAAAGTTTTTTGCAGATAAAGTCGCTCAGATTCGAGAAGAGGTAGACTCCACCGTGGGAGCAGGGCCGGGCGGGAGAGTGCTAGAGTCCTGTCTAGTCAAGTTGTGTGGGATCAATTCCAATCTGTTACCCCGAGGATGTGGACAGGCTGCTTGGACGAGTGAAACCAACCACTTGCCTCCTTGATCCTTGCCCATCCTGGCTTATAAAAGCTAGCCGGGAAGGACTGGGCGATGGGCTTCGTGGGGTGGTGAATGCTTCCCTCCGTGAGGGAGCCTTCCCAGACCCGCTGAAAGAGGCGGTTATTAAACCGCTTCTTAAAAAGCCATCTTTAGATGCAGCCACGATAGCCAACTATCGCCCAGTCTCAAATCTTCCATTCTTGGGCAAGGTGATTGAGCGAGTGGTTGCTGAACAACTCCAGGCACGCCTGGAAGAAGCGGACCATTTGGATCCCTTCCAGTCGGGATTCAGGCCTCATCATGGGACTGAAACTGCCTTGGTCGCACTGGTTGATGATCTCCGGCGGGCTAGGGACAAAGGTGAGAGCTGTTTCCTAGTTCTGCTGGATCTCTCAGCGGCGTTTGATACCATCGACCATAACATCTTTCTGGACCGTCTTGAGGGGCTGGGAGCTGGGGGCACTGTTATACAGTGGTTCCGCTCCTTCCTCCTGGGCCGTGTTCAGAAAGTGGTGGTGGGGGATGAGTGTTCAGACCCCTGGGCCCTCACTTGTGGGGTGCCTCAGGGTTCTGTCCTCTCCCCATGCTTTTCAACATCTACATGAAGCCGCTGGGAGAGATCATCAGGGGATTTGGGCTGGGTGTTCATCAGCATGCAGATGATACCCAGCTCTACCTCTCTTTCAAATCAGAACCAGTGAAGGCAGTGAAGGTCCTGTGTGAGTGCCTGGAGGCGGTTGGAGGTTGGATGGCGGCTAACAGATTGAGGTTGAATCCTGACAAGACAGAAGTACTGTTTTTGGGGGACAGGAGGCGGGCAGGTGTGGAGGATTCCCTGGTCCTGAATGGGGTAACTGTGCCCCTGAAGGACCAGGTGCGCAGCCTGGGAGTCATTTTGGACTCACAGCTGTCCATGGAGGCACAGGTCAAATCTGTGTCCAGGGCAGCTGTTTACCAGCTCCATCTGGTACGCAGGCTGAGACCCTATCTGCCTGTGGACTGCCTCGCCAGAGTGGTGCATGCTCTGGTTATCTCCCGCTTGGATTACTGCAATGCGCTCTACGTGGGGCTACCTTTGAAGGTGACCCGGAAACTACAACTAATCCAGAACGCGGCAGCTAGACTGGTGACTGGGAGCGGCCGCAGAGACCACATAACACCGGTCTTGAAAGACCTACATTGGCTCCCAGTACGTTTCCAAGCACAATTCAAAGTGCTGGTGCTGACCTTTAAAGCCCTAAACGGCCTTGGTCCAGTATATCTGAAGGAGCGTCTCCACCCCCATCGTTCTACCCGGACACTGAGGTCCAGCACTGAGGGCCTTCTGGCGGTTCCCTCACTGTGAGAAGCCAAGTTACAGGGAACCAGGCAGAGGGCCTTCTCGGTAGTGGCGCCTTCCCTGTGGAACACCCTCCCACCAGATGTCAAAGAGAACAACAACTACCAGGCTTTTAGAAGACATCTGAAGGCAGCCCTGTTTCGGGAAGCTTTTAATGTTTGATGTATTATAGTATTTTAATATTCTTTTGGAAGCCGCCCAGAGTGGCCGGGGAAGCCCAGCCAGATGGGCGGGGTATAAATAATAAATTATTATTATTATTATTATTATAAGTCATTATATAAAATGATCTCCATGTACTTGAACTTTCAGAAGTTGTGATTTCCCATAAGTGTTCTGAGCAGGCTACAGTAAAGGCCTGCCATGAACATTATATTCTGACTTGTTAATCACTATCATAGTCTGCCTATTTTACACAGATTTGTAATACATTCCTTAAGAAGTTCCAGGAAGAATAAACAATACAAATATATGATTGTGGTTGGAGCCTGGACAAACCAGGCAGGAATTCTTAAACTAATATAGTAAATATTTTTATGGATTTACTCATCCAGAGGTTCTAATCGCTAAATAAAAAAAACCCCAAATCCCTGCAATTAATAATCCTTCAATTAGGTTCTATCAGATGCTCCTAGAAATATGCTTCCATTTATGGAATGGAACTTCATCTGCAGGTAGACAAAACCTGGGACATTCCATCTCAGGATGCATTTCCAGGGGCTTATTTGTGCTAAACAGGATTGCTAATGAGCACTTTAGGCATATCATTTATTGCTTGAGAACAACAGTCAGGACTAGATCAGCCCCCGCTCCCTTTCTTATTCTAAGCTGTGCTTTATTTTGCTAAGCTTCTCTGCTGCTGACACAGGAATCTCACCCACCCAGAATAAACTAACAAAGAGCAAAAAAAGTCCTTTTGAAGTTGGCAAGGCTAGGCTGGGCAGGGTTGCAGCATTGTTGCTATAGACAAGACCTCTGAAGATCCCTGTTCTATATGACAACAGAAGCCATTTTTTGCCTCCTTCCACTCTGACCCCGCTCAGAGGATCTTAACAATTGCTACCTGCTGGCAAGAGGGCCAAGGGAGCTTGACACAAAGACCTCTTTCACATGATGAGCTTGCCCTAGAGCAGCCAGGCCTGGAGGAGGCTGAGTGAATAGTGCCCCCCCCTTCCAATCTTCCTGCCTTGCATTTCAATCAAAGTCAACACAATCAGTTGGAAATCTTCCATACCCTGCGGCTTCTACTCTGTATCCTCCATCCTCCTACCTGCCATCACCTGGTTACAAGTTTGGCATTAAGGGAAGCATGTGTTCTCATAACTACTAGTGAAAGCCAAAGGGCCTGGGGGATACCAAACTAGTAACAGAAGATAGGTAGAGGGGTCAACATGCAGCACCTTTGAGCTAGGCAAATTAGCATATAACAAGGATGGGGAAACTGGATCACTAGATGTTGCCAGACTAGAAGGCTGGTGGGAGTCAAACATCTGATGGCCCATGGGTTCCCCACATCTGGTAAGGAAAGGAAAGGAAATGTAAGCTATAGTATATAGCTTATATACTATATACTGGGTATATCTACAGAGCCTAGGGCTTGCCGATCAGAAGGTCGACGGGGCGAGCTCCCGTTGCTTGGTCCCTGCTCTGTCAACTTAGCAGTTTGAAAGCACATCAAAGTGCAGGTAGATAAATAGGTACCGCTCCAGCGGGAAGGTAAACGGCATTTCCGTGCACTGCTCTGGTTCGCCAGAAGTGGCTTAGTCATGCTGGCCACATGACCCAGAAGCTGTACGCAAGCTCCCTCGGCCAATAAAGCGAGATGAGCGCCACAACCCCAGAGTCATCCATGACTGGACCTAATGGTCAGGGGTCCCTTTACCTTTACCTTCACACAGGGATGAGGAACTTCCCAACTTCTATCAGTCCCAGCCACCATGGCCAATGATCAGGGATGATTGGAGTTAGACTCCAACATCAGAAGGGCCACAGGTGATCCCCAACTCTGCACAGCAGACATAAACTGGTTTAACAGCCATTCGCTGTCCCTGGGAACCCTAGGAGCTGTAGTTCTGAGATGGAAGCCAGTTCTAGAAGAGAACACTTTAAAACACATTCAGCAATTACCATGATCTCCTGATGAAATCCATGACTGTAAAATGGGTATAAGTGAAAACAGGTCCTCAGACCTGGGGGTGGGAAAGGTAGAGCAGATTAGTTGCATCCCACAATTGCTTCCTGCTCGTCTTCTGGAAACGGTAGAGCACTCCAAAAGTCAAGTTCAGGTTCATAAGTTTATTGTTTTAGCCAAAGCCATGACTAACTTGTTGCAATAGCATTTATAAGATAATAAAGAAAATAGATTCCTAATATAAGCCTACATCCATGATGTAAGAGAGAAAAGATGACAGAGACACCAACAAGCTTAAATCTAGCTTGATGTTTGTAAGCCATATTGGGGAAAGTAATTTTGAAAGCCTGAAAAGGGCTATTATAGCTTATCCTAGGCGCCTGAGGAACTTTATAGATGAGCAGGGATTTTTAATGCAGGTGCACAGAATGAGGAAGTAGTTTTGTGATACCTGTTCGTTCCTTGTTCATAATGATGTCATATTTCTGATCAATCATTTTAAAAAGCACGTGCAGTGTTTTCAAAAAATACACTCAGTGCTCTTAAATAAATGTTTCTAGGTTGTTGGGTTGGTTTTTCATTAGTTTTTTTCTATTTAACACTGAATGTATTCAAGCAATTTGGACCTTGCTGAATTGGCTACTCTGCCTGACAGGAAACTCTGCTTCCAAAAACTTAAGTGCAGGCTGTTCCTCAAAAGCTTTAAGCACAGGCAGTTCAACTCTGCTGAGATGTTTTGATTTAGGACCTGAAACGTACAAAGCATGCACTCTACTAATAAAAAGATAGAGAAGCTCAGTGGCGTAGCTGCAAAAGCAACAATTTTGTTCAGTCTCCAGGAAGGGCTGGGAGAAGACCCCTGTGCGATGCTCTGGAAAACCTCTTTGTGGACAATACTGAGTTAGCTGGATCAATGATCTGATTCTGTATAAGGTAGCTTCATATGTTCCTTGCTGGATGGTACCTAGCAAGTTATATATTAGGTTCTTAAATAAAACCAGCAATGTCCCACTCTCCCAGAACTACTCACTGTAGTTGCCCTATTTCCAAAAGTGAAAATCTGGATACAAAATTTGTTGTGGGTTTTTTTTTAGTTTTGCACAAAGTTGTTGAGCTTTTTTTTGCCAAGATCTGCAAGGATTGCATGCCCTTGTTGCTTGCTCTGATAATTATAGGAAAGCTGCAGATTGCACAGTACAGATCTATTTTGATCACTTCTGGCTTGTGAGCACATTATAGCCACTGTGTGCTCTGCCACTGCTCTGAGCCCCTCATTGTTTCACTTGGTGATTCCTGCCCCCCATAAGGTTTTTGCACACACAAGCCAGAAAGCATCCCGGAAAGTGGGTCTGTTTCTAGATACGGATAGAGCTTAAAGTTAGCGACCTTCCAGACAACTGGCTTGTTGTAAAGAAAAATGGTGCAGACTGTTGCATGTACAGTGGTACCTCAAGTTAAGAACTTAATTTGTTCTGGAGGTCCGTTCTTAACCTGAAACTGTTCTTAACCTGAGGTACCACTTTAGCTAATGGGGCTTCCTGCTGCCGCTGCGCCGCCATGCGATTTCTGTTCTCATCCTGAAGCAAAGTTCTTAACCCGAGATACTATTTCTGGGTTAGTGGAGTCTGTAACCTGAAGCGTCTGTAACCCGAGGTACCACTGTATTCCATTATGGTAGTTTTTGTGGCAGAGAAGCCACATTTCCTGCAGCGTTTTATTGCTGAGGTCCCCTCCACTCACATCACCCTTCGCTTGCACTTGCATTAGCTATATATGAGTGCTGCATGGACTGACTATGTGAGTGCCTGGGATACTACCAGAGATGAGGGGCATACCGTAATTTCTTTCCTCATGCTCTGCATCCCATTATGTATAGGTTAAAAATGTTTGCCTTGATTCTCAGAAAGAGAGAGAGAGAGAGAGAGAGAGAGAGAGAGAGAGAGAATTACTAGGGCCTGTGCCCAACTGCTCACCAACCTCTCCCCACCCCCATTACAGCTCACCCAGCTTCCCTCAACCTCCTTAAAGCTTGCCCAAACCAGGAACAACTTCCAGTCCTCTGTCAGCTCCCTGAGGCTGTCAGCGCTTCCCACCCCCTCCAGTTGGAGGTACCATTAGACAAGCATTTAAGTGCCTACTATGTTCTCAGCAGCTGCCTGAAAACAGTTCTCAGTCAATAACAATTAAGGGGTAAGAATCTCCTCTCACATCAGAAACTCTGTGATCACCCTGTGATCTATTAGTTTACCCCCCCCCCAGCCTTCTGCCCCTGCTATAGAACCTGGAACCTCCTGCCTGCCAGTTGTTCCGCTGAAACAACATGAGAATGAAAACAAAATAAAAACTGACTGATATTGATGCATTTGCATTAACCTTGTCTAAAGCCATTTTAGCAAATTAAGCCTCATCTTAGTATTTCCCCTTGCACATCAAACTAATCTTTACTGATGATTATGATAATAATAATAATAATAATAATAATAATAATAATAATAAATAATATACAAAAACACCTACAACAGTTCCTGGCTCTGGGTAAAGTAGAAATATTTAGTCTTGGAAAGATAACCTGCGGTTGGCAAAACTCAGGCCAATAATAAAGCTCCTTCCAGCCTGAACCAGGCTCCCTGGCCTGCTAGCAAGTCCCCGAAGGGTTTTGCCAAGGCACTTAGAAGACAGGCACATCACAAGGCTTACTATCATGAGCAGTGGCAGGGGCACAGCTGCCCCATCCTAGGGGATGCTGCCTGCACATTAGCATGTGCAGCGACTAATGTCTTAGAGACCATTGCCAAAGCTCCTGCTGGCACACAGCAGGGCACTTGCATGAGTATATATATCAGCAAACATTGTGTGGCTCCATTAAGGCACTTCAGAAACCCTGTAGGATAATATACTGCTCTAACACATGCCGAGGGCATTCCCAGGGCCCTTGCAGAGACTAAGTCAGCCACACACACCCCAGGGCTCTGTCAAGGCCTCTGCTCCAAGCAAATTACTCTCTGGGTGCTGTTCGTACTATGGTTACAAACCTTTAAGGTGGAGTGTGAGGGAGACCTTTTATTTCCTTCCTCCTCTCAGCTGCTTTTGTCTGTCTCTGTCAGGCCATGCACAACAGCTGAGCAGATAAACAACTTGCCACCTGCTCCCACCTCCAACCCCGCCTCCTCTCTAAATCGGATACATTTCTCCACCCATTCACCCAAAGCCCAGCCCTTTCCCCCTCCTCTCCTGCAAAAAGTCTTCTGCCGCAACAATTTCTCTGTCCAGACTACATGCTGTCAGAGGTTGTAGATCAGTTGTCTGCTGGCTGTAAAATCAGCTGCTGAAATTTAAGTTCATTTTGCTGATGTGGTTCAATGTAGACGTGGCGTTTTGGTTGTGGAAATGCTCTCTCATTTGAACAAGTGAAACTTACTTGAGGAAGACTATTCAAAAGATGAGATCCAGGCAGAATTGTCAGTTTTTGCAAAACAAGCATACAGTTCTTGGTTGGAATGTCAAATTGTGATCACCAAAAGCAAGCAAGCAATGAAATGAAAACGGAATAGAGAATGCTAAGCTGGAAATTCTCAGATCTGGACTCTTGCACCTAAGCAAGATATATAATGCAGTACATGCATTACAAAAAGCTCTCCAGTAGTTTGTTTGTTTTTAATGGCAGGTGCAGCCCCACTATGGTGCTGATTTTTAAAGCATTAATAGCTGCTGCAATAAAATGAATAGAAAGTTGAGGTAATTTTAATCTGTTTTAGTATTTTAAGTTCTGTATGTTTTAAAGTATGGTTGTGAATTTTTCTTGATTTTACTGTTTTATCTTTTGTAAACTACTTTTGAGGGGGAGGTGTTTTTACAATCAAGCAGTGTATACATTTTTATGAAATAAATAAATAAAATAAGGGGGAAATGAATTGGGACATAGCATTACAGGAAGATGGGTATAACTCCACATTCCCGCTAGAGCCATTTCCCCAGTGAAAAAATCTCCGACTGCTATTTGCTCTATGGGACAAAGCATACAAATCTAATGCAAATACCTGTATTGTTTGTTTTGTGCTACAGGGCAAACAGCAGCTTTGGGAAAGCAATTTTAATTGGGAAATGGTGCAGAGGCAGCAAAGGTTTGCAACTTCGCCAGCATCCCAATCCAAGTCCCCTCCTTGCACCTGCTACTAAGGCTCTTTTGAAAACGGAGGCAGTCCTATTCACTAAGCTCCAACACTGTGTTTACTTTCATCTTTGGTTTCTTCATAAGGGCTGGAAAAGACCTCTGCCCAGCAGCACAGGCAGTTGCTGGCAGTCAAAAGAGACAATACTGGAGGGGAAATGGTTTTACTAAAATTAAGGTATTTTCATGCGTCTTAATGAAGTGATTTTCATTTTAGCATATATGTTTAGTATGAATTAAATGAAGTAAGCTGCAGCCTACTGCAGCTCATAGCACCACACATGTGCTGGGTTTCAGGGTTCTATGGCAAAGATGGGCAGAAATCAGGTTGTTATTCTAATAGATCACAGGGCACTCTGCAATAGTTGGTGGCTTCCAGTGGCTTGAACAATGACACAAAGCCCACCCTATTAGAATTATTAGAGTCCCTGTAATAACACAGATAGATAGATAGATAGATAGATAGATAGATAGATAGATAGATAGATGCAGCTCCTCCCAGTGTTTGGGTCATGGGATGCAGTTGATCAGTTCCAACAACCTTGTAAATAAGGCTCCAAAAGTTAGTAGCCTGCAAAAAATAAAAAATGCTAACCTGCTGGTGCTGGCAGAGGAAGGACGGAGAGTTCTATCCCTCCTGCAGCAGTCTGTGACATTTTGTTGCTGGGCACAGAGGAGGTGGCGTTCTTTCTTTGGCAGGCTACAGGGTTCTATGATAGGCTCAGAGTAGGAAGAGAACTCTACATCCCTCTTTAACTCGCCTACTTCTTCACCTGCATGGAATTGCCTACAGCTACCAGACTAGCGTTTAAATGCAAGGTGTTCTACCACTCCAGCTACTATTTGCACCTGGTTCAGGTTCTGGTTCGAATTCCTAGTTTAAAAAGAAAGGAGAACCTGAAAGCCTGAAGTCTACCTACACCTGCTCTATGGGATGACCTCCTGTATTTCTAGTTTGTATTTTTATTTGTTTTTAAGTAGAGTGTTGCCCACTCCAAGACCAGAAGACAGAGTGAGTTCAATTTAAATAAACAGTTAAGAAAGCTGTGTGCTTATAGTAGTTAAAGTGTCAGATCAGCAGTGTGGAGAGACGCAGTCTTCCCACAGCCATATAGCTAGACTAACCTAACTAGTTAGACAAGTCACTATATTTCAGCCTAATCTACTTCAGAAAAGGCAACCAAAATGATCAAGGGGATGGAGCAGCATTTGTTAGTTTAGAGACTATGTGAGTAAGAGGCGACATCATAAGAAGTTTACGAAATGATGCACGGCATGGAGAAAGTGGCGAAATAACAGCTTCCTGCCTCTCTCATAACACAGGAACTTGTGGGCATCCCCTGAAGCTGAATGTTGGGAGATTTGGGACAAATAAAAGAAAGTACTTCTTCATGCAGCGCATAGCTGAACTATGGAACTCACTGCCACAGGAGGCAGTGATGGCTTTAAAAGAGAATTAGATAAATTGATGAATGAGTGATTTTTGGAACTCAGTTGGAAAGATGATGTGTAAATGCAGTCCCATGCCATTGGAAATAAACCATCATAGTCTCAAGTGACCTTCATTCCAAGGAAACCAAACCCAAAGTTTGCACTGGAATTCCCGAACTCTCTTCCTCCTGCATACTGAAGGCCGACATGAAACACAGGGAGGGATGGCAGACTACAGATTCCATCAGCGCTAGAGTCACTGATAGTTATAGATGCCTATGACAAAGTGAAACCTGGTGGAAGCTGCACTCTCACCTTATGGGAAAAGAGTGGGAAATTGCAGTGACTACTTTTTATTAGGTACATTTGGAGACCAAATTGCGGGTGTCTTGATGGCTTGGGTACTGGTGCAGAAATAAATTGGGTTCCCCATTGTTTTCCCTGAAAAAAAAGAAGATAAATTGATGAATGATGAGGTTATATACTATCCATGCTGGATATGTTCTACCTCCACTGTCAGAGACAATCTGCTTCTGAATGCCAGTTGCTGAGTATCACACGTGGGCAGAGTGCTGTTGCACTTATGTCCTGCTTGCTTCCCCCCGGACATCAATTCTGCCCTTTAAATCCCAGTAATGTCCTAAAAAATCTGGAACATACGGCAGTGTTATTCTGCATTTCTGAATTGCTCCAGCTACTATATAATAAATTTAGTTTCAGTGGCAGGTGTAAAGCTGCTACCAACGAGGATTTTGGAATGTCGAAGAGTTGGATAAGTTGCTATTCTGGCAGCCTTGTGAACAGAATCATCGCCCTTGGTCCAAACCTATTTAGAAATCCAGCAGCAAAATATATCATAGTTCCATGAAAACAGTCTCCAATTGGGAGTGGATAACAGAAAGATATGAGTGAAAGTTATATCTAGAGAAGTTCATGAACTCTGAGAATTAGAGCACTGTCATGTAAAGCTTATTTATTTATAAGATTTCTTACCCACACGTCACCATAAGGTCCCCAAAGTGTACAATTCTTAGACACAAGATTGAGAAGCTAGGCAGTAATTTTTAATGTCTCTCCCTGACAAGAATGGAACACCTGCAGGAAACTCTCAACTCCAACCCAATACAACTGCCATCTAGTGGAAAAAAACATACAGTGGCACTATCCACACATTACCCTTTCATTAAGAAAAGAATTACATATATCAGCACTATTGAAATATCCTGTAGTTCAGGTTTTCAGTCACACATCTCTAAATCTCAAAGGCTTCCAAATAACTCAAGCAATGCAAGTGATAATCTGACTAGTAAAATAACTAGCAGAATCTTAGTAACTGAGCTTAGTTTTTCAGGTACCATTTGGTGATGGTACTTTCTCAGGAATAGGAAAATGATGTCAATCATTTCTGTTAAGTATTCCATATTTTACCTGTGCAAAATATGATCTCTGTTTCATTTTTTCCCTTGTTCTAAAAGATGGAATTTACCAGTCCTATTTCCACCAAATTTGATATTCTCTCTCTCTCTCTCTCTCTCTCTCTCTCTCTCTCTCTGTCTCTCTCATAGCTGTCAACTTTCAGATTTGAAAATAAGGGATCAGCAGCCTCACCTGTCCCAGGGACAGTCTACGGGATATCAAACAATCCGGGATAGCAGTGGGAAGCAGCGGGAAATGGCGCTGGAATAAGGGAATTTCCCGCAAAAAAGGGAAGGTTGACAGCTATGCTCTCTCCTGGCTCTAAATGTGGTAGTTCTCACTGAATTGCCAGTTACAGAAATCCTACTTTAGTTTAGTTTGATAATTGGAAAGATACTTATTCCAGGTCAGGTCATTCTGAAATAAGATTCATATCTAAGTTTTCTCATTAATATAGCACTCTCCTGGCTATTAGCGATGTTGGCCTGTAGCTTAAAAGAGCAATATGTGAGTCGTTCTATCTCAAGATTTTATTTGCAATCCTTACTGCCCTCTTTGCCTCTCTGCTTGTTTGAAGGAAAAAATGGATTAGTGGTGATGTGGTAGAAATTCTGCTGCTTTAAATTGAGCTGTATTGTCTATTACATAGACTGTGATACAACCGTTCATTATTAGGCCTTCTAATTCACTCAGTGGTTAGCAAAGCACTTTCTGGTCATCTCTGGTATTTTGTAAGCTTCAAGTTCTGGATCTCCATGAGTAACAGTTTGGATTTGATGAAATGTATTTTCTGTACTCCACCTAATCCATATCTGTTTGCATTGTCTGCTAACCACTGGGGGGCCTGTTGGCACTGTAAAATTTTAATATATATCTTTGTAAAGGCAGCCTCCTTAACTGGACCCCCAAACCAGGATGTAGTGGATTTCAGTAGCAGGTCTAGTGGTTGTACTTCTGTTGAGGTGTCTTGCAAATATCAACCTAGATAAATGATAGAATAGATGTTATCCACGCAGGTATATCTATCCTGCAGACCAATATTGGTTTGATTCCTCATTATTTATAAAAATAATCAAAGAAATTATAGTTTGCTGAGGTGCTGAGAATACTGGGTTAGCTTTCTCTTACAGAACTATAACTCCCAGAGTGTCCCGT